CTCATGGTTTTTCTCGAGTTGCGGCGGGGACCTGGGGTATGTTCTCGACTTACGGCGGGGATGGCCCTTCAAAACACGAGTTTCTTCAGTGACGTCAGGACTCCTGTCTAGTAACGAGGGACACCTCAGGAAACTCTTCGAGGCTTGGCAGGGCAAAAGGGACGCTTCTCGAGGTGAGGCAGGGCACCCAAGGACCCTTTCCAGTAGCCACAGGGATTTTGGGATTCCTGTCAGTATTCAAGAGGAGTCAGGCGTCGTCACCTTTTGAAGCAATGAACTCCGCGTGCCTCTCGAGGTGTCAGCGGGATGTGAGGCATTCCGTCAAAAGGAGGCAGGGACCTAGGGCTTTCTCTAAGGTCTCAACAGGGGATTCAGACATCCCTTCATGTTGTGAGATGAAAGAGGAGCCTGTATTCAAGCCACTGCAAGGAAATCCGGCCTCCTTTCAAGTTAGGGCTTCTCGCTGTATATTCCCCTTGAGGCAGCAAACTCGGGGTCCCTCCCACATACCTATTGCTGAGAGAAGCCTCCTCCTGAGGTGCTTCTGGAAAGTTGGCATACGTCTTGAGCCTAAGCCAGGGAATCAGCTCTCATCTCGAGACGATTTGTGGTACACGGAGCATTCCTCGAGTTGCTGTGCTGAAGTTGGTGTTCCTCTAGACTTGGGACAGTGTTCTCGGGGCCTCTCTGGAGTTGCCTGAAGGAAGTCGAGCCACCGGTCGTGTTGAATGGGGAACGGGGAATGGCTCTGGAGTCAATGCAGGGGAATCGGGCCTCATCTCGAGTTGATTTGGGGCACATGGAGCTGCTTTGCGTTGCTGGGGTGACCTCAGGGTCCGTCTAGGCTGGTGACAGTGTTCTTGGGGTCTGTCTCGAGATCCATTAAGCAAGTCGAAGCTCCTGACTTGTTTGAATGGGATCACGGAATACCTCTGCATGCACTGCAGGGGAATGGGGCCTCATCTCGCCTCTAGGGGGAAGTCTCATGGTTTTTCTCGAGTTGCGGCGGGGACCTGGGGTATGTTCTCGACTTACGGCGGGGATGGCCCTTCAAAACACGAGTTACCTCAGTGACGTCAGGACTCCTGTCTAGTAACGAGGGACACCTCAGGAATCTCTTCGAAGCTTGGCATGGCAAAAGGGACGCTTCTCGAGGTGAGGCAGGGCACCCAAGGACCCTTTCCAGTAGCCACAGGGATTTTGGGATTCCTATCAGTATTCAAGAGGAGTCAGGCATCGTCACCTTTTGAAGCAATGAACTCCGCGTGCCTCTCGAGGTGTCAGCGGGATGTGAGGCATTCCGTCAAAAGGAGGCAGGGACCTAGGGCTTTCGCTAAGGTCTCCACAGGGGATTCAGACATCCATTCATGTTGCCAGATGAAAGACGAGCCCGTATTCAAGCCACTGCAGGAAATCCGGCCTCCTTTCCAGTTAGGGCTTCTGGCTGTATATTCCCTTTGAGGCAGCAAACTCGCGGTCCCTCCAACTTACCTATTGCTGAGAGAAGCCTCCTCCTGAGGTGCTTCTGGAAAGTTGGCATACGTCTTGAACCTAAGCCAGGGAATCAGCTCTCATCTCGAGACGATTTGTGGTACACGGAGCATTCCTCGAGTTGCTGTGCTGAAGTTGGTGTTCCTCTAGACTTGGGACAGTGTTCTCGGGGCATCTCTCGAGTTGCCTGAAGGAATTCGAGCCACCGGTCGTGTTGAATGGGGAATTGGGAATGGCTCTGGCGTCAATGCAGGGGAATCGGGCCTCATCTCGAGTTGATTTGGGGCACATGGAGCTGCTTTGCGTTGCTGGGGTGACCTCAGGGTCCGTCTAGACTGGTGACAGTGTTCTTGGGGTCTGTCTCGAGATCCATTAAGCAAGTCGAAGCTCCTGACTTGTTTGAATGGGATCACGGAATACCTCTGCATGCACTGCAGGGAAATGGTGCCTCATCTCGCCTCTAGGGGGAAGTCTCATGGTTTTTCTCGAGTTGCGGCGGGGACCTGGGTTATGTTCTCGACTTAAGGCGGGGATGGCCCTTCAAAACACGAGTTTCATCAGTGAAGTCAGGACTCCTGTCTAGTAACGAGGGACACCTCAGGAATCACTTCGAGGCTTGGCAGGGCAAAAGGGACGCTTCTCGAGGTGAGGCAGGGCACCCAAGGACCCTTTCCAGAAGCCACAGGGATTTTGGGATTCCTATCAGTATTCAAGAGGAGTCAGGCATCGTCACCTTTTGAAGCAATGAACTCCGCGTGCCTCTCGAGGTGTCAGCGGGATGTGAGGCATTCCGTCAAAATGAGGCAGGGACCTAGGTCTTTCTCTAAGGTCTACACAGGGGATTCAGACATCCCTTCATGTTGTGAGATGAAAGAGGAGCCTGTATTCAAGCCACTGCAAGGAAATCCGGCCTCCTTTCCAGTTAGGGCTTCTCGCTGTATATTCCCCTTGAGGCAGCAAACTCGGGGTCCCTCCCATATACCAATTGTTGAGAGAAGTCTCCTCCTGAGGTGCTTCTGGAAAGTTGGCATACGTCTTGAGCCTAAGCCAGGGAATCAGCTCTCATCTCGAGACGATTTGAGGTACACGGAACATTCCTCGAGTTGCTGTGCTGAAGTTGGTGTTCCTCTAGACTTGGGACAGTGTTCTCGGGGCATCTCTGGTTTGCCTGAAGGAAGTCGAGCCACCCGTCGTGTTGAATGGGGAATGGGGAATGGCTCTGGAGTCAATGCAGGGGAATCGGGCCTCATCTCGTGTTGATTTGGGGCACACGGAGCTGCTTTGCCTTGCTGGGGTGACCTCAGGGTCCGTCTAGACTGGTGACAGTGTTCTTGGGGTCTGTCTCGAGATCCATTAAGCAAGTCGAAGCTCCAGACTTGTTTGAATGGGATCACGGAATAGCTCTGCATGCACTGCAGGGGAATGGGGCCTCATCTCACCTCTAGGGGGAAGTCTCATGGTTTTTCTCGAGTTGCGGCGGGGACCTGGGGTATGTTCTCGACTTACGGCGGGGATGGCCCTTCAAAACACGAGTTTCTTCAGTGACGTCAGGACTCCTGTCTAGTAACGAGGGACACCTCAGGAATCTCTTCGAGGCTTGGCAGGGCAAAAGGGACGCTTCTCGAGGTGAGGCAGGGCACCCACGGACCCTTTCCAGTAGCCACAGGGATTTTGGGATTCCTGTCAGTATTCAAGAGGAGTCAAGCATTGTCACCTTTTGAAGCAATGAACTCCGCGTGCCTCTCGAGGTGTCAGCGGGATGTGAGGCATTCCGACAAAAGGAGGCAGGGACCTAGGGCTTTCTCTATGGTCTCCACAGGGGATTCAGACATCCCTTCATGTTGTGAGATGAAAAATGAGCGTGTATTCAAGCCACTGCAAAGAAATCCGGCCTCCTTTCCAGTTAGGGCTTCTCGCTGTATATTCCCCTTGAGGCAGCAAACTCGGGGTCCCTCCCACATAACAATTGCTGAGAGAAGTCTCCTCCTGAGGTGCTTCTGGAAAGTTGGCATACGTCTTGAGCCTAAGCCAGGGAATCAGCTCTCATCTCGAGACGATTTGTGGTACACGGAGCATTCCTCGAGTTGCTGTGCTGAAGTTGGTGTTCCTCTAGACTTGGGACAGTGTTCTCGGGGCATCTCTGGAGTTGCCTGAAGGAAGTCGAGCCACCGGTCGTGTTGAATGGGGAACGGGGAATGGCACTGGAGTCAATGTAGGGGAATCGGGCCTCATCTCGAGTTGATTTGGGGCACATGGAGCTGCTTTGCGTTGCTGGGGTGACCTCAGGGACCGTCTAGACTGGTGACAGTGTTCTTGGGGTCTGTCTCGAGATCCATTAAGCAAGTCGAAGCTTCTGGCTTGTTTGAATGCGATCACGGAATAGCTCTGCATGCACTGCAGGGGAATGGGGCCTCATCTCGCCTCTAGTGGGAAGTCTCATGGTTTTTCTCGAGTTGCGGCGGGGACCTGGGGTATGTTCTCGACTTACGGCGGGGATGGCCCTTCAAAACACGAGTTTCTTCAGTGACGTCAGGACTCCTGTCTAGTAACGAGGGACACCTCAGGAATCTCTTCGAAGCTTGGCAGGGCAAAAGGGACACTTCTCGAGGTGAGGCAGGGCACCCAAGGACCCTTTCCAGTAGCCACAGGGATTTTGGGATTCCTATCAGTATTCAAGAGGAGTCAGGCATCGTCACCTTTTGAAGCAATGAACTCCGCGTGCCTCTCGAGGTGTCAGCGGGATGTGAGGCATTCCGTCAAAATGAGGCAGGGGCCTAGGGCTTTCTCTAAGGTCTCCACAGGGGATTCAGTCATCCCTTCATGTTGTGAGATGAAAGACGAGCCTGTATTCAAGCCACTGCAAGGAAATCCGGCCTCCTTTCAAGTTAGGGCTTCTCGCTGTATATTCCTCTTGAGGCAGCAAACTCTGGGTCCCTCCCACATACCAATTGCTGAGAGAAGCATCCTCCTGAGGTGCTTCTGGAAAGTTGGCATACGTCTTGAGCCTAAGCCAGGGAATCAGCTCTCATCTCGAGACGATTTGTGATACACGGAGCATTCCTCGAGTTGCTGTGCTGAAGTTGGTGTTCCTCTAGACTTGGGACAGTGTTCTCGGGCATCTCTGGTTTACCTGAAGGAAGTCGAGCCACCGGTCATGTTGAATGGGGAACGGGGAATGGCTCTGGAGTCAATGCAGGTGAATCGGGCCTCATCTCGATTTGATTTGGGGCACATGGAGCTGCTTTGCGTTGCTGGGGTGACCTCAGGGTCCGTCTAGATTGGTGACAGTGTTCTTGGGGACTGTCTCGAGATCCATTAAGCAAGTCGAAGCTCCTGACTTGTTTGAATGGGATCACGGAATAGCTCTGCATGCACTGCAGGGGAATGGGGCCTCATCTCGCCTCTAGGGGTAAGTCTCATGGTTTTTCTCGAGATGCGGCGGGGACCTGGGGTATGTTCTCGACTTACGGCGGGGATGGCCCTTCAAAAGACGAGTTACCTCAGTGACGTCAGGACTCCTGTCTAGTAACGAGGGACACCTCAGGAATCTCTTCGAAGCTGGGCAGGGCAAAAGGGATGCTTCTCGAGGTGAGGCAGGGCACCCAAGGACCCTTTCCAGTAGCCACAGGGATTTTGGGATTCCTATCAGTATTCAAGAGGAGTCAGGCATCGTCACCTTTTGAAGCAATGAACTCCGCGTGCCTCTCGAGGTGTCAGCGGGATGTGAGGCATTCCGTCAAAAGGAGGCAGAGACCTAGGGCTTTCCCTAAGGTCTCCACATGGGATTCAGACATCCCTTCATGTTGCCAGATGAAAGACGAGCCCGTATTCAAGCCACTGCAGGAAATCCGGCCTCCATTCCAGTTAGGGCTTCTGGCTGTATATTCCCCTTGAGGCAGCAAACTCGTGGTCCCTCCCACTTACCTATTGCTGAGAGAAGCCTCCTCCTGAGGTGCTTCTGGAAAGTTGGCATACGTCTTGAACCTAAGCCAGGGAATCAGCTCTCATCTCGAGACGATTTGTGGTACACGGAGCATTCCTCGAGTTGCTGTGCTGAAGTTGGTGTTCCGCTAGACTTGGGACAGTCTTCTCGGGGCATCTCTCGAGTTGCCTGAAGGAAGTCGAGCCACCGGTCGTGTTGAATGGGGAACGGGGAATGGCTCTGGAGTCAATGCAGGGGAATCGGGCCTCATCTCGAGTTGATTTGGGTCACATGGAGCTGCTTTGCCTTGCTGGGGTGACCTCAGGGTCCGCCTAGACTGGTGACAGTGTTCTTGGGGACTGTCTCGAGATCCATTAAGCAAGTCGAAGCTCCTGACTTGTTTGAATGGGATCACGGAATAGCTCAGCATGCACTGCAGGGGAATGGGGCCTCATCTCGCCTCTAGGGGGAAGGCTCATGGTTTTTCTCGAGTTGCGGCGGGACCTGGGGTATGTTCTCGACTTACGGCGGGGATGGCCCTTCAAAACACGAGTTTCTACAGTGACGTCAGGACTCCTGTCTAGTAACGAGGGACACCTCAGGAATCTCTTCGAGGCTTGGCAGGGCAAAAGGGACGCTTCTCGAGGTGAGGCAGGTCTCCCAAGCACCCTTTCCAGTAGGCACAGGGATTTTGGGATGCTTGTCAGTATTCAAGAGGAGTCAGGCATCGTCACCTTTTGAAGCAATGAACTCCGCGTGCCTCTCCAGGTGTCAGCGGGATGTGAGGCATTCCGTCAAAAGGAGGCAGGGACCTAGGGCTTTCTCTAAGGTCTCCACAGGGGATTCAGACATCCCTTCATGTTGTGAGATGAATAACGAGCCTGTATTCAAGCCACTGCAAGGAAATCCGGCCTCCTTTCCAGTTAGGGCTTCTCGCTGTATATTCCCCTTGAGGCAGCAAACTCGGGGTCCCTCCCACATACCAATTGCTGAGAGAAGTCTCCTCCTGAGATGCTTCTGGAAAGTTGGCATACGTCTTGAGCCTAAGCCAGGGAATCAGCTCTCATCTCGAGACAATTTGTGGTACACGGTGCATTCCTCGAGTTGCTGTGCTGAAGTTGGTGTTCCTCTAGACTTGGGACAGTGTTCTCGGGGCATCTCTGGAGTTGCCTGAAGGAAGTCGAGCCACCGGTCGTGTTGAATGGGGAACGGGAAATGGCTCTGGAGTCAATGCAGGGGAATCGGGCCTCATCTCGAGTTGATTTGGGGCACATGGAGCTGCTTTGCGTTGCTGGGGTGACCTCAGGGTCCGTCTAGACTGGTGACAGTGTTCTTGGGGACTGTCTCAAGATCCATTAAGCAAGTCAAAGCTCCTGACTTGTTTGAATGGGATCACGGAATAGCTCTGCATGCACTGCAGGGGAATGGGGCCTCATCTCGCCTCTAGGGGGAAGTCTCATGGTTTTTCTCGAGTTGCGGCGGGGACCTGGGGTATGTTCTCGACTTACGGCGGGGATGGCCCTTCAAAACACGAGTTTCTTCAGTGACGTCAGGACTCCTGTCTAGTAACGAGGGACACCTCAGGAATCTCTTCGAGGCTTGGCAGGGCAAAAGGGACACTTCTCGAGGTGAGGCAGGGCACCCAAGGACCCTTTCCAGTAACCACAGGGATTTTGGGATTCCTATCAGTATTCAAGAGGAGTCAGGCCTCGTCACCTTTTGACGCAATGAACTCCGCGTGCCTCTCGAGGTGTCAGCGGGATGTGAGGCATTCCGTCAAAATGAGGCAGGGACCTAGGGCTTTCTCTAAGGTCTCCACAGGGGATTCAGTCATCCCTTCATGTTGTGAGATGAAAGAGGAGCCTGTATTCAAGCCACTGCAAGGAAATCCGGCCTCCTTTCAAGTTAGGGCTTCTCGCTCTATATTCCCCTTTATGCAGCAAACTCTGGGTCCCTCCCACATACCAATTGCTGAGAGAAGCCTCCTCCTGAGGTGCTTCTGGAAAGTTGGCATACGTCTTGAGCCTAAGCCAGGGAATCAGCTTTCATCTCGAGACGATTTGGGGTACACGGAGCATTCCTCAAGTTGCTGTGCTGAAGTTGGTGTTCCTCTAGACTTGGAACAGTGTTCTCGGGGCATCTCTGGTTTGCCTGAAGGAAGTCGAGCCACCGGTCATGTTGAATGGGGAACGGGGAATGGCTGTGGAGTCAATGCAGGGGAATCGGGCCTCATCTCGAGTTGATTTGGGGCACATGGAGCTGCTTTGCGTTGCTGGGGTGACCTCAGGTTCCGTCTAGACTGGTGACAGTGTTCTTGGGGACTGTCTCGAGATCCATTAAGCAAGTCGAAGCTCCTGACTTGTTTGAATGGGATCACGGAATAGCTCTGCATGCACTGCAGGGGAATGGGGCCTCATCTCGCCTCTAGGGGGAAGTCTCATGGTTTTTCTCGAGTTGCGGCAGGGACCTGGCATATGTTCTCGACTTAGGGCGGGGATGGCCCTTCAAAACACGAGTTACCTCAGTGATGTCAGGACTCCTGTCTAGTAACGAGGGACACCTCAGGAATCTCTTCGAAGCTTGGCAGGGGAAAAGGGACACTTCTGGAGGTGAGGCAGGGCACCCAAGGACCCTTTCCAGTAGCCACAGGGATTTTGGGATTCCTATCAGTATTCAAGAGTTGTCAGGCATCGTCACCTTTTGAAGCAATGAACTCCGCGTGCCTCTCGAGGTGTCAGCGGGATGTGAGGCATTCCGTCAAAAGGAGGCAGAGACCTAGGGCTTTCCCTAAGGTCTCCACAGGGGATTCAGACATCCCTTCATGTTGCCAGATGAAAGACGAGCCCGTATTCAAGCCACTGCAGGAAATCCGGCCTCCTTTCCAGTTAGGGCTTCTGGCTGTATATTCCCCTTGAGGCAGCAAACTCGTGGTCCCTCCCACTTACCTATTGCTGAGAGAAGCCTCCTCCTGAGGTGCTTCTGGAAAGTTGGTATACGTCTTGAACCTAAGCCAGGGAATCAGCTCTCATCTCGAGACGATTTGTGGTACACGGAGCATTCCTCGAGTTTCTGTGCTGAAGTTGGTGTTCCTCTAGACTTGGGACAGTGTTCTCGGGGCATCTCTGGAGTTTCCTGAAGGAAGTCGAGCCACCGGTCGTGTTGAATGGGGAACGGGGAATGGCTCTGGAGTCAATGCAGGGGAATCAGGCCTCATCTCGAGTTGATTTGGGGCACATGGAGCTGCTTTGCGTTGCTGGGGTGACCTCAGGGTCCGTCTAGACTGGTGACAGTGTTCTTGGGGACTCTCTCGAGATCCATTAAGCAAGTCGAAGCTCCTGACTTGTTTGAATGGGATCACGGAATAGCTCTGCATGCACTGCAGGGGAATGGGGCCTCATCTCGCCTCTAGGGGGAAGTCTCATGGTTTTTCTCGAGTTGCGGCGGGGACCTGGGTTATGTTCTCGACTTACGGCGGGGATGGCCCTTCAAAACACGAGTTTCTTCAGTGACGTCAGGACTCCTGTCTAGTAACGAGGGACACCTCAGGAATCTCTTCGAGGCTTGGCAGGGCAAAAGGGACGCTTCTCGAGGTGAGGCAGGGCACCCAAGGACACTTTCCAGAAGCCACAGGGATTTTGGGATTCCTATCAGTATTCAAGAGGAGTCAGGCATCGTCACCTTTTGAAGCAATGAACTCCGCGTGCCTCTCGAGGTGTCAGCGGGATGTGAGGCATTCCGTCAAAATGAGGCAGGGTCCTAGGGCCTTTTCTAAGGTCTCCACAGGGGATTCAGACATCCCTTCATGTTGTGAGATGAAAGACGAGCCTGTATTCAAACCACTGCAAGGAAATCCGGCCTGCTTTCAAGTTAGGGCTTCTCGCTGTATATTCCCCTTGAGGCAGCAAACTCGGGGTCCCTCCCACATACCAATTGCTGAGAGAAGTCTCCTCCTGAGGTGCTTCTGGAAAGTTGGCATACGTCTTGAGCCTAAGCCAGGGAATCAGCTCTCATCTCGAGACGATTTGTCGTACACGGAGCATTCCTCGAGTTGCTGTGCTGAAGTTGGTGTTCCTCTAGACTTGGGACAGTGTTCTCGGGGATTCTCTGGAGTTGCCTGAAGGAAGTCGAGCCACCGGTCGTGTTGAATGTGGAACGGGGAATGGCTCTGGAGTCAATGCAGGGGAATCGGGCCTCATCTCGAGTTGATTTGGGGCACATGGAGCTGCTTTGCGTTGCTTGGGTGACCTCAGGGTCCGTCTAGACTGGTGACAGTGTTCTTGGGGTCTGTCTCGAGATCCATTAAGCAAGTCGAAGCTCCTGACTTGTTTGAATGGGATCACGGAATAGCTCTGCATGCACTGCAGGGGAATGGGGCCTCATCTCGCCTCTAGGGGGAAGTCTCATGGTTTTTCTCGTGTGCGGCGGGGCCTGGGGTATGTTATCGACTTAAGGCGGGGATGGCCCTTCAAAACACGAGTTTCTTCAGTGACGCCAGGACTCCTGTCTAGTAACGAGGGACACCTCAGGAATCTCTTCGAGGCTTGGCAGGGCAAAAGGGACGCTTCTCGAGGTGAGGCAGGGCACCCAAGGACCCTTTGCAGTAGCCACAGGGATTTTGGGATTCTTATCAGTATTCAAGAGGAGTCAGGCATGGTCACCTTTTGAAGCAATGAACTCTGCGTGCCTCTCGAGGTGTCAGCGGGATGTGAGGCATTCCGTCAAAATGAGGCAGGGACCTAGGGCTTTCTCTAAGGTCTCCACAGGGGATTCAGACATCCCTTCATTTTGTGAGATGAAAGACGAGGCTGTATTCAAGCCATTGCAAGGAAATCCGGCCTCCTTTCCAGTTAGGGCTTCTCGCTGTATATTCCCCTTGAGGCAGCAAACTCGGGGTCCCTCCCACATACCAATTGCTGAGAGAAGCCTCCTCCTGAGGTGCTTGTGGAAAGTTGGCATACGTCTGAACCTAAGCCAGGGAATCAGCTCTCATCTCGAGATGATTTGGGGTACACGGAGCATTCCTCGAGTTGCTGTGCTGAAGTTGGTGTTCCTCTAGTCTTGGGACAGTGTTCTCGGGGCATCTCTGGAGTTGCCTGAAGGAAGTCGAGCCACCGGTCGTGTGGAATGGGGAACGGGGAATGGCTCTGGAGTCAACGCAGGGGAATCGGGCATCATCTCGAGTTGATTTGGGGCACATGGAGCTGCTTTGCGTTGCTGGGGTGACCTCAGGGTCCGTCTAGACTGGTGACAGTGTTCTTGGGGACTCTCTCGAGATCCATTAAGCAAGTCGAAGCTCCTGACTTGTTTGAATGGGATCACGGAATTGCTTTGCATGCACTGCAGGGGAATGGGGCCTCATCTCGCCTCTAGGGGGAAGTCTCATGGTTTTTCTCGAGTTGCGGCGGGGACCTGGGCTATGTTCTCGACTTACGGCGGGGATGGCCCTTCAAAACACGAGTTTCTTCAGTGACGTCTGGACTCCTGTCTAGTAACGAGGGACACCTCAGGAATCTCTTCGAGGCTTGGCAGGGCAAAAGGGACGCTTCTCGAGGTGAGGCAGGGCACCCAAGGACTCTTTCCAGTAGCCACAGGGATTTTGGGATTCCTGTCAGTATTCAAGAGGAGTCAGGCATCGTCACCTTTTGAAGCAATGAACTCCGCGTGCCTCTCGAGGTGTCAGCGGGATGTGAGGCATTCCGTCAAAAGGAGGCAGGGACCTAGGGCTTTCTCTAAGGTCTCCACAGGGGATTCTGATATCCCTTCATGTTGTGAGATGAAAAATGAGCCTGTATTCAAGCCACTGCAAGGAAATCCGGCCTCCTTTCCAGTTAGGGCTTCTCGCTGTATATTCCCCTTGAGGCAGCAAACTCGGGGTCCCTCCCACATACCAATTGCTGAGAGAAGTCTCCTCCTGAGGTGCTTCTGGAAAGTTGGCATACGTCTTGAGCCTAAGCCAGGGAATCAGCTCTCATCTCGAGACGATTTGAGGTACACGGAGCATTCCTCGAGTTGCTGTGCTGAAGTTGGTGTTCCTCTAGACTTGGGACAGTGTTCTCGGGGCATCTCTGGTTTGCCTGAAGCAAGTCGAGCCACCCGTCGTGTTGAATGGGGAACGGGGAATGGCTCTGGAGTCAATGCAGGGGAATCGGGCCTCATCTCGTGTTGATTTGGGGCACACGGAGCTGCTTTGCCTTGCTGGGGTGACCTCAGGGTCCGTCTAGACTGGTGACAGTGTTCTTGGGGTCTGTCTCGAGATCCATTAAGCAAGTCGAAGCTCCTGACTTGTTTGAATGGGATCACGGAATAGCTCTGCATGCACTGAAGGGGAATGGGGCCTCATTTCACCTCTAGGGGGAAGTCTCATGGTTTTTCTCGAGTTGCGGCGGGGACCTGGGGTATGTTCTCGACTTACGGCGGGAATGGCCCTTCAAAACACGAGTTTCTTCAGTGACGTCAGGACTCCTGTCTAGTAACGAGAGACACATCAGGAATCTCTTCGAGGCTTGGTAGGGCAAAAGGGACGCTTCTCGAGGTGAGGCAGGGCACCCAAGGACACTTTCCAGTAGCCACAGGGATTTTGGGATTCCTGTCAGTATTCAAGACGAGTCAAGCATTGTCACCTTTTGAAGCAATGAACTCCGCGTGCCTCTCGAGGTGTCAGCGGGATGTGAGGCATTCCGTCAAAAGGAGGCAGGGACCTAGGGCTTTCTCTAAGGTCTCCACAGGGGATTCAGACATCCCTTCATGTTGTGAGATGAAAAATGAGCCTGTATTCAAGCCACTGCAAGGAAATCCGGCCTCCTTTCCAGTTAGGGCTTCTCGCTGTATATTCCCCTTGAGGCAGCAAACTCGGAGTCCCTCCCACATACCAATTGCTGAGAGAAGCTTCATCCTGAGGTGCTTCTGGAAAGTTGGCATACGTCTTGAGCCTAAGCCAGGGAATCAGCTCTCATCTCGAGACGATTTGTGGTACACGGAGCATTCCTCGAGTTGCTGTGCTGAAGTTGGTGTTCCTCTAGACTTGGGACAGTGTTCTCGGGGCATCTCTGGAGTTGCCTGAAGGAAGTCGAGCCACCGGTCGTGTTGAATGGGGAACGGGGAATGGCTCTGGAGTCAATGCAGGGGAATCGGGCCTCATCTCGAGTTGATTTGGGGCACATGGAGCTGCTTTGCGTTGCTGGGGTGACCTCAGGGTCCGTCTAGACTGGTGACAGTGTTCTTGGGGACTCTCTCGAGATCCATTAAGCAAGTCGAAGCTCCTGACTTGTTTGAATGGGATCACGGAATAGCTCTGCATGCACTGCAGGGGAATGGGGCCTCATCTCGCCTCTAGGGGGAAGTCTCATGGTTTTTCTCGAGTTGCGGCAGGGAACTGGGTTATGTTCTCGACTTACGGCGGGGATGGCCCTTCAAAACACGAGTTTCTTCAGTGACGTCAGGACTCCTGTCTAGTAACGAGGGACACCTCAGGAATCTCTTCGAGGCTTGGCAGGGCAAAAGGGACGCTTCTCGAGGTGAGGCAGGGCACCCAAGGACACTTTCCAGAAGCCACAGGGATTTTGGGATTCCTATCAGTATTCAAGAGGAGTCAGGCATCGTCACCTTTTGAAGCAATCTACTTCGCGTGCCTCTCGAGGTGTCAGCGGGATGTGAGGCATTCCGTCAAAATGAGGCAGGGGCCTAGGGCCTTTTCTAAGGTCTCCACAGGGGATTCAGACATCCCTTCATGTTGTGAGATGAAAGACGAGCCTGTATTCAAACCACTGCAAGGAAATCCGGCCTGCTTTCAAGTTAGGGCTTCTCGCTGTATATTCCCCTTGAGGCAGCAAATCGGGGTCCCTCCCACATACCAATTGCTGAGAGAAGTCTCCTCCTGAGGTGCTTCTGGAAAGTTGGCATACGTCTTGAGCCTAAGCCAGGGAATCAGCTCTCATCTCGAGACGATTTGTCGTACACGGAGCATTCCTCGAGTTGCTGTGTGAAGTTGGTGTTCCTCTAGACTTGGGACAGTGTTCTCGGGGCATCTCTGGAGTTTCCTGAAGGAAGTCGAGCCACCGGTCGTGTTGAATGGGGAACGGGGAATGGCTCTGGAGTCAATGCAGGGGAATCGGGCCTCATCTCGAGTTGATTTGGGGCACATGGAGCTGCTTTGCATTGCTGGGGTGACCTCAGGGTCCGTCTAGACTGGTGACAGTGTTCTTGGGGTCTGTCTCGAGATCCATTAAGCAAGTTGAAGCTTCTGACTTGTTTGAATGGGATCACGGAATAGCTCTGCATGCACTGCAGGGGAATGGGGCCTCATCTCGCCTCTAGGGGGAAGGCTCATGGTTTTTCTCGAGTTGCGGCGGGGACCTGGGGTATGTTCTCGACTTACGGCGGGGATGGCCCTTCCAAACACGAGTTTCTTCAGTGACGTCAGGACTCCTGTCTAGTAACGAGGGACACCTCAGGAATCTCTTCGAGGCTTGGCAGGGCAAAAGGGACGCTTCTCGAGGTGAGGCAGGGCACCCAAGGACCCTTTCCAGTAGGCACAGGGATTTTGGGATGCCTGTCAGTATTCAAGAGGAGTCAGGCATCGTCACCTTTTGAAGCAATGAACTCCGCGTGCCTCTCGAGGTGTCAGCGGGATGTGAGGCATTCCGTCAAAAGGAGGCAGGGACCTAGGGCTTTCTCTAAGGTCTCCACAGGGGATTCAGACATCCCTTCATGTTGCCAGATGAAAGACGAGCCCGTATTCAAGCCACTGCAGGAAATCCGGCCTCCTTTCCAGTTAGGGCTTCTGGCTGTATATTCCCCTTGAGGCAGCAAACTCGTGGTACCTCCCACTTACCTATTGCTGAGAGAAGCCTCCTCCTGAGTGGCTTCTGGAAAGTTGGCATACGTCTTGAACCTAAGCCAGGGAATCAGCTCTCATCTGGAAACGATTTGTGGTACACGGAGCATTCCTCGAGTTGCTGTGCTGAAGTTGGTGTTCCTCCAGACTTGGGACAGTGTTCTCGGGGCATCTCTCGAGTTGCCTGAAGGAAGTCGAGCCACCGGTCGTGTTGAATGGGGAATGGGGAATGGCTCTGGCGTCAATGCAGGGGAATCGGGCCTCATCTCGAGTTGATTTGGGGCACATGGAGCTGCTTTGCATTGCTGGGGTGACCTCAGGGTCCGCCTAGACTGGTGACAGTGTTCTTGGGGACTGTCTCGAGATCCATTAAGCAAGTCGAAGCTCCTGACTTGTTTGAATGTGATCACGGAATAGCTCTGCATGCACTGCAAGGGAATGGGGCCTCATCTCGCCTCTAGGGGGAAGGCTCATGGTTTTTCTCGAGTTGCGGCGGGGACCTGGGTTATGTTCTCGACTTACGGCGGGGATGGCCCTTCCAAACACGAGTTTCTACAGTGACGTCAGGAATCCTGTCTAGTAACGAGGGACACCTCAGGAATCTCTTCGAGGCTTGGCAGGGCAAAAGGGACGCTTCTCGAGGTGAGGCAGGGCACCCAAGGACCCTTTCCAGTAGGCACAGGGATTTTGGGATGGCTGTCAGTATTCAAGAGGAGTCAGGCATCGTCACCTTTTGAAGCAATGAACTCCGCGTGCCTCTCGTGGTGTCAGCGGGATGTGAGGCATTCCGTCAAAATGAGGCAGGGACCTAGGGCTTTCTCTAAGGTCTCCACAGGGGATTCAGACATCCCTTCATGTTGTGAGATGAATAATGAGCCTGTATTCAAGCCACTGCAAGGAAATCCGGCCTCCTTTCAAGTTAGGGCTTCTCGCTGTATATTCCCCTTGAGGCAGCAAACTCGGGGTCCCTCCCACATACCAATTCCTGAGAGAAGTCTCCTCCTGAGGTGCTTCTGGAAAGTTGGCATACGTCTTGAGCCTAAGCCAGGGAATCAGCTCTCATCTCGAGACGATTTGTGGTACATGGAGCATTCCTCGAGTTGCTGTGCTGAAGTTGGTGTTCCTCTAGACTTGGGACAGTGTTCTCGGGGCATCTCTGGAGTTGCCTGAAGGAAGTCGAGCCACCGGTCGTGTTGAATGGGGAACGGGGAATGGCTCTGGAGTCAATGCAGGGGAATCGGGCCTCATCTCGAGTTGATTTGGGGCACATGGAGCTGCTTTGCGTTGCTGGGGTGACCTCAGGGTCCGTCTAGACTGGTGACAGTGTTCTTGGGGTCTCTCTCGAGATCCATTAAGCAAGTCGAAGCTCCTGACTTGTTTGAATGGGATCACGGAATAGCTCTGCATGCACTGCAGGGGAATGGGGCCTCATCTCGCCTCTAGGGGGAAGTCTCATGGTTTTTCTCGAGTTGCGGCGAGGACCTGGGGTATCTTCTCGACTTACGGCGGGGATGGCCCTTCAAAACACGAGTTTCTTCAGGGACGTCAGGACTCCTGTCTAGTAACGAGGGATACCTCAGGAATCTCTTCGAGGCTTGGCAGGGCAAAAGGGACACTTCTCGAGGTGAGGCAGGGCACCCAAGGACCCTTTCCAGTAGCCACAGGGATTTTGGGATTCCTATCAGTATTCAAGAGGAGTCAGGCATCGTCACCTTTTGAAGCAATGAACTCCGCGTGCCTCTCGAGGTGTCAGCGGGATGTGAGGCATTCCGTCAAAAGGAGGCAGGGACCTAGGGCTTTCTCTAAGGTCTCCACAGGGGATTCAGTCATCCCTTCATGTTGTGAGATGAAAGACGAGCCTGTATTCAAGCCACTGCAAGGAAATCCGGCCTCCTTTCAAGTTACGGCTTCTCGCTGTATATTCCCTTTGAGGCAGCAAACTCTGGGTCCCTCCCACATACCTATTGCTGAGAGAAGCCTCCTCCTGAGGTGCTTCTGGAAAGTTGGCATACGTCTTGAGCCTAAGCCAGGGAATCAGCTCTCATCTCGAGACGATTTGGGGTACACGGAGCATTCCTCGAGTTGCTGTGCTGAAGTTGGTGTTCCTCTAGACTTGGGACAGTGTTCTCGGGGCATCTCTGGTTTGCCTGAAGGAAGTCGAGCCACCGGTCATGTTGAATGGGGAACGGGGAATGGCTCTGGAGTCAATGCAGGGGAATCGGGCCTCATCTCGATTTGATTTGGGGCACATGGAGCTGCTTTTCGTTGCTGGGGTGACCTCAGGGTCCGTCTAGACTGGTGACAGTGTTCTTGGGGACTGTCTCGAGATCCATTAAGGAAGTCGAAGCTCCTGACTTGTTTGAATGGGATCACGGAATAGCTCTGCATGCACTGCAGGGGAATGGGGCCTCATCTCGCCTCTAGGGGGAAGTCTCATGGTTTTTCTCGAGTTGCGGCGGGGACCTGGGGTATGTTCTCGACTTAAGGCGGGGATGGCCCTTCAAAACACGAGTTACCTCAGTGACGTCAGGACTCCTGTCTAGTAACGAGGGACACCTCAGGAATCTCTTCGAAGCTTGGCAGGGCAAAAGGGATGCTTCTCGAGGTGAGGCAGGGCACCCAAGGACCCTTTCCAGTAGCCACAGGGATTTTGGGATTCCTATCAGTATTCAAGAGGAGTCAGGCATCGTCACCTTTTGAAGCAATGAACTCCGCGTGCCTCTCGAGGTGTCAGCGGGATGTGAGGCATTCCGTCAAAAGGAGGCAGAGACCTAGGGCTTTCCCTAAGGTCTCCACAGGGGATTCAGACATCCCTTCATGTTGCCAGATGAAAGACGAGCCCGTATTCAAGCCACTGCAGGAAATCCTGCCTCCTTTCCAGTTAGGGCTTCTGGCTGTATATTCCCCTTGAGGCAGCAAACTCGTGGTCCCTCCCACTTACCTATTGCTGAGAGAAGCCTCCTCCTGAGGTGCTTCTGGAAAGTTGGCATACGTCTTGAACCTAAGCCAGGGAATCAGCTCTCATCTCGAGACGATTTGGGGTATACAGAGCATTCCTTGAGTTGCTGTGCTGAAGTTGGTGTTCCTCTAGACTTGGGACAGTGTTCTCGGGGCATCTCTCGAGTTGCCTGAAGGAAGTCGAGCCACCGGTCGTGTTGAATGGGGAATGGGGAATGGCTCTGGCGTCAATGCAGGGGAATCGGGCCTCATCTCGAGTTGATTTGGGGCACATGGAGCTGCTTTGCGTTGCAGGGGTGACTTCAGGGTCCGCCTAGACTGGTGACAGTGTTCTTGGGGACTGTCTCGAGATCCATTAAGCAAGTCGAAGCTCCTGACTTGTTTGAATGGGATCACGGAATAGCTCTGCATGCACTGCAGGGGAATGGGGCCTCATCTCGCCTCTAGGGGGAAGGCACATGGTTTTTCTCGAGTTGCGGCTGGGACCTGGGGTATGTTCTCGACTTACGGCGGGGATGGCCCTTCCAAACACGAGTTTCTACAGTGACGTCAGGACTCCTGTCTAGTAACGAGGGACACCTCAGGAATCTCTTCGAGGCATGGCAGGGCAAAAGGGACGCTTCTCGAGGTGAGGCAGGGCACCCAAGGACCCTTTCCAGTAGGCACAGGGATTTTGGGATGCCTGTCAGTATTCAAGAGGAGTCAGGCATCGTCACCTTTTGAAGCAATGAACTCTGCGTGCCTCTCGAGGTGTCAGCGGGATGTGAGGCATTCCGTCAAAAGGAGGCAGGGACCTAGGGCTTTCTCTAAGTTCTCCACAGGGGATTCAGACATCCCTTCATGTTGTGAGATGAATAATGAGCCTGTATTCAAGCCACTGCAAGGAAATCCGGCCTCCTTTCAAGTTAGGGCTTCTCGCTGTATATTCCCCTTGAGGCAGCAAACTCGGGGTCCCTCCCACATACCAATTGCTGAGAGAAGTCTCCTCCTGAGGTGCTTCTGGAAAGTTGGCATACGTCTTGAGCCTAAGCCAGGGAATCAGCTCTCATCTCGAGACGATTTGTGGTACATGGAGCATTCCTCGAGTTGCTGTGCTGAAGTTGGTGTTCCTCTAGACTTGGGACAGTGTTCTCGGGGCATCTCTGGAGTTGCCTGAAGGAAGTCGAGCCACCGGTCGTGTTGAATGGGGAACGGGGAATGGCTCTGGAGTCAATGCAGGGGAATCGGGCCTCATCTCGAGTTGATTTGGGGCACATGGAGCTGCTTTGCGTTGCTGGGGTGACCTCAGGGTCCGTCTAGACTGGTGACAGTGTTCTTGGGGTCTGTCTCGATATCCATTAAGCAAGTCGAAGCTCCTGACTTGTTTGAATGGGATCACGGAATAGCTCTGCATGCACTGCAGGGGAATGGGACGTCATCTCGCCTCTAGGGGGAAGTCTCATGGTTTTTCTCGAGTTGCGGCGGGGACCTGGGGTATGTTCTCGACTTACGGCGGGGATGGCCCTTCAAAACACGAGTTTCTTCAGGGACGTCAGGACTCCTGTCTAGTAACGAGGGACACCTCAGGAATCTCTTCGAGGCTTGGCAGGGCAAAAGGGACACTTCTCGAGGTGAGGCAGGGCACCCAAGGACACTTTCCAGTAGCCACAGGGATTTTGGGATTCCTATCAGTATTCAAGAGGAGTCAGGCATCGTCACCTTTTGAAGCAATGAACTCCGCGTGCCTCTCGAGGTGTCAGCGGGATGTGAGGCATTCCGTCAAAAGGAGGCAGGGACCTAGGGCCTTTTCTAAGGTCTCCACAGGGGATTCAGACATCCCTTCATGTTGTGAGATGAAAGACGAGCCTGTATTCAAGCCACTGCAAGGAAATCCGCCCTGCTTTCAAGTTAGGGCTTCTTGCTGTATACCCCTTGAGGCAGCAAACTCGGGGTCCCTCCCACATACCTATTGCTGAGATAAGCCTCATCCTGAAGTGCTTCTGGAAAGTTGGCATACGTCTTGAGCCTAAGCCAGGGAATCAGCTCTCATCTCGAGAAGATTTGGGATACACGGAGCATTCCTCGAGTTGCTGTGCTGAAGTTGGTGTTCCTCTAGCCTTGGGACAGTGTTCTCGGGGCATCTCTGGAGTTGCCTGAATGAAGTCGAGCCACCGGTCGTGTAGAATGGGGAACGGGGAATGGCTCTGGAGTCAATGCAGGGGAATCGGGCCTCATCTCGATTTGATTTGGGGCACATGGAGCTGCTTTGCCTTGTGGGGTGACCTCAGGGTCCGTCTAGACTGGTGACAGTGTTCTCGGGGACTGTCTCGAGATCCATAAAGGAAATCGAAGCTCCTGACTTGTTTGAATGGGATCACGGAATAGCTCTGCATGCACTGCAGGGGAATGTGGCCTCATCTCCCCTCTAGGGGGAAGTCTCATGGTTTTTCTCCAGTGCGGCGGGGACCTGGGGTATGTTCTCTACTTACGGCGGGGATGGCCCTTCAAAACACGACTTTCTTCAGTGACGTCAGGACTCCTGTCTAGTAACGAGGGACACCTCAGGAATCTCTTCGAGGCTTGGCAGGGCAAAAGGGACGCTTCTCGAGGTGAGGCAGGGCACCCAAGGACCCTTTGCAGTAGCCACAGGGATTTTGGGATTCTTATCAGTATTCAAGAGGAGTCAGGCATGGTCACCTTTTGAAGCAATGAACTCCAAGTGCCTCTCGAGGTGTCAGCGGGATATGAGGCATTCCGTCAAAATGAGGCCGGGACCTAGGGCTTTCTCTAAGGTCTCCACAGGGGATTCAGACATCCCTTCATGTTGTGAGATGAAAGACGAGGCTGTACTCAAGCCACTGCAAGGAAATCCGGCCTCCTTTCAAGTTAGGACTTCTCGCTGTATATTCCCCTTGAGGCAGCAAACTCGGGGTCCCTCCCACATACCAATTGCTGAGAGAAGCCTAATCCTAAGGTGCTTCTGGAAAGTTGGCATACGTCTTGAACCTAAGCCAGGGAATCAGCTCTCATCTCGAGATGATTTGGGGTACACGGAGCATTCCTCGAGTTGCTGTGCTGAAGTTGGTGTTCCTCTAGACTTGGGACAGTGTTCTCGGGGCATCTCTGGAGTTGCCTGAAGGAAGTCGAGCCACCGGTCGTGTGGAATGGGGAACGGGGAATGGCTCTGGAGTCAATGCAGGGGAATCGGGCATCATCTCGAGTTGATTTGGGGCACATGGAGCTGCTTTGCGTTGCTGGGGTGACCTCAGGGTCCGTCTAGACTGGTGACAGTGTTCTTGGGGACTGTCTCGAGATCCATTAAGCAAGTCGAAGCTCCTGACTTGTTTGAATGGGATCACGGAATTGCTCTGCATGCACTGCAGGGGAATGGGGCTCATCTCGCCTCTAGAGGGAAGTCTCATGGTTTTTCTCGAGTTGCGGCGGGAACCTGGGGTATGTTCTCGACTTACGGCGGGGATGGCCCTTCAAAACACGAGTTTCTTCAGTGACGTCAGGACTGCTGTCTAGTAAAGAGGGACACCTCAGAAATCTCTTCGAGGCTTGGCAGGGCAAAAGGGACGCTTCTCGAGGTGAGGCAGGGCACCCAAGGACTCTTTCCAGTAGCCACAGGGATTTTGGGATTCCTGTCAGTATTCAAGATGAGTCAGGCTTCGTCACCTTTTGAAGCAATGAACTCTGCGTGCCTCTCGAGGTGTCAGCGGGATGTGAGGCATTCCGTCAAAAGGAGGCAGGGACCTAGGGCTTTCTCTAAGGTCTCCACAGGGGATTCAGACATCCCTTCATGTTGTGAGATGAAAAATGAGCCTGTATTCAAGCCACTGCAAGGAAATCCGGCCTCCTTTCCAGTTAGGGCTTCTCGCTGTATATTCCCCTTGAGGCAGCAAACTCGGGGTCCCTCCCACATACCAATTGCTGAGAGAAGCCTCCTCCTGAGGTGCTTCTGGAAAGTTGGCATACGTCTTGAGCCTAAGCCAGGGAATCAGCTCTCATCTCGAGACGATTTGTGGTACACGGAGCATTCCTCGAGTTGCTGTGCTGAAGTTGGTGTTCCTCTAGACTTGGGACAGTGTTCTCGGGGCATCTCTGGAGTTTCCTGAAGGAAATCGAGCCACCGGTCGTGTTGAATGGGGAACGGGGAATGGCTCTGGAGTCAATGCAGGGGAATCGGGCCTCATCTCGAGTTGATTTGTGGCACATGGAGCTGCTTTGCGTTGCTGGGGTGACCTCAGGGTCCGTCTAGACTGGTGACAGTGTTCTCGGGGACTCTCTCGAGATCCATTAAGCAAGTCGAAGCTCCTGACTTGTTTGAATGGGATCACGGAATAGCTCTGCATGCACTGCAGGGGAATGGGGCCTCATCTCGCCTCTAGGGGGAAGGCTCATGGTTTTTCTCGAGTTGCGGCGGGGACCTGGGGTATGTTCTCGACTTACGGCTGGGATGGCCCTTCAAAACACGAGTTTCTTCAGTGACGTCAGGACTCCTGTCTAGTAACGAGGGACACCTCAGGAATCTCTTCGAGGCTTGGCAGGGCAAAAGGGACGCTTCTCGAGGTGAGGCAGGGCACCCAAGGACCCTTTCCAGTAGCCACAGGGATTTTGGGATTCCTGTCAGTATTCAAGAGGAGTCAGGCATCGTCACTTTTTGAACAATGAACTCCGCGTGCCTCTCGAGGTGTCAGCGGGATGTGAGGCATTCCGTCAAAAGGAGGCAGGGACCTAGGGCTTTCCCTAAGGTCTCCACAGGGGATTCAGACATCCCTTCATGTTGTGAGATGAAAGAGGAGCCTGTATTCAAGCCACTGCAAGGAAATCCGGCCTCCTTTCAAGTTAGGGCTTCTCGCTGTATATTCCCCTTGAGGCAGCAAACTCGGGGTCCCTCCCACATACCTATTGCTGAGAGAAGCCTCCTCCTGAGGTGCTTCTGGAAAGTTGGCATACGTCTTGAGCCTAAGCCAGGGAATCAGCTCTCATCTCGAGACGATTTGAGGTACACGGAGCATTCCTCGAGTTGCTGTGCTGAAGTTGGTGTTCCTCTAGACTTGGGACAGTGTTCTCGGGGCATCTCTGGAGTTGCCTGAAGGAAGTCGAGCCACCGGTCGTGTTGAATGGGGAACGGGGAATGGCTCTGGAGTCAATGCAGGGGAATCGGGCCTCATCTCGAGTTGATTTGGGGCACATGGAGCTGCTTTGCGTTGCTGGGGTGACCTCAGGGTCCGCCTAGACTGGTGACAGTGTTCTTGGGGACTGTCTCGAGATCCATTAAGCAAGTCGAAGCTCCTGACTTGTTTGAATGGGATTACGGAATAGCTCTGCATGCATTGAAGGGGAATGGGGCCTCATCTCGCCTCTAGGGGGAAGGCTCATGGTTTTTCTCGAGTTGCGGCGGGGACCTGGGTATGTTCTCGACTTACGGCGGGGATGGCCCTTCAAAACACGAGTTTCTTCAGTGACGTCAGGACTCCTGTCTAGTAACGAGGGACACCTCAGGAATCTCTTCGAGGCTTGGCAGGGCAAAAGGGACGCTTCTCGAGGTGAGGCAGGGCACCCAAGGACCCTTTCCAGTAGCCACAGGGATTTTGGGATTCCTGTCAGTATTCAAGAGGAGTCAGGCATCGTCACCTTTTGAAGCAATGAACTCCGCGTGCCTCTCGAGGTGTCAGCGGGATGTGAGGCATTCCGTCAAAAGGAGGCAGGGACCTAGGGCCTTTTCTAAGGTCTCCACAGGGGATTCAGACATCCCTTCATGTTGTGATATGAAAGACGAGCCTGTATTCAAGCCACTGCAAGGAAATCCGCCCTGCTTTCAAGTTAGGGCTTCTTGCTGTATAACCCTTGAGGCAGCAAACTTGAGGTCCCTCCCACATACCTATTGCTGAGATAAGCCTCATCCTGAAGTGCTTCTGGAAAGTTGGCATACCTCTTGAGCCTAAGCCACGGAATCAGCTCTCATCTCGAGAAGATTTGGGATACACGGAGCATTCCTCGAGTTGCTGTGCTGAAGTTGGTGTTCCTCTAGCCTTGGGACAGTGTTCTCGGGGCATCTCTGGAGTTGCCTGAATGAAGTCGAACCACCGGTCGTGTAGAATGGGGAACGGGGAATGGCTCTGGAGTCAATGCAGGGGAATCGGGCCTCATCTCGAGTTGATTTGGGGCACATGGAGCTGCTTTGCCTTGTGGGGTGACCTCAGGGTCCGTCTAGACTGGTGACAGTGTTCTCGGGGACTGTCTCGAGATCCATTAAGGAAATCGAAGCTCCTGACTTGTTTGAATGGGATCACGGAATAGCTCTGCATGCACTGCAGGGGAATGGGGCCTCATCTCGCCTCTAGGGGGAAGTCTCATGGTTTTTCTCGAGTGCGGCGGGGACCTGGGGTATGTTCTCGACTTACGGCGGGGATGGCCCTTCCAAACACGAGTTTCTTCAGTGACGTCAGGACTCCTGTCTAGTAACGAGGGACACCTCAGGAAACTCTTCGAGGCTTGGCAGGGCAAAAGGGACGCTTCTCGAGGTGAGGCAGGGCACCCAAGGACCCTTTCCAGTAGCCACAGGGATTTTGGGATTCCTGTCAGTATTCAAGAGGAGTCAGGCATCGTCATTTTTGAAGCAATGAACTCCGCGTGCCTCTCGAGGTGTCAGCGGGATGTGAGGCATTCCGTCAAAAGGAGGCAGGGACCTAGGGCTTTCTCTAAGGTCTCCACAGGGGATTCAGACATCCCTTCATGTTGTGAGATGAAAGAGGAGCCTCTATTCAAGCCACTGCAAGGAAATCCGGCCTCCTTTCCAGTTAGGGCTTCTCGCTGTATATTCCCCTTGAGGCAGCAAACTCGGGGTCCCTCCCACATACCTATTGCTGAGAGAAGCCTCCTCCTGAGGTGCTTCTGGAAAGTTGGCATACGTCTTGAGCCTAAGCCAGGGAATCAGCTCTCATCTCGAGACGATTTGTGGTACATGGAGCATTCCTCGAGTTGCTGTGCTGAAGTTGGTGTTCCTCTAGACTTGGGACAGTGTTCTCGGGGCATCTCTGGAGTTGCCTGAAGGAAGTCGAGCCACCGGTCGTGTTGAATGGGGAACGGGGAATGGCTCTGGAGTCAATGCAGGGGAATCGGGCCTCATCTCGAGTTGATTTGGGGCACATGGAGCTGCTTTGCGTTGCTGGGGTGACCTCAGGGTCCGTCTAGACTGGTGACAGTGTTCTTGGGGTCTCTCTCGAGATCCATTAAGCAAGTCGAAGCTCCTGACTTGTTTGAATGGGATCACGGAATAGCTCTGCATGCACTGCAGGGGAATGGGGCCTCATCTCGCCTCTAGGGGGAAGTCTCATGATTTTTCTCGAGTTGCGGCGAGGACCTGGGGTATGTTCTCGACTTACGGCGGGGATGGCCCTTCAAAACACGAGTTTCTTCAGGGACGTCAGGACTCCTGTCTAGTAACGAGGGACACCTCAGGAATCTCTTCGAGGCTTGGCAGGGCAAAAGGGACACTTCTCGAGGTGAGGCAGGGCACCCAAGGACCCTTTCCAGTAGCCACAGGGATTTTGGGATTCCTATCAGTATTCAAGAGGAGTCAGGCATCGTCACCTTTTGAAGCAATGAACTCCGCGTGCCTCTCGAGGTGTCAGCGGGATGTGAGGCATTCCGTCAAAAGGAGGCAGGGACCTAGGGCTTTCTCTAAGGTCTCCACAGGGGATTCAGTCATCCCTTCATGTTGTGAGATGAAAGACGAGCCTGTATTCAAGCCACTGCAAGGAAATCCGGCCTCCTTTCAAGTTACGGCTTCTCGCTGTATATTCCCCTTGAGGCAGCAAACTCTGGGTCCCTCCCACATACCTATTGCTGAGAGAAGCCTCCTCCTGAGGTGCTTCTGGAAAGTTGGCATACGTCTTGAGCCTAAGCCAGGGAATCAGCTCTCATCTCGAGACGATTTGGGGTACACGGAGCATTCCTTGAGTTGCTGTGCTGAAGTTGGTGTTCCTCTAGACTTGGGACAGTGTTCTCGGGGCATCTCTGGTTTGCCTGAAGGAAGTCGAGCCACCGGTCATGTTGAATGGGGAACGGGGAATGGCTCTGGAGTCAATGCAGGGGAATCGGGCCTCATCTCGATTTGATTTGGGGCACATGGAGCTGCTTTTCGTTGCTGGGGTGACCTCAGGGTCCGTCTAGACTGGTGACAGTGTTCTTGGGGACTGTCTCGAGATCCATTAAGGAAGTCGAAGCTCCTGACTTGTTTGAATGGGATCACGGAATAGCTCTGCATGCACTGCAGGGGAATGGGGCCTCATCTCGCCTCTAGGGGGAAGTCTCATGGTTTTTCTCGAGTTGCGGCGGGGACCTGGGGTATGTTCTCGACTTAAGGCGGGGATGGCCCTTCAAAACACGAGTTACCTCAGTGACGTCAGGACTCCTGTCTAGTAACGAGGGACACCTCAGGAATCTCTTCGAAGCTTGGCAGGGCAAAAGGGACGCTTCTCGAGGTGAGGCAGGGCACCCAAGGACCCTTTCCAGTAGCCACAGGGATTTTGGGATTCCTATCAGTATTCAAGAGGAGTCAGGCATCGTCACCTTTTGAAGCAATGAACTCCGCATGCCTCTCGAGGTGTCAGCGGGATGTGAGGCATTCCGTCAAAAGGAGGCAGAGACCTAGGGCTTTCCCTAAGGTCTCCACAGGGGATTCAGACATCCCTTCATGTTGCCAGATGAAAGACGAGCCCGTATTCAAGCCACTGCAGGAAATCCTGCCTCCTTTCCAGTTAGGGCTTCTGGCTGTATATTCCCCTTGAGGCAGCAAACTCGTGGTCCCTCCCACTTACCTATTGCTGAGAGAAGCCTCCTCCTGAGGTGCTTCTGGAAAGTTGGCATACGTCTTGAACCTAAGCCAGGGAATCAGCTCTCATCTCGAGACGATTTGGGGTATACAGAGCATTCCTCGAGTTGCTGTGCTGAAGTTGGTGTTCCTCTAGCCTTAGGACAGTGTTCTCGGGGCATCTCTGGAGTTGCCTGAAGGAAGTCGAGCCACCGGTCGTGTTGAATGGGGAACGGGGAATGGCTCTGGAGTCAATGCAGGGGAATCGGGCATCATCTCGAGTTGATTTGGGGCACATGGAGCTGCTTTGCGTTGCTGGGGTGACCTCAGGGTCCGTCTAGACTGGTCACAGTGTTCTTGGGGACTGTCTCGAGATCCATTAAGCAAGTCGAAGCTCCTGACTTGTTTGAATGGGATCACGGAATTGCTCTGCATGCACTGCAGGGGAATGGGGCCTCATCTCGCCTCTAGAGGGAAGTCTCATGGTTTTTCTCGAGTTGCGGCGGGGACCTGGGGTATGTTCTCGACTTACGGCGGGGATGGCCCTTCAAAACACGAGTTTCTTCAGTGACGTCAGGACTCCTGTCTAGTAACGAGGGACACCTCAGAAATCTCTTCGAGGGTTGGCAGGGCAAAAGGGACGCTTCTCGAGGTGAGGCAGGGCACCCAAGGACTCTTTCCAGTAGCCACAGGGATTTTGGGATTCCTGTCAGTATTCAAGATGAGTCAGGCATCGTCACCTTTTGAAGCAATGAACTCCGCGTGCCGCTCGAGGTGTCAGCGGGATGTGAGGCATTCCGTCAAAAGGAGGCAGGGACCTAGGGCTTTCTCTAAGGTCTCCACAGGGGATTCTGATATCCCTTCATGTTGTGAGATGAAAAATGAGCCTGTATTCAAGCCACTGCAAGGAAATCCGGCCTCCTTTCCAGTTAGGGCTTCTCGCTGTATATTCCCCTTGAGGCAGCAAACTCGGGGTCCCTCCCACATACCAATTGCTGAGAGAAGCCTCCTCCTGAGGTGCTTCTGGAAAGTTGGCATACGTCTTGAGCCTAAGCCAGGGAATCAGCTCTCATCTCGAGACGATTTGTGGTACACGGAGCATTCCTCGAGTTGCTGTGCTGAAGTTGGTGTTCCTCTAGACTTGGGACAGTGTTCTCGCGGCATCTCTGAAGTTTCCTGAAGGAAGTCGAGCCACCGGTCGTGTTGAATGGGGAAAGGGGAATGGCTCTGGAGTCAATGCAGGGGAATCGGGCCTCATCTCGAGTTGATTTGGGGCACATGGAGCTGCTTTGCGTTGCTGGGGTTACCTCAGGGTCCGTCTAGACTGGTGACAGTGTTCTTGGGGACTGTCTCGAGATCCATTAAGCAAGTCGATGTTCCTGACTTGTTTGAATGGGATCACGGAATAGCTCTGCATGCACTGCAGGGGAATGGGGCCTCATCTCGCCTCTAGGGGGAAGTCTCATGGTTTTTCTCGAGTTGCGGCGGGGACCTGGGGTATGTTCTCGACTTACGGCGGGGATGGCCCTTCAAAACACGAGTTTCTTCAGTGACGTCAGGACTCCTGTCTAGTAACGAGGGACACCTCAGGAATCTCTTCAAGGCTTGGCAGGGCAAAAGGGACGCTTCTCGAGGTGAGGCAGGGCACCTAAGGACCCTTTCCAGTAGCCACAGGGATTTTGGGATTCCTGTCAGTATTCAAGAGGAGTCAGGCATCGTCACTTTTTGAAGCAATGAACTCCGCGTGCCTCTCGAGGTGTCAGCGGGATGTGAGGCATTCCGTCAAAATGAGGCAGGGACCTAGGGCCTTTTCTAAGGTCTCCACAGGGGATTCAGACATCCCTTCATGTTGTGATATGAAAGACGAGCCTGTATTCAAGCCACTGCAAGGAAATCCGGCCTGCTTTCAAGTTAGGGCTTCTTGCTGTATACCCCTTGAGGCAGCAAACTCGGGGTCCCTCCCACATACCTATTGCTGAGATAAGCCTCATCCTGAAGTGCTTCTGGAAAGTTGGCATACGTCTTGAGCCTAAGCCAGGGAATCAGCTCTCATCTCGAGAAGATTTGGGATACACGGAGCATTCCTCGAGTTGCTGTGCTGAAGTTGGTGTTCCTCTAGCCTTAGGACAGTGTTCTCGGGGCATCTCTGGAGTTGCCTGAAGGAAGTCGAGCCACCGGTCGTGTGGAATGGGGAACGGGGAATGGCTCTGGAGTCAATGCAGGGGAATCGGGCATCATCTCGAGTTGATTTGGGGCACATGGAGCTGCTTTGCGTTGCTGGGGTGACCTCAGGGTCCGTCTAGACTGGTGACAGTGTTCTTGGGGACTGTCTCGAGATCCATTAAGCAAGTCGAAGCTCCTGACTTGTTTGAATGGGATCACGGAATTGCTCTGCATGCACTGCAGGGAAATGGGGCCTCATCTCGCCTCTAGGGGGAAGTCTCATGGTTTTTCTCGAGTTGCGGCGGGGTCCTGGGGTATGTTCTCGACTTACGGCGGGGATGGCCCTTCAAAACACGAGTTTCTTCAGTGACGTCAGGACTCCTGTCTAGTAACGAGGGACACCTCAGGAATCTCTTCAAGGCTTGGCAGGGCAAAAGGGACGCTTCTCGAGGTGAGGCAGGGCACCCAAGGACCCTTTCTAGTAGCCACAGGGATTTTGGGATTCCTGTCAGTATTCAAGAGGAGTCAGGCATCGTCACTTTTTGAAGCAATGAACTCCGCGTGCCTCTCGAGGTGTCAGCGGGATGTGAGGCATTCCGTCAAAAGGAGGCAGGGACCTAGGGCTTTCTCTAAGGTCTCCTCAGGGGATTCAGACATCCCTTCATGTTGTGAGATGAAAGAGGAGCCTGTATTCAAGCCACTGCAAGGAAATCCGGCCTCCTTTCAAGTTAGGGCTTCTCGCTGTATATTCCCCTTGAGGCAGCAAACTCGGGGTCCCTCCCACATACCTATTGCTGAGAGAAGCCTCCTCCTGAGGTGCTTCTGGAAAGTTGGCATACGTCTTGAGCCTAAGCCAGGGAATCAGCTCTCATCTCGAGACGATTTGAGATACACGGAGCATTCCTCGAGTTGCTGTGCTGAAGTTGGTGTTCCTCTAGACTTGGGACAGTGTTCTCGGGGCATCTCTGGAGTTGCCTGAAGGAAGTCGAGCCACCGGTCGTGTTGAATGGGGAACGGGGAATGGCTCTGGAGTCAATGCAGGGAAATCGGGCCTCATCTAGAGTTGATTTGGGGCACATGGAGCTGCTTTGCGTTGCTGGGGTGACCTCAGGGTCCGTCTAGACTGGTGACAGTGTTCTTGGGGACTGTCTCGAGATCCATTAAGCAAGTCGAAGCTCCTGACTTGTTTGAATGGGATCACGGAATAGCTCTGCATGCACTGCAGCGGAATGGGGCCTCATCTCGCCTCTAGGGGGAAGTCTCATGGTTTTTCTCGAGTTGCGGCGGGGACCTGGGGTATGTTCTCGACTTACGGCGGGGATGGCCCTTCAAAACACGAGTTTCTTCAGTGACGTCAGGACTCCTGTCTAGTAACGAGGGACACCTCAGGAATCTCTTCGAGGCTTGGCAGGGCAAAAGGGACGCTTCTCGAGGTGAGGCAGGGCACCCAAGGACCCTTTCCAGTAGCCACAGGGATTTTGGGATTCCTGTCAGTATTCAAGAGGAGTCAGGCATCGTCACCTTTTGAAGCAATGAACTCCGCGTGCCTCTCGAGGTGTCAACGGGATGTGAGGCATTCCGTCAAAAGGAGGCAGGGACCTAGGGCTTTCTCTAAGGTCTCCACAGGGGATTCAGACATCCCTTCATGTTTTGAGATGAAAAATGAGCCTGTATTCAAGCCACTGCAAGGAAATCCGGACTCCTTTCCAGTTAGGGCTTCTCGCTGTATATTCCCCTTGAGGCAGCAAACTCGGGGTCCCTCCCACATACCAATTGCTGAGAGAAGCCTCCTCCTGAGGTGCTTCTGGAAAGTTGGCATACGTCTTGAACCTAAGCCAAGGAATCAGCTCTCATCTCGAGACGATTTGGGGTACACGGAGCATTCCTCGAGTTGCTGTGCTGAAGTTGGTGTTCCTCTAGACTTGGGACAGTGTTCTCGGGGCATCTCTCGAGTTGCCTGAAGGAAGTCTAGCGACCGGTCATGTTGAATGGGGAATTCGGAATGGCTCTGGCGTCAATGCAGGGGAATCGGGCCTCATCTCGAGTTGATTTGGGGCACATGGAGCTGCTTTGCGTTGCTGGGGTGACCTCAGGGTCCGTCTAGACTGGTGACAGTGTTCTTGGGGACTGTCTCGAGATCCATTAAGCAAGTCGAAGCTCCTGACTTGTTTGAATGGGATCACGGAATAGCTCTGCATGCACTGCAGGGGAATGGGGCCTCATCTCGCCTCTAGGGGGAAGTCTCATGGTTTTTCTCGAGTTGCGGCGGGGACCTGGGGTATGTTCTCGACTTACGGCGGGGATGGCCCTTCAAAACACGAGTTTCTTCAGTGACGTCAGGACTCCTGTCTAGTAACGAGGGACACCTCAGGAATCTCTTCGAGGCTTGGCAGGGCAAAAGGGACGCTTCTCGAGGTGAGGCAGGGCACCCAAGAACCCTTTCCAGTAGCCACAGGGATTTTGGGATTCCTGTCAGTATTCAAGAGGAGTCAGGCATCGTCACCTTTTGAAGCAATGAACTCCGCGTGCCTCTCGAGGTGTCAGCGGGATGTGAGGCATTCCGTCAAAAGGAGGCAGAGACCTAGGGCTTTCCCTAAGGTCTCCACAGGGGATTCAGACATCCCTTCATGTTGCCAGATGAAAGACGAGCCCGTATTCAAGCCACTGCAGGAAATCCGGCCTCCTTTCCAGTTAGGGCTTCTGGCTGTATATTCCCCTTGAGGCAGCAAACTCGTGGTCCTTCCCACTTACCAAATGCTGAGAGAAGTCTCCTCCTGAGGTGCTTCTGGAAAGTTGGCATACGTCTTGAGCCTAAGCCAGGGAATCAGCTCTCATCTCGAGACGATTTGAGGTACACGGAGCATTCCTCGAGTTGCTGTGCTGAAGTTGGTGTTCCGCTAGACTTCGACAGTGTTCTCGGGGCATCTCTGGAGTTGCCTGAAGGAAGTCGAGCCACCGGTCGTGTTGAATGGGGAACGGGGAAGGGCTCTGGAGTCAATGCAGGGGAATCGGGCCTCATCTCGAGTTGATTTGGGGCACATGGAGCTGCTTTGCGTTGCTGGGGTGACCTCAGGGTCCGTCTGACTGGTGACAGTGTTCTTGGGGTCTGTCTCGAGATCCATTAAGCAAGTCGAAGCTCCTGACTTGTTTGAATGGGATCACGGAATAGCTCTGCATGCACTGCAGGGGAATGGGGCCTCATCTCGCCTCTAGGGGGAAGTCTCATGGTTTTTCTCGAGTTGCGGCGGGGACCTGGGGTATGTTCTCGACTTACGGCGGGGATGGCCCTTCAAAACACGAGTTTCTTCAGTGTCGTCAGGACTCCTGTCTAGTAACGAGGGACACCTCAGGAATCTCTTCGAGGCTTGGCAGGGCAAAAGGGACACTTCTCGAGGTGAGGCAGGGCACCCAAGGACCCTTTCCAGTAGCCACAGGGATTTTGGGATTCCTATCAGTATTCAAGAGGAGTCAGGCATCGTCACCTTTTGAAGCAATGAACTCCGCGTGCCTCTCGATGTGTCAGCGGGATGTGAGGCATTCCCTCAAAAGGAGGCAGGGACCTAGGGCTTTCTCTAAGGTCTCCACAGGGGATTCAGACATCCCTTCATGTTGTGAGATGAAAGAGGAGCCTGTATTCAAGCCACTGCAAGGAAATCCGGCCTCCTTTCAAGTTAGGGCTTCTCGCTGTATATTCCCCTTGAGGCAGCAAACTCGGGGTCCCTCCCACATACCTATTGCTGAGAGAAGCCTCCTCCTGAGGTGCTTCTGGAAAGTTGGCATACGTCTTGAGCCTAAGCCAGGGAATCAGCTCTCATCTCGAGATGATTTGAGGTACACGGAGCATTCCTCGAGTTGCTGTGCTGAAGTTGGTGTTCCTCTAGACTTGGGACAGTGTTCTCGGGGCATCTCTGGAGTTCCCTGAAGGAAGTCGAGCCACCGGTCGTGTTGAATGGGGAACGGGGAATGGCTCTGGAGTCAATGCAGGGGAATCGGGCCTCATCTCGAGTTGATTTGGGGCACATGGAGCTGCTTTGCGTTGCTGGGGTGACCTCAGGGTCCGCCTAGACTGGTGACAGTGTTCTTGGGGACTGTCTCGAGATCCATTAAGCAAGTCGAAGCTCCTGACTTGTTTGAATGGGATTACGGAATAGCTCTGCATGCATTGAAGGGGAATGGGGCCTCATCTCGCCTCTAGGGGGAAGGCTCATGGTTTTTCTCGAGTTGCGGCGGGGACCTGGGTATGTTCTCGACTTACGGCGGGGATGGCCCTTCAAAACACGAGTTTCTTCAGTGACGTCAGGACTCCTGTCTAGTAACGAGGGACACCTCAGGAATCTCTTCGAGGCTTGGCAGGGCAAAAGGGACGCTTCTCGAGGTGAGGCAGGGCACCCAAGGACCCTTTCCAGTAGCCACAGGGATTTTGGGATTCCTGTCAGTATTCAAGAGGAGTCAGGCATCGTCACCTTTTGAAGCAATGAACTCCGCGTGCCTCTCGAGGTGTCAACGGGATGTGAGGCATTCCGTCAAAAGGAGGCAGGGACCTAGGGCTTTCTCTAAGGTCTCCACAGGGGATTCAGACATCCCTTCATGTTTTGAGATGAAAAATGAGCCTGTATTCAAGCCACTGCAAGGAAATCCGGACTCCTTTCCAGTTAGGGCTTTTCGCTGTATATTCCCCTTGAGGCAGCAAACTCGGGGTCCCTCCCACATACCAATTGCTGAGAGAAGCCTCCTCCTGAGGTGCTTCTGGAAAGTTGGCATACGTCTTGAACCTAACCCAAGGAATCAGCTCTCATCTCGAGACGATTTGGGGTACACGGAGCATTCCTCGAGTTGCTGTGCTGAAGTTGGTGTTCCTCTAGACTTGGGACAGTGTTCTCGGGGCATCTCTCGAGTTGCCTGAAGGAAGTCTAGCGACCGGTCATGTTGAATGGGGAATTCGGAATGGCTCTGGCGTCAATGCAGGGGAATCGGGCCTCATCTCGAGTTGATTTGGGGCACATGGAGCTGCTTTGCGTTGCTGGGGTGACCTCAGGGTCCGTCTAGACTGGTGACAGTGTTCTTGGGGACTGTCTCGAGATCCATTAAGCAAGTCGAAGCTCCTGACTTGTTTGAATGGGATCACGGAATAGCTCTGCATGCACTGCAGCGGAATGGGGCCTCATCTCGCCTCTAGGGGGAAGTCTCATGGTTTTTCTCGAGTTGCGGCGGGGACCTGGGGTATGTTCTCGACTTACGGCGGGGATGGCCCTTCAAAACACGAGTTTCTTCAGTGACGTCAGGACTCCTGTCTAGTAACGAGGGACACCTCAGGAATCTCTTCGAGGCTTGGCAGGGCAAAAGGGACGCTTCTCGAGGTGAGGCAGGGCACCCAAGAACCCTTTCCAGTAGCCACAGGGATTTTGGGATTCCTGTCAGTATTCAAGAGGAGTCAGGCATCGTCACCTTTTGAAGCAATGAACTCCGCGTGCCTCTCGAGGTGTCAGCGGGATGTGAGGCATTCCGTCAAAAGGAGGCAGAGACCTAGGGCTTTCCCTAAGGTCTCCACAGGGGATTCAGACATCCCTTCATGTTGCCAGATGAAAGACGAGCCCGTATTCAAGCCACTGCAGGAAATCCGGCCTCCTTTCCAGTTAGGGCTTCTGGCTGTATATTCCCCTTGAGGCAGCAAACTCGTGGTCCCTCCCACTTACCTATTGCTGAGAGAAGCCTCCTCCTGAGGTGCTTCTGGAAAGTTGGCATACGTCTTGAGCCTAAGCCAGGGAATCAGCTGTCATCTCGAGACGATTTGTGGTACACGGAGCATTCCTCGAGTTGCTGTGCTGAAGTTGGTGTTCCGCTAGACTTGGACAGTGTTCTCGGGGCATCTCTGGAGTTGCCTGAAGGAAGTCGAGCCACCGGTCGTGTTGAATGGGGAACGGGGAAGGGCTCTGGAGTCAATGCAGGGGAATCGGGCCTCATCTCGAGTTGATTTGGGGCACATGGAGCTGCTTTGCGTTGCTGGGGTGACCTCAGGGTCCGTCTGACTGGTGACAGTGTTCTTGGGGTCTGTCTCGAGATCCATTAAGCAAGTCGAAGCTCCTGACTTGTTTGAATGGGATCACGGAATAGCTCTGCATGCACTGCAGGGGAATGGGGCCTCATCTCGCCTCTAGGGGGAAGTCTCATGGTTTTTCTCGAGTTGCGGCGGGGACCTGGGGTATGTTCTCGACTTACGGCGGGGATGGCCCTTCAAAACACGAGTTTCTTCAGTGACGTCAGGACTCCTGTCTAGTAACGAGGGACACCTCAGGAATCTCTTCGAGGCTTGGCAGGGCAAAAGGGACACTTCTCGAGGTGAGGCAGGGCACCCAAGGACCCTTTCCAGTAGCCACAGGGATTTTGGGATTCCTATCAGTATTCAAGAGGAGTCAGGCATCGTCACCTTTTGAAGCAATGAACTCCGCGTGCCTCTCGATGTGTCAGCGGGATGTGAGGCATTCCCTCAAAAGGAGGCAGGGACCTAGGGCTTTCTCCAAGGTCTCCACAGGGGATTCTGATATCCCTTCATGTTGTGAGATGAAAAATGAGCCTGTATTCAAGCCACTGCAAGGAAATCCGGCCTCCTTTCCAGTTAGGGCTTCTCGCTGTATATTCCCCTTGAGGCAGCAAACTCGGGGTCCCTCCCACATACCAATTGCTGAGAGAAGCCTCCTCCTGAGGTGCTTCTGGAAAGTTGGCATACGTCTTGAGCCTAAGCCAGGGAATCAGCTCTCATCTCGAGACGATTTGTGGTACACGGAGCATTCCTCGAGTTGCTGTGCTGAAGTTGGTGTTCCTCTAGACTTGGGACAGTGTTCTCGGGGCATCTCTGGAGTTTCCTGAAGGAAGTCGAGCCACCGGTCATGTTGAATGGGGACGGGGAATGGCTCTGGAGTCAATGCAGGGGAATCGGGCCTCATCTCGAGTTGATTTGTGGCACATGGAGCTGCTTTGCGTTGCTGGGGTTACCTCAGGTTCCGTCTAGACTGGTGACAGTGTTCTTGGGGACTGTCTCGAGATCCATTAAGCAAGTCGAAGCTCCTGACTTGTTTGAATGGGATCACGGAATAGCTCTGCATGCACTGCAGGGGAATGGGGCCTCATCTCGCTTCTAGGGGGAAGTCTCATGGTTTTTCTCGAGTTGCGGCGGGGACCTGGGGTATGTTCTCGACTTACGGCGGGGATGGCCCTTCAAAACACGAGTTTCTTCATTGACGTCAGGACTCCTGTCTAGTAACGAGGGACACCTCAGGAATCTCTTCGAGGCTTGGCAGGGCAAAAGGGACGCTTCTCGAGGTGAGGCAGGGCACCCAAGGACCCTTTCCAGTAGCCACAGGGATTTTGGGATTCCTGTCAGTATTCAAGAGGAGTCAGGCATCGTCACTTTTTGAAGCAATGAACTCCGCGTGCCTCTCGAGGTTTCAGCGGGATGTGAGGCATTCCGTCAAAAGGAGGCAGGGACCTAGGGCTTTCTCTAAGGTCTCCACAGGGGATTCAGACATCCCTTCATGTTGTGAGATGAAAGAGGAGCCTGTATTCAAGCCACTGCAAGGAAATCCGGCCTCCTTTCAAGTTAGGGCTTCTCGCTGTATATTCCCCTTGAGGCAGCAAACTCGGGGTCCCTCCCACATACCTATTGCTGAGAGAAGCCTCCTCCTGAGGTGCTTCTGGAAAGTTGGCATACGTCTTGAGCCTAAGCCAGGGAATCAGCTCTCATCTCGAGATGATTTGATGTACACGGAGCATTCCTCGAGTTGCTGTGCTGAAGTTGGTGTTCCTCTAGACTTGGGACAGTGTTCTCGGGGCATCTCTGGAGTTCCCTGAAGGAAGTCGAGCCACCGGTCGTGTTGAATGGGGAACGGGGAATGGCTCTGGAGTCAATGCAGGGGAATCGGGCCTCATCTCGAGTTGATTTGGGGCACATGGAGCTGCTTTGCGTTGCTGGGGTGACCTCAGGGTCCGTCTAGACTGGTGACAGTGTTCTTGGGGACTGTCTCGAGATCCATTAAGCAAGTCGAAGCTCCTGACTTGTTTGAATGGGATTACGGAATAGCTCTGCATGCATTGAAGGGGAATGGGGCCTCATCTCGCCTCTAGGGGGAAAGCTCATGGTTTTTCTCGAGGTGCGGCGGGTACCTGGGTATGTTCTCGACTTACGGCGGGGATGGCCCTTCAAAACACGAGTTTCTTCAGTGACGTCAGGACTCCTGTCTAGTAACGAGGGACACCTCAGGAATCTCTTCGAGGCTTGGCAGGGTAAAAGGGACACTTCTCGAGGTGAGGCAGGGCACCCAAGGACCCTTTCCAGTAGCCACAGGGATTTTGGGATTCCTGTCAGTATTCAAGAGGAGTCAGGCATCGTCACCTTTTGAAGCAATGAACTCCGCGTGCCTCTCGAGGTGTCAGTGGGATGTGAGGCCTTCCGTCGAAATGAGGCAGGGACCTAGGGCTTTCTCTAAGGTCTCCACAGGGGATTCAGTCATCCCTTCATGTTGTGAGATGAAAGACGAGCCTGTATTCAAGCCACTGCAAGGAAATCCGGCCTCCTTTCAAGTTAGGGCTTCTCGCTGTATATTCCCCTTGAGGCAGCAAACTCTGGGTCCCTCCCACATACCAATTGCTGAGAGAAGCCTCCTCCTGAGGTGCTTCTGGAAAGTTGGCATACGTCTTGAGCCTAAGCCAGGGAATCAGCTCTCATCTCGAGACGATTTGGGGTACACGGAGCATTCCTCGAGTTGCTGTGCTGAAGTTGGTGTTCCTCTAAACTTGGGACAGTGTTCTCGGGGCATCTCTGGTTTGCCTGAAGGAAGTCGAGCCACCGGTCATGTTGAATGGGGAACGGGGAATGGCTCTGGAGTCAATGCAGGGGAATCGGGCCTCATCTCGAGTTGATTTGGGGCACATGGAGCTGCTTTGCGTTGCTGGGGTGACCTCAGGGTCCGCCTAGACTGGTGACAGTGTTCTTGGGGACTGTCTCGAGATCCATTAAGCAAGTCGAAGCTCCTGACTTGTTTGAATGGGATCACGGAATAGCTCTGCATGCACTGCAGGGGAATGGGGCCTCATCTCGCCTCTAGGGGGAAGTCTCATGGTTTTTCTCGAGTTGCGGCGGGGACCTGGGGTATGTTCTCGACTTACGGCGGGGATGGCCCTTCAAAACACGAGTTTCTTCAGTGACGTCAGGACTCCTGTCTAGTAACGAGGGACACCTCAGGAATCTCTTCAAGGCTTGGCAGGGCAAAAGGGACGCTTCTCGATGTGAGGCAGGGCACCCAAGGACCCTTTCCAGTAGCCACAGGGATTTTGGGATTCCTGTCAGTATTCAAGAGGAGTCAGGCATCGTCACTTTTTGAAGCAATGAACTCCGCGTGCCTCTCGAGGTGTCAGCGGGATGTGAGGCATTCCGTCAAAATGAGGCAGGGACCTAGGGCCTTTTCTAAGGTCTCCACAGGGGATTCAGACATCCCTTCATGTTGTGATATGAAAGACGAGCCTGTATTCAAGCCACTGCAAGGAAATCCGGCCTGCTTTCAAGTTAGGGCTTCTTGCTGTATACCCCTTGAGGCAGCAAACTCGGGGTCCCTCCCACATACCTATTGCTGAGATAAGCCTCATCCTGAAGTGCTTCTGGAAAGTTGTCATACGTCTTGAGCCTAAGCCAGGGAATCAGCTCTCATCTCGAGAAGATTTGGGATACACGGAGCATTCCTCGAGTTGCTGTGCTGAAGTTGGTGTTCCTCTAGCCTTAGGACAGTGTTCTCGGGGCATCTCTGGAGTTGCCTGAAGGAAGTCGAGCCACCGGTCGTGTGGAATGGGGAACGGGGAATGGCTCTGGAGTCAATGCAGGGGAATCGGGCATCATCTCGAGTTGATTTGGGGCACATGGAGCTGCTTTGCGTTGCTGGGGTGACCTCAGGGTCCGTCTAGACTGGTGACAGTGTTCTTGGGGACTGTCTCGAGATCCATTAAGCAAGTCGAAGCTCCTGACTTGTTTGAATGGGATCACGGAATTGCTCTGCATGCACTGCAGGGGAATGGGGCCTCATCTCGCCTCTAGAGGGAAGTCTCATGGTTTTTCTCGAGTTGCGGCGGGGACCTGGGGTATGTTCTCGACTTACGGCGGGGATGGCCCTTCAAAACACGAGTTTCTTCAGTGACGTCAGGACTCCTGTCTAGTAACGAGGGACACCTCAGAAATCTCTTCGAGGGTTGGCAGGGCAAAAGGGACGCTTCTCGAGGTGAGGCAGGGCACCCAAGGACTCTTTCCAGTAGCCATAGGGATTTTGGGATTCCTGTCAGTATTCAAGATGAGTCAGGCATCGTCACCTTTTGAAGCAATGAACTCCGCGTGCCGCTCGAGGTGTCAGCGGGATGTGAGGCATTCCGTCAAAAGGAGGCAGGGACCTAGGGCTTTCTCTAAGGTCTCCACAGGGAATTCTGATATCCCTTCATGTTGTGAGATGAAAAATGAGCCTGTATTCAAGCCACTGCAAGGAAATCCGGCCTCCTTTCCAGTTAGGGCTTCTCGCTGTATATTCCCCTTGAGGCAGCAAACTCGGGGTCCCTCCCACATACCAATTGCTGAGAGAAGCCTCCTCCTGAGGTGCTTCTGGAAAGTTGGCATACGTCTTGAGCCTAAGCCAGGGAATCAGCTCTCATCTCGAGACGATTTGTGGTACACGGAGCATTCCTCGAGTTGCTGTGCTGAAGTTGGTGTTCCTCTAGACTTGGGACAGTGTTCTCGCGGCATCTCTGGAGTTTCCTGAAGGAAGTCGAGCCACCGGTCGTGTTGAATGGGGAACGGGGAATGGCTCTGGAGTCAATGCAGGGGAATCGGGCCTCATCTCGAGTTGATTTGGGGCACATGGAGCTGCTTTGCGTTGCTGGGGTTACCTCAGGGTCCGTCTAGACTGGTGACAGTGTTCTTGGGGACTGTCTCGAGATCCATTAAGCAAGTCGAAGCTCCTGACTTGTTTGAATGGGATCACGGAATAGCTCTGCATGCACTGCAGGGGAATGGGGCCTCATCTCGCCTCTAGGGGGAAGTCTCATGGTTTTTCTCGAGTTACGGCGGGGACCTGGGGTATGTTCTCGACTTACGGCGGGGATGGCCCTTCAAAACACGAGTTTCTTCAGTGACGTCAGGACTCCTGTCTAGTAACGAGGGACACCTCAGGAATCTCTTCAAGGCTTGGCAGGGCAAAAGGGACGCTTCTCGAGGTGAGGCAGGGCACCCAAGGACCCTTTCCAGTAGCCACAGGGATTTTGGGATTCCTGTCAGTATTCAAGAGGAGTCAGGCATCGTCACCTTTTGAAGCAATGAACTCCGCGTGCCTCTCGAGGTGTCAGCGGGATGTGAGGCATTCCGTCAAAAGGAGGCAGAGACCTAGGGCTTTCCCTAAGGTCTCCACAGGGGATTCAGACATCCCTTCATGTTGCCAGATGAAAGACGAGCCCGTATTCAAGCCACTGCAGGAAATCCGGCCTCCTTTCCAGTTAGGGCTTCTTGCTGTATATTCCCCTTGAGGCAGCAAACTCGTGGTCCCTCCCACTTACCTATTGCTGAGAGAAGCCTCCTCCTGAGGTGCTTCTGGAAAGTTGGCATACGTCTTGAGCCTAAGCCAGGGAATCAGCTGTCATCTCGAGACGATTTGTGGTACACGGAGCATTCCTCGAGTTGCTGTGCTGAAGTTGGTGTTCCGCTAGACTTGGACAGTGTTCTCGGGGCATCTCTGGAGTTGCCTGAAGGAAGTCGAGCCACCGGTCGTGTTGAATGGGGAACGGGGAAGGGCTCTGGAGTCAATGCAGGGGAATCGGGCCTCATCTCGAGTTGATTTGGGGCACATGGCGCTGCTTTGCGTTGCTGGGGTGACCTCAGGGTCCGTCTGACTGGTGACAGTGTTCTTGGGGTCTGTCTCGAGATCCATTAAGCAAGTCGAAGCTCCTGACTTGTTTGAATGGGATCACGGAATAGCTCTGCATGCACTGCAGGGGAATGGGGCCTCATCTCGCCTCTAGGGGGAAGTCTCATGGTTTTTCTCGAGTTGCGGCGGGGACCTGGGGTATGTTCTCGACTTACGGCGGGGATGGCCCTTCAAAACACGAGTTTCTTCAGGGACGTCAGGACTCCTGTCTAGTAACGAGGGACACCTCAGGAATCTCTTCGAGGCTTGGCAGGGCAAAAGGGACACTTCTCGAGGTGAGGCAGGGCACCCAAGGACCCTTTCCAGTAGCCACAGGGATTTTGGGATTCCTATCAGTATTCAAGAGGAGTCAGGCATCGTCACCTTTTGAAGCAATGAACTCCGCGTGCCTCTCGATGTGTCAGCGGGATGTGAGGCATTCCCTCAAAAGGAGGCAGGGACCTAGGGCTTTCTCTAAGGTCTCCACAGGGGATTCTGATATCCCTTCATGTTGTGAGATGAAAAATGAGCCTGTATTCAAGCCACTGCAAGGAAATCCGGCCTCCTTTCCAGTTAGGGCTTCTCGCTGTATATTCCCCTTGAGGCAGCAAACTCGGGGTCCCTCCCACATACCTATTGCTGAGAGAAGCCTCCTCCTGAGGTGCTTCTGGAAAGTTGGCATACGTCTTGAGCCTAAGCCAGGGAATCAGCTCTCATCTCGAGATTATTTGAGGTACACGGAGCATTCCTCGAGTTGCTGTGCTGAAGTTGGTGTTCCTCTAGACTTGGGACAGTGTTCTCGGGGCATCTCTGGAGTTCCCTGAAGGAAGTCGAGCAACCGGTCGTGTTGAATGGGGAACGGGGAATGGCTCTGGAGTCAATGCAGGGGAATCGGGCCTCATCTCGAGTTGATTTGGGGCACATGGAGCTGCTTTGCGTTGCTGGGGTGACCTCAGGGTCCGCCTAGACTGGTGACAGTGTTCTTGGGGACTGTCTCGAGATCCATTAAGCAAGTCGAAGCTCCTGACTTGTTTGAATGGGATTACGGAATAGCTCTGCATGCATTGAAGGGGAATGGGGCCTCATCTCGCCTCTAGGGGGAAAGCTCATGGTTTTTCTCGAGGTGCGGCGGGGACCTGGGTATGTTCTCGACTTACGGCGGGGATGGCCCTTCAAAACACGAGTTTCTTCAGTGACGTCAGGACTCCTGTCTAGTAACGAGGGACACCTCAGGAATCTCTTCGAGGCTTGGCAGGGTAAAAGGGACACTTCTCGAGGTGAGGCAGGGCACCCAAGGACCCTTTCCAGTAGCCACAGGGATTTTGGGATTCCTGTCAGTATTCAAGAGGAGTCAGGCATCGTCACCTTTTGAAGCAATGAACTCCGCGTGCCTCTCGAGGTGTCAGTGGGATGTGAGGCCTTCCGTCGAAATGAGGCAGGGACCTAGGGCTTTCTCTAAGGTCTCCACAGGGGATTCAGTCATCCCTTCATGTTGTAAGATGAAAGACGAGCCTGTATTCAAGCCACTGCAAGGAAATCCGGCCTCCTTTCAAGTTAGGGCTTCTCGCTGTATATTCCCCTTGAGGCAGCAAACTCTGGGTCCCTCCCACATACCAATTGCTGAGAGAAGCCTCCTCCTGAGGTGCTTCTGGAAAGTTGGCATACGTCTTGAGCCTAAGCCAGGGAATCAGCTCTCATCTCGAGACGATTTGGGGTACACGGAGCATTCCTCGAGTTGCTGTGCTGAAGTTGGTGTTCCTCTAAACTTGGGACAGTGTTCTCGGGGCATCTCTGGTTTGCCTGAAGGAAGTCGAGCCACCGGTCATGTTGAATGGGGAACGGGGAATGGCTCTGGAGTCAATGCAGGGGAATCGGGCCTCATCTCGAGTTGATTTGGGGCACATGGAGCTGCTTTGCGTTGCTGGGGTGACCTCAGGGTCCGCCTAGACTGGTGACAGTGTTCTTGGGGACTGTCTCGAGATCCATTAAGCAAGTCGAAGCTCCTGACTTGTTTGAATGGGATCACGGAATAGCTCTGCATGCACTGCAGGGGAATTGGGCCACATCTCGCCTCTAGGGGGAAGTCTCATTGTTTTTCTCGAGTTGCGGCGGGGACCTGGGGTATGTTCTCGACTTACGGCGGGGATGGCCCTTCAAAACACGAGTTTCTTCAGTGACGTCAGGACTCCTCTCTAGTAACGTGGGACACCTCAGGAATCTCTTCAAGGCTTGGCAGGGCAAAAGGGACGCTTCTCGAGGTGAGGCAGGGCACCCAAGGACCCTTTCCAGTAGCCACAGGGATTTTGGGATTCCTGTCAGTATTCAAGAGGAGTCAGGCATCGTCACTTTTTGAAGCAATGAACTCCGCGTGCCTCTCGAGGTGTCAGCGGGATGTGAGGCATTCCGTCAAAATGAGGCAGGGACCTAGGGCCTTTTCTAAGGTCTCCACAGGGGATTCAGACATCCCTTCATGTTGTGATATGAAAGACGAGCCTGTATTCAAGCCACTGCAAGGAAATCCGGCCTGCTTTCAAGTTAGGGCTTCTTGCTGTATACCCCTTGAGGCAGCAAACTCGGGGTCCCTCCCACATACCTATTGCTGAGATAAGCCTCATCCTGAAGTGCTTCTGGAAAGTTGTCATACGTCTTGAGCCTAAGCCAGGGAATCAGCTCTCATCTCGAGAAGATTTGGGATACACGGAGCATTCCTCGAGTTGCTGTGCTGAAGTTGGTGTTCCTCTAGCCTTAGGACAGTGTTCTCGGGGCATCTCTGGAGTTGCCTGAAGGAAGTCGAGCCACCGGTCGTGTGGAATGGGGAACGGGGAATGGCTCTGGAGTCAATGCAGGGGAATCGGGCATCATCTCGAGTTGATTTGGGGCACATGGAGCTGCTTTGCATTGCTGGGGTGACCTCAGGGTCCGTCTAGACTGGTGACAGTGTTCTTGGGGACTGTCTCGAGATCCATTAAGCAAGTCGAAGCTCCTGACTTGTTTGAATGGGATCACGGAATTGCTCTGCATGCACTGCAGGGGAATGGGGCCTCATCTCGCCTCTAGAGGGAAGTCTCATGGTTTTTCTCGAGTTGCGGCGGGGACCTGGGGTATGTTCTCGACTTACGGCGGGGATGGCCCTTCAAAACACGAGTTTCTTCAGTGACGTCAGGACTCCTGTCTAGTAACGATGGACACCTCAGAAATCTCTTCGAGGGTTGGCAGGGCAAAAGGGACGCTTCTCGAGGTGAGGCAGGGCACCCAAGGACTCTTTCCAGTAGCCACAGGGATTTTGGGATTCCTGTCAGTATTCAAGATGAGTCAGGCATCGTCACCTTTTGAAGCAATGAACTCCGCGTGCCGCTCGAGGTGTCAGCGGGATGTGAGGCATTCCGTCAAAAGGAGGCAGGGACCTAGGGCTTTCTCTAAGGTCTCCACAGGGAATTCTGATATCCCTTCATGTTGTGAGATGAAAAATGAGCCTGTATTCAAGCCACTGCAAGGAAATCCGGCCTCCTTTCCAGTTAGGGCTTCTCGCTGTATATTCCCCTTGAGGCAGCAAACTCGGGGTCCCTCCCACATACCAATTGCTGAGAGAAGCCTCCTCCTGAGGTGCTTCTGGAAAGTTGGCATACGTCTTGAGCCTAAGCCAGGGAATCAGCTCTCATCTCGAGACGATTTGTGGTACACGGAGCATTCCTCGAGTTGCTGTGCTGAAGTTGGTGTTCCTCTAGACTTGGGACAGTGTTCTCGCGGCATCTCTGGAGTTTCCTGAAGGAAGTCGAGCCACCGGTCGTGTTGAATGGGGAACGGGGAATGGCTCTGGAGTCAATGCAGGGGAATCGGGCCTCATCTCGAGTTGATTTGGGGCACATGGAGCTGCTTTGCGTTGCTGGGGTTACCTCAGGGTCCGTCTAGACTGGTGACAGTGTTCTTGGGGACTGTCTCGAGATCCATTAAGCAAGTCGAAGCTCCTGACTTGTTTGAATGGGATCACGGAATAGCTCTGCATGCACTGCAGGGGAATGGGGCCTCATCTCGCCTCTAGGGGGAAGTCTCATGGTTTTTCTCGAGTTGCGGCGGGGACCTGGGGTATGTTCTCGACTTACGGCGGGGATGGCCCTTCAAAACACGAGTTTCTTCAGTGACGTCAGGACTCCTGTCTAGTAACGAGGGACACCTCAGGAATCTCTTCAAGGCTTGGCAGGGCAAAAGGGACGCTTCTCGAGGTGAGGCAGGGCACCCAAGGACCCTTTCCAGTAGCCACAGGGATTTTGGGATTCCTGTCAGTATTCAAGAGGAGTCAGGCATCGTCACTTTTTGAAGCAATGAACTCCGCGTGCCTCTCGAGGTGTCAGCGGGATGTGAGGCATTCCGTCAAAAGGAGGCAGGGACCTAGGGCTTTCTCTAAGGTCTCCACAGGGGATTCAGACATCCCTTCATGTTGTGAGATGAAAGAGGAGCCTGTATTCAAGCCACTGCAAGGAAATCCGGCCTCCTTTCAAGTTAGGGCTTCTCGCTGTATATTCCCCTTGAGGCAGCAAACTCGGGGTCCCTCCCACATACCTATTGCTGAGAGAAGCCTCCTCCTGAGGTGCTTCTGGAAAGTTGGCATACGTCTTGAGCCTAAGCCAGGGAATCAGCTCTCATCTCGAGACGATTTGAGATACACGGAGCATTCCTCGAGTTGCTGTGCTGAAGTTGGTGTTCCTCTAGACTTGGGACAGTGTTCTCGGGGCATCTCTGGAGTTGCCTGAAGGAAGTCGAGCCACCGGTCGTGTTGAATGGGGAACGGGGAATGGCTCTGGAGTCAATGCAGGGGAATCGGGCCTCATCTAGAGTTGATTTGGGGCACATGGAGCTGCTTTGCGTTGCTGGGGTGACCTCAGGGTCCGCCTAGACTGGTGACAGTGTTCTTGGGGACTGTCTCGAGATCCATTAAGCAAGTCGAAGCTCCTGACTTGTTTGAATGGGATTACGGAATAGCTCTGCATGCATTGAAGGGGAATGGGGCCTCATCTCGCCTCTAGGGGGAAGGCTCATGGTTTTTCTCGAGTTGCGGCGGGGACCTGGGTATGTTCTCGACTTACGGCGGGGATGGCCCTTCAAAACACGAGTTTCTTCAGTGACGTCAGGACTCCTGTCTAGTAACGAGGGACACCTCAGGAATCTCTTCGAGGCTTGGCAGGGCAAAAGGGACGCTTCTCGAGGTGAGGCAGGGCACCCAAGGACCCTTTCCAGTAGCCACAGGGATTTTGGGATTCCTGTCAGTATTCAAGAGGAGTCAGGCATCGTCACCTTTTGAAGCAATGAACTCCGCGTGCCTCTCGAGGTGTCAACGGGATGTGAGGCATTCCGTCAAAAGGAGGCAGGGACCTAGGGCTTTCTCTAAGGTCTCCACAGGGGATTCAGACATCCCTTCATGTTTTGAGATGAAAAATGAGCCTGTATTCAAGCCACTGCAAGGAAATCCGGACTCCTTTCAAGTTAGGGCTTCTCGCTGTATATTCCCCTTGAGGCAGCAAACTCGGGGTCCCTCCCACATACCAATTGCTGAGAGAAGCCTCCTCCTGAGGTGCTTCTGGAAAGTTGGCATACGTCTTGAACCTAAGCCAAGGAATCAGCTCTCATCTCGAGACGATTTGGGGTACACGGAGCATTCCTCGAGTTGCTGTGCTGAAGTTGGTGTTCCTCTAGACTTGGGACAGTGTTCTCGGGGCATCTCTCGAGTTGCCTGAAGGAAGTCTAGCGACCGGTCATGTTGAATGGGGAATTCGGAATGGCTCTGGCGTCAATGCAGGGGAATCGGGCCTCATCTCGAGTTGATTTGGGGCACATGGAGCTGCTTTGCGTTGCTGGGGTGACCTCAGGGTCCGTCTAGACTGGTGACAGTGTTCTTGGGGACTGTCTCGAGATCCATTAAGCAAGTCGAAGCTCCTGACTTGTTTGAATGGGATCACGGAATAGCTCTGCATGCACTGCAGCGGAATGGGGCCTCATCTCGCCTCTAGGGGGAAGTCTCATGGTTTTTCTCGAGTTGCGGCGGGGACCTGGGGTATGTTCTCGACTTACGGCGGGGATGGCCCTTCAAAACACGAGTTTCTTCAGTGACGTCAGGACTCCTGTCTAGTAACGAGGGACACCTCAGGAATCTCTTCGAGGCTTGGCAGGGCAAAAGGGACGCTTCTCGAGGTGAGGCAGGGCACCCAAGAACCCTTTCCAGTAGCCACAGGGATTTTGGGATTCCTGTCAGTATTCAAGAGGAGTCAGGCATCGTCACCTTTTGAAGCAATGAACTCCGCGTGCCTCTCGAGGTGTCAGCGGGATGTGAGGCATTCCGTCAAAAGGAGGCAGAGACCTAGGGCTTTCCCTAAGGTCTCCACAGGGGATTCAGACATCCCTTCATGTTGCCAGATGAAAGACGAGCCCGTATTCAAGCCACTGCAGGAAATCCGGCCTCCTTTCAAGTTAGGGCTTCTGGCTGTATATTCCCCTTGAGGCAGCAAACTCGTGGTCCCTCCCACTTACCAATTGCTGAGAGAAGTCTCCTCTTGAGGTGCTTCTGGAAAGTTGGCATACGTCTTGAGCCTAAGCCAGGGAATCAGCTGTCATCTCGAGACGATTTGTGGTACACGGAGCATTCCTCGAGTTGCTGTGCTGAAGTTGGTGTTCCTCTAGACTTGGACAGTGTTCTCGGGGCATCTCTGGAGTTGCCTGAAGGAAGTCGAGCCACCGGTCGTGTTGAATGGGGAACGGGGAAGGGCTCTGGAGTCAATGCAGGGGAATCGGGCCTCATCTCGAGTTGATTTGGGGCACATGGAGCTGCTTTGCGTTGCTGGGGTGACCTCAGGGTCCGTCTGACTGGTGACAGTGTTCTTGGGGTCTGTCTCGAGATCCATTAAGCAAGTCGAAGCTCCTGACTTGTTTGAATGGGATCACGGAATAGCTCTGCATGCACTGCAGGGGAATGGGGCCTCATCTCGCCTCTAGGGGGAAGTCTCATGGTTTTTCTCGAGTTGCGGCGGGGACCTGGGGTATGTTCTCGACTTACGGCGGGGATGGCCCTTCAAAACACGAGTTTCTTCAGGGACGTCAGGACTCCTGTCTAGTAACGAGGGACACCTCAGGAATCTCTTCGAGGCTTGGCAGGGCAAAAGGGACACTTCTCGAGGTGAGGCAGGGCACCCAAGGACCCTTTCCAGTAGCCACAGGGATTTTGGGATTCCTATCAGTATTCAAGAGGAGTCAGGCATCGTCACCTTTTGAAGCAATGAACTCCGCGTGCCTCTCGATGTGTCAGCGGGATGTGAGGCATTCCCTCAAAAGGAGGCAGGGACCTAGGGCTTTCTCTAAGGTCTCCACAGGGGATTCTGATATCCCTTCATGTTGTGAGATGAAAAATGAGCCTGTATTCAAGCCACTGCAAGGAAATCCGGCCTCCTTTCCAGTTAGGGCTTCTCGCTGTATATTCCCCTTGAGGCAGCAAACTCGGGGTCCCTCCCACATACCAATTGCTGAGAGAAGCCTCCTCCTGAGGTGCTTCTGGAAAGTTGGCATACGTCTTGAGCCTAAGCCAGGGAATCAGCTCTCATCTCGAGACGATTTGTGGTACACGGAGCATTCCTCGAGTTGCTGTGCTGAAGTTGGTGTTCCTCTAGACTTGGGACAGTGTTCTCGGGGCATCTCTAGAGTTTCCTGAAGGAAGTCGAGCCACCGGTCGTGTTGAATGGGGACGGAGAATGGCTCTGGAGTCAATGCAGGGGAATCGGGCCTCATCTCGAGTTGATTTGTGGCACATGGAGCTGCTTTGCGTTGCTGGGGTTAGCTCAGGTTCCGTCTAGACTGGTGACAGTGTTCTTGGGGACTGTCTCGAGATCCATTAAGCAAGTCGAAGCTCCTGACTTGTTTGAATGGGATCACGGAATAGCTCTGCATGCACTGCAGGGGAATGGGGCCTCATCTCGCCTCTAGGGGGAAGTCTCATGGTTTTTCTCGAGTTGCGGCGGGGACCTGGGGTATGTTCTCGACTTACGGCGGGGATGGCCCTTCAAAACACGAGTTTCTTCATTGACGTCAGGACTCCTGTCTAGTAACGAGGGACACCTCAGGAATCTCTTCGAGGCTTGGCAGGGCAAAAGGGACGCTTCTCGAGGTGAGGCAGGGCACCCAAGGACCCTTTCCAGTAGCCACAGGGATTTTGGGATTCCTGTCAGTATTCAAGAGGAGTCAGGCATCGTCACTTTTTGAAGCAATGAACTCCGCGTGCCTCTCGAGGTGTCAGCGGGATGTGAGGCATTCCGTCAAAAGGAGGCAGGGACCTAGGGCTTTCTCTAAGGTCTCCACAGGGGATTCAGACATCCCTTCATGTTGTGAGATGAAAGAGGAGCCTGTATTCAAGCCACTGCAAGGAAATCCGGCCTCCTTTCAAGTTAGGGCTTCTCGCTGTATATTCCCCTTGAGGCAACAAACTCGGGGTTCCTCCCACATACCAATTGCTGAGAGAAGCCTCCTCCTGAGGTGCTTCTGGAAAGTTGGCATACGTCTTGAACCTCAGCCAAGGAATCAGCTCTCATCTCGAGACGATTTGGGGTACACGGAGCATTCCTCGAGTTGCTGTGCTGAAGTTGGTGTTCCTCTAGACTTGGGACAGTGTTCTCGGGGCATCTCTGGAGTTCCCTGAAGGAAGTCGAGCCACCGGTCGTGTTGAATGGGGAACGGGGAATGGCTCTGAAGTCAATGCAGGGGAATCGGGCCTCATCTCGAGTTGATTTGGGGCACATGGAGCTGCTTTGCGTTGCTGGGGTGACCTCAGGGTCCGCCTAGACTGGTGACAGTGTTCTTGGGGACTGTCTCGAGATCCATTAAGCAAGTCGAAGCTCCTGACTTGTTTGAATGGGATTACGGAATAGCTCTGCATGCATTGAAGGGGAATGGGGCCTCATCTCGCCTCTAGGGGGAAGGCTCATGGTTTTTCTCGAGTTGCGGCGGGGACCTGGGTATGTTCTCGACTTACGGCGGGGATGGCCCTTCAAAACACGAGTTTCTTCAGTGACGTCAGGACTCCTGTCTAGTAACGAGGGACACCTCAGGAATCTCTTCGAGGCTTGGCAGGGCAAAAGGGACGCTTCTCGAGGTGAGGCAGGGCACCCAAGGACCCTTTCCAGTAGCCACAGGGATTTTGGGATTCCTGTCAGTATTCAAGAGGAGTCAGGCATCGTCACCTTTTGAAGCAATGAACTCCGCGTGCCTCTCGAGGTGTCAACGGGATGTGAGGCATTCCGTCAAAAGGAGGCAGGGACCTAGGGCTTTCTCTAAGGTCTCCACAGGGGATTCAGACATCCCTTCATGTTTTGAGATGAAAAATGAGCCTGTATTCAAGCCACTGCAAGGAAATCCGGACTCCTTTCCAGTTAGGGCTTCTCGCTGTATATTCCCCTTGAGGCAGCAAACTCGGGGTCCCTCCCACATACCAATTGCTGAGAGAAGCCTCCTCCTGAGGTGCTTCTGGAAAGTTGGCATACGTCTTGAACCTAACCCAAGGAATCAGCTCTCATCTCGAGACGATTTGGGGTACACGGAGCATTCCTCGAGTTGCTGTGCTGAAGTTGGTGTTCCTCTAGACTTGGGACAGTGTTCTCGGGGCATCTCTCGAGTTGCCTGAAGGAAGTCTAGCGACCGGTCATGTTGAATGGGGAATTCGGAATGGCTCTGGCGTCAATGCAGGGGAATCGGGCCTCATCTCGAGTTGATTTGGGGCACATGGAGCTGCTTTGCGTTGCTGGGGTGACCTCAGGGTCCGTCTAGACTGGTGACAGTGTTCTTGGGGACTGTCTCGAGATCCATTAAGCAAGTCGAAGCTCCTGACTTGTTTGAATGGGATCACGGAATAGCTCTGCATGCACTGCAGCGGAATGGGGCCTCATCTCGCCTCTAGGGGGAAGTCTCATGGTTTTTCTCGAGTTGCGGCGGGGACCTGGGGTATGTTCTCGACTTACGGCGGGGATGGCCCTTCAAAACACGAGTTTCTTCAGTGACGTCAGGACTCCTGTCTAGTAACGAGGGACATCTCAGGAATCTCTTCGAGGCTTGGCAGGGCAAAAGGGACGCTTCTCGAGGTGAGGCAGGGCACCCAAGAACCCTTTCCAGTAGCCACAGGGATTTTGGGATTCCTGTCAGTATTCAAGAGGAGTCAGGCATCGTCACCTTTTGAAGCAATGAACTCCGCGTGCCTCTCGAGGTGTCAGCGGGATGTGAGGCATTCCGTCAAAAGGAGGCAGAGACCTAGGGCTTTCCCTAAGGTCTCCACAGGGGATTCAGACATCCCTTCATGTTGCCAGATGAAAGACGAGCCCGTATTCAAGCCACTGCAGGAAATCCGGCCTCCTTTCCAGTTAGGGCTTCTGGCTGTATATTCCCCTTGAGGCAGCAAACTCGTGGTCCCTCCCACTTACCTATTGCTGAGAGAAGCCTCCTCCTGAGGTGCTTCTGGAAAGTTGGCATACGTCTTGAGCCTAAGCCAGGGAATCAGCTGTCATCTCGAGACGATTTGTGGTACACGGAGCATTCCTCGAGTTGCTGTGCTGAAGTTGGTGTTCCGCTAGACTTGGACAGTGTTCTCGGGGCATCTCTGGAGTTGCCTGAAGGAAGTCGAGCCACCGGTCGTGTTGAATGGGGAACGGGGAAGGGCTCTGGAGTCAATGCAGGGGAATCGGGCCTCATCTCGAGTTGATTTGGGGCACATGGAGCTGCTTTGCGTTGCTGGGGTGACCTCAGGGTCCGTCTGACTGGTGACAGTGTTCTTGGGGTCTGTCTCGAGATCCATTAAGCAAGTCGAAGCTCCTGACTTGTTTGAATGGGATCACGGAATAGCTCTGCATGCACTGCAGGGGAATGGGGCCTCATCTCGCCTCTAGGGGGAAGTCTCATGGTTTTTCTCGAGTTGCGGCGGGGACCTGGGGTATGTTCTCGACTTACGGCGGGGATGGCCCTTCAAAACACGAGTTTCTTCAGGGACGTCAGGACTCCTGTCTAGTAACGAGGGACACCTCAGGAATCTCTTCGAGGCTTGGCAGGGCAAAAGGGACACTTCTCGAGGTGAGGCAGGGCACCCAAGGACCCTTTCCAGTAGCCACAGGGATTTTGGGATTCCTATCAGTATTCAAGAGGAGTCAGGCATCGTCACCTTTTGAAGCAATGAACTCCGCGTGCCTCTCGATGTGTCAGCGGGATGTGAGGCATTCCCTCAAAAGGAGGCAGGGACCTAGGGCTTTCTCCAAGGTCTCCACAGGGGATTCTGATATCCCTTCATGTTGTGAGATGAAAAATGAGCCTGTATTCAAGCCACTGCAAGGAAATCCGGCCTCCTTTCCAGTTAGGGCTTCTCGCTGTATATTCCCCTTGAGGCAGCAAACTCGGGGTCCCTCCCACATACCAATTGCTGAGAGAAGCCTCCTCCTGAGGTGCTTCTGGAAAGTTGGCATACGTCTTGAGCCTAAGCCAGGGAATCAGCTCTCATCTCGAGACGATTTGTGGTACACGGAGCATTCCTCGAGTTGCTGTGCTGAAGTTGGTGTTCCTCTAGACTTGGGACAGTGTTCTCGGGGCATCTCTGGAGTTTCCTGAAGGAAGTCGAGCCACCGGTCATGTTGAATGGGGACGGGGAATGGCTCTGGAGTCAATGCAGGGGAATCGGGCCTCATCTCGAGTTGATTTGTGGCACATGGAGCTGCTTTGCGTTGCTGGGGTTACCTCAGGTTCCGTCTAGACTGGTGACAGTGTTCTTGGGGACTGTCTCGAGATCCATTAAGCAAGTCGAAGCTCCTGACTTGTTTGAATGGGATCACGGAATAGCTCTGCATGCACTGCAGGGGAATGGGGCCTCATCTCGCTTCTAGGGGGAAGTCTCATGGTTTTTCTCGAGTTGCGGCGGGGACCTGGGGTATGTTCTCGACTTACGGCGGGGATGGCCCTTCAAAACACGAGTTTCTTCATTGACGTCAGGACTCCTGTCTAGTAACGAGGGACACCTCAGGAATCTCTTCGAGGCTTGGCAGGGCAAAAGGGACGCTTCTCGAGGTGAGGCAGGGCACCCAAGGACCCTTTCCAGTAGCCACAGGGATTTTGGGATTCCTGTCAGTATTCAAGAGGAGTCAGGCATCGTCACTTTTTGAAGCAATGAACTCCGCGTGCCTCTCGAGGTTTCAGCGGGATGTGAGGCATTCCGTCAAAAGGAGGCAGGGACCTACGGCTTTCTCTAAGGTCTCCACAGGGGATTCAGACATCCCTTCATGTTGTGAGATGAAAGAGGAGCCTGTATTCAAGCCACTGCAAGGAAATCCGGCCTCCTTTCAAGTTAGGGCTTCTCGCTGTATATTCCCCTTGAGGCAGCAAACTCGGGGTCCCTCCCACATACCTATTGCTGAGAGAAGCCTCCTCCTGAGGTGCTTCTGGAAAGTTGGCATACGTCTTGAGCCTAAGCCAGGGAATCAGCTCTCATCTCGAGATGATTTGAGGTACACGGAGCATTCCTCGAGTTGCTGTGCTGAAGTTGGTGTTCCTCTAGACTTGGGACAGTGTTCTCGGGGCATCTCTGGAGTTCCCTGAAGGAAGTCGAGCCACCGGTCGTGTTGAATGGGGAACGGGGAATGGCTCTGGTGTCAATGCAGGGGAATCGGGCCTCATCTCGAGTTGATTTGGGGCACATGGAGCTGCTTTGCGTTGCTGGGGTGACCTCAGGGTCCGTCTAGACTGGTGACAGTGTTCTTGGGGACTGTCTCGAGATCCATTAAGCAAGTCGAAGCTCCTGACTTGTTTGAATGGGATTACGGAATAGCTCTGCATGCATTGAAGGGGAATGGGGCCTCATCTCGCCTCTAGGGGGAAAGCTCATGGTTTTTCTCGAGGTGCGGCGGGGACCTGGGTATGTTCTCGACTTACGGCGGGGATGGCCCTTCAAAACACGAGTTTCTTCAGTGACGTCAGGACTCCTGTCTAGTAACGAGGGACACCTCAGGAATCTCTTCGAGGCTTGGCAGGGTAAAAGGGACACTTCTCGAGGTGAGGCAGGGCACCCAAGGACCCTTTCCAGTAGCCACAGGGATTTTGGGATTCCTGTCAGTATTCAAGAGGAGTCAGGCATCGTCACCTTTTGAAGCAATGAACTCCGCGTGCCTCTCGAGGTGTCAGTGGGATGTGAGGCCTTCCGTCGAAATGAGGCAGGGACCTAGGGCTTTCTCTAAGGTCTCCACAGGGGATTCAGTCATCCCTTCATGTTGTGAGATGAAAGACGAGCCTGTATTCAAGCCACTGCAAGGAAATCCGGCCTGCTTTCAAGTTAGGGCTTCTTGCTGTATACCCCTTGAGGCAGCAAACTCGGGGTCCCTCCCACATACCTATTGCTGAGATAAGCCTCATCCTGAAGTGCTTCTGGAAAGTTGTCATACGTCTTGAGCCTAAGCCAGGGAATCAGCTCTCATCTCGAGAAGATTTGGGATACACGGAGCATTCCTCGAGTTGCTGTGCTGAAGTTGGTGTTCCTCTAGCCTTAGGACAGTGTTCTCGGGGCATCTCTGGAGTTGCCTGAAGGAAGTCGAGCCACCGGTCGTGTGGAATGGGGAACGGGGAATGGCTCTGGAGTCAATGCAGGGGAATCGGGCATCATCTCGAGTTGATTTGGGGCACATGGAGCTGCTTTGCGTTGCTGGGGTGACCTCAGGGTCCGTCTAGACTGGTGACAGTGTTCTTGGGGACTGTCTCGAGATCCATTAAGCAAGTCGAAGCTCCTGACTTGTTTGAATGGGATCACGGAATTGCTCTGCATGCACTGCAGGGGAATGGGGCCTCATCTCGCCTCTAGAGGGAAGTCTCATGGTTTTTCTCGAGTTGCGGCGGGGACCTGGGGTATGTTCTCGACTTACGGCGGGGATGGCCCTTCAAAACACGAGTTTCTTCAGTGACGTCAGGACTCCTGTCTAGTAACGAGGGACACCTCAGAAATCTCTTCGAGGGTTGGCAGGGCAAAAGGGACGCTTCTCGAGGTGAGGCAGGGCACCCAAGGACTCTTTCCAGTAGCCACAGGGATTTTGGGATTCCTGTCAGTATTCAAGATGAGTCAGGCATCGTCACCTTTTGAAGCAATGAACTCCGCGTGCCGCTCGAGGTGTCAGCGGGATGTGAGGCATTCCGTCAAAAGGAGGCAGGGACCTAGGGCTTTCTCTAAGGTCTCCACAGGGAATTCTGATATCCCTTCATGTTGTGAGATGAAAAATGAGCCTGTATTCAAGCCACTGCAAGGAAATCCGGCCTCCTTTCCAGTTAGGGCTTCTCGCTGTATATTCCCCTTGAGGCAGCAAACTCGGGGTCCCTCCCACATACCAATTGCTGAGAGAAGCCTCCTCCTGAGGTGCTTCTGGAAAGTTGGCATACGTCTTGAGCCTAAGCCAGGGAATCAGCTCTCATCTCGAGACGATTTGTGGTACACGGAGCATTCCTCGAGTTGCTGTGCTGAAGTTGGTGTTCCTCTAGACTTGGGACAGTGTTCTCGCGGCATCTCTGGAGTTTCCTGAAGGAAGTCGAGCCACCGGTCGTGTTGAATGGGGAACGGGGAATGGCTCTGGAGTCAATGCAGGGGAATCGGGCCTCATCTCGAGTTGATTTGGGGCACATGGAGCTGCTTTGCGTTGCTGGGGTTACCTCAGGGTCCGTCTAGACTGGTGACAGTGTTCTTGGGGACTGTCTCGAGATCCATTAAGCAAGTCGAAGCTCCTGACTTGTTTGAATGGGATCACGGAATAGCTCTGCATGCACTGCAGGGGAATGGGGCCTCATCTCGCCTCTAGGGGGAAGTCTCATGGTTTTTCTCGAGTTACGGCGGGGACCTGGGGTATGTTCTCGACTTACGGCGGGGATGGCCCTTCAAAACACGAGTTTCTTCAGTGACGTCAGGACTCCTGTCTAGTAACGAGGGACACCTCAGGAATCTCTTCAAGGCTTGGCAGGGCAAAAGGGACGCTTCTCGAGGTGAGGCAGGGCACCCAAGGACCCTTTCCAGTAGCCACAGGGATTTTGGGATTCCTGTCAGTATTCAAGAGGAGTCAGGCATCGTCACTTTTTGAAGCAATGAACTCCGCGTGCCTCTCGAGGTGTCAGCGGGATGTGAGGCATTCCGTCAAAAGGAGGCAGGGACCTAGGGCTTTCTCTAAGGTCTCCACAGGGGATTCAGACATCCCTTCATGTTGTGAGATGAAAGAGGAGCCTGTATTCAAGCCACTGCAAGGAAATCCGGCCTCCTTTCAAGTTAGGGCTTCTCGCTGTATATTCCCCTTGAGGCAGCAAACTCGGGGTCCCTCCCACATACCTATTGCTGAGAGAAGCCTCCTCCTGAGGTGCTTCTGGAAAGTTGGCATACGTCTTGAGCCTAAGCCAGGGAATCAGCTCTCATCTCGAGACGATTTGAGATACACGGAGCATTCCTCGAGTTGCTGTGCTGAAGTTGGTGTTCCTCTAGACTTGGGACAGTGTTCTCGGGGCATCTCTGGAGTTGCCTGAAGGAAGTCGAGCCACCGGTCGTGTTGAATGGGGAACGGGGAATGGCTCTGGAGTCAATGCAGGGGAATCGGGCCTCATCTAGAGTTGATTTGGGGCACATGGAGCTGCTTTGCGTTGCTGGGGTGACCTCAGGGTCCGCCTAGACTGGTGACAGTGTTCTTGGGGACTGTCTCGAGATCCATTAAGCAAGTCGAAGCTCCTGACTTGTTTGAATGGGATTACGGAATAGCTCTGCATGCATTGAAGGGGAATGGGGCCTCATCTCGCCTCTAGGGGGAAGGCTCATGGTTTTTCTCGAGTTGCGGCGGGGACCTGGGTATGTTCTCGACTTACGGCGGGGATGGCCCTTCAAAACACGAGTTTCTTCAGTGACGTCAGGACTCCTGTCTAGTAACGAGGGACACCTCAGGAATCTCTTCGAGGCTTGGCAGGGCAAAAGGGACGCTTCTCGAGGTGAGGCAGGGCACCCAAGGACCCTTTCCAGTAGCCACAGGGATTTTGGGATTCCTGTCAGTATTCAAGAGGAGTCAGGCATCGTCACCTTTTGAAGCAATGAACTCCGCGTGCCTCTCGAGGTGTCAACGGGATGTGAGGCATTCCGTCAAAAGGAGGCAGGTACCTAGGGCTTTCTCTAAGGTCTCCACAGGGGATTCAGACATCCCTTCATGTTTTGAGATGAAAAATGAGCCTGTATTCAAGCCACTGCAAGGAAATCCGGACTCCTTTCAAGTTAGGGCTTCTCGCTGTATATTCCCCTTGAGGCAGCAAACTCGGGGTCCCTCCCACATACCAATTGCTGAGAGAAGCCTCCTCCTGAGGTGCTTCTGGAAAGTTGGCATACGTCTTGAACCTAAGCCAAGGAATCAGCTCTCATCTCGAGACGATTTGGGGTACACGGAGCATTCCTCGAGTTGCTGTGCTGAAGTTGGTGTTCCTCTAGACTTGGGACAGTGTTCTCGGGGCATCTCTCGAGTTGCCTGAAGGAAGTCTAGCGACCGGTCATGTTGAATGGGGAATTCGGAATGGCTCTGGCGTCAATGCAGGGGAATCGGGCCTCATCTCGAGTTGATTTGGGGCACATGGAGCTGCTTTGCGTTGCTGGGGTGACCTCAGGGTCCGTCTAGACTGGTGACAGTGTTCTTGGGGACTGTCTCGAGATCCATTAAGCAAGTCGAAGCTCCTGACTTGTTTGAATGGGATCACGGAATAGCTTTGCATGCACTGCAGCGGAATGGGGCCTCATCTCGCCTCTAGGGGGAAGTCTCATGGTTTTTCTCGAGTTGCGGCGGGGACCTGGGGTATGTTCTCGACTTACGGCGGGGATGGCCCTTCAAAACACGAGTTTCTTCAGTGACGTCAGGACTCCTGTCTAGTAACGAGGGACACCTCAGGAATCTCTTCGAGGCTTGGCAGGGCAAAAGGGACGCTTCTCGAGGTGAGGCAGGGCACCCAAGAACCCTTTCCAGTAGCCACAGGGATTTTGGGATTCCTGTCAGTATTCAAGAGGAGTCAGGCATCGTCACCTTTTGAAGCAATGAACTCCGCGTGCCTCTCGAGGTGTCAGCGGGATGTGAGGCATTCCGTCAAAAGGAGGCAGAGACCTAGGGCTTTCCCTAAGGTCTCCACAGGGGATTCAGACATCCCTTCATGTTGCCAGATGAAAGACGAGCCCGTATTCAAGCCACTGCAGGAAATCCGGCCTCCTTTCAAGTTAGGGCTTCTGGCTGTATATTCCCCTTGAGGCAGCAAACTCGTGGTCCCTCCCACTTACCAATTGCTGAGAGAAGTCTCCTCCTGAGGTGCTTCTGGAAAGTTGGCATACGTCTTGAGCCTAAGCCAGGGAATCAGCTGTCATCTCGAGACGATTTGTGGTACACGGAGCATTCCTCGAGTTGCTGTGCTGAAGTTGGTGTTCCGCTAGACTTGGACAGTGTTCTCGGGGCATCTCTGGAGTTGCCTGAAGGAAGTCGAGCCACCGGTCGTGTTGAATGGGGAACGGGGAAGGGCTCTGGAGTCAATGCAGGGGAATCGGGCCTCATCACGAGTTGATTTGGGGCACATGGAGCTGCTTTGCGTTGCTGGGGTGACCTCAGGGTCCGTCTGACTGGTGACAGTGTTCTTGGGGTCTGTCTCGAGATCCATTAAGCAAGTCGAAGCTCCTGACTTGTTTGAATGGGATCACGGAATAGCTCTGCATGCACTGCAGGGGAATGGGGCCTCATCTCGCCTCTAGGGGGAAGTCTCATGGTTTTTCTCGAGTTGCGGCGGGGACCTGGGGTATGTTCTCGACTTACGGCGGGGATGGCCCTTCAAAACACGAGTTTCTTCAGGGACGTCAGGACTCCTGTCTAGTAACGAGGGACACCTCAGGAATCTCTTCGAGTCTTGGCAGGGCAAAAGGGACACTTCTCGAGGTGAGGCAGGGCACCCAAGGACCCTTTCCAGTAGCCACAGGGATTTTGGGATTCCTATCAGTATTCAAGAGGAGTCAGGCATCGTCACCTTTTGAAGCAATGAACTCCGCGTGCCTCTCGATGTGTCAGCGGGATGTGAGGCATTCCCTCAAAAGGAGGCAGGGACCTAGGGCTTTCTCTAAGGTCTCCACAGGGGATTCTGATATCCCTTCATGTTGTGAGATGAAAAATGAGCCTGTATTCAAGCCACTGCAAGGAAATCCGGCCTCCTTTCCAGTTAGGGCTTCTCGCTGTATATTCCCCTTGAGGCAGCAAACTCGGGGTCCCTCCCACATACCAATTGCTGAGAGAAGCCTCCTCCTGAGGTGCTTCTGGAAAGTTGGCATACGTCTTGAGCCTAAGCCAGGGAATCAGCTCTCATCTCGAGACGATTTGTGGTACACGGAGCATTCCTCGAGTTGCTGTGCTGAAGTTGGTGTTCCTCTAGACTTGGGACAGTGTTCTCGGGGCATCTCTAGAGTTTCCTGAAGGAAGTCGAGCCACCGGTCGTGTTGAATGGGGACGGAGAATGGCTCTGGAGTCAATGCAGGGGAATCGGGCCTCATCTCGAGTTGATTTGTGGCACATGGAGCTGCTTTGCGTTGCTGGGGTTAGCTCAGGTTCCGTCTAGACTGGTGACAGTGTTCTTGGGGACTGTCTCGAGATCCATTAAGCAAGTCGAAGCTCCTGACTTGTTTGAATGGGATCACGGAATAGCTCTGCATGCACTGCAGGGGAATGGGGCCTCATCTCGCCTCTAGGGGGAAGTCTCATGGTTTTTCTCGAGTTGCGGCGGGGACCTGGGGTATGTTCTCGACTTACGGCGGGGATGGCCCTTCAAAACACGAGTTTCTTCATTGACGTCAGGACTCCTGTCTAGTAACGAGGGACACCTCAGGAATCTCTTCGAGGCTTGGCAGGGCAAAAGGGACGCTTCTCGAGGTGAGGCAGGGCACCCAAGGACCCTTTCCAGTAGCCACAGGGATTTTGGGATTCCTGTCAGTATTCAAGAGGAGTCAGGCATCGTCACTTTTTGAAGCAATGAACTCCGCGTGCCTCTCGAGGTGTCAGCGGGATGTGAGGCATTCCGTCAAAAGGAGGCAGGGACCTAGGGCTTTCTCTAAGGTCTCCACAGGGGATTCAGACATCCCTTCATGTTGTGAGATGAAAGAGGAGCCTGTATTCAAGCCACTGCAAGGAAATCCGGCCTCCTTTCAAGTTAGGGCTTCTCGCTGTATATTCCCCTTGAGGCAACAAACTCGGGGTTCCTCCCACATACCAATTGCTGAGAGAAGCCTCCTCCTGAGGTGCTTCTGGAAAGTTGGCATACGTCTTGAACCTCAGCCAAGGAATCAGCTCTCATCTCGAGACGATTTGGGGTACACGGAGCATTCCTCGAGTTGCTGTGCTGAAGTTGGTGTTCCTCTAGACTTGGGACAGTGTTCTCGGGGCATCTCTCGAGTTGCCTGAAGGAAGTCTAGCCACCGGTCATGTTGAATGGTGAATTCGGAATGGCTCTGGCGTCAATGCAGGGGAATCGGGCCTCATCTCGAGTTGATTTGGGGCACATGGAGCTGCTTTGCGTTGCTGGGGTGACCTCAGGGTCCGTCTAGACTGGTGACAGTGTTCTTGGGGACTGTCTCGAGATCCATTAAGCAAGTCGAAACTTCTGACTTGTTTGAATGGGATCACGGAATAGCTCTGCATGCACTACAGGGGAATGGGGCCTCATCTCGCCTCTAGGGGGAAGTCTCATGGTTTTTCTCGAGTTGCGGCGGGGACCTGGGGTATGTTCTCGACTTACGGCAGGGATGGCCCTTCAAGACACGAGTTACCTCAGTGACGTCAGTACTCCTGTCTAGTAACGAGGGACACCTCAGGAATCTCTTCGAAGCTTGGCAGGGCAAAAGAGACGCTTCTCGAGGTGAGGCAGGGCACCCAAGTACCCTTTCCAGAAGCCACAGGGATTTTGGGATTCCTATCAGTATTCAAGAGGAGTCAGGCATCGTCACCTTTTGAAGCAATGAACTCCGCGTGCCTCTCGAGGTGTCAGCGGGATGTGAGGCATTCCGTCAAAATGAGGCAGGGACCTAGGGCCTTTTCTAAGGTCTCCACAGGGGATTCAGACATCCCTTCATGTTGTGATATGAAAGACGAGCCTGTATTCAAGCCACTGCAAGGAAATCCGGCCTCCTTTCCAGTTAGGGCTTCTCGCTGTATATTCCCCTTGAGGCAGCAAACTCGGGGTCCCTCCCACATACCAATTGCTGAGAGAAGCCTCCTCCTGAGGTGCTTCTGGAAAGTTGGCATACGTCTTGAGCCTAAGCCAGGGAATCAGCTCTCATCTCGAGACGATTTGTGGTACACGGAGCATTCCTCGAGTTGCTGTGCTGAAGTTGGTGTTCCTCTAGACTTGGGACAGTGTTCTCGGGGCATCTCTGGAGTTTCCTGAAGGAAGTCGAGCCACCGGTCGTGTTGAACGGGGAATGGGGAATGGCTCTGGAGTCAATGCAGGGGAATCGGGCCTCATCTCGAGTTGATTTGGGGCACATTGAGCTGCTTTGCGTTGCTGGGGTGACCTCAGGGTCCGTCTAGACTGGTGACAGTGTTCTTGGGGACTGTCTCGAGATCCATTAAGCAAGTCGAAGCTCCTGTCTTGTTTGAATGGGATCACGGAATAGCTCTGCATGCACTGCAGCGGAATGGGGCCTCATCTCGCCTCTAGGGGGAAGTCTCATGGTTTTTCTCGAGTTGCGGCGGGGACCTGGGGTATGTTCTCGACTTACGGCGGGGATGGCCCTTCAAAACACGAGTTTCTTCAGTGACGTCAGGACTCCTGTCTAGTAACGAGGGACACCTCAGGAATCTCTTCGAGGCTTGGCAGGGCAAAAGGGACGCTTCTCGAGGTGAGGCAGGGCACCCAAGGACCCTTTCCAGTAGCCACAGGGATTTTGGGATTCCTGTCAGTATTCTAGAGGAGTCAGGCATCGTCACCTTTTGAAGCAATGAACTCCGCGTGCCTCTCGAGGTGTCAGCGGGATGTGAGGCATTCCGTCAAAAGGAGGCAGAGACCTAGGGCTTTCCCTAAGGTCTCCACAGGGGATTCAGACATCCCTTCATGTTGCCAGATGAAAGACGAGCCCGTATTCAAGCCACTGCAGGAAATCCGGCCTCCTTTCCAGTTAGGGCTTCTGGCTGTATATTCCCCTTGAGGCAGCAAACTCGTGGTCCCTCCCACTTACCAATTGCTGAGAGAAGTCTGCTCCTGAGGTGCTTCTGGAAAGTTGGCATACGTCTTGAGCCTAAGCCAGGGAATCAGCTCTCATCTCGAGACGTTTTGTGGTACACGGAGCATTCCTCGAGTTGCTGTGCTGAAGTTGGTGTTCCTCTAGACTTGGACAGTGTTCTCGGGGCATCTCTGGAGTTACCTGAAGGAAGTCGAGCCACCGGTCGTGTTGAATGGGGAACGGGGAATGGCTTTGGAGTCAATGCAGGGGAATCGGGCCTCATCTCGAGTTGATTTGGGGCACATGGAGCTGCTTTGCGTTGCTGGGGTGACCTCAGGGTCCGTCTGACTGGTGACAGTGTTCTTGGGGTCTGTCTCGAGATCCATTAAGCAAGTCGAAGCTCCTGACTTGTTTGAATGGGATCACGGAATAGCTCTGCATGCACTGCAGGGGAATGGGGCCTCATCTCGCCTCTAGGGGGAAGTCTCATGGTTTTTCTCGAGTTGCGGCGGGGACCTGGGGTATGTTCTCGACTTACGGCGGGGATGGCCCTTCAAAACACGAGTTTCTTCAGGGACGTCAGGACTCCTGTCTAGTAACGAGGGACACCTCAGGAATCTCTTCGAGGCTTGGCAGGGCAAAAGGGACACTTCTCGAGGTGAGGCAGGGCACCCAAGGACCCTTTCCAGTAGCCACAGGGATTTTGGGATTCCTATCAGTATTCAAGAGGAGTCAGGCATCGTCACCTTTTGAAGCAATGAACTCCGCGTGCCTCTCGAGGTTTCAGCGGGATGTGAGGCATTCCCTCAAAAGGAGGCAGGGACCTAGGGCTTTCTCTAAGGTCTCCACAGGGGATTCTGATATCCCTTCATGTTGTGAGATGAAAAATGAGCCTGTATTCAAGCCACTGCAAGGAAATCCGGCCTACTTTCCAGTTAGGGCTTCTCGCTGTATATTCCCCTTGAGGCAGCAAACTCGGGGTCCCTCCCACATACCAATTGCTGAGAGAAGCCTCCTCCTGAGGTGCTTCTGGAAAGTTGGCATACGTCTTGAGCCTAAGCCAGGGAATCAGCTCTCATCTCGAGACGATTTGTGGTACACGGAGCATTCCTCGAGTTGCTGTGCTGAAGTTGGTGTTCCTCTAGATTTGGGACAGTGTTCTCGGGGCATCTCTGGAATTTCCTGAAGGAAGTCGAGCCACCGGTCGTGTTGAATGGGGAACGGGGAATGGCTCTGGAGTCAATGCAGGGGAATCGGGCCTCATCTCGAGTTGATTTGTGGCACATGGAGCTGCTTTGCATTGCTGGGGTTACCTCAGGGTCCGTCTAGACTGGTGACAGTGTTCTTGGGGACTGTCTCGAGATCCATTAAGCAAGTCGAAGCTCCTGACTTGTTTGAATGGGATCACGGAATAGCTCTGCATGCACTGCAGGGGAATGGGGCCTCATCTCGCCTCTAGGGGGAAGTCTCATGGTTTTTCTCGAGTTGCGGCGGGGACCTGGGGTATGTTCTCGACTTACGGCGGGGATGGCCCTTCAAAACACGAGTTTCTTCAGTGACGTCAGGACTCCTGTCTAGTAACGAGGGACACCTCAGGAATCTCTTCGAGGGTTGGCAGGGCAAAAAGGACGCTTCTCGAGGTGAGGCAGGGCACCCAAGGACTCTTTCCAGTAGCCACAGGGTTTTGGGATTCCTGTCAGTATTCAAGAGGAGTCAGGCATCGTCACCTTTTGAAGCAATGAACTCCGCGTGCCTCTCGAGGTGTCAGCGGGATGTGAGGCATTCCGTCAAAAGGAGGCAGGGACCTAGGACTTTCTCTAAGGTCTCCACAGGGGATTCTGATATCCCTTCATGTTGTGAGATGAAAAATGAGCCTGTATTCAAGCCACTGCAAGGAAATCCGGCCTACTTTCCAGTTAGGGCTTCTCGCAGTATATTTCCCTTGAGGCAGCAAACTCGGGGTCCCTCCCACATACCAATTGCTGAGAGAAGCCTCCTCCTGAGGTGCTTCTGGAAAGTTGGCATACGTCTTGAGCCTAAGCCAGGGAATCAGCTCTCATCTCGAGACGATTTGGGGTACACGGAGCATTCCTCGAGTTGCTGTGCTGAAGTTGGTGTTCCTCTAGACTTGGGACAGTGTTCTCGGGGCATCTCTCGAGTTGCCTGAAGGAAGTCTAGCCAACGGTCATGTTGAATGGGGAATTCGGAATGGCTCTGGCATCAATGCAGGGGAATCGGGCCTCATCTCGAGTTGATTTGGGACACATGGAGCTGCTTTGCATTGCTGGGGTGACCTCAGGGTCCGTCTAGACTGGTGACAGTGTTCTTGGGGACTGTCTCGAGATCCATTAAGCAAGTCGAAGCAACTGACTTGTTTGAATGGGATCTCGGAATAGCTCTGCATGCACTGCAGGGGAATGGGGCCTCATCTCGCCTCTAGGGGGAAGTCTCATGGTTTTTCTCGAGTTGCGGCGGGGACCTGGGGTATGTTCTCGACTTACGGCAGGGATGGCCCTTCAAGACACGAGTTAGCTCAGTGACGTCAGTACTCCTGTCTAGTAACGAGGGACACCTCAGGAATCTCTTCGAAGCTTGGCAGGGCAAAAGAGACGCTTCTCGAGGTGAGGCAGGGCACCCAAGTACCCTTTCCAGAAGCCACAGGGATTTTGGGATTCCTATCAGTATTCAAGAGGAGTCAGGCATCGTCACCTTTTGAAGCAATGAACTCCGCGTGCCTCTCGAGGTGTCAGCGGGATGTGAGGCATTCCGTCAAAATGAGGCAGGGACCTAGGGCCTTTTCTAAGGTCTCCACAGGGGATTCAGACATCCCTTCATGCTGTGATATGAAAGATGAGCCTGTATTCAAGCCACTGCAAGGAAATCCGGCCTCCTTTCCAGTTAGGGCTTCTCGCTGTATATTCCCCTTGAGGCAGCAAACTCGGGGTCCCTCCCACATACCAATTGCTGAGAGAAGCCTCCTCCTGAGGTGCTTCTGGAAAGTTGGCATACGTCTTGAGCCTAAGCCAGGGAATCAGCTCTCATCTCGAGACGATTTGTGGTACACGGAGCATTCCTCGAGTTGCTGTGCTGAAGTTGGTGTTCCTCTAGACTTGGGACAGTGTTCTCGGGGCATCTCTGGAGTTTCCTGAAGGAAGTCGAGCCACCGGTCGTGTTGAACGGGTAACGGGGAATGGCTCTGGAGTCAATGCAGGGGAATCGGGCCTCATCTCGAGTTGATTTGGGGCACATGGCGCTGCTTTGCGTTGCTGGGGTGACCTCAGGGTCCGTCTAGACTGGTGACAGTGTTCTTGGGGACTGTCTCGAGATCCATTAAGCAAGTCGAAGCTCCTGACTTGTTTGAATGGGATCACGGAATAGCTCTGCATGCACTGCAGCGGAATGGGGCCTCATCTCGCCTCTAGGGGGAAGTCTCATGGTTTTTCTCGAGTTGCGGCGGGGACCTGGGGTATGTTCTCGACTTACGGCGGGGATGGCACTTCAAAACACGAGTTTCTTCAGTGACGTCAGGACTCCTGTCTAGTAACGAGGGACACCTCAGGAATCTCTTCGAGGCTTGGCAGGGCAAAAGGGACGCTTCTCGAGGTGAGGCAGGGCACCCAAGGACCCTTTCCAGTAGCCACAGGGATTTTGGGATTCCTGTCAGTATTCAAGAGGAGTCAGGCATCGTCACCTTTTGAAGCAATGAACTCCGCGTGCCTCTCGAGGTGTCAGCGGGATGTGAGGCATTCCGTCAAAAGGAGGCAGAGACCTAGGGCTTTCCCTAAGGTCTCCACAGGGGATTCAGACATCCCTTCATGTTGCCAGATGAAAGACGAGCCCGTATTCAAGCCACTGCAGGAAATCCGGCCTCCTTTCCAGTTAGGGCTTCTTGCTGTATATTCCCCTTGAGGCAGCAAACTCGGGGTCCCTCCCACATACCAATTGCTGAGAGAAGCCTCCTCCTGAGGTGCTTCTGGAAAGTTGGCATACGTCTTGAGCTTAAGCCAGGGAATCAGCTCTCATCTCGAGACGATTTGTGGTACACGGAGCATTCCTCGAGTTGCTGTGCTGAAGTTGGTGTTCCTCTAGACTTGGGACAGTGTTCTCGGGGCATCTCTGGAGTTTCCTGAAGGAAGTCGAGCCACCGGTCGTGTTGAATGGGGAACGGGGAATGGCTCTGGAGTCAATGCAGGGGAATCGGGCCTCATCTCGAGTTGATTTGTGGCACATGGAGCTGCTTTGCATTGCTGGGGTTACCTCAGGGTCCGTCTAGACTGGTGACAGTGTTCTTGGGGACTGTCTCGAGATCCATTAAGCAAGTCGAAGCTCCTGACTTGTTTGAATGGGATCACGGAATAGCTCTGCATGCACTGCAGGGGAATGGGGCCTCATCTCGCCTCTAGGGGGAAGTCTCATGGTTTTTCTCGAGTTGCGGCGGGGACTGGGGTATGTTCTCGACTTACTGCGGGGATGGCCCTTCAAAACACGAGTTTCTTCAGTGACGTCAGGACTCCTGTCTAGTAACGAGGGACACCTCAGGAATCTCTTCGAGGCTTGGCAGGGCAAAAGGGACGCTTCTCGAGGTGAGGCAGGGCACCCAAGGACCCTTTCCAGTAGCCACAGGGATTTTGGGATTCCTGTCAGTATTCAAGAGGAGTCAGGCATCGTCACTTTTTGAAGCAATGAACTCCGCGTGCCTCTCGAGCTGTCAGCGGGATGTGAGGCATTCCGTCAAAAGGAGGCAGGGACCTAGGGCTTTCTCTAAGGTCTCCACAGGGGATTCAGACATCCCTTCATGTTGTGAGATGAAATAGGAGCCTGTATTCAAGCCACTGCAAGGAAATCCGGCCTCCTTTCAAGTTAGGGCTTCTCGCTGTATATTCCCCTTGAGGCAGCAAACTCGGGGTCCCTCCCACATACCTATTGCTGAGAGAAGCCTCCTCCTGAGGTGCTTCTGGAAAGTTGGCATACGTCTTGAGCCTAAGCCAGGGAATCAGCTCTCATCTCGAGATGATTTGAGGTACACGGAGCATTCCTCGAGTTGCTGTGCTGAAGTTGGTGTTCCTCTAGACTTGGGACAGTGTTCTCGGGGCATCTCTGGAGTTCCCTGAAGGAAGTCGAGCCACCGGTCGTTTTGAATGGGAAACGGGGAATGGCTCTGGAGTCAATGCAGGGGAATCGGGCCTCATCTCGAGTTGATTTGGGGCACATGAGGCTGCTTTGCGATGCTGGGGTGACCTCAGGGTCCGCCTAGACTGGTGACAGTGTTCTTGGGGACTGTCTCGAGATCCATTAAGCAAGTCGAAGCTCCTGACTTGTTTGAATGGGATTACGGAATAGCTCTGCATGCATTGAAGGGGAATGGGGCCTCATCTCGCCTCTAGGGGGAAGGCTCATGGTTTTTCTCGAGTTGCGGCGGGGACCTGGGTATGTTCTCGAGTTACCGCGGGGATGGCCCTTCAAAACACGAGTTTCTTCAGTGACGTCAGGACTCCTGTCTAGTAACGAGGGACACCTCAGGAATCTCTTCGAGGCTTGGCAGGGCAAAAGGGACGCTTCTCGAGGTGAGGCAGGGCACCCAAGGACCCTTTCCAGTAGCCACAGGGATTTTGGGGTTCCTGTCAGTATTCAAGAGGAGTCAGGCATCGTCACCTTTTGAAGCAATGAACTCCGCGTGCCTCTCGAGGTGTCAACGGGATGTGAGGCATTCCGTCAAAAGGAGGCAGGGACCTAGGGCTTTCTCTAAGGTCTCCACAGGGGATTCAGACATCCCTTCATGTTTTGAGATGAAAAATGAGCCTGTATTCAAGCCACTGCAAGGAAATCCGGACTCCTTTCCAGTTAGGGCTTCTCGCTGTATATTCCCCTTGAGGCAGCAAACTCGGGGTCCCTCCCACATACCAATTGCTGAGAGAAGCCTCCTCCTGAGGTGCTTCTGGAAAGTTGGCATACGTCTTGAACCTAAGCCAAGGAATCAGCTCTCATCTCGAGACGATTTGGGGTACACGGAGCATTCCTCGAGTTGCTGTGCTGAAGTTGGTGTTCCTCTAGACTTGGGACAGTGTTCTCGGGGCATCTCTCGAGTTGCCTGAAGGAAGTCTAGCCACCGGTCATGTTGAATGGGGAATTCGGAATGGCTCTGGCTTCAATGCAGGGGAATCTTGCCTCATCTCGAGTTGATTTGGGGCCCATGGAGCTGCTTTGCGTTGCTGGGGTGACCTCAGGGTCCGTCTAGACTGGTGACAGTGTTCTTGGGGACTGTCTCGAGATCCATTAAGCAAGTCGAAGCTCCTGACTTGTTTGAATGTGATCACGGAATAGCTCTGCATGCACTACAGGGGAATGGGGCCTCATCTCGCCTCTAGGGGGAAGTCTCATGGTTTTTCTCGAGTTGCGGCGGGGACCTGGGGTATGTTCTCGACTTACGGCAGGGATGGCCCTTCAAGACACGAGTTACCTCAGTGACGTCAGTACTCCTGTCTAGTAACGAGGGACACCTCAGGGATCTCTTCGAAGCTTGGCAGGGCAAAAGAGACGCTTCTCGAGGTGAGGCAGGGCACCCAAGGACCCTTTCCAGAAGCCACAGGGATTTTGGGATTCCTATCAGTATTCAAGAGGAGTCAGGCATCGTCACCTTTTGAAGCAATGAACTCCGCGTGCCTCTCGAGGTGTCAGCGGGATGTGAGGCATTCCGTCAAAATGAGGCAGGGACCTAGGGCCTTTTCTAAGGTCTCCACAGGGGATTCAGACATCCCTTCATGTTGTGAGATGAAAGACGAGCCTGTATTCAAGCCACTGCAAGGAAATCCGGCCTCCTTTCCAGTTAGGGCTTCTCGCTGTATATTCCCCTTGAGGCAGCAAACTCGGGGTCCCTCCCACATACCAATTGCTGAGAGAAGCCTCCTCCTGAGGTGCTTCTGGAAAGTTGGCATACGTCTTGAGCCTAAGCCAGGGAATCAGCTCTCATCTCGAGACGATTTGTGGTACACGGAGCATTCCTCGAGTTGCTGTGCTGAAGTTGGTGTTCCTCTAGACTTGGGACAGTGTTCTCGGGGCATCTCTGGAGTTTCCTGAAGGAAGTCGAGCCACCGGTCGTGTTGAATGGGGAACGGGGAATGGCTCTGGAGTCAATGCAGGGGAATCGGGCATCATCTCGAGTTGATTTGGGGCACATGGAGCTGCTTTGCGTTGCTGGGGTGACCTCAGGGTCCGTCTAGACTGGTGACAGTGTTCTTGGGGACTGTCTCGAGATCCATTAAGCAAGTCGAAGCTCCTGACTTGTTTGAATGGGATCACGGAATTGCTCTGCATGCACTGCAGGGGAATGGGGCCTCATCTCGCCTCTAGAGGGAAGTCTCATGGTTTTTCTCGAGTTGCGGCGGGGACCAGGGGTATGTTCTCGACTTACGGCGGGGATGGCCCTTCAAAACACGAGTTTCTTCAGTGACGTCAGGACTCCTGTCTAGTAACGAGGGACACCTCAGAAATCTCTTCGAGGGTTGGCAGGGCAAAAGGGACGCTTCTCGAGGTGAGGCAGGGCACCCAAGGACTCTTTCCAGTAGCCACAGGGATTTTGGGATTCCTGTCAGTATTCAAGATGAGCCAGGCATCGTCACCTTTTGAAGCAATGAACTCCGCGTGCCTCTCGAGGTGTCAGCGGGATGTGAGGCATTCCGTCAAAAGGAGGCAGGGACCTAGGGCTTTCTCTAAAGTCTCCAAAGGGGATTCTGATATCCCTTCATGTTGTGAGATGAAAAATGAGCCTGTATTCAAGCCACTGCAAGGAAATCCGGCCTCCTTTCCAGTTAGGGCTTCTCGCTGTATATTCCCCTTGAGGCAGCAAACTCGGGGTCCCTCCCACATACCAATTGCTAAGAGAAGCCTCCTCCTGAGGTGCTTCTGGAAAGTTGGCATACGTCTTGAGCCTAAGCCAGGGAATCAGCTCTCATCTCGAGACGATTTGTGGTACACGGAGCATTCCTCGAGTTGCTGTGCTGAAGTTGGTGTTCCTCTAGACTTGGGACAGTGTTCTCAGGGCATCTCTGGAGTTTCCTGAAGGAAGTCAAGCCACCGGTCGTGTTGAATGGGGAACGGGGAATGGCTCTGTAGTCAATGCAGGGGAATCGGGCCTCATCTCGAGTTGATTTGTGGCACATGGAGCTGCTTTGCGTTGCTGGGGTGACCTCAGGGTCCGTCTCGACTGGTGACAGTGTTTTTGGGGACTGTCTCGAGATCCATTAAGCAAGTCGAAGCTCCTGACTTGTTTGAATGGGATCACGAAATAGCTCTGCATGCACTGCAGCGGAATGGGGCCTCATCTCGCCTCTAGGGGGAAGTCTCATGGTTTTTCTCGAGTTGCGGCGGGGACCTGGGGTATGTTCTCGACTTACGGCGGGGATGGCCCTTCAAAACACGAGTTTCTTCAGTGACGTCAGGACTCCTGTCTAGTAACGAGGGACACCTCAGGAATCTCTTCGAGGCTTGGCAGGGCAAAAGGGACGCTTCTCGAGGTGAGGCAGGGCACCCAAGGACCCTTTCCAGTAGCCACAGGGATTTTGGGATTCCTGTCAGTATTCAAGAGGAGTCAGGCATCGTCACCTTTTGAAGCAATGAACTCCGCGTGCCTCTCGAGGTGTCAGCGGGATGTGAGGCATTCCGTCAAAAGGAGGCAGAGACCTAGGGCTTTCCCTAAGGTCTCCACAGGGGATTCAGACATCCCTTCATGTTGCCAGATGAAAGACGAGCCCGTATTCAAGCCACTGCAGGAAATCCGGCCTCCTTTCCAGTTAGGGCTTCTGGCTGTATATTCCCCTTGAGGCAGCAAACTCGTGGTCCCTCCCACTTACCAATTGCTGAGAGAAGTCTCCTCCTGAGGTGCTTCTGGAAAGTTGGCATACGTCTTGAGCCTAAGCCAGGGAATCAGCTCTCATCTCGAGACGATTTGTGGTACACGGAGCATTCCTCGAGTTGCTGTGCTGAAGTTGGTGTTCCTCTAGACTTGGACAGTGTTCTCGGGGCATCTCTGGAGTTGCCTGAAGGAAGTCGAGCCACCGGTCGTGTTGAATGGGGAACGGGGAATGGCTCTGGAGTCAGTGCAGGGGAATCGGGCCTCATCTCGAGTTGATTTGGGGCACATGGAGCTGCTTTGCGTTGCTGGGGTGACCTCAGGGTCCGTCTGACTGGTGACAGTGTTCTTGGGGTCTGTCTCGAGATCCATTAAGCAAGTCGAAGCTCCTGACTTGTTTGAATGGGATCACGGAATAGCTCTGCATGCACTGCAGGGGAATGGGGCCTCATCTCGCCTCTAGGGGGAAGTCTCATGGTTTTTCTCGAGTTGCGGCGGGGACCTGGCGTATGTTCTCGACTTACGGCGGGGATGGCCCTTCAAAACACGAGTTTCTTCAGGGACGTCAGGACTCCTGTCTAGTAACGAGGGACACCTCAGGAATCTCTTCGAGGCTTGGCAGGGCAAAAGGGACACTTCTCGAGGTGAGGCAGGGCACCCAAGGACCCTTTCCAGTAGCCACAGGGATTTTGGGATTCCTATCAGTATTCAAGAGGAGTCAGGCATCGTCACCTTTTGAAGCAATGAACTCCGCGTGCCTCTCGAGGTGTCAGCGGGATGTGAGGCATTCCCTCAAAAGGAGGCAGGGACCTAGGGCTTTCTCTAAGGTCTCCACAGGGGATTCTGATATCCCTTCATGTTGTGAGATGAAAAATGAGCCTGTATTCAAGCCACTGCAAGGAAATCCAGCCTCCTTTCCAGTTAGGGCTTCTTGCTGTATATTCCCCTTGAGGCAGCAAACTCGGGGTCCCTCCCACATACCAATTGCTGAGAGAAGCCTCCTCCTGAGGTGCTTCTGGAAAGTTGGCATACGTCTTGAGCCTAAGCCAGGGAATCAGCTCTCATCTCGAGACGATTTGTGGTACACGGAGCATTCCTCGAGTTGCTGTGCTGAAGTTGGTGTTCCTCTAGACTTGGGACAGTGTTCTCGGGGCATCTCTGGAGTTTCCTGAAGGAAGTCGAGCCACCGGTCGTGTTGAATGGGGAACGGGGAATGGCTCTGGAGTCAATGCAGGGGAATCGGGCCTCATCTCGAGTTGATTTGTGGCACATGGAGCTGCTTTGCATTGCTGGGGTTACCTCAGGGTCCGTCTAGACTGGTGACAGTGTTCTTGGGGACTGTCTCGAGATCCATTAAGCAAGTCGAAGCTCCTGACTTGTTTGAATGGGATCACGGAATAGCTCTGCATGCACTGCAGGGGAATGGGGCCTCATCTCGCCTCTAGGGGGAAGTCTCATGGTTTTTCTCGAGTTGCGGCGGGGACTGGGGTATGTTCTCGACTTACGGCGGGGATGGCCCTTCAAAACACGAGTTTCTTCAGTGACGTCAGGACTCCTGTCTAGTAACGAGGGACACCTCAGGAATCTCTTCGAGGCTTGGCAGGGCAAAAGGGACGCTTCTCGAGGTGAGGCAGGGCACCCAAGGACCCTTTCCAGTAGCCACAGGGATTTTGGGATTCCTGTCAGTATTCAAGAGGAGTCAGGCATCGTCACTTTTTGAAGCAATGAACTCCGCGTGCCTCTCGAGCTGTCAGCGGGATGTGAGGCATTCCGTCAAAAGGAGGCAGGGACCTAGGGCTTTCTCTAAGGTCTCCACAGGGGATTCAGACATCCCTTCATGTTGTGAGATGAAATAGGAGCCTGTATTCAAGCCACTGCAAGGAAATCCGGCCTCCTTTCAAGTTAGGGCTTCTCGCTGTATATTCCCCTTGAGGCAGCAAACTCGGGGTCCCTCCCACATACCTATTGCTGAGAGAAGCCTCCTCCTGAGGTGCTTCTGGAAAGTTGGCATACGTCTTGAGCCTAAGCCAGGGAATCAGCTCTCATCTCGAGATGATTTGAGGTACACGGAGCATTCCTCGAGTTGCTGTGCTGAAGTTGGTGTTCCTCTAGACTTGGGACAGTGTTCTCGGGGCATCTCTGGAGTTCCCTGAAGGAAGTCGAGCCACCGGTCGTTTTGAATGGGGAACGGGGAATGGCTCTGGAGTCAATGCAGGGGAATCGGGCCTCATCTCGAGTTGATTTGGGGCACATGAGGCTGCTTTGCGATGCTGGGGTGACCTCAGGGTCCGCCTAGACTGGTGACAGTGTTCTTGGGGACTGTCTCGAGATCCATTAAGCAAGTCGAAGCTCCTGACTTGTTTGAATGGGATTACGGAATAGCTCTGCATGCATTGAAGGGGAATGGGGCCTCATCTCGCCTCTAGTGGGAAGGCTCATGGTTTTTCTCGAGTTGCGGCGGGGACCTGGGTATGTTCTCGAGTTACCGCGGGGATGGCCCTTCAAAACACGAGTTTCTTCAGTGACGTCAGGACTCCTGTCTAGTAACGAGGGACACCTCAGGAATCTCTTCGAGGCTTGGCAGGGCAAAAGGGACGCTTCTCGAGGTGAGGCAGGGCACCCAAGGACCCTTTCCAGTAGCCACAGGGATTTTGGGGTTCCTGTCAGTATTCAAGAGGAGTCAGGCATCGTCACCTTTTGAAGCAATGAACTCCGCGTGCCTCTCGAGGTGTCAACGGGATGTGAGGCATTCCGTCAAAAGGAGGCAGGGACCTAGGGCTTTCTCTAAGGTCTCCACAGGGGATTCAGACATCCCTTCATGTTTTGAGATGAAAAATGAGCCTGTATTCAAGCCACTGCAAGGAAATCCGGACTCCTTTCCAGTTAGGGCTTCTCGCTGTATATTCCCCTTGAGGCAGCAAACTCGGGGTCCCTCCCACATACCAATTGCTGAGAGAAGCCTCCTCCTGAGGTGCTTCTGGAAAGTTGGCATACGTCTTGAACCTAAGCCAAGGAATCAGCTCTCATCTCCAGACGATTTGGGGTACACGGAGCATTCCTCGAGTTGCTGTGCTGAAGTTGGTGTTCCTCTAGACTTGGGACAGTGTTCTCGGGGCATCTCTCGAGTTGCCTGAAGGAAGTCTAGCCACCGGTCATGTTGAATGGGGAATTCGGAATGGCTCTGGCTTCAATGCAGGGGAATCTTGCCTCATCTCGAGTTGATTTGGGGCACATGGAGCTGCTTTGCGTTGCTGGGGTGACCTCAGGGTCCGTCTAGACTGGTGACAGTGTTCTTGGGGACTGTCTCGAGATCCATTAAGCAAGTCGAAGCTCCTGACTTGTTTGAATGTGATCACGGAATAGCTCTGCATGCACTACAGGGGAATGGGGCCTCATCTCGCCTCTAGGGGGAAGTCTCATGGTTTTTCTCGAGTTGCGGCGGGGACCTGGGGTATGTTCTCGACTTACGGCAGGGATGGCCCTTCAAGACACGAGTTACCTCAGTGACGTCAGTACTCCTGTCTAGTAACGAGGGACACCTCAGGGATCTCTTCGAAGCTTGGCAGGGCAAAAGAGACGCTTCTCGAGGTGAGGCAGGGCACCCAAGGACCCTTTCCAGAAGCCACAGGGATTTTGGGATTCCTATCAGTATTCAAGAGGAGTCAGGCATCGTCACCTTTTGAAGCAATGAACTCCGCGTGCCTCTCGAGGTGTCAGCGGGATGTGAGGCATTCCGTCAAAATGAGGCAGGGACCTAGGGCCTTTTCTAAGGTCTCCACAGGGGATTCAGACATCCCTTCATGTTGTGAGATGAAAAATGAGCCTGTATTCAAGCCACTGCAAGGAAATCCGGCCTCCTTTCCAGTTAGGGCTTCTCGCTGTATATTCCCCTTGAGGCAGCAAACTCGGGGTCCCTCCCACATACCAATTGCTGAGAGAAGCCTCCTCCTGAGGTGCTTCTGGAAAGTTGGCATACGTCTTGAGCCTAAGCCAGGGAATCAGCTCTCATCTCGAGACGATTTGTGGTACATGGAGCATTCCTCGAGTTGCTGTGCTGAAGTTGGTGTTCCTCTAGACTTGGGACAGTGTTCTCGGGGCATCTCTGGAGTTTCCTGAAGGAAGTCGAGCCACCGGTCGTGTTGAATGGGGAACGGGGAATGGCTCTGGAGTCAATGCAGGGGAATCGGGCCTCATCTCGAGTTGATTTGTGGCACATGGAGCTGCTTTGCATTGCTGGGGTTACCTCAGGGTCCGTCTAGACTGGTGACAGTGTTCTTGGGGACTGTCTCGAGATCCATTAAGCAAGTCGAAGCTCCTGACTTGTTTGAATGGGATCACGGAATAGCTCTGCATGCACTGCAGGGGAATGGGGCCTCATCTCGCCTCTAGGGGGAAGTCTCATGGTTTTTCTCGAGTTGCGGCGGGGACTGGGGTATGTTCTCGACTTACGGCGGGGATGGCCCTTCAAAACACGAGTTTCTTCAGTGACGTCAGGACTCCTGTCTAGTAACGAGGGGCACCTCAGGAATCTCTTCGAGGCTTGGCAGGGCAAAAGGGACGCTTCTCGAGGTGAGGCAGGGCACCCAAGGACCCTTTCCAGTAGCCACAGGGATTTTGGGATTCCTGTCAGTATTCAAGAGGAGTCAGGCATCGTCACTTTTTGAAGCAATGAACTCCGCGTGCCTCTCGAGCTGTCAGCGGGATGTGAGGCATTCCGTCAAAAGGAGGCAGGGACCTAGGGCTTTCTCTAAGGTCTCCACAGGGGATTCAGACATCCCTTCATGTTGTGAGATGAAATAGGAGCCTGTATTCAAGCCACTGCAAGGAAATCCGGCCTCCTTTCAAGTTAGGGCTTCTCGCTGTATATTCCCCTTGAGGCAGCAAACTCGGGGTCCCTCCCACATACCTATTGCTGAGAGAAGCCTCCTCCTGAGGTGCTTCTGGAAAGTTGGCATACGTCTTGAGCCTAAGCCAGGGAATCAGCTCTCATCTCGAGATGATTTGAGGTACACGGAGCATTCCTCGAGTTGCTGTGCTGAAGTTGGTGTTCCTCTAGACTTGGGACAGTGTTCTCGGGGCATCTCTGGAGTTCCCTGAAGGAAGTCGAGCCACCGGTCGTTTTGAATGGGGAACGGGGAATGGCTCTGGAGTCAATGCAGGGGAATCGGGCCTCATCTCGAGTTGATTTGGGGCACATGAGGCTGCTTTGCGATGCTGGGGTGACCTCAGGGTCCGCCTAGACTGGTGACAGTGTTCTTGGGGACTGTCTCGAGATCCATTAAGCAAGTCGAAGCTCCTGACTTGTTTGAATGGGATTACGGAATAGCTCTGCATGCATTGAAGGGGAATGGGGCCTCATCTCGCCTCTAGGGGGAAGGCTCATGGTTTTTCTCGAGTTGCGGCGGGGACCTGGGTATGTTCTCGAGTTACCGCGGGGATGGCCCTTCAAAACACGAGTTTCTTCAGTGACGTCAGGACTCCTGTCTAGTAACGAGGGACACCTCAGGAATCTCTTCGAGGCTTGGCAGGGCAAAAGGGACGCTTCTCGAGGTGAGGCAGGGCACCCAAGGACCCTTTCCAGTAGCCACAGGGATTTTGGGGTTCCTGTCAGTATTCAAGAGGAGTCAGGCATCGTCACCTTTTGAAGCAATGAACTCCGCGTGCCTCTCGAGGTGTCAACGGGATGTGAGGCATTCCGTCAAAAGGAGGCAGGGACCTAGGGCTTTCTCTAAGGTCTCCACAGGGGATTCAGACATCCCTTCATGTTTTGAGATGAAAAATGAGCCTGTATTCAAGCCACTGCAAGGAAATCCGGACTCCTTTCCAGTTAGGGCTTCTCGCTGTATATTCCCCTTGAGGCAGCAAACTCGGGGTCCCTCCCACATACCAATTGCTGAGAGAAGCCTCCTCCTGAGGTGCTTCTGGAAAGTTGGCATACGTCTTGAACCTAAGCCAAGGAATCAGCTCTCATCTCCAGACGATTTGGGGTACACGGAGCATTCCTCGAGTTGCTGTGCTGAAGTTGGTGTTCCTCTAGACTTGGGACAGTGTTCTCGGGGCATCTCTCGAGTTGCCTGAAGGAAGTCTAGCCACCGGTCATGTTGAATGGGGAATTCGGAATGGCTCTGGCTTCAATGCAGGGGAATCTTGCCTCATCTCGAGTTGATTTGGGGCACATGGAGCTGCTTTGCGTTGCTGGGGTGACCTCAGGGTCCGTCTAGACTGGTGACAGTGTTCTTGGGGACTGTCTCGAGATCCATTAAGCAAGTCGAAGCTCCTGACTTGTTTGAATGTGATCACGGAATAGCTCTGCATGCACTACAGGGGAATGGGGCCTCATCTCGCCTCTAGGGGGAAGTCTCATGGTTTTTCTCGAGTTGCGGCGGGGACCTGGGGTATGTTCTCGACTTACGGCAGGGATGGCCCTTCAAGACACGAGTTACCTCAGTGACGTCAGTACTCCTGTCTAGTAACGAGGGACACCTCAGGGATCTCTTCGAAGCTTGGCAGGGCAAAAGAGACGCTTCTCGAGGTGAGGCAGGGCACCCAAGGACCCTTTCCAGAAGCCACAGGGATTTTGGGATTCCTATCAGTATTCAAGAGGAGTCAGGCATCGTCACCTTTTGAAGCAATGAACTCCGCGTGCCTCTCGAGGTGTCAGCGGGATGTGAGGCATTCCGTCAAAATGAGGCAGGGACCTAGGGCCTTTTCTAAGGTCTCCACAGGGGATTCAGACATCCCTTCATGTTGTGAGATGAAAGACGAGCCTGTATTCAAGCCACTGCAAGGAAATCCGGCCTCCTTTCCAGTTAGGGCTTCTCGCTGTATATTCCCCTTGAGGCAGCAAACTCGGGGTCCCTCCCACATACCAATTGCTGAGAGAAGCCTCCTCCTGAGGTGCTTCTGGAAAGTTGGCATACGTCTTGAGCCTAAGCCAGGGAATCAGCTCTCATCTCGAGACGATTTGTGGTACACGGAGCATTCCTCGAGTTGCTGTGCTGAAGTTGGTGTTCCTCTAGACTTGGGACAGTGTTCTCGGGGCATCTCTGGAGTTTCCTGAAGGAAGTCGAGCCACCGGTCGTGTTGAATGGGGAACGGGGAATGGCTCTGGAGTCAATGCAGGGGAATCGGGCATCATCTCGAGTTGATTTGGGGCACATGGAGCTGCTTTGCGTTGCTGGGGTGACCTCAGGGTCCGTCTAGACTGGTGACAGTGTTCTTGGGGACTGTCTCGAGATCCATTAAGCAAGTCGAAGCTCCTGACTTGTTTGAATGGGATCACGGAATTGCTCTGCATGCACTGCAGGGGAATGGGGCCTCATCTCGCCTCTAGAGGGAAGTCTCATGGTTTTTCTCGAGTTGCGGCGGGGACCAGGGGTATGTTCTCGACTTACGGCGGGGATGGCCCTTCAAAACACGAGTTTCTTCAGTGACGTCAGGACTCCTGTCTAGTAACGAGGGACACCTCAGAAATCTCTTCGAGGGTTGGCAGGGCAAAAGGGACGCTTCTCGAGGTGAGGCAGGGCACCCAAGGACTCTTTCCAGTAGCCACAGGGATTTTGGGATTCCTGTCAGTATTCAAGATGAGCCAGGCATCGTCACCTTTTGAAGCAATGAACTCCGCGTGCCTCTCGAGGTGTCAGCGGGATGTGAGGCATTCCGTCAAAAGGAGGCAGGGACCTAGGGCTTTCTCTAAAGTCTCCAAAGGGGATTCTGATATCCCTTCATGTTGTGAGATGAAAAATGAGCCTGTATTCAAGCCACTGCAAGGAAATCCGGCCTCCTTTCCAGTTAGGGCTTCTCGCTGTATATTCCCCTTGAGGCAGCAAACTCGGGGTCCCTCCCACATACCAATTGCTAAGAGAAGCCTCCTCCTGAGGTGCTTCTGGAAAGTTGGCATACGTCTTGAGCCTAAGCCAGGGAATCAGCTCTCATCTCGAGACGATTTGTGGTACACGGAGCATTCCTCGAGTTGCTGTGCTGAAGTTGGTGTTCCTCTAGACTTGGGACAGTGTTCTCAGGGCATCTCTGGAGTTTCCTGAAGGAAGTCAAGCCACCGGTCGTGTTGAATGGGGAACGGGGAATGGCTCTGTAGTCAATGCAGGGGAATCGGGCCTCATCTCGAGTTGATTTGTGGCACATGGAGCTGCTTTGCGTTGCTGGGGTGACCTCAGGGTCCGTCTCGACTGGTGACAGTGTTCTTGGGGACTGTCTCGAGATCCATTAAGCAAGTCGAAGCTCCTGACTTGTTTGAATGGGATCACGAAATAGCTCTGCATGCACTGCAGCGGAATGGGGCCTCATCTCGCCTCTAGGGGGGAGTCTCATGGTTTTTCTCGAGTTGCGGCGGGGACCTGGGGTATGTTCTCGACTTACGGCGGGGATGGCCCTTCAAAACACGAGTTTCTTCAGTGACGTCAGGACTCCTGTCTAGTAACGAGGGACACCTCAGGAATCTCTTCGAGGCTTGGCAGGGCAAAAGGGACGCTTCTCGAGGTGAGGCAGGGCACCCAAGGACCCTTTCCAGGAGCCACAGGGATTTTGGGATTCCTGTCAGTATTCAAGAGGAGTCAGGCATCGTCACCTTTTGAAGCAATGAACTCCGCGTGCCTCTCGAGGTGTCAGCGGGATGTGAGGCATTCCGTCAAAAGGAGGCAGAGACCTAGGGCTTTCCCTAAGGTCTCCACAGGGGATTCAGACATCCCTTCATGTTGCCAGATGAAAGACGAGCCCGTATTCAAGCCACTGCAGGAAATCCGGCCTCCTTTCCAGTTAGGGCTTCTGGCTGTATATTCCCCTTGAGGCAGCAAACTCGTGGTCCCTCCCACTTACCAATTGCTGAGAGAAGTCTCCTCCTGAGGTGCTTCTGGATAGTTGGCATACGTCTTGAGCCTAAGCCAGGGAATCAGCTCTCATCTCGAGACGATTTGTGGTACACGGAGCATTCCTCGAGTTGCTGTGCTGAAGTTGGTGTTCCTCTAGACTTGGACAGTGTTCTCGGGGCATCTCTGGAGTTGCCTGAAAGAAGTCGAGCCACCGGTCGTGTTGAATGGGGAACGGGGAATGGCTCTGGAGTCAATGCAGGGGAATCGGGCATCATCTCGAGTTGATTTGGGGCACATGCAGCTGCTTTGCGTTGCTGGGGTGACCTCAGTGTCCGTCTAGACAGGTGACAGTGTTCTTGGGGACTGTCTCGAGATTCATTAAGCAAGTCGAAGCTCCTGACTTGTATGAATGGGATCACGGAATAGCTCTGCATGCACTGCAGGGGAATGCGGCCTCATCTCGCCTCTAGGGGAAGTCACATGGTTTTTCTCGAGTTGCGGCGGGGTCCTGGGGTATGTTCTCGACTTACGGCGAGGATGGCCCTTCAAAACAGGAGTTTCTTCAGTGACGTCAGGACTCCAGTCTAGTAATGAGGGACACCTCAGGAATCTCTTCGAGGTTTGGCAGGGCAAAAGGGACGCTCCTCGAGGTGAGGCAGGGCACCCAAGGACCCTTTCCAGTAGCCACAGGGATTTTAGGATTCCTTTCGGTATTCAAGAGGAGTGAGGCATCGTCACCTTTTGAAGCAATGAACTCCGCGTGCCTCTCGAGGTGTCAACGGGATGTGAGGCATTCCGTCAAAATGAGGCACCGAACTAGGCCTTTTTCTAAGGTCTCCACAGGGGATTCACACATCCCTTCATGTTGTGAGATGAAAGACGAGCCTGTATTCAAGCCACTGCAAGGAAATCCGGCCTCCTTTCAAGTTAGGGCTTCTCGCTGTATATTCCCCTTGAGGCAGCTATCTCGGGGTCCCTCCCACATACCTATTGCTGGGAGAAACCTCCTCCTGAGGTGCTTCTGGAAAGTTGGCATACGTCTTGAGCCTAAGCCAGGGAATCAGCTCTCAGCTCGCGACGACTTGGGGTACACGGAGCATTCCTCGAGTTGCTGTGCTGAAGTTGGTGTTCCTCTAGCCTTGGGACAGTGTTCTCGGGGCATCTCTGGAGTTGCCTGAAGGAAGTCGAGCCACCGGTCGTGTTAAATGGGGAACGGGGAATGGCTCTGGAGTCAATGCAGGGGAATCGGGCCTCATCTCGAGTTGATTTGGGGCACATGCAGCTGCTTTGCGTTGCTGGGGTGACCTCAGGGTCCGTCTAGACTAGTGACAGTGTTCTTGGGGACTGTCTCGAGATCCATTAAGCAAGTCGAAGCTCCTGACTTGTTTGAATGGGATCACGGAATAGCTCTGCATGCAGTGCAGGGGAAAGGGGCCTCATCTCGCTTCTAGGGGGAAGTCTCATGGTTTTTCTCGAATTGCGGCGGGGACCTGGGATATGTTCTTGACTTACAGCGGGGATGGCCCTTCAAAACACATGTTTTTTCAGTGACGTCAGGACTCCTGTCTAGTAATGAGGGACACCTCAGGAATCTCTTCGAGGCTTGGCAGGGCAAAATGAAGGCTTCTCGAGGTGAGGCAGGGAACCCAAGGACCCTTTCCAGTAGCCACAGGGATTTTGGGATTCCTCTCAGTATTCAAGAGGAGTCAGGCATCGTCACCTTTTGAAGCAATGAACACTGCGTGCCTCTCGAGTTGTCAACGGGATGTGAGGCATTCCGTCAAAATGACGCAGGGACCTAGGGCTTTCTCTAAGGTCTCCACAGGGGATTCAGTCATCCCTTCACGTTTTGAGATCAAAGACGAGCCTGTATTCAAGCCACAGCAAGGAAATCCGGCCTCCTTTCAAGTTAGGGCTTCTCGCTGTATATTCCACTTGAGGCAGCGATCTCGGGGTCCCTCCCACATACCTATTGCTGGGAGAAGCCTCCTCCTGAGGTGCTTCTGGAAAGTTGGCATAGGTTTTGAGCCTAAGCCAGGGAATCAGCTCTCATCTCAAGACTGTTTGTGGTACATGGAGCATTCCTCGAGTTGCTGTGCTGAAGTTGGTGTTCCTCTAGCCTTGGGACAGTGTTCTCGGGGTATCTCTTGAGTTGCCTGAAGGAAGTCGAGCCACCGGTCGTGCTGAATGGCGAACGGGGAATGGCCTTGGTGTCAATGCAGGGGAATCGGGCCTCATCTCGAGTTGATTTGGGGCACATGGAGCTGCTTTGCGTTGCTGGCGTGACATCAGGGTCCGTCTAGACTGGTGACAGTGTTCTTGGGGACTGTCTCGAGATCCATTAAGCAAGTCGAAGCTCCTGACTTCTTTGAGTGGGGTCACGTAATAGCTCTGCATGCACTGCACTGGAATGGGGCGTCATCTCGCTTCTAGGGGGAATTCTCATGGTTTTTCTCGAGTTGCGGCGGTTACCTGGGGTATGTTCTCGACTTACGGCGGGGATGGCGCTTCAAAACACGAGTTTCTTCAGTGACGTCTGGACTCCAGTCTAGTAACGAGGGACACCTCAGGAATCTCTTCGAGGCTTGACAGGGCAAAAGGGACGCTTCTCGAGGTGAGGCAGGGAACGAAGGACCCTTTCCTGTAGCCACAGGGACTTTGGGATTCCTATCAGTATTCAAAAGGAGTCAGGCATCGTCACCTTTTGAAGCAATGAACTCTGAGTGCCTCTCGAGGTGTCAACGGGATGTGAGGCATTCCATCAAAATGACGCAGGGACCTAGGGCTTTTTCTAAGGTCTCCACAGGGGATTCAGACATCCCTTCATCTTGTGAGATGAAAGACGACCCTGTATTCAAGCCACTGCAAGGCAATCCGGCCTCCTTTCAAGTTAGGGTTTTTCACTGTATATTCCACTTGAGGCAGCGATCTCGGGGTCCCTCCCACATACCTATTGCTGAGAGAAGCCTCCTCCGGAGGTGCTTTGGAAAGTTGGCATACGTCTTGAGCATAATCCAGGGAATCAGCTCTCATCTCGAGACGATTTGGGGTACACGGAGCATTCCTCGAGTTGCTGTGCTGAAGTTGGTGTTCCTCTAGCCTTGGGACAGTGTTCTCAGGGCATGTCTAGAGTTGCCTGAAGGAAGTCGAGCCACCGGTCGTGTTGAATGGGGAACGGGGAATGGCTCTGGGGTCAATGCAGGGGAATCGGGCCTCATCTCGAGTTGATTTGGGGCACATGGTGCTGCTTTGCGTTGCTGGGGTGACCACAGAGTCCATCTAGACTGGTGACAGTGTTCTTGGGGACTGTCTCGAGATCCATTAAGCAAGTCGAAGCTCCTGACTTGTTTGACTGGGATCACGGAATAGCACTGCATGCACTGCAGGGGAATGGGGCCTCATCTCGTTTCGAGGGGGAAGTCTCATGGTTTTTCTCGAATTGCGGCGGGGACCTGGGGTATGTTCTCGACTTACGGCGGGGATGGCCCTTCAAAACACGTGTTTATTCAGTGACGTCAGGACTCCTGTCTAGTAACGAGGGACACCTCAGGAATCTCTTCAAGGCTTGGCAGGGCAAAAGGGACGCTTCTCGAGGTGAGGCAGGGCACCCAAGGACCCTTTCCAGTAGCCACAGGGATTTTGGGATTCCTCTCAGTATTCAAGAGGAGTCAGGCATCGTCACCTTTTGAAGCAATGAACTCTGCGTGCCTCTCGAGGTGTCAACGAGATGTGAGGCATTCTGTCAAAATGACGCAGGGACCTAGGGCTTTCTCTAAGGTCTCCACAGGGGATTCAGACATCCCTTCATGTTTTGAGATCAAAGACGAGCCTGTATTCAAGCCACTGTTAGGAAATCCGGCCTCCTTTCAAGTTAGGGCTTCTCGCTGTATATTCCACTTGAGGCAGCGATCTCGGGGTCCCTCCCACATACCTATTGCTGGGAGAAGCCTCCTCCTGAGGTGCTTCTGGAAAGTTGGCATAGGTTTTGAGCCTAAGCCAGGGAATCAGCTCTCATCTCGAGACGATTTAAGGTACACGGAACATTCCTCGAGTTGCTGTGCTGAAGTTGGTGTTCCTCTAGCCTTGGGACAGTGTTCTCGGGGCATCTCTGGTGTTGCCTGAAGGAAGTCGAGCCACCGGTCGTGCTGAATGGCGAACGGGGAATGGCTCTGTAGTCAATGCACGGGAATCGGGCCTCATCTCGAGTTGATTTGGGGCACATGGAGCTGCTTTGCGTTGCTGGCGTAACATCAGGGTCCGTCTAGACTGGTGACAGTGTTCTTGGGGACTGTCTCGAGATCCATTAAGCAAGTCGAAGCTCCTGACTTCTTTGAGTGGGGTCACGTAATAGCTCTGCATGCACTGCACTGGAATCGGGCGTCATCTCGCCTCTAGGGGGAAGTCTCATGGTTTTTCTCGAGTTGCGGCGGGGACCTGGGGTATGTTCTCGACTTACGAGGGGGATGGCGCTTCAAAACACGAGTTTCTTCAGTGACGTCAGGACTCCAGTCTAGTAATGAGGGACACCTCAGGAATCTCTTCGAGGCTTGACAGGGCAAAAAGGACGCTTCTCGAGGTGAGGCAGGGCACGAAGGACCCTTTCCTGTAGCCAAAGGGACTTTGGGATTCCTATCAGTATTCAAAAGGAGTCAGGCATCGTCACCTTTTGAAGCAATGAACTCTGAGTGCCTCTCGAGGTGTCATCGGGATGTGAGGCATTCCGTCAAAATGAGGCACCGAACTAGGGCTTTTTCTAAGGTCTCCACAGGGGATTCAGACATCCCTTCATGTTGTGAGATGAAAGACGACCCTGTATTCATGCCCCTGCAAGGAAATCCGGCCTCCTTTCAAGTTAGGGCTTCTCGCTGTATATTCCACTTGAGGCAGCAATCTCGGGGTCCCTCCCACATACCTATTGCTTAGAGAAGCCTCCTCCTGTGGAGCTTCTGGAAAGTTGGCATACGTCTTGAGCCTAAGCCAGGGAATCAGCTCTCATCTCGAGACGATTTGGGGTACACGGAGCATTCCTCGAGTTGCTGTGTTGAAGTTGGTGTTCCTCTAGCCTTGGGACAGTGTTCTCGGGGCTTCTCTGGAGTTGCCTGAAGGAAGTCGAGCCATCAGTCGTGTTGAATGGGGAACGGGGAATGGCTCTGGAGTCAATGCAGGGGAATCGGGCCTCATCTCGAGTTGATTTGGGGCACATGGAGCTGCTTTGCGTTGCTGGGGTGACCTCAGGGTCCGTCTAGACTGGTGACAGTGTTCTTGGGGACTGTCTCGAGATACATTAAGCAAGTCGAAGCTCCTGACTTGTTTGAATGGGATCACGGAATAGCTCTGCATGCACTGCAGGGGAATGGGACGTCATCTCGCCTCTAGGGGGAAGTCTCATGGTTTTTCTCGAGTTGCGGCAGGGACCTGGGATATGTTCTCGACTTACGACGGGGATGGCCCTTCAAAACACGAGTTTCTTCAGTGACGTCAGGACTCCAGTCTAGTAACGACGGACACCTCAGTAATCTCTTCGAGGCTTGGCAGGGCAAAAGGGACGCTTCTCGAGGTGAGGCAGGGCACCCAAGGACCCTTTCCAGTAGCCACAGTGATTTTGGGATTCCTATCAGTATTCAAGAGGAGACAGGCATCGTCACCTTTTGAAGCAATGAACTACGCGTGCCTCTCGAGGTGTCAACGGGATGTGAGGCATTCCGTCAAAATGAGGCAGGGACCTAGGGCTTTCTCTCAGGTCTCCACAGGGGATTCAGACATCCCTTCATGTTGTGAGATGAAAGACGAGCCTGTATTCAAGCCACTGCAAGGAAACCCGGCCTCCTTTCAAGTTAGTGCTTCTCGCTGTATATTCCCCTTGAGGCAGCAAACTCGGGGTCCCTCCCACATACCTATTGCTGAGAGAAGCCTCCTCCTGAGGTGCTTCAGAAAAGTTGGCATACGTCTTGAGCCTAAGCCAGGGAATCAGCTCTCATATCGAGACGATTTGGGGTACACGGAGCATTCCTCGAGTTGCTGCGCTGAACTTGGTGTTCCTCTAGACTTGGGACAGTGTTCTCGGGGCAGCTCTGGTGTTGCCTGAAGGAAGTCGAGCCACCGGTCGTGTTGAATGGGGAGCGGGGAATGGCTCTGGAGTCAATGCAGGGGAATCGGGCCTCATCTAGAGTTGATTTGGGCACATGCAGCTGCTATGCGTTGCTGAGGTGACATCAGGGTCTGTCTAGACTGGTGACAGTGTTCTTGGGGACTGTCTCGAGATCCATTAAGCAAGTCGAAGCTCCTGACTTGTTTGAATGGGATCACGGAATAGCTCTGCATGCACTGCAGGGGAATGGGGCCTCATCTCGCCTCTAGGGGGAAGTCTCATGGTTTTTCTCGAGTTGCGGCGGGGACCTGAGGTATCTTCTCGATTTACGGCGGGGATGGCCCTTTAAAACACATGTTTATTCAGTGACGTCAGGACTCCTGTCTAGTAACGAGGGACACCTCAGGAATCTCTTCGAGGCTTGGCAGGGCAAAAGGGACGCTTCTCGAGGTGAGGCAGGGCACCCAAGGACCCTTTCCAGTAGCCACAGGGATTTTGGTATTCCTTTCGGTATTCAAGAAGAGTCAGGCATCGTCACCTTTTGAAGCAATGAACTCCGCGTGCCTCTCGAGGTGTCAACGGGATGTGAGGCATTCCGTCAAAATGAGGCAGGGACCTAGGGCTTTCTCTAAGGTCTCCACAGGGGATTCAGACATCCCTTCATGTTGTGAGATGAAAAACGAGTCTGTATTCAAGCCACTGCAATGAAATCCGGCCTCCTTTCAAGTTAGGGCTTTTCGCTGTATATTCCCCTTGAGGCAGAAAATTCGGGGTCCCTCCCACATACCTATTGCTGAGAGAAGCCTCCTCCTGAGGAGCTTCTGGAAAGTTGGCATACGTCTTGAGCCTAAGCCAAGGAATCAGCTCTCATCTCTAGACGATTTGGGGTACACGGAGCATTCCTCGAGTTGCTGTGCTGAAGTTGCTGTTCCTCTAGACTTGGGACAGTGTTCTCGGGGCATCTCTGTAGTTGCCTGAAGGAAGTCGAGCCACCGGTCGTGTTGAATGGGGAACGGGGAATGGCTCTGGAGTCAATGCAGGGGAATCGGGCCTCATCTCGAGTTGATTTGGGCACATGCAGCTGCTTTGCGTTGCTGGGGTGACCTCAGGGTCCGTCTAGACTGGTGACAGTGTTCTTGGGGACTGTCTCGAGATACATTAAGCAAGTTGAAGCTCCTGACTTGTTTGAATGGGATCACGGAATATCTCTGCATGCACTCCACGGGAATGGGGCCTCATCTCGCCTCTAGGGGGAAGTCTCATGGTTTTTCTCGAGTTGCGGCGGGGACCTGAAGTATGTTCTCGACTTACGGCGGGGATGGCCCTTCAAAACACATGTTTATTCAGTGACGTCAGGACTCCTTTCTAGTAATGAGGGACACCTCAGGAATCTCTTCGAGGCTTGGCAGGGCAAAAGGGACGCTTCTCGAGGTGAGGCAGGGCACCAAGGACCCTTTCCAGTAGCCACAGGGATTTTGGGATTCTTATCAGTATTCAAGAGGAGTCAGGCATGGTCACCTTTTGAAGCAATGAACTCTGCGTGCCTCTCGAGGTGTCAACGGGATGTGAGGCACTCCGTCAAAATGAGGCAGGGACCTAGGTCTTTGTCTAAGGTCTACACAGGCGATTCAGACATCCCTTCATGTTTTGAGATGAAAGACGAGCCTGTATTCAAGCCACTGCAAGGAAATCCGGCCTCCTTTCAAGTTAGGGCTTCTCGCTGTATATTCCACTTGAGGCAGCGATCTCGGGGTCCCTCCCACATACCAATTGCTTCGAGAAGCCTCCTCCTGTGGTGCTTCTGGAAAGTTGGCATACGTCTTGAGTCTAAGCCAGGGAATCAGCTCTCATCTCGAGACAATTTGGGGTACACGGAACATTCCTCGAGTTGCTGTGCTGAAGTTGGTGTTCCTCTAGCCTTGAGACAGTGTTCTCGGGGCATCTCTGGAGTTGCCTGAAGGAAGTGGAGCCACCGGTCGTGTTGAATGGGGAACGGGGAATGGCTCTGGAGTCAATGCAGGGGAATCCGGCCTCATCTCGACTTGATTTGGGGCACAAGCAGCTCATTTGCGTTGCTGGGGTGACCTCAGGGTCCGTCTAGACTGGTGACAGTGTTCTTGGGGACTGTCTCGAGATCCATTAAGCAAGTCGAAGCTCCTGACTTGTTTGAATGGGATCACGGAATAGCTCTGCATGCACTGCAGGGGAATGGGGCCTCATCTCGCCTCTAGGGGTAGGTCTCATGGTTTTTCTCGAGTTGCGGCGGGGACATTGGGTATGTTCTCGACTTTCGGCGGGGATGGCCCTTCAAAACACGAGTTTCTTCAGTGACGTAGGACTCCTGTCTAGTAACCAGGGACACCTCAGGAAACTCTTCGAGGCTTGGCAGGGCAAAAGGGACGCTTCTCGAGGAGAGGCAGGGCACTCAAGGACCCTTTCCAGTAGCCACAGGGATTTTGGGATTCCTATCAGTATTCAAGAGGAGTCAGACATCGTCACCTTTTGAAGCAATGAACTCTTCGTGCCTCTCGAGGTGTCAACGGCATGTGAGGCATTCCGTCAAAATGACGCAGGGTCCTAGGGCTTTCTCTAAGGACTCCACAGGGGATTCAGACATCCCTTCATGTTTTGAGATCAAAGAGGAGCCTGTATTCAAGCCACAGCAAGGAAATCCGGCCTCCTTTCAAGTTAGGGCTTCTCGCTGTATATTCCACTTGAGGCAGCGATCTCGGGGTCCCTCCCACATACCTATTGCTGGGAGAGGCCTCCTCCTGAGGTGCTTCTGGAAAGTTGGCATACGTCTTGAGCCTAAGACAGGGAATCAGCTCTCATCTCGAGATGATTTGGGGTACACAGAGCGTTCCTCGAGTTGCTGTGCTGAAGTTGGTGTTCCTCTAGACTTGGGACATTGTTCTCGGGGCATCTCTTGAGTTGCCTGAAGGAAGTCGAGCCACCGGTCGTGTTGAATGTGGAACGTGGAATGGCTCTGGAGTCATTGCAGGGGAATCGGGCCTCATCTCGAGTTGATTTGGGGCACATGGAGCTGCTTTGCCTGCTGGGGTGACCAGAGGGTCCGTCTAGACTGGTGACAGTGTTCTTGGGGACTGTCTCGAGATCCATTAAGCAAGTCGAAGTTCCTGACTTGTTTGAATGCATCACGGAATAGCTCTGCATGCACTGGAGAGGAATTGGGCCTCATCTCAACTCTAGGGGGAAGTCTCATGGTTTTTCTCGCGTTGCGGCTGAAACCTGGGGTATGTTCTCGACTTACGGCGGGGATGGCCCTTTAAAACACGTGTTTATTCAGTGACGTCAGGACACCTGTCTAGTAACGAGGGACACCTCAGGAATCTCTTCGAGGCTTAGCAGGGCAAAAGGGACGCTTCTCGAGGTGAGGCACGGCACCCAAGGACCCTTTCCAGTAGCCACAGGGATTTTGGGATTCCTATCAGTATTCAAGAGGAGTCAGGCATCGTCACCTTTTGAAGCAATGAACTCCGCGTGCCTCTCGAGGTGTCAACGGGATGTGAGGCATTCCGTCAAAATGAGGCAGGGACCTAGGGCTTACTCTAAGGTCTCCACAGGGGATTCAGACATCCCTTCATGTTGTGAGATGAAAGATGAGCCTGTATTCAAGCCACTGCAAGGAAATCCGGCCTCCTTTCAAGTTACGGTTTTTCGCTGTATATTCCACTGGAGGCAGCGATCTCGGGGTCCCTCCCACATACCTATTGCTGAGAGAAGCCTCCTCCTGAGGTGCTTCTGGAAAGTTGGCATACGTCTTGAGCCTAAGCCAGGGAATCAGCTCTCATCTCGAGACGATTTGGGGTGCACGGAGCATTCCTCGAGTTGCTGTGCTGAAGTTGGTGTTCCTCAACACTTGGGACAGTGTTCTCCGTGCATCTCTGGAGTTGCCTGAAGGAAGTCGAGCCACCAGTCGTGTGGAATGGGGATCGGGGAATGGCTCTGGAATCAATGCAGTGGAATCGGGACTCATCTCGAGTTGACTTGGGGCACATGCAGCTGCTTTGCGTTGCTGGGGTGACCTCAGGGTCCGTCTAGACTGGTGACAGTGTTCTTGTGGACTGTCTCGAGATCCATTAAGCAAGTCGAAGCTCCTGACTTGTTTGAGTGGGATCACGGAATTGCTCTGCATGCACTGCAGGGGAATGGGGCCTCATCTCGCTTCTAGGGGGAAGTCTCATGGTTTTTCTCGAGTTGCGGCGGGGACCTGGGGTGTGTTCTCGACTTACGGCGGGAATGGCCCTTCAAAACACGTGTTTATTCAGTGACGTCAGGACTCCTGTCTAGTAACGAGGGACACCTCAGGAATCTCTTCGAGGCTTGGCAGGGCAAAAGGGATGCTTCTCGAGGTGAGGCAGGGCACCCAATTACCCTTTCCAGTAGCCACAGGGATTTTGGGATTCCTATCAGTATTCAAAAGGAGTCAGGCATCGTCACCTTTTGAAGCAATGAACTCTGCGTGCCTCTCGAGGTGCCAACTGGATGTGAGGCATTCCATCAAAATGACGCAGGTATCCAGGGCTTTCTCTAAGGTCTCCACAGGGGATTCAGACCTCCCTTCATGTTTTGAGATCAAAGACGAGCCAGTATTCAAGCCACTGCAAGGAAATCCGGCCTCCTTTCAAGTTAGGCCTTCTCGCTGTATATTCCACTTGAGGCAGTGATCTCGTGGTCCCTCCCACATAAGTATTGCTGGGAGAAGCCTACTCCTGAGGTGCTTCTGGAAAGTTGGCATACGTCTTGAGCCTAAGCCAGGGAATCAGCTCTCATCTCGAGACGATTTGGGGTACACGGAGCATTCCTCGAGTTGCTGTGCTGAAGTTGGTGTTCTTCTAGATTTGGGACAGTGTTCTCGGGGCATCTCTGGAGATGCCTGAAGGAAGTCGAGCCACCAGTCGTGTTGAATGGGGAACGGGGAATGGCTCTGGAGTCAATGCAGGGGAATCGTGCCTTATCTCGAGTTGATTTGGGGCACATGGAGCTGCTTTGCATTGCTGGGGTGACCTCAGGGTCCGTCTAGACTGGTGACAGTGTTCTTGTGGACTATCTCGAGATCCATGAAGCAAGTCGAAGCTCCTGACTTGTTTGAATGGGATCATGGAATAGCTCTGCATGCACTGCAGGGTAATGGGGCCTCATCTCGCTTCTAGGGGGAAGTCTCATGGTTTTTCTCGAGTTGCGGCGGGGACCTGGGGTATGTTCTCGACTTACGGCGGGGATGGCCCTTCAAAACACGAGTTTCTTCAGTGACATAGGACTCCTGTCTAGTAACCAGGAACACCTCAGGGAACTCTTCGAGGTTTGGCAGGGCAAAAGGGACCCTTCTCGAAGTGATGCAGGGCACCCAAGGACCCTTTCCAGTAGCTACAGGGATTTTGTGATTCCTAACAGTATTCAAGAGGAGTCAGGCATCGTCACCTTTTGAAGCAATGAACTCCGCGTGCCTCTCGAGGTGTCAACGGGATGTGAGGCATTCCGTCAAAATGACGCAGGTATACAGGGCTTTCTCTAAGGTCTCCACAGTGGATTCAGACATCCCTTTATTTTTTGAGATCAAAGATGAGCCTGTATTCAAGCCACTGTGAGGAAATCCGGCCTCCTTTCAAGTTAGGGCTTCTCACTGTATACTCCACTTGAAGCAGCGATCTCCGGGTCCCTCCCACATACCTATTGCTGGAAGAAGCCTCCCCCTGAGGTGCTTCTGGAAACTTGGCATACGTCTTGAGCCTAAGCCAGGGAATCAGCTCTCATCTCGAGACGATTTAGGGTTCACGGAGCATTCCTCGAGTTGCTGTGCTGAAGTTGCTGTTCCTCTAGCCTTGGGACAGTGTTCTCGGGGCATCTCTGGAGTTGCCTGAAGGAAGTCGAGCCACCGGTGGTGTTGAAAGGCGAACGGGGAATGGCTCTGGAGTCAATGCAGGGGAATCGGGCCTCATCTCGAGTTGATTTGGAGCACATGGAGCTGCTTTGCTTTGCTGCGGTGACCTCAGGATCCGTCTAGACTTGTGACAGTGTTCTTGGGGACTGTCTCGAGATCCATTAAGAAAGTCGAAGGACCTGACTTGTTTGAATGGGATCACGGAATAGCTCTGCATGCACTGCAGGGGAATGGGGCCTAATCTCGCATCTAGGGGGAAGTCTCATGGTATTTCTCGAGTTGCGGCGTGGACCTGGGGTGTGTTCTCGACTTACGGCGGGGATGGCCCTTCAAAACACGTGTTTATTCAGTGACGTCAGGACTCCTGTCTAGTAACGACGGACACCTCAGGAATCTCTTCGAGGCTTGGCAGGGCAAAAGGGACGCTTCTCGAGGTGAGGCAGGGCACCCAAGGACCGTTTCCAGTAGCAACAGGGATTTTGGGATTCCTATCAGTATTCAAAATGAGTCAGGCATCGTCACCTTTTGAAGCAATGAACTCTGCGTGCCTCTCGAGGTGTCAAGGGGATGTGAGGCATTCCGTCAAAAAGAGGCAGGGACCTAGGGCTTTCTCTAAGGTCTCCACAGGGGATTCAGACATCCCTTCATGTTGTGAGATGAAAGACGAGCCTGTTTAAGCCACTGCAAGGAAATCCGGCCTCCTTTCTAGTTAGGGCTTCTCGCTGTATACTCCACTTGAGGCAGCGATCTCGGGGTCCCTCCCACATACCTATTGCTGGGAGAAGCCTCCTCCTGAGGTGCTTCTGGAAAGTTGGCATACGTCTTGAGCTAAGCCAGGGAATCAGCTCTCATCTGGAGACGATTTGGGGTACACGGAGCATTCCTCGAGTTGCTGTGCTGAAGTTGCTGTTCCTCTAGCCTTGGGACAGTGTTCTCGGGGCATCTCTGGAGTTGCCTGAAAGAAGTCGAGCCACCGGTCGTGTTGAATGGGGAACGGGGAATGGCTCTGGAGTCAATGCAGGGGAATCGGGCTTCATCTCGAGTTGATTTGGGGCACATGGAGCTGCTTTGCATTGCTGGGGTGACCTCAGGGTCCGTCTAGACTGGTGACAGTGTTCTTAGGGACTGTCTCGAGATCAATTAAGCAAGTCGAAGTTCCTGACTTGTTTGAATGGGATCACGGAATAGCTCTGCATGCACTGCAGGGGAATGGGGCCTCATCTCGCCTCTAGGGGGAAGTCTCATGGTTTTTCTCGAGTTGCGGCGCGGACCTGGGATATGTTCTCGACTTACGGCGGGGATGGCCCTTCAAAACACGAGTTTCTTCAGTGACGTAGGACTCCTGTCTAGTAACCAGGGACACCTCAGGGAACTCTTCGAGGTTTGGCAGGGCAAAAGGGACCCTTCTCGAAGTGATGCAGGGCACCCAAGGACCCTTTCCAGTAGCTACAGGGATTTTGGGATTCCTATCAGTATTCAAGAGGAGTCAGGCATCGTCACCTTTTGAAGCAATGAACTCCGCGTGCCTCTCCAGGTGTCAACGGGATGTGAGGCATTCCGTCAAAATGACGCAGGTATCCAGGGCTTTCTCTAAGGTCTCCACAGTGGATTCAGACATCCCTTCATGTTTTGAGATCAAAGACGAGCCTGTATTCAAGCCACTGCAAGGAAATCCGGCCTCCTTTCAAGTTAGGTCTTCTCGATGTATACTCCACTTGAGGCAGCGATCTGGGGGTCCCTCCCACATACCTATTGCTGAGAGAATCCTCCTCCTGAGGTGCTTCTGGAAAGTTGGCATACGTCTTGAGCCTAAGCCAGGGAATCAGCTCTCATCTCGAGACGATTTGGGGTACACGGAGCATTCCTCGAGTTGCTGTGCTGAAGTTGGTGTTCCTCTAGACTTGGGACAGTGTTCTCGGGGCATCTCTGGAGTTGCCTGAAGGAAGTCGAGCCACCGGTCGTGTTGAATGGGGAACGGGGAATGGCTCTGGAGTCAATGCAGGGGAATCGGGCCTCATCTCGAGTTGATTTGGGGCACATGGAGCTGCTTTGCGTTGCTGGGGTGATCTCAGGGTCCGTCTAGACTGGTGACAGTGTTCTTGGGGACTGTCTCGAGATCCATTAAGCAAGTCGAAGCTCCTGACTTGTTTGAATGGGAACACGGAATAGCTCTGCATGCACTGCAGGGGAATGCGGCCTCATCTCGCCTCTAGGGGGAAGTCTCATGGTTTTTCTCGAGTTGAGGTGGGGACCTGGGGTATATTCTCCACTTACGGCGGGGATGGCCCTTCAAAACACGAGTTTCTTCAGTGACGTCAGGCCTCCAATCTAGTAACGAGAGACACCTCAGGTATATCTTCGAGGCTTGGCAGTGCAAAAGGGACGCTTCTCGAGGTGAGGCACGGCACCCAAGGACTCTTTCCAGTAGCCACAGTGATTTTGGGATTCCTATCAGTATTCAAGAGGAGTCAGGCATCGTCACCTTTTGAAGCAATGAACTCTGCGTGCCTCTCGAGGTGTCAACGGGATGTGAGGCATTCCGTCAAAAAGAGGCAGGGACCTAGGGCGTTCTCTAAGGTCTCCACAGGGGATTCAGACATCCCTTCATGTTGTGAGATGAAAGACGAGCCTGTATTCAAGCCACTGCAAGGAATTCCGTCCTCCTTTCAAGTTAGGGCTTCTCGCTGTATACTCCACTTGAGGCAACGATCTCGGGGTCCCTCCCACATACCTATTGCTGGGAGAAGCCTCCTCCTGAGGTGCTTCTGGAACGGTTGGCATACGTCTTGAGCCTAAGCCAGGGAATCAGCTCTCATCTCGAGACGATTTGGGGTACACGGAGCATTCCTCGAGTTGCTGTGCTGAAGTTGGTGTTCCTCTAGCCTTGGGACAGTGTTCTCGGGGCATCTCTGGAGTTGCCTGAAGGAAGTCGAGCCACCGGTCGAGTTGAATGGGGAACGGGGAATGGCTCTGGAGTCAATGCAGTGGAATCGGGCCTCATCTCGAGTTGATTTGGGGCACATGGAGCTGCTTTGCGTTGCTGGGGTGACCTCAGGGTCCGTCTAGACTGGTGACAGTGTTCTTGGGGACTCTCTCGAGATCCATTAAGCAAGTCAAAGCTCCTGACTTGTTTGAATGGGATCACGGAATAGCTCTGCATGCAGTGCAGGGGAATGGGGCCTCATCTCGCCTCTAGGGGGAAGTCTCATGGTTTTTCTCGAGTTGCGGCGGGGACCTGGGGTATGTTCTCGACTTACCGCGGGGATGGCCCTTCAAAGCACGAGTTTCTTCAGTGACGTCAGGACTCCTGTCGAGTAACCAGGGACACCTCAGGGAACTCTTCGAGGTTTGGCAGGGCAAAAGGGACCCTTCTCGAAGTGATGCAGGGCACCCAAGGACCCTTTCCAGTAGCTACAGGGATTTTGGGATTCCTATCAGTATTCAAGAGGAGTCAGGCATCGTCACCTTTTGAAGCAATGAACTCTGCGTGCCTCTCGAGGTGTCAACGGGATGTGAGGCATTCCGTCAAAATGACGCAGGTATCCAGGGCTTTCTCTAAGGTCTCCACAGTGGATTCAGACATCCCTTCATGTTTTGAGATCAAAGACGAGCCTGTATTCAAGCCACTGCAAGGAAATCCGGCCTCCTTTCAAGTTAGGTCTTCTCGATGTATACTCCACTTGAGGCAGCGATCTGGGGGTCCCTCCCACATATCTATTGCTGAGAGAATCCTCCACCTGAGGTGCTTCTGGAATGTTGGCATACGTCTTGAGCCTAAGCCAGGGAATCAGCTCTCATCTCGAGACGATTTGGGGTACACGGAGCATTCCTCGAGTTGCTGTGCTGAAGTTGGTGTTCCTCTAGACTTGGGACAGTGTTCTCGGGGCATCTCTGGTGTTGCCTGAGGAAGTCGAGCCACCGGTCGTGTTGAATGGGGAACGGGGAATGGCTCTGGAGTCAATGCAGGGGAATCGGGCCTCATCTCGAGTTGATTTGGGGCACATGGAGCTGCTTTGCGTTGCTGGGGTGATCTCAGGGTCCGTCTAGACTGGTGACAGTGTTCTTGGGGACTGTCTCGAGATCCATTAAGCAAGTCGAAGCTCCTGACTTGTTTGAATGGGAACACGGAATAGCTCTGCATGCACTGCAGGGGAATGCGGCCTCATCTCGCCTCTAGGGGGAAGTCTCATGGTTTTTCTCGAGTTGAGGTGGGGACCTGGGGTATATTCTCCACTTACGGCGGGGATGGCCCTTCAAAACACGAGTTTCTTCAGTGACGTCAGGCCTCCAATCTAGTAACGAGAGACACCTCAGGTATATCTTCGAGGCTTGGCAGTGCAAAAGGGACGCTTCTCGAGGTGAGGCACGGCACCCAAGGACTCTTTCCAGTAGCCACAGTGATTTTGGGATTCCTATCAGTATTCAAGAGGAGTCAGGCATCGTCACCTTTTGAAGCAATGAACTCTGCGTGCCTCTCGAGGTGTCAACGGGATGTGAGGCATTCCGTCAAAAAGAGGCAGGGACCTAGGGCGTTCTCTAAGGTCTCCACAGGGGATTCAGACATCCCTTCATGTTGTGAGATGAAAGACGAGCCTGTATTCAAGCCACTGCAAGGAATTCCGTCCTCCTTTCAAGTTAGGGCTTCTCGCTGTATACTCCACTTGAGGCAACGATCTCGGGGTCCCTCCCACATACCTATTGCTGGGAGAAGCCTCCTCCTGAGGTGCTTCTGGAACGGTTGGCATACGTCTTGAGCCTAAGCCAGGGAATCAGCTCTCATCTCGAGACGATTTGGGGTACACGGAGCATTCCTCGAGTTGCTGTGCTGAAGTTGGTGTTCCTCTAGCCTTGGGACAGTGTTCTCGGGGCATCTCTGGAGTTGCCTGAAGGAAGTCGAGCCACCGGTCGAGTTGAATGGGGAACGGGGAATGGCTCTGGAGTCAATGCAGTGGAATCGGGCCTCATCTCGAGTTGATTTGGGGCACATGGAGCTGCTTTGCGTTGCTGGGGTGACCTCAGGGTCCGTCTAGACTGGTGACAGTGTTCTTGGGGACTCTCTCGAGATCCATTAAGCAAGTCAAAGCTCCTGACTTGTTTGAATGGGATCACGGAATAGCTCTGCATGCAGTGCAGGGGAATGGGGCCTCATCTCGCCTCTAGGGGGAAGTCTCATGGTTTTTCTCGAGTTGCGGCGGGGACCTGGGGTATGTTCTCGACTTACCGCGGGGATGGCCCTTCAAAGCACGAGTTTCTTCAGTGACGTCAGGACTCCTGTCGAGTAACCAGGGACACCTCAGGGAACTCTTCGAGGTTTGGCAGGGCAAAAGGGACCCTTCTCGAAGTGATGCAGGGCACCCAAGGACCCTTTCCAGTAGCTACAGGGATTTTGGGATTCCTATCAGTATTCAAGAGGAGTCAGGCATCGTCACCTTTTGAAGCAATGAACTCTGCGTGCCTCTCGAGGTGTCAACGGGATGTGAGGCATTCCGTCAAAATGACGCAGGTATCCAGGGCTTTCTCTAAGGTCTCCACAGTGGATTCAGACATCCCTTCATGTTTTGAGATCAAAGACGAGCCTGTATTCAAGCCACTGCAAGGAAATCCGGCCTCCTTTCAAGTTAGGTCTTCTCGATGTATACTCCACTTGAGGCAGCGATCTGGGGGTCCCTCCCACATATCTATTGCTGAGAGAATCCTCCACCTGAGGTGCTTCTGGAATGTTGGCATACGTCTTGAGCCTAAGCCAGGGAATCAGCTCTCATCTCGAGACGATTTGGGGTACACGGAGCATTCCTCGAGTTGCTGTGCTGAAGTTGGTGTTCCTCTAGACTTGGGACAGTGTTCTCGGGGCATCTCTGGTGTTGCCTGAGGAAGTCGAGCCACCGGTCGTGTTGAATGGGGAACGGGGAATGGCTCTGGAGTCAATGCAGGGGAATCGGGCCTCATCTCGAGTTGATTTGGGGCACATGGAGCTGCTTTGCGTTGCTGGGGTGATCTCAGGGTCCGTCTAGACTGGTGACAGTGTTCTTGGGGACTGTCTCGAGATCCATTAAGCAAGTCGAAGCTCCTGACTTGTTTGAATGGGAACACGGAATAGCTCTGCATGCACTGCAGGGGAATGCGGCCTCATCTCGCCTCTAGGGGGAAGTCTCATGGTTTTTCTCGAGTTGAGGTGGGGACCTGGGGTATATTCTCCACTTACGGCGGGGATGGCCCTTCAAAACACGAGTTTCTTCAGTGACGTCAGGCCTCCAATCTAGTAACGAGAGACACCTCAGGTATATCTTCGAGGCTTGGCAGTGCAAAAGGGACGCTTCTCGAGGTGAGGCACGGCACCCAAGGACTCTTTCCAGTAGCCACAGTGATTTTGGGATTCCTATCAGTATTCAAGAGGAGTCAGGCATCGTCACCTTTTGAAGCAATGAACTCTGCGTGCCTCTCGAGGTGTCAACGGGATGTGAGGCATTCCGTCAAAAAGAGGCAGGGACCTAGGGCGTTCTCTAAGGTCTCCACAGGGGATTCAGACATCCCTTCATGTTGTGAGATGAAAGACGAGCCTGTATTCAAACCACTGCAAGGAATTCCGTCCTCCTTTCAAGTTAGGGCTTCTCGCTGTATACTCCATTTGAGGCAACGATCTCGGGGTCCCTCCCACATACCTATTGCTGGGAGAAGCCTCCTCCTGAGGTGCTTCTGGAACGGTTGGCATACGTCTTGAGCCTAAGCCAGGGAATCAGCTCTCATCTCGAGACGATTTGGGGTACACGGAGCATTCCTCGAGTTGCTGTGCTGAAGTTGGTGTTCCTCTAGCCTTGGGACAGTGTTCTCGGGGCATCTCTGGAGTTGCCTGAAGGAAGTCGAGCCACCGGTCGAGTTGAATGGGGAACGGGGAATGGCTCTGGAGTCAATGCAGGGGAATCGGGCCTCATCTCGAGTTGATTTGGGGCACAAGAAGCTGCTTTGCTTTGCTGGGGTGACCTCAGGATCCGTCAAGACTTGTGACAGTGTTCTTGGGGACTGTCTCGAGATCCATTAAACAAGTCGAAGGTCCTGACTGGTTTGAATGGGATCACGGAATAGCTCTGCATGCACTGCAGGGGAATGGGGCCTCATCTCGCCTCTAGGGGGAAGTCTCATGGTTTTTCTCGAGTTGCAGCGGGAACCTGGGGTATGTTCTCGACTTTCCGCGGGGATGGCCCTTCAAAACACATGTTTACTCCGTGACGTCAGGACTCCTGTCTAGTAATGAGGGACATCTCAGGAATTTCTTCGAGGCTTGGCAGGGCAAAAGGGACGCTTCTCAGGTGAGGCAGGGCACCCAAGGACCCTTACCAGTAGCCACAGGGATTTTGGGATTCCTATCAGTATTCAAGAGGAGTCAGGCATCATCACCTTTTGAAGCAATGAACTCTGCATGCCTCTCGAAGTGACAACGGGATGTGAGGCATTCCATCAAAATGACGCAGGGAACAAGGGCTTTCTCTAAGGTCTCCAAAGGGGATTCAGACATCCCTTCATGTTGTGAGATGAAAGACGAGCCTGTATTCAAGCCACTGCAAGGAAATCCGGCCTCCTTTCAAGTTAGGGCTTCTCGCTGTATATTCCCCTTGAGACAGCAAACTCGGCGTCCCTCCCACATACCTATTGCTGAGAGAAGCCTCCTCCTGAGGTGCTTCTGGAAAGTTGGCATACGTCTTGAGCCTAAGCCAGGGAAATACCTCTCATCTCGGGACGATTTTGGGTACACGGAGCATTCCTCGAGTTGCTGTGCTGAAGTTGGTGTTCCTCTAGACTTGGGACAGTGTTCTCGGGGCATCTCTGGAGTTGCCTGAAGGAAGTCGAGCCACCGGTCGTGTTGAATGTGGAACGGGGAATGGCTCTGGTGTCAATGCAGCGGAATCGGCCTCATATCGAGTTGATTTGGGGGACATGCAGCTGCTTTGCGTTGCTGGGGTGACCTCAGGGTCCGTCTAGACTGGTGACAGTGTTCTTGGGGACTGTCTCGAGATCCATTAAGCAAGTCGAAGCTCCTGACTTGTTTGAATGGGATCACGGAATAGCTCTGCATGCACTGCAGGGGAATGGGGCCTCATCTCGCCTCTAGGGGGAAGTCTCATGGTTTTTCTCGAGTTGCGGCGGGGACCTGAGGTATGTTCTCGACTTACGGCGGGGATGGCCCTTCAAAACACGAGTTTCTTCAGTGACGTCAGGACTCCAGTCTAGTAATGAGGGACACCTCAGGAATCTCTTCGAGGCTTGGCAGGGCAAAAGGGACGCTTCTCGAGGTGAGGCAGGGCACCCAAGGACCCTTTCCAGTAGCCACAGGGATTTTGTGATTCCTACAGTATTCAAGAGGAGTCAGGCATCGTCAGCTTTTGAAGCAATGAACTCCGCGTGCCTCTCGAGGTGTCAACGGGATGTGAGGCATTCCGTCAAAATGACGCAGGTATCCAGGGCTTTCTCTAAGGTCTCCACAGTGGATTCAGACATCCCTTTATTTTTTGAGATCAAAGACGAGCCTGTATTCAAGCCACTGTGAGGAAATCCGCCTCCTTTCAAGATAGGGCTTCTCGCTGTATACTCCACTTGAGGCAGCGATCTCGGGGTCCCTCCCACATACCTATTGCTGGGAGAAGCCACTTCCTGAGGTGCTTCTGGAAAGTTGGCATACGTCTTGAGCCTAAGCCAGGGAATCAGCTCTCATCTCGAGACGATTTGGGGTACACGGAGCATTCCTCGAGTTGCTGTGCTGAAGTTGCTGTTCCTCTAGACTTGGGACAGTGTTCTCGGGGCATCTCTGGAGTTGCCTGAAGGAAGTCGAGCCACCGGTGGTGTTGAAAGGCGAACGGGGAATGGCTCCGGAGTCAACGCAGGGGAATCGGGCCTCATCTCGAGTTGATTTGGGGCACATGGAGCTGCTTTGCTTTGCTGCGGTGACCTCAGGATCCGTCTAGACTTGTGACAGTGTTCTTGGGGACTGTCTCGAGATCCATTAAGAAAGTCGAAGGTCCTGACTGGTTTGAATGGGATCACGGAATAGCTCTGCATGCACTGCAGGGGAATGGGGCCTAATCTCGCATCTAGGGGGAAGTCTCACGGTTTTTCTCGAGTTGCGGCGTGGACCTGGGGTGTGTTCTCGACTTACGGCGGGGATGGCCCTTCAAAACACGTGTTTATTCAGTGACGTCAGGACTCCTGTCTAGTAACGAGGGACACCTCAGGAATCTCTTCGAGGCTTGGCAGGGCAAAAGGGACGCTTCTCGAGGTGAGGCAGGGCACCCAAGGACCGTTTCCAGTAGCCACAGGGATTTTGGGATTCCTATCAGTATTCAAAAGGAGTCAGGCATCATCACCTTTTGAAGCAATGAACTCTGCGTGCCTCTCGAGGTGTCAACGGGATGTGAGGAATTCCGTAAAAAAAAGAGGCAGGGACCTAGGGCTTTCTCTAAGGTCTCCACAGGGGATTCAGACATCCCTTCATGTTGTGAGATGAAAGACGAGCCTGTATTCAAGCCACTGCAAGGAAATCCGGCCTCCTTTCAAGTTAGGGCTTCTCGCTTTATACTCCACTTGAGGCAGCGATCTCGGGGTCCCTTCCACATACCTATTGCTGGGAGAAGCCTCCTCCTGAGGTGCTTCTGGAAAGTTGGCATACGACTTGAGCCTAAGCCAGGGAATCAGCTCTCATCTCGAGACGATTTGGGGTACACGGAGCATTCCTCGAGTTGCTGTGCTGAAGTTGGTGTTCCTCTAGCCTTGGGACAGTGTTCTCGGGGCATCTCTGGAGTTGCCTGAAGGATGTCGAGCCACCGGTCGTGTTGAATGGGGAACGGGGAATGGCTCTGGAGTCAATGCAGGGGAATCGGGCCTCATCTCGAGTTGATTTGGGGCACATGGAGCTGCTTTGCATTGCTGGGGTTACCTCAGGGTCCGTCTAGACGGGTGACAGTGTTCTTGGGGACTGTCTCAAAATCCATTAAGCAAGTCGAAGCTCCTGACTTGTTTGAATGGGATCACGGAATAGCTCTGCATGCACTGCAGGGGAATGCGGCCTCATCTCGCCTCTAGGGGGAAGTCTCATGGTTTTACTCGAGTTGCGGCGGGGACCTGGGGTATGTTCTCGACTTACGGCGGGGATGGCCCTTCAAAACACGAGTTTCTTCAGTGACGTAGGACTCCTGTCTAGTAACCAGGGACACCTCAGGGAACTCTTCGAGGTTTGGCAGGGCAAAAGGGACCCTTCTCGAAGTGATGCAGGGCACCCAAGGACCCTTTCCAGTAGCCAAAGGGATTTTGTGATTCCTAACAGTATTCAAGAGGAGTCAGGCATCGTCACCTTTTGAAGCAATGAACTCCGCGTGCCTCTCGAGGTGTCAATGGGATGTGAGGCATTCCGTCAAAATGACGCAGGTATCCAGGGCTTTCTCTAAGGTCTCCACAGTGGATTCAGACATCCCTTCATTTTTTGAGATCAAAGACGAGCCTGTATTCAAGCCACTGTGGAAATCCGGCCTCCTTTGAAGTTAGGGCTTCTCGCTGTATACTCCACTTGAGGCAGCGATCTCGGGGTCCCTCCCACATACCTATTGCTGGGAGAATCCTCCTCCTGAGGTGCTTCTGGAAAGTTGGCATACGTCTTGAGCCTAAGCCAGGGAATCAGCTCTCATCTCGAGACGATTTGGGGTACACGGAGCATTCCTCGAGTTGCTGTGCTGAAGTTGGTGTTCCTCTAGCCTTGGGACAGTGTTCTCGGGACATCTCTGGAGTTGCCTGAAGGAAGTCGAGCCACCGGTCGTGTTGAATGGGGAACGGGGAATGGCTCTGGAGTCAATGCAGGGGAATCGGGCCTCATCTCGAGTTGATTTGGATCACATGGAGCTGCTTTGCATTGCTGGGGTGACCTCAGGGTCTGTCTAGACTGGTGACAGTGTTCTTGGGGACTGTCTCGAGATCCATTAAGCAAGTGGAAGCTCCTGACTTGTTTGAATGGGATCACGGAATAGCTCTGCATGCACTGCAGGGGAATGCGGCCTCATCTCACCTCTAGGGGGAAGTCTCATGGTTTTTCTCGAGTTGCGGCAGGGACCTGGGGTATGTTCTCGACTTACGGCGGGGATGGCCCTTCAAAACACGAGTTTCTTCAGTGACGTCAGGACTCCTGTCTAGTAACGAGGGACACCTCAGGAATCTCTTCGAGGCTTGGCAGGGCAAAAGGGACGCTTCTCGATGTGAGGCAGGGCACCCAAGGACCCTTTCCAGTAGCTACAGGGATTTTGGGATTCCTATCAGTATTCAAGAGGAGTCAGGCATCGTCACCTTTTGAAGCAATGAACTCCGCGTGCCTCTCGAGGTGTCAACGGGATGTGAGGCATTCCGTCAAAATGAGGCAGGGACCTAGGGCTTTCTCTAAGGTCTCCACAGGGGATTCAGACATCCCTTCATGTTGTGAGATGAAAGACGAGCCTGTATTCAAGCCACTGCAAGGAAATCCGGCCTCCTTTCAAGTTACGGTTTTTCGCTGTATATTCCACTTGAGGCACCGATCTCGGGGTCCCTCCCACATTCCTATTGCTGAGAGAAGCCTCCTCCTGAGGTGCTTTTGGAAAGTTGGCATACGTCTTGAGCCTAAGCCAGGGAATCAGCTCTCATCTCGAGACGCTTTGGGGTACACGGAGCATTCCTCGAGTTGCTGTGCTGAAGTTGGTGTTCCTCTAGACTTGGGACAGTGTTCTCCGTGCATCTCTGGAGTTGCCTGAAGGAAGTCGAGCCACCTGTCGTGTTGAATGCGGAACGTGGAATGGCTCTGGAGTCAATGCAGTGGAATCGGGCCTCATCTCGAGTTGATTTGGGGCACATGCAGCTGCTTTGCGTTGCTGGGGTGACCTCAGGGTCCGTCTAGACTGGTGACAGTGTTCTTGTGGACTATCTCGAGATCCATTAAGCAAGTCGAAGCTCCTGACTTGTTTGAATGGGATCACGGAATTGCTCTGCATGCACTGCAGGGGAATGGGGCCTCATCTCGCTTCTAGGGGGAAGTCTTATGGTTTTCCTCGAGTTGCAGCGGGGACCTGGGGTATGTTCTCGACTTACAGTTGGGATGGCCCTTCAAAAAACATGTTTATTCCGTGACGTCAGGACTCCTGTCTAGTAATGAGGGACACCTCAGGAATTTCTTCGAGTCTTGTCAGGGCAAAAGGGACGCTTCTCGAGGTGAGGCAGGGCACCCAAGGACCCTTACCAGTAGCCACAGGGATTTTGGGATTCCTATCAGTATTCAAGAGGAGTCAGGCATCATCACCTTTTGAAGCAATGAACTCTGCGTGCCTCTCGATGTGACAACGGGATGTGAGGCATTCCATCAAAATGACGCAGGTATCCAGGGCTTTCTCTAAGGTCTCCACAGGGGATTCAGACATCCCTTCATGTTTTGAGATCAAAGACGAGACTGTATTCAAGCCACTGCAAGGAAATCCGGCCTCCTTTCAAGTTAGGCCTTCTCGCTGTATATTCAACTTGAGGCAGTGATCTCGTGGTCCCTCCCACATAAGTATTGCTGGGAGAAGCCTACTCCTGAAGTGCTTCTGGAAAGTTGGCATACGTCTTGAGCCTAAGCCAGGGAATCAGCTCTCATCTCGAGACGATTTGGGGTACACGGAGCATTACTCGAGTTGCTGTGCTGAAGTTGGTGTTCCTCTAGATTTGGGACAGTGTTCTCGGGGCATCACTGGAGATGCCTGAAGGACGTCGAGCCACCAGTCATGTTGAATGGGGAACGGGGAATGGCTCTGGAGTCAATGCAGGGGAATTGTGCCTTATCTCGAGTTGATTTGGGGCATATGCAGCGGCTTTGCATTGCTGGGGTGACCTCAGGGTCCGTCTAGACTGGTGACAGTGTTTTTGGGGACTGTCTCGAGATCCATTAAGCAAGTCGAAGCTCCTGACTTGTTTGAATGGGATCACGGAATTGCTCTGCATGCACTGCAGGGGAATGGGGCCTCATCTCGCTTCTAGGGGGAAGTCTCATGGTTTTTCTCGAGTTGCGGCGGGGACCTGGGGTATGTTCTCGACTTACGGCGGGGATGGCCCTTCAAAACACGAGTTTCTTCAGTGAAGTAGGACTCCTGTCTAGTAACCAGGGACACCTCAGGGAACTCTTCGAGGTTTGGCAGGGCAAAAGGGACCCTTCTCGAGGTGATGCAGGGCACCCAAGGATCCTTTCCAGTAGCCACATTGATTTTGTGATTCCTAACAGTATTCAAGAGGAGTCAGGCATCGTCACCTTTTGAAGCAATGAACTCCGCGTGCCTCTCGAAGTGTCAACGGGATGTGAGGCATTCCGTCAAAATGACGCAGGTATCCAGGGCTTTCTCTAAGGTCTTCACAGTGGATTCAGACATCCCTTCATTTTTTGAGATCAAAGACGAGCCTGTATTCAAGCCACTGTGAGGAAATCCAGCCTCCTTTCAAGTTAGGGCTTCTCGCTGTATACTCCACTTGAGGCAGCGATCTCGGTGTCCCTCCCACATACCTATTGCTGGCAGAAGCTTCCTCCTGAGGTGCTTCTGGAAAGTTGGCATACGTCTTGAGCCTAAGCCAGGGAATCAGCTCTCATCTAGAGACGACTTGGGGTACACGGAGCATTCCTCGAGTTGCTGTGCTGAAGTTGGTGTTCCTCTAGCCTTGGGACAGTGTTCTCGGGGCATCTCTGGAGTTGCCTGAAGGAAGTCGAGCCACCGGTGATGGTGAAAGGCGAACGGGGAATGGCTCTGGAGTCAATGCAGGGGAATCGTGCCTCATCTCGAATTGATTTGGGGCACATGCAGCGGCTTTGCATTGCTGGGGTGACCTCAGGGTCCGTCTAGACTGGTGACAGTGTTCTTGGGGACTGTCTCGAGATCCATTAAGCAAGTCGAAGGTCCTGACTTGTTTGAATGGGATCACCTAATTGCTCTGCATGCACTGCAGGGGAATGCGGCCTCATCTCGCCTCTAGGGGGAAGTCTCATGTTTTTTCTCGAGTTGCAGCGGGGACCTGGGGTATGTTCTCGACTTACGGCGGGGATGGCCCTTCAAAACACGAGTTTTTCAGTGACGTAGGATGCATGTCTAGTAACCAGGGACACCTCAGGGAACTCTTCGAGGTTTGGCAGGGCAAAAGGGACCGTTCTTGAAGTGATGCAGGGCACCCAAGGACCCTTTCCAGTAGCGACAGGGATTTTGTGATTCCTATCAGTATTCAAGAGGAGTCAGGCATCGTCACCTTTAGAAGCAATGAACTCCGCGTGCCTCTCGAGGTGTCAACGGGATGTGAGGTATTCCGTCAAAATGAGGCAGGTATCCAGGGCTTTCTCTAAGGTCTCCACAGGGGATTCAGACATCCCTTCATGTTGTGAGATGAAAGACGAGCCTGTATTCAAGCCACTGCAAGGAAATCCGGCCTCCTTTCAAGTTAAGGCTTTTCGCTGTATATTCCCCTTGAGGCAGCAAATTCGGGGTCCCTCCCACATACCTATTGCTGAGAGAAGCCTCCTCCTGAGGTGCTTCTGGAAAGTTGGCATACGTCTTGAGCCTAAGCCAGGGAATCACCTCTCATCTCGAGACGATTTGGGGTACACGGAGCATTCCTCGAGTTGCTGTGCTGAAGTTGGTGTTCCTCTAGCCTTGGGACAGTGTTCTCGGGGCATCTCTGGAGTTGCCTGAAAGAAGTCGAGCCACCGGTCGTGTTGAATGGGGAACGGGGAATGGCTCTGGAGTCAATGCAGGGGAATCGGGCATCATCTCGAGTTGATTTGGGGCACATGCACCTGCTTTGCGTTGCTGGGGTGACCTCAGTGTCCGTCTAGACAGGTGACAGTGTTCTTGGGGACTGTCTCGAGATTCATTAAGCAAGTCGAAGCTCCTGACTTGTATGAATGGGATCACGGAATAGCTCTGCATGCACTGCAGGGGAATGCGGCCTCATCTCGCCTCTAGGGGAAGTCGCATGGTTTTTCTCGAGTTGCGGCGGGGACCTGGGGTATGTTCTCGACTTACGGCGAGGATGGCCCTTCAAAACAGGAGTTTCTTCAGTGACGTCAGGACTCCAGTCTAGTAATGAGGGACACCTCAGGAATCTCTTCGAGGTTTGGCAGGGCAAAAGGGACGCTCCTCGAGGTGAGGCAGGGCACCCAAGGACCCTTTCCAGTAGCCACAGGGATTTTAGGATTCCTTTCGGTATTCAAGAGGAGTCAGGCATCGTCACCTTTTGAAGCAATGAACTCCGCGTGCCTCTCGAGGTGTCAATGGGATGTGAGGCATTCCGTCAAAATGAGGCAGGGACCTAGGGCTTTCCCTAAGGTCTCCACAGGGGATTCAGACATCCCTTCATGTTGTGAGATGAAAGACGAGCCTGTGTTCAAGCCACTGCAAGGAATTCCGGCCTCCTTTCAAGTTAGGGCTTCTCGCTGTATACTCCACTTGAGGCAGCGATCCCGGGGTCCCTCCCACATAGCTATTGCTGGGAGAAGCCTCCTCCTGAGGTGCTTCTGGAAAGTTGGCATACGTCTTGAGCCTAAGCTAGGGAATCAGCTCTCATCTCGAGACGATTTGGGGTACACGGAGCATTCCTCGAGTTGCTGTGCTGAAGTTGGTGTTCCTCTAGACTTGGGACAGTGTTCTCGGGGCATCTCTGGAGTTGCCTGAAGGAAGTCGAGCCACCGGTCGTGTTGAATGGCGAATGGGAATGGCTCTGGAGTCAATGCAGGGGAATCAAGCCTCATCTCGAGTTGATTTGGGGCACATGGAGCTGCTTTGCGTTGCTGGGGTGACCTCAGGGTCCGTCTAGACTGGTGACAGTGTTCTTGGGGACTGTCTCGAGATCCATTAAGCAAGTCGAATCTCCTGACTTGTTTGAATGGGATCACGGAATAGCTCTGCATGCACTGTAGGGGAATGGGGCCTCATCTCGCTTCTATGGGGAAGTCTCATGGTTTTTCTCGAATTGCGGCGGGGACCTGGGGTATGTTCTCGACTTACAGCGGAGATGGCCCTTCAAAACACATGTTTATTCAGTGACGTCAGGACTCCTGTCTAGTAATGAGGGACACCTCAGGAATCTCTTCGAGGCTTGGCAGGACAAAAGGGACGCTTCTCGAGGTGAGGCAGAGCACCCAAGGACCCTTTCCAGTAGCCACAGGGATTTTGGGATTCCTCTCAGTATTCAAGAGGAGTCAGGCATCGTCACCTTTTGAAGCAATGAACTCCGCGTGCCTCTCGAGGTGTCAACGGGATGTGAGGCATTCTGTCAAAATGACGCAGGGATCCAGGGCTTTCTCTAAGGTCTCCACGGGGGATTCAGAGATCGCTTCATGTATTGAGATCAAAGACGAGCCTGTATTCAAGCCACTGCAAGGAAATCCGGCCTCCTTTCAAGTTAGGGCTTCTCGCTGTATATTCCACTTGAGGCAGCGATCTCGGGGTCCCTCCCACATACCTATTGCTGGTAGAAGCCTACTCCTGAGGTGCTTCTGGAAAGTTGGCATACGTCTTGAGCCTAAGCCAGGGAATCAGCTCTGATCTCGAGACGATTTGGGGTACACGGAGCATTCCTCGAGTTGCTGTGCTGAATTTGGTGTTCCTCTAGCCTTGGGACAGTGTTATCGGGGCAACTCTGGAGTTGCCTGAAGGAAGTCGAGCCACAGGTCGTGTTGAATGGGGAATGGGGAATGGCTCTGGAGTCAATGCAGGGGAATTGGGCGTCTTCTCAAGTTGATTTGGGGCACATGGAGCTGCTTTGCGTTGCTGGGGTGACCTCAGGGTCTGTCTAGGTTGGTGACAGTGTTCTTGGGGACTGTCTCGAGATCCATTAAGCAAGTCGAAGCTCCTGACTTGTTTGAGTGGGATCACGGAATATCTCTGCATGCACTGCAGGGGAATGGGGCGTCATCTCGCCTCTAGGGGAAAGTCTCATGGTTTTTCTCGAGTTGCGGCGGGGACCTGGGGTATGTTCTCGACTTACGGCGGGGATGGCCCTTCAAAATACGAGTTTCTTCAGTGACGTCAGGACTCCAGTCTAATAACGAGGGACACCTCAGGAATCTCTTCGAGGCTTGGCAGTGTAAAAGGGACGCTTCTCGAGGTGAGGCAGGGCACCCAAGGACCCTTTCCAATAGCCACAGGGATTTTGGGATTCCTATCTGTATTCAAAACGAGTCAGGCATCGTCACCTTTTGAAGCAATGAACTCTGAGTGCCTCTCGAGGTGTCAACGGGATGTGAGGCATTACGTCAAAATGAGGCACCGAACTAGGCCTTTTTCTAAGGTCTCCACAGGGGATTCACACATCCCTTCATGTTGTGAGATGAAAGACGAGCCTGTATTCAAGCCACTGCAAGGAAATCCGGCCTCCTTTCAAGTTAGGGCTTCTCGGTGTATATTCCCCTTGAGGCAGCAAATTCGGGGTCCCTCCCACATACCTATTCCTGGGAGAAACCTCCTCCTGAGGTGCTTCTGGAATGTTGGCATACGTCTTGAGCCTAAACCAGGGAATCAGCTCTCATCTCGAGACGACTTGGGGTACACGGAGCATTCCTCGAGTTGCTGTGCTGAAGTTGGTGTTCCTCTAGCCTTGGGACAGTGTTCTCGGGGCATCTCTGGAGTTGCCTGAAGGAAGTCGAGCCACCGGTCGTGTTGAATGGGGAACGGGGAATGGCTCTGGAGTCAATGCAGGGGAATCGGGCCTCATCTCGAGTTGATTTGGGGCACATGGAGCTGCTTTGCATTGCTGGGGTGACATCAGGGTCCGTCTAGATTGGTGACAGTGTTCTTGGGGACTGTCTCGAGATCCATTAAGCAAGTCGAAGCTCCTGACTTGTTTGAGTGGGATCACGGAATAGCGCTGCATGCACTGCAGGGGAATGGGTCCTCATCTCGCCTCTAGGGGGAAGTCTCATGGTTTTTCTCGAGTTGCGGCGGGGACCTGGGGTATGTTCCCGACTTACGGCGGGGATGGCCCTTCAAAACACGAGTTTCTTCAGTGACGTCAGGACTCCAGTCTAGTAACGAGGGACACCTCAGGAATCTCTTCGAGGCTTGGCAGGGCAAAAGGGACGCTTCTCGAGGTGAGGCAGGGCACCCAAGGACCCTTTCCAGTAGCCACAGGGATTTTGGGATTCCTATCAGTATTCAAAAGGAGTCAGGCTTCGTCACCTTTTGAAGCAATGAACTCTGAGTGCCTCTCGAGGTGTCAACGGGATGTGAGGCATTCCGTCAAAATGAGGCACCGAACTAGGCCTTTTTCTAAGGTCTCCACAGGGGATTCACACATCCCTTCATGTTGTGAGATGAAAGACGAGCCTGTATTCAAGCCACTGCAAGGAAATCCGGCCTCCTTTCAAGTTAGGGCTTCTCGCTGTATATTCCCCTTGAGGCAGCTATCTCGGGGTCCCTCCCACATACCTATTGCTGGGAGAAACCTCCTCCTCAGGTGCTTCTGGAAAGTTGGCATACGTCTTGAGCCTAAGCCAGGGAATCAGCTCTCAGCTCGAGACGACTTGGGGTACACGGAGCATTCCTCGAGTTGCTGTGCTGAAGTTGGTGTTCCTCTAGCCTTGGGACAGTGTTCTCGGGGCATCTCTGGAGTTGCCTGAAGGAAGTCGAGCCACCGGTCGTGTTAAATGGGGAACGGGGAATGGCTCTGGAGTCAATGCAGGGGAATCGGGCCTCATCTCGAGTTGATTTGGGGCACATGCAGCTGCCTTGCGTTGCTGGGGTGACCTCAGGGTCCGTCTAGACTGGTGACAGTGTTCTTGTGGACTATCTCGAAATCCATTAAGCAAGTCGAAGCTCCTGACTTGTTTGAATGGGATCACGGAATTGCTCTGCGTGCACTGCAGGGGAATGGGGCCTCATCTCGCTTCTAGGGGGAAGTCTTATGGTTTTCCTCGAGTTGCAGCGGGGACCTGGGGTATGTTCTCGACTTACAGCGGGGATGGCCCTTCAAAAAACATGTTTATTCCGTGACGTCAGGACTCCTGTCTAGTAATGAGGGACACCTCAGGAATTTCTTCGAGGCTTGTCAGGGCAAAAGGGACGCTTCTCGAGGTGAGGCAGGGCACCCAAGGACCCTTACCAGTAGCCACAGGGATTTTGGGATTCCTATCAGTATTCAAGAGGAGTCAGGCATCGTCACCTTTTGAAGCAATGAACTCTGCATGCCTCTCGAGGTGACAACGGGATATGAGGCATTCCATCAAAATGACGCAGGTATCCAGGGCTTTCTCTAAGGTCTCCACAGGGGATTCAGACATCCCTTCATGTTTTGAGATCAAAGACGAGACTGTATTCAAGCCACTGCAAGGAAATCCGGCCTCCTTTCAAGTTAGGCCTTCTCGCTGTATATTCCACTTGAGGCAGTGATCTCGTGGTCCCTCCCACATAAGTATTGCTGGGAGAAGCCTACTCCTGAGGTGCTTCTGGAAAGTTGGCATACGTCTTGAGCCTAAGCCAGGGAATCAGCTCTCATCTCGAGACGATTTGGGGTACACGGAGCATTTCTCGAGTTGCTGTGCTGAAGTTGGTGTTCCTCTAGATTTGGGACAGTCTTCTCGGGGCATCGCTGGAGATGCCTGAAGGAAGTCGAGCCACCAGTCGTGTTGAATGGGGAACGGGGAATGGCTCTGGAGTCAATGCAGGGGAATTGTGCCTTATCTCGAGTTGATTTGGGGCATATGCAGCGGCTTTGCATTGCTGGGGTGGCCTCAGGGTCCGTCTAGACTGGTGACAGTGTTCTTGGGGACTGTCTCGAGATCCATTAAGCAAGTCGAAGCTCCTGACTTGTTTGAGTGGGATCACGGAATAGCTCTGCATGCACTGCAGGGGAATGGGGCCTCATCTCGCCTCTAGGGGGAAGTCTCATGCTTTTTCTCGAGTTGCGGCGGGGACCTGGGGTATGTTCCCGACTTACGGCGGGGATGGCCCTTCAAAACACGAGTTTCTTCAGTGACGTCAGGACTCCAGTCTAGTAACGAGGGACACCTCAGGAATCTCTTCGAGGCTTGGCAGGGCAAAAGGGACGCTTCTCGAGGTGAGGCAGGGCACCCAAGGACCCTTTCCCGTAGCCACAGGGATTTTGGGATTCCTATCAGTATTCAAAAGGAGTCAGGCTTCGTCACCTTTTGAAGCAATGAACTCTGAGTGCCTCTCGAGGTGTCAACGGGATGTGAGGCATTCCGTCAAAATGAGGCACCGAACTAGGCCTTTTTCTAAGGTCTCCACAGGGGATTCACACATCCCTTCATGTTGTGAGATGAAAGACGAGCCTGTATTCAAGCCACTGCAAGGAAATCCGGCCTCCTTTCAAGTTAGGGCTTCTCGCTGTATATTCCCCTTGAGGCAGCTATCTCGGGGTCCCTCCCACATACCTATTGCTGGGAGAAACCTCCTCCTCAGGTGCTTCTGGAAAGTTGGCATACGTCTTGAGCCTAAGCCAGGGAATCAGCTCTCAGCTCGAGACGACTTGGGGTACACGGAGCATTCCTCGAGTTGCTGTGCTGAAGTTGGTGTTCCTCTAGCCTTGGGACAGTGTTCTCGGGGCATCTCTGGAGTTGCCTGAAGGAAGTCGAGCCACCGGTCGTGTTAAATGGGGAACGGGGAATGGCTCTGGAGTCAATGCAGGGGAATCGGGCCTCATCTCGAGTTGATTTGGGGCACATGCAGCTGCTTTGCGTTGCTGGCGTGACCTCAGGGTCCGTCTAGACTGGTGACAGTGTTCTTGTGGACTATCTCGAGATCCATTAAGCAAGTCGAAGCTCCTGACTTGTTTGAATGGGATCACGGAATTGCTCTGCATGCACTGCAGGGGAATGGGGCCTCATCTCGCTTCTAGGGGGAAGTCTTATGGTTTTCCTCGAGTTGCAGCGGGGACCTGGGGTATGTTCTCGACTTACGGCGAGGATGGCCCTTCAAAACAGGAGTTTCTTCAGTGACGTCAGGACTCCAGTCTAGTAATGAGGGACACCTCAGGAATCTCTTCGAGGTTTGGCAGGGCAAAAGGGACGCTCCTCGAGGTGAGGCAGGGCACCCAAGGACCCTTTCCAGTAGCCACAGGGATTTTAGGATTCCTTTCGGTATTCAAGAGGAGTCAGGCATCGTCACCTTTTGAATCAATGAACTCCGCGTGCCTCTCGAGGTGTCAATGGGATGTGAGGCATTCCGTCAAAATGAGGCAGGGACCTAGGGCTTTCTCTAAGGTCTCCACAGGGGATTCAGACATCCCTTCATGTTGTGAGATGAAAGACGAGCCTGTGTTCAAACCACTGCAAGGAATTCCGGCCTCCTTTCAAGTTAGGGCTTCTCGCTGTATACTCCACTTGAGGCAGCGATCCCGGGGTCCCTCCCACATACCTATTGCTGGGAGAAGCCACCTCCTGAGGTGCTTCTGGAAAGTTGGCATACGTCTTGAGCCTAAGCCAGGGAATCAGCTCTCATCTCGAGACGATTTGGGGTACACGGAGCATTCCTCGAGTTGCTGTGCTGAAGTTGGTGTTCCTCTAGACTTGGGACAGTGTTCTCTGGGCATCTCTGGAGTTTCCTGAAGGAAGTCGAGCCACCGGTCGTGTTGAATGGCGAATGGGAATGGCTCTGGAGTCAATGCAGGGGAATCAAGCCTCATCTCGAGTTGATTTGGGTCACATGGAGCTGCTTTGCATTGCTGGGGTGACCTCAGGGTCCGTCTAGACTGGTGACAGTGTTCTTGGGGACTGTCTCGAGATCCATTAAGCAAGTCGAATCTCCTGACTTGTTTGAATGGGATCACGGAATAGCTCTGCATGCACTGTAGGGCAATGGGGCCTCATCTCGCTTCTATGGGGAAGTCTCATGGTTTTTCTCCAATTGCGGCGGGGAGCTGGGGTATGTTCTCGACTTACAGCGGAGATGGCCCTTCAAAACACATGTTTATTCAGTGACGTCAGGACTCATGTCTAGTAATGAGGGACACCTCAGGAATCTCTTCGAGGCTTGGCAGGACAAAAGGGACGCTTCTCGAGGTGAGGCAGAGCACCCAAGGACCCTTTCCAGTAGCCACAGGTATTTTGGGATTCCTCTCAGTATTCAAGAGGAGTCAGGCATCGTCACCTTTTGAAGCAATGAACTCCGCGTGCCTCTCGAGGTGTCAACGGGATGTGAGGCATTCTGTCAAAATGACGCAGGGATCCAGGGCTTTCTCTAAGGTCTCCACGGGGGATTCAGAGATCCCTTCATGTTTTGAGATCAAAGACGAGCCTGTATTCAAGCCACTGCAAGGAAATCCTGCCTCCTTTCAAGTTAGGGCTTCTCGCTGTATATTCCACTTGAGGCAGCGATCTCGGGGTCCCTCCCACATACCTATTGCTGGTAGAAGCCTACTCCTGAGGTGCTTCTGGAAAGTTGGCATACGTCTTGAGCCTAAGCCAGGGAATCAGCTCTCATCTCGAGACGATTTGGGGTACACGGAGCATTCCTCGAGTTGCTGTGCTGAAGTTGGTGTTCCTCTAGCCTTGGGACAGTGTTCTCGGGGCAACTCTGGAGTTGCCTGAAGGAAGTCGAGCCACAGGTCGTGTTGAATGGGGAACGGGGAATGGCTCTGGAGTCAATGCAGGGGAATTGGGCGTCATCTCAAGTTGATTTGGGGCACATGGAGCTGCTTTGCGTTGCTGGGGTGACCTCAGGGTCTGTCTAGGCTGGTGACAGTGTTCTTGGGGACTGTCTCGAGATCCATTAAGCAAGTCGAAGCTCCTGACTTGTTTGAGTGGGATCACGGAATATCTCTGCATGCACTGCAGGGGAATGGGGCGTCATCTCGCCTCTAGGGGAAAGTCTCATGGTTTTTCTCGAGTTGCGGTGGGGACCTGGGGTATGTTCTCGACTTACGGCGGGGATGGCCCTTCAAAGCACGAGTTTCTTCAGTGACGTCAGGACTCCAGTCTAGTAACGAGGGACACCTCAGGAATCTCTTCGAGGCTTGGCAGTGTAAAAGGGACGCTTCTCGAGGTGAGGCAGGGCACCCAAGGACCCTTATCCATAGCCACAGGGATTTTGGGATTCCTATCTGTATTCAAAAGGAGTCAGGCATCGTCACCTTTTGAAGCAATGAACTCTGAGTGCCTCTCGAGGTGTCAACGGGATGTGAGGCATTACGTCAAAATGAGGCACCGAACTAGGCCTTTTTCTAAGGTCTCCACAGGGGATTCAGACATCCCTTCATGTTGTGAGATGAAAGACGAGCCTGTATTCAAGCCACTGCAAGGAAATCCGGCCTCCTTTCAAGTTAGGGCTTCTCGGTGTATATTCCCCTTGAGGCAGCAAATTCGGGGTCCCTCCCACATACCTATTGCTGGGAGAAACCTCCTCCTGAGGTGCTTCTGGAATGTTGGCATACGTCTTGAGCCTAAGCCAGGGAATCAGCTCTCATCTCGAGACGACTTGGGGTACACGGAGCATTCCTCGAGTTGCTGTGCTGAAGTTGGTGTTCCTCTAGCCTTGGGACAGTGTTCTCGGGGCATCTCTGGAGTTGCCTGAAGGAAGTCGAGCCACCGGTCGTGTTGAATGGGGAACGGGGAATGGCTCTGGAGTCAATGCAGGGGAATCGGGCCTCATCTCGAGTTGATTTGGGTCACATGGAGCTGATTTGCATTGCTGGGGTGACCTCAGGGTCCGTCTAGATTGGTGACAGTGTTCTTGGGGACTGTCTCGAGATCCATTAAGCAAGTCGAAGCTCCTGACTTGTTTGAGTGGGATCACGGAATAGCGCTGCATGCACTGCAGGGGAATGCGTCCTCATCTCGCCTCTAGGGGGAAGTCTCATGGTTTTTCTCGAGTTGCGGCGGGGACCTGGGGTATGTTCCCGACTTACGGCGGGGATGGCCCTTCAAAACACGAGTTTCTTCAGTGACGTCAGGACTCCAGTCTAGTAACGAGGGACACCTCAGGAATCTCTTCGAGGCTTGGCAGGGCAAAAGGGACGCTTCTCGAGGTGAGGCAGGGCACCCAAGGACCCTTTCCAGTAGCCACAGGGATTTTGGGAATCCTATCAGTATTCAAAAGGAGTCAGGCTTCGTCACCTTTTGAAGCAATGAACTCTGAGTGCCTCTCGAGGTGTCAACGGGATGTGAGGCATTCCGTCAAAATGAGGCACCGAACTAGGCCTTTTTCTAAGGTCTCCACAGGGGATTCACACATCCCTTCATGTTGTGAGATGAAAGACGAGCCTGTATTCAAGCCACTGCAAGGAAATCCGGCCTCCTTTCAAGTTAGGGCTTCTCGCTGTATATTCCCCTTGAGGCAGCTATCTCGGGGTCCCTCCCACATACCTATTGCTGGGAGAAACCTCCTCCTCAGGTGCTTCTGGAAAGTTGGCATACGTCTTGAGCCTAAGCCAGGGAATCAGCTCTCAGCTCGAGACGACTTGGGGTACACGGAGCATTCCTCGAGTTGCTGTGCTGAAGTTGGTGTTCCTCTAGCCTTGGGACAGTGTTCTCGGGGCATCTCTGGATTTGCCTGAAGGAAGTCGAGCCACCGGTCGTGTTAAATGGGGAACGGGGAATGGCTCTGGAGTCAATGCAGGGGAATCGGGCCTCATCTCGAGTTGATTTGGGGCACATGCAGCTGCTTTGCGTTGCTGGGGTGACCTCAGGGTCCGTCTAGATTGGTGACAGTGTTCTTGGGGACTGTCTCGAGATCCATTAAGCAAGTCGAAGCTCCTGACTTGTTTGAATGGGGTCACGGAATTGCTCTGCATGCACTGCAGGGGAATGGGGCCTCATCTCGCTTCTAGGGGGAAGTCTTATGGTTTTCCTCGAGTTGCAGCGGGGACCTGGGGTATGTTCTCGACTTACAGCGGGGATGGCCCTTCAAAAAACGTTTATTCCGTGACGTCAGGACTCCTGTCTAGTAATGAGGGACACCTCAGGAATTTCTTCGAGGCTTGTCAGGGCAAAAGGGACGCTTCTCGAGGTGAGGCAGGGCACCCAAGGACCCTTACCAGTAGCCACAGGGATTTTGGGATTCCTATCAGTATTCAAGAGGAGTCAGGCATCATCACCTTTTGAAGCAATGAACTCTGCGTGCCTCTCGAGGTGACAACGGGATATGAGGCATTCCATCAAAATGACGCAGGTATCCAGGGCTTTCTCTAAGGTCTCCACAGGGGATTCAGACATCCCTTCATGTTTTGAGATCAAAGACGAGACTGTATTCAAGCCACTGCAAGGAAATCCGGCCTCCTTTCAAGTTAGGCCTTCTCGCTGTATATTCCACTTGAGGCAGTGATCTCGTGGTCCCTCCCAAATAAGTATTGCTGGGAGAAGCCTACTCCTGAGGTGCTTCTGGAAAGTTGGCATACGTCTTGAGCCTAAGCCAGGGAATCAGCTCTCATCTCGAGACGATTTGGGGTACACGGAGCATTACTCGAGTTGCTGTGCTGAAGTTGGTGTTCCTCTAGATTTGGGACAGTGTTCTCGGGGCATCGCTGGAGATGCCTGAAGGAAGTCGAGCCACCAGTCGTGTTGAATGGGGAACGGGGAATGGCTCTGGAGTCAATGCAGGGGAATTGTGCCTTATCTCGAGTTGATTTGGGGCATATGCAGCGGCTTTGCATTGCTGGGGTGACCTCAGGGTCCATCTAGACTGGTGACAGTGTTTTTGGGGACTGTCTCGAGATCCATTAAGCAAGTCGAAGCTCCTGACTTGTTTGAATGGGATCACGGAATTGCTCTGCATGCACTGCAGGGGAATGGGGCCTCATCTCGCTTCTAGGGGGAAGTCTCATGGTTTTTCTCGAGTTGCGGCGCGGACCTGGGGTATGTTCTCGACTTACGGCGGGGATGGCCCTTCAAAACACGAGTTTCTTCAGTGACGTAGGACTCCTGTCTAGTAACCAGGGACACCTCAGGGAACTCTTCGAGGTTTGGCAGGGCAAAAGGGACCCTTCTCGAGGTGATGCAGGGCACCCAAGGACCCTTTCCAGTAGCCACATTGATTTTGTGATTCCTAACAGTATTCAAGAGGAGTCAGGCATCGTCACCTTTTGAAGCAATGAACTCCGCGTGCCTCTCGAGGTGTCAACGGGATGTGAGGCATTCCGTCAAAATGACGCAGGTATACAGGGCTTTCTCTAAGGTCTTCACAGTGGATTCAGACATCCCTTCATTTTTTGAGATCAAAGACGAGCCTGTATTCAAGCCACTGTGAGGAAATCCAGCCTCCTTTCAAGTTAGGGCTTCTCGCTGTATACTCCACTTGAGGCAGCGATCTCGGGGTCCCTCCCACATACCTATTGCTGGGAGAAACCTCCTCCTGAGGTGCTTCTGGAAAGTTGGCATACGTCTTGAGCCTAAGCCAGGGAATCAGCTCTCAGCTCGCGACGACTTGGGGTACACGGAGCATTCCTCGAGTTGTTGTGCTGAAGTTGGTGTTCCTCTAGCCTTGGGACAGTGTTCTCGGGGCATCTCTGGAGTTGCCTGAAGGAAGTCGAGCCACCGGTGGTGTTGAAAGGCGAACGGGGAATGGCTCTGGAGTCAATGCAGGGGAATCGGGCCTCATCTCGAGTTGATTTGGGGCACATGCAGCTGCTTTGCGTTGCTGGGGTGACCTCAGGGTCCGTCTAGACTGGTGACAGTGTTCTTGGGGACTGTCTCGAGATCCATTAAGCAAGTCGAAGCTCCTGACTTGTTTGAATGGGATCACGGAATAGCTCTGCATGCAGTGCAGGGGAAAGGGGCCTCATCTCGCCTCTAGGGGGAAGTCTCATGGTTTTTCTCGAATTGCGGCGGGGACCTGGGATATGTTCTTGACTTACAGCGGGGATGGCCCTTCAAAACACATGTTTTTTCAGTGACGTCAGGACTCCTGTCTAGTAATGAGGGACACCTCAGGAATCTCTTCGAGGCTTGGCAGGGCAAAATGAACGCTTCTCGAGGTGAGGCAGGGAACCCAAGGACCCTTTCCAGTAGCCACAGGGATTTTGGGATTCCTCTCAGTATTCTAGAGGAGTCAGGCATCGTCACCTTTTGAAGCAATGAACTCTGCGTGCCTCTCGAGTTGTCAACGGGATGTGAGGCATTCCGTCAAAGTGACGCAGGGACCTAGGGCTTTCTCTAAGGTCTCCACAGGGCATTCAGTCATCCCTTCACGTTTTGAGATCAAAGACGAGCCTGTATTCAAGCCACTGCAAGGAAATCCGGCCTCCTTTCAAGTTAGGGCTTCTCGCTGTATATTCCCCTTGAGGCTGCTATCTCGGGGTCCCTCCCACATACCTATTGCTGGGAGAAACCTCCTCCTGAGGTGCTTCTGGAAAGTTGGCATACGTCTTGAGCCTAAGCCAGGGAATCAGCTCTCATCTCGAGACGACTTGGGGTACACGGAGCATTCCTCTAGTTGCTGTGCTGAAGTTGGTGTTCCTCTAGCCTTGGGACAGTGTTCTCGGGGCAACTCTGGAGTTGCCTGAAGGAAGTCGAGCCACTGGTCGTGTTGAATGGGGAATGGGGAATGGCTCTGGAGTCAATGCAGGGGAATCGGGCTTCATCTCGAGTTGATTTGGGGCACATGGAGCTGCTTTGCGTTGCTGGGGTTACCTCAGGGTCCGTCTAGACTGGTGACAGTGTTCTTGGGGACTGTCTCGAGATCCATTAAGCAAGTCGAAGCTCCTGACTTGTTTGAGTGGGATCACGGAATAGCTCTGCATGCACTGCAGGGGAATGGGGCGTCATCTCGCCTCTAGGGGGAAGTCTCATGGTTTTTCTCGAGTTGCGGCGGGGACCTGATGTATGTTCTCGACTTACGGCGGGGATGGCCCTTCAAAACACGAGTTTCTTCAGTGACGTCAGGACTCCAGTCTAGTAACGAGGGACACCTCAGGAATCTCTTCGAGGCTTGGCAGGGCAAAAGGGACGGTTCTCGAGGTGAGGCAGGGCACACAAGGACCCTTTCCAGTAGCCACAGGGATTTTGGGATTCCTATCAGTATTCAAAAGTAGTCAGGCATCGTCACCTTTTGAAGAAATGAACTCTGAGTGCCTCTCGAGGTGTCAACGGGATGTGAGGCATTCCGTCAAAATGAGGCACCGAACTAGGCCTTTTTCTAAGGTCTCCACAGGGGATTCACACATCCCTTCATGTTGTGAGATGAAAGACGAGCCTGTATTCAAGCCACTGCAAGGAAATCCGGCTTCCTTTCAAGTTAGGACTTCTCACTGTATATTCCCCTTGAGGCAGCTATCTCGGGGTCCCTCCCACATACCTATTGCTAGGAGAAACCTCCTCCTGAGGTGCTTCTGGAAAGTTGGCATACGTCTTGAGCCTAAGCCAGGGAATCAGCTCTCATCTCGAGACGACTTGGGGTACACGGAGCATTCCTCGAGTTGCTGTGCTGAAGGTGGTGTTCCTCTAGCTTTGGGACAGTGTTCTCGGGGCATCTCTGGAGTTGCCTGAAGGAAGTCGAGCCACCGGTCGTGTTGAATGGGGAACGGGGAATGGCTCTGGAGTCAATGCAGGGGAATCGGGCCTCATCTCGAGTTGATTTGGGGCATATGCAGCTGCTTTGCGTTGTTGGGGTGACCTCAGGGCCCGTCTCGACTGGTGACAGTGTTCTTGTGGACTATCTCGAGATCCATTAAGCAAGTCGAAGCTCCTGACTTGTTTGAATGGGATCACAAAATAGCTCTGCATGCACTGCAGGGGAATGGGGCCTCATCTCGCTTCTAGGGGGAAGTCTCATGGTTTTTCTCGAATTGCGGCGGGGACCTGGGATATGTTCTCGACTTAGAGCGGGGATGGCCCTTCAAAACACATGTTTATTCAGTGACGTCAGGACTCCTGTCTAGTAATGAGGGACACCTCAGGAATCTCTTCGAGGCTTGGCAGGGCAAAAGGGACGCTTCTCGAGGTGAGGCAGGGCACCCAAGGACCCTTTCCAGTAGCCACAGGGATTTTGGATTCCTCTCAGTATCCAAGAGGAGTCAGGCATCGTCACCTTTTGAAGCAATGAACTCTGAGTGCCTCTCGAGGTGTCAACGGGATGTGAGGCATTACCTCAAAATGACGCAGGGACCTAGGGCTTTCTCTAAGGTCTCCACAGCGGATTCAGGCATCCCTTCATGTTTTGAGATGAAAGACGAGCCTGTATTCAAGCCACTGCAAGGAAATCCGGCCTCCTTTCAAGTTAGGGCTTCTCGCTGTATATTTCACTTGAGGCAGCAATCTCGTGGTCCCTCCCACATACCTATTGCTTAAAGAATCCTCCTCCTGTGGTGCATCTGGAAAGTTGGCATACATCTTGAGCCTAAGCCAGGGAATCAGCTCTCATCTCGAGACGATTTGGGGTACACGGAGCATTCCTCGAGTTGCTGTGCTGAAGTTGGTGTTCCTCTAGCCTTGGGACAGTGTTCTCAGGGCAACTCTGGAGTTGCCTGAAGGAAGTCGAGCCAGTGGTCGTGTTGAATGGGGAACGGGGAATGGCTCTGGAGTCAATGCAGGGGAATCGGGCCTCATCTCGAGTTGATTTGGGGCACATGGAGCTGCTTTGCGTTGCTGGGGTGACCTCAGGGTCCGTCTAGACTGGTGACAGTGTTCTTGGGGACTGTCTCGAGATCCATTAAGTAAGTCGAAGCTCCTGACTTGTTTGAATGGGATCACGGAATAGCTCTGCATGCACTGCAGGGGAATGGGGCGTCATCTCGCCTCTAGGGGGAAGTCTCATGGTTTTTCTCGAGTTGCAGCGGGGACCTGGGGTATGTTCTCGACTTACGGCGGGGATGGCCCTTCAAAACACGAGTTTCTTCAGTGACGTCACGACTCCAGTCTAGTAACGAGGGACACCTCTGGAATCTCTTCGAGGCTTGGCAGGGCAAAAGGGACGGTTCTCGAGGTGAGGCAGGGCACACAAGGACCCTTTCCAGTAGCCACAGGGATTTTGGGATTCCTATCAGTATTCAAAAGGAGTCAGGCATCGTCACCTTTTGAAGAAATGAACTCTGAGTGCCTCTCGAGGTGTCAACGGGATGTGAGGCATTCCGTCAAAATGAGGCACCGAACTAGGCCTTTTTCTAACGTCTCCACAGGGGATTCACACATCCCTTCATGTTGTGAGATGAAAGATGAGCCTGTATTCAAGCCACTGCAAGGAAATCCGGCTTCCTTTCAAGTTAGGGCTTCTCGCTGTATATTCCCCTTGAGGCAGCTATCTCGGGGTCCCTCCCACATACCTATTGCTGGGAGAAACCTCCTCCTGAGGTGCTTCTGGAAAGTTGGCATACGTCTTGAGCCTAAGCCAGGGAATCAGCTCTCATCTCGAGACGACTTGGGGTACACGGAGCATTCCTCGAGTTGCTGTGCTGAAGTTGGTGTTCCTCTAGCCTTGGGACAGTGTTCTCGGGGCATCTCTGGAGTTGCCTGAAGGAAGTCGAGCCACCGGTCGTGTTGAATGGGGAACGGGGAATGGCTCTGGAGTCAATGCAGGGGAATCGGGCCTCATCTCGAGTTGATTTGTGGCACATGCAGCTGCTTTGCGTTGCTGGGGTGACCTCAGGGTCCGTCTAGACTGGTGACAGTGTTCTTGGGGACTGTCTCGAGATCCATTAAGCAAGTTGAAGCTTCTGACTTGTTTGAATGGGATCACGGAATAGCTCTGCATGCACTGCAGGGGAATGGGGCCTCATCTCGCTTCTAGGGGGAAGTCTCATGGTTTTTCTCGAATTGCGGCGGGGACCTAGGATATGTTCTCGACTTACAGCGGTGATGGCCCTTCAAAACAAATGTTTATTCAGTGACGTCAGGACTCCTGTCTAGTAATGAGGGACACCTCAGGAATCTCTTCGAGGCTTGGCAGGGCAAAAGGGACGCTTCTCGAGGTGAGGCAGGGCACCCAAGGACACTTTCCAGTAGCCACAGGGATTTTGGGATTCCTCTCAGTATTCACGAGGAGTCAGGCAACGTCACCTTTTGAAGCAATGAACTCTGCGTGCCTCTCGAGGTGTCAACGGGATGTGAGGCATTCCGTAAAAAAAAGAGGCAGGGACCTAGGGCTTTCTCTAAGGTCTCCACAGGGGATTCAGACATCCCTTCATGTTGTGAGATGAAAGACGAGCCTGTATTCAAGCCACTGCAAGGAAATAAGTCCTCCTTTCAAGATAGGGCTTCTCGCTGTATACTCCACTTGAGGCAGCGATCTCGGGGTCCCTTCCACATACCTATTGCTGGGAGAAGCCTCCTCCTGAGGTGCTTCTGGAAAGTTGGCATACGACTTGGGCCTAAGCCAGGGAATCAGCTCTCATCTCGAGACGATTTGGGGTACACGGAGCATTCCTCGAGTTGCTGTGCTGAAGTTGGTGTTCCTCTAGCCTTGGGACAGTGTTCTCGGGGCATCTCTGGAGTTGCCTGAAGGAAGTCGAGCCACCGGTCGTGTTGAATGGGGAACGGGGAATGGCTCTGGATTCAATGCGGGGAATCGGGCCTCATCTCGAGTTGATTTGGGGCACATGGAGCTGCTTTGCATTGCTGGGGTGACCTCAGGGTCCGTCTAGACTGGTGACAGTGTTCTTGGGGACTGTCTCGAGATCCATTAAGCAAGTCGAAGCCCCTGACTTGTTTGAATGGGATCACGGAATAGCTCTGCATGCACTGCAGGTGAATGCGGCCTCATCTCACCTCTAGAGGGAAGTCTCATGGTTTTACTCGAGTTGCGGCGGGGACCTGGGGTATGTTCTCGACTTACGGCGGGGATGGCCCTTCAAAACACGAGTTTCTTCAGTGACGTAGGACTCCTGTCTAGTAACCAGGGACACCTCAGGGAACTCTTCGAGGTTTGGCAGGGCAAAAGGGACCCTTTTCGAAGTGATGCAGGGCACCCAAGGACCCTTTCCAGTAGCCAAAGGGATTTTGTGATTCCTAACAGGATTCAAGAGGAGTCAGGCATCGTCACCTTTTGAAGCAATGAACTCCGCGTGCCTCTCGAGGTGTCAACGGGATGTGAGGCATTCCGTCAAAATGAGGCAGGGAACTAGGGCTTTCTCTAAGGTCTCCACAGCGGATTCAGACATCCCTTCATGTTGTGAGATGAAAGACGAGCCTGTATTCAAGCCACTGCAAGGAAATCCGGCCTCCTTTCAAGTTAGGGCTTCTCGCTGTATACTCCACTTGAGGCAGCGATCTTGGGGTCCCTCCCACATACCTATTGCTGGGAGAAGCCTCCTCCTGAGGTGCTTCTGGAAAGTTGGCATACGTCTTGAGCCTAAGCCAGGGAATCAGCTCTCATCTCGAGACGATTTGGGGTACACGGAGCATTCCTCGAGTTGCTGTGCTGAAGTTGGTGTTCCTCTAGCCTTGGGACAGGGTTCTCGGGGCATCTCTGGAGTTGCCTGAAGGAAGTCGAACCACCGGTCGTGTTGAATGGGGAACGGGGAATGGCTCTGGAGTCAATGCAGGGGAATCGGGCCTCATCTCGAGTTGATTTGGGGCACATGGAGCTGCTTTGCATTGCTGGGGTGACCTCAGGGTCCGTCTAGACTGGTGACAGTGTTCTTGGGGACTGTCTCGAGATCCATTAAGCAAGTGGAAGCTCCTGACTTGTTTGAATGGGATCACGGAATAGCTCTGCATGCACTGCAGGAGAATGCGGCCTCATCTCACCTCTAGGGGGAAGTCTCATGGTTTTTCTCGAGTTGCGGCGGGGACCTGGGGTATGTTCTCGACTTACGGCGGGGATGGCCCTTCAAAACACGAGTTTCTTCAGTGACGTCAGGACTCCTGTCTAGTAACGAGGGACACCTCAGGAATCTCTTCGAGGCTTGGCAGGGCAAAAGGGACGCTTCTCGATGTGAGGCAGGGCACCCAAGGACCCTTTCCAGTAGCTACAGGGATTTTGGGATTCCTATCAGTATTCAAGAGGAGTCAGGCATCGTCACCTTTTGAAGCAATGAACTCCGCGTGCCTCTCGAGGTGTCAACGGGATGTGAGGCATTCCGTCAAAATGAGGCAGGGACGTAGGGCTTTCTCTAAGGTCTCCACAGGGGATTCAGACATCCCTTCATGTTGTGAGATGAAAGACGAGCCTGTATTCAAGCCACTGCAAGGAAATCCGGCCTCCTTTCAAGTTACGGTTTTTCGCTGTATATTCCACTTGAGGCACCGATCTCGGGGTCCCTCCCACATACCTATTGCTGAGAGAAGCCTCCTCCTGAGGTGCTTTTGGAAAGTTGGCATACGTCTTGAGCCTAATCCAGGGAATCAGCTCTCATCTCGAGACGCTTTGGGGTACACGGAGCATTCCTCGAGTTGCTGTGCTGAAGTTGGTGTCCCTCTAGACTTGGGACAGTGTTCTCCGTGCATCTCTGGAGTTGCCTGAAGGAAATCGAGCCACCAGTCGTGTTGAATGGGGAACGGGGAATGGCTCTGGAGTCAATGCAGTGGAATCGGGCCTCATCTCGAGTTGATTTGGGGCACATGCAGCTGCTTTGCGTTGCTAGGGTGACCTCAGGGTCCGTCTAGACTGGTGACAGTGTTCTTGGGGACTATCTCGAGATCCATTAAGCAAGTCGAAGCTCCTGACTTGTTTGAATGGGATCACGGAATTGCTCTGCATGCACTGCAGGGGAATGGGGCCTCATCTCGCTTCTAGGGGGAAGTCTTATGGTTTTCCTCGAGTTGCAGCGGGGACCTGGGGTATGTTCTCGACTTACAGCGGGGATGGCCCTTCAAAAAACATGTTTATTCCGTGACGTCAGGACTCCTGTCTAGTAATGAGGGACACCTCAGGAATTTCTTCGAGGCTTGGCAGGGCAAAATGGAGGCTTCTCGAGGTGAGGCAGGGCACCCAAGGACCCTTTCCAGTAGCCACAGGGATTTTGGGATTCCTATCAGTATTCAAGAGGAGTCAGGCATCATCACCTTTTCAAGCAATGAACTCTGCGTGCCTCTCGAGGTGCCAAAGGGATGTGAGGCATTCCATCAAAATGACGCAGGTATCCAGGGCTTTCTCTAAGGTCTCCACAGGGGATTCAGACATCCCTTCATGTTTTGAGATCAAAGACGAGACTGTATTCAAGCCACTGCAAGGAAATCCGGCCTCCTTTCAAGTTAGGCCTTCTCGCTGTATATTCCACTTGAGGCAGTGATCTCGTGGTCCCTCCCACATAAGTATTGCTGGGAGAAGCCTACTCCTGAGGTGCTTCTGGAAAGTTGGCATACGTCTTGAGCCTAAGCCAGGGAATCAGCTCTCATCTCGAGACGATTTGGGGTACACGGAGCATTACTCGAGTTGCTGTGCTGAAGTTGGTGTTCCTCTAGATTTGGGACAGTGTTCTCGGGGCATCGCTGGAGATGCCTGAAGGAAGTCGAGCCACCAGTCGTGTTGAATGGGGAACGGGGAATGGCTCTGGAGTCAATGCAGGGGAATTGTGCCTTATCTCGAGTTGATTTGGGGCATATGCAGCGGCTTTGCATTGCTGGGGTGACCTCAGGGTCCGTCTAGACTGGTGACATTTATTTGGGGACTGTCTCGAGATCCATTAAGCAAGTCGAAGCTCCTGACTTGTTTGAATGGGATCACGGAATAGCTCTGCATGCACTGCAGGGGAATGGGGCCTCATCTCGCTTCTAGGGGGAAGTCTCATGGTTTTTCTCGAGTTGCGGCGCGGACCTGGGATATGTTCTCGACTTACGGCGGGGATGGCCCTTCAAAACACGAGTTTCTTCAGTGACGTAGGACTCCTGTCTAGTAACCAGGGACACCTCAGGGAACTCTTCGAGGTTTGGCAGGGCAAAAGGGACCCTTCTCGAGGTGATGCAGGGCACCCAAGGACCCTTTCCAGTAGCCACAGTGATTTTGTGATTCCTAACAGTATTCAAGAGGAGTCAGGCATCGTCACCTTTTGAAGCAATGAACTCCGCGTGCCTCTCGAGGTGTCAACGGGATGTGAGGCATTCCGTCAAAATGACGCAGGTATCCAGGGCTTTCTCTAAGGTCTTCACAGTGGATTCAGACATCCCTTCATTTTTTGAGATCAAAGACGAGCCTGTATTCAAGCCACTGTGAGGAAATCCAGCCTCCTTTCAAGTTAGGGCTTCTCGCTGTATACTCCACATGAGGCAGCGATCTCGGTGTCCCTCCCACATACCTATTGCTGGCCGAAGCTTCCTCCTGAGGTGCTTCTGGAAAGTTGGCATACGTCTTGAGCCTAAGCCAGGGAATCAGCTCTCATCTCGAGACGATTAGGGGTACACGGAGCATTCCTCGAGTTGCTTTGCTGAAGTTGCTGTTCCTCTAGCCTTGGGACAGTGTTCTCGGGGCATCTCTGGAGTTGCCTGAAGGAAGTCGAGCCACCGGTGGTGGTGAAAGGCGAACGGGGAATGGCTCTGGAGTCAATGCAGGGGAATCGTGCCTTATCTCGAGTTGATTTGGGGCACATGCAGCGGCTTTGCATTGCTGCGGTGACCTCAGGGTCCGTCTAGACTGGTGACAGTGTTCTTGGGGACTGTCTCGAGATCCATTAAGCAAGTCGAAGGTCCTGACTTGTTTGAATGGGATCACCTAATTGCTCTGCATGCACTACAGGGGAATGCGGCCTCATCTCGCCTCTAGGGGGAAGTCTCATGTTTTTTCTCGAGTTGCAGCGGGGACCTGGGGTATGTTCTCGACTTACGGCGGGGATGGCCCTTCAAAACACGAGTTTTTCAGTGACGTAGGACGCATGTCTAGTAACCAGGGACACCTCAGGGAACTCTTTGAGGTTTGGCAGGGCAAAAGGGACCCTTCTTGAACTGATGCAGGGCACCCAAGGACCCTTTCCAGTAGTGACAGGGATTTTGTGATTCCTATCAGTATTCAAGAGGAGTCTAGCATCGTCACCTTTAGAAGCAATGAACTCCGCGTGCCTCTCGAGGTGTCAACGGGATGTGAGGCATTCCGTCAAAATGAGGCAGGTATCCAGGGCTTTCTCTAAGGTCTCCACAGGGGATTCAGACATCCCTTCATGTTGTGAGATGAAAGACGAGCCTGTATTCAAGCCACTGCAAGGAAATCCGGCCTCCTTTCAAGTTAAGGCTTTTCGCTGTATATTCCTCTTGAGGCAGCAAATTCGGGGTCCCTCCCACATACCTATTGCTGAGAGAAGCCTCCTCCTGAGGTGCTTCTGGATAGTTGGCATACGTCTTGAGCCTAAACCAGGGAATCAGCTCTCATCTCGAGACGATTTGGGGTACACGGAGCATTCCTCGAGTTGCTGTGCTGAAGTTGGTGTTCCTCTAGCCTTGGGACAGTGTTCTCGGGGCATCTCTGGAGTTGCCTGAAAGAAGTCGAGCCACCGGTCGTGTTGAATGGGGAACGGGGAATGGCTCTGGAGTCAATGCAGGGGAATCGGGCATCATCTCGAGTTGATTTGGTGCACATGCAGCTGCTTTGCGTTGCTGGGGTGACCTCAGTGTCCCTCTAGACAGGTGACAGTGTTCTTGGGGACTGTCTCGAGATTCATTAAGCAAGTCGAAGCTCCTGACTTGTATGAATGGGATCACGGAATAGCTCTGCATGCACTGCAGGGGAATGCGGCCTCATCTCGCCTCTAGGGGAAGTCACATGGTTTTTCTCGAGTTGCGGCGGGGACCTGGGGTATGTTCTCGACTTACGGCGAGGATGGCCCTTCAAAACAGGAGTTTCTTCAGTGACGTCAGGACTCCAGTCTAGTAATGAGGGACACCTCAGGAATCTCTTCGAGGTTTGGCAGGGCAAAAGGGACGCTTCTCGAGGTGAGGCAGGTCACCCAAGGACCCTTACCAGTAGCCACAGGGATTTTGGGATTCCTATCAGTATTCAAGAGGAGTCAGGCATCGTCAACTTTTGAAGCAATGAACTCTGCGTGCCTCTCGAAGTGACAACGGGATGTGAGGCATTCCATCAAAATGACGCAGGGAACAAGGGCTTTCTCTAAGGTCTCCAAAGGGGATTCAGACATCCCTTCATGTTGTGAGATGAAAGACGAGCCTGTATTCAAGCCACTGCAAGGAAATCCGGCCTCCTTTCAAGTTAGGGCTTCTTGCTGTATATTCCCCTTGAGGCAGCAAACTCGGCGTCCCTCCCACATAACTATTGCTGAGAGAAGCCTCCTCCTGAGGTGCTTCTGAAAAGTTGGCATACGTCTTGAGCCTAAGCCAGGGAAATAGCTCTCATCTCGGGATGATTTGGGGTACACGGAGCATTCCTCGAGTTGCTGTGCTGAAGTTGCTGTTCCTCTAGACTTGGGACAGTGTTCTCGGGGCATCTCTGGAGTTGCCTGAAGGAAGTCGAGCCACCGGTCGTGTTGAATGGGGAACGGGGAATGGCTCTGGTGTCAATGAAGGGGAATCGGCCTCATATCGAGTTGATTTGGGGCACATGCAGCTGCTTTGCGTTGCTGGGGTGACCTCAGGGTCCGTCTAGACTGGTGACAGTGTTCTTGGGGACTGTCTCGAGATCCATTAAGCAAGTCGAAGCTCCTGACTTGTTTGAATGGGATCACGGAATAGCTCTGCATGCACTGCAGGGGAATGGGGCCTCATCTCGCCTCTAGGGGGAAGTCTCATGGTTTTTCTCGAGTTGCGGCGGGGACCTGGGGTATGTTCTCGACTTACGGCGGGGATGTCCCTTCAAAACACGAGTTTCTTCAGTGACGTCAGGACTCCAGTCTAGTAACGAGGGACACCTCAGGAATCTCTTCGAGGCTTGGCAGGGCAAAAGGGACGCTTCTCGAGGTGAGGCAGGGCACCCAAGGACCCTTTCCAGTAGCCACAGGGATTTTGTGATTCCTATCAGTATTCAAGAGGAGTCAGGCATCGTCACCTTTTGAAGCAATGAACTCCGCGTGCCTCTCGAGGTGTCAACGGGATGTGAGGCATTCCGTCAAAATGACGCAGGTATCCAGGGCTTTCTCTAAGGTCTCCACAGTGGATTCAGACATCCCTTCATTTTCTGAGATCAAAGATGAGCCTGTATTCAAGCCACTGTGAGGAAATCCGGCCGCCTTTCAAGTTAGGGCTTCTCGCTGTATACTCCACTTGAGGCAGCGATCTCGGGGTCCCTCCCACATACCTATTGCTGGGAGAAGCCTCCTCCTGAGGTGCTTCTGGAAAGTTGGCATACGTCTTGAGCCTAAGCCAGGGAATCAGCTCTCATCTCGAGACGATTTGGGGTACACGGAGCATTCCTCGAGTTGCTGTCCTGAAGTTGGTGTTCTTCTCGCCTTGGGACAGTGTTCTCGGGGCATCTCTGGAGTTACCTGAAGGAAGTCGAGCCACCGGTGGTGTTGAAAGTCGAACGGGGAATGGCTCTGGAGTCAATGCAGGGGAATCGGGCCTCATCTCGAGTTGATTTGGGGCACATGGAGCTGTTTTGCTTTGCTGCAGTGAACTCAGGATCCGTCTAGACTTGTGACAGTGTTCTTGGGGAGTGTCTCGAGATCCATTAAGAAATTCGAAGGTCCTGACTGGTTTGAATGGGATCACGGAATAGCTCTGCATGCACTGCAGGGGAATGGGGCCTAATCTCGCATCTAGGGGGAAGTCTCATGGTTTTTCTCGAGTTGCGGCGTGGACCTGGGGTGTGTTCTCGACTTACGGCGGGGATGGCCCTTCAAAACACGTGTTTATTCAGTGACGTCAGGACTCCTGTCTAGTAACGAGGGACACCTCAGGAATCTCTTCGAGGCTTGGCAGGGCAAAAGGGACGCTTCTCGAGGTGAGGCAGGGCACCCAAGGATCGTTTCCAGTAGCCACAGGGATTTTGGGATTCCTGTCAGTATTCAAAAGGAGTCAGGTATCGTCACCTTTTGAAGCAATGAACTCTGCGTGCCTCTCGAGGTGTCAACGGGATGTGAGGCATTCCGTCAAAAAGAGGCAGGGAACCAGGGCTTTCTCTAAGGTCTCCACAGGGGATTCAGACATCCCTTCATGTTGTGAGATGAAAGACGAGCCTGTATTCAAGCCACTGCAAGGAAATCCGGCCTCCTTTCAAGTTAGGGCTTCTCGCTGTATACTCCACTTGAGGCAGCGATCTCGGGGTCCCTCCCACATACCTATTGCTGGGAGAAGCCTCCTCCTGAGGTGCTTCTGGAAAGTTGGCATACGTCTTGAGCCTAAGCCAGGGAATCAGCTCTCATCTCGAGACGATTTGGGGTACACGGAGCATTCCTCGAGTTGCTATGCTGAAGTTGGTGTTCCTCTAGCCTTGGCACAGTGTTCTCGGGGCATCTCTGGAGTTGCCTGAAGGAAGTCGAGCCACCGGTCCTGTTGAATGGGGAACGGGGAATGGCTCTGGAGTCAATGCAGGGGAATCGGGCCTCATCTCGAGTTGATTTGGGGCACATGGAGCTGCTTTGCATTGCTGGGGTGACCTCAGGGTCCGTCTAGACTGGTGACAGTGTTCTTGGGGACTGTCTCGAGATCCATTAAGCAAGTGGAAGCTCCTGACTTGTTTGAATGGGATCACGGAATAGCTCTGCATGCACTGCAGGGGAATGCGGCCTCATCTCACCTCTAGGGGGAAGTCTCATGGTTTTTCTCGAGTTGCGGCGGGGACCTGGGGTATGTTCTCGACTTACGGCGGGGATGGCCCTTCAAAACACGAGTTTCTTCAGTGACGTCAGGACTCCTGTCTAGTAACGAGGGACACCTCAGGAATCTCTTCGAGGCTTGGCAGGGCAAAAGGGACGCTTCTCGATGTGAGGCAGGGCACCCAAGGACCCTTTCCAGTAGCTACAGGGATTTTGGGATTCCTATCAGTATTCAAGAGGAGTCAGGCATCGTCACCTTTTGAAGCAATGAACTCCGCGTGCCTCTCGAGGTGTCAACGGGATGTGAGGCATTCCGTCAAAATGAGGCAGGGACCTAGGGCTTTCTCTAAGGTCTTTTCAGGGGATTCAGACATCCCTTCATGTTGTGAGATCAAAGATGAGCCTGTATTCAAGCCACTGCAAGGAAATCCGGCCTCCTTTCAAGTTACGGTTTTTCGCTGTATATTCCACTTGAGGCACCGATCTCGGGGTCCCTCCCACATACCTATTGCTGAGAGAAGCCTCCTCCTGAGGTGCTTTTGGAAAGTTGGCATACGTCTTGAGCCTAAGCCAGGGAATCAGCTCTCATCTCGAGACGCTTTGGGGTACACGGAGCATTCCTCGAGTTGCTGTGCTGAAGTTGGTGTTCCTCTAGACTTGGGACAGTGTTCTCCGTGCATCTCTGGAGTTGCCTGAAGGAAGTCGAGCCACCAGTCGTGTTGAATGGGGAACTGGGAATGGCTCTGGAGTCAATGCAGTGGAATCGGGCCTCATCTCGAGTTGATTTGGGGCACATGCAGCTGCTTTGCGTTGCTAGGGTGACCTCAGGGTCCGTCTAGACTGGTGACAGTGTTCTTGTGGACTATCTCGAGATCCATTAAGCAAGTCGAAGCTCCTGACTTGTTTGAATGGGATCACGGAATTGCTCTGCATGCACTGCAGGGGAATGGGGCCTCATCTCGCTTCTAGGGGGAAGTCTTATGGTTTTCCTCGAGTTGCAGCGGGGACCTGGGGTATGTTCTCGACTTACAGCGGGGATGGCCCTTCAAAAAACATGTTTATTCCGTGACGTCAGGACTCCTGTCTAGTAATGAGGGACACCTCAGCAATTTCTTGGAGGCTTGGCAGGGCAAAATGGACGCTTCTCGAGGTGAGGCAGGGCACCCAAGGACCCTTACCAGTAGCCACAGGGATTTTGGGATTCCTATCAGTATTCAAGAGGAGTCAGGCATCATCACCTTTTGAAGCAATGAACTCTGCGTGCCTCTCGAGGTGACAACGGGATGTGAGGCATTCCATCAAAATGACGCAAGTATCCAGGGCTTTCTCTAAGGTCTCCACAGGGGATTCAGACATCCCTTCATGTTTTGAGATCAAAGACGAGACTGTATTCAAGCCACTGCAAGGAAATCCGGCCTCCTTTCAAGTTAGGCCTTCTCGCTGTATATTCCACTTGAGGCAGTGATCTCGTGGTCCCTCCCACATAAGTATTGCTGGGAGAAGCCTACTCCTGAGGTGCTTCTGGAAAGTTGGCATACGTCTTGAGCCTAAGCCAGGGAATCAGCTCTCATCTCGAGACGATTTGGGGTACACGGAGCATTCCTCGAGTTGCTGTGCTGAAGTTGGTGTTCCTCTAGACTTGGGACAGTGTTCTCGGGGCATCTCTGGAGTTGCCTGAAGGAAGTCGAGCCACCGGTCGTGTTGAATGGCGAATGGGAATGGCTCTGGAGTCAATGCAGGGGAATCAAGCCTCATCTCGAGTTGATTTGGGGCACATGGAGCTGCTTTGCGTTGCTGGGGTGACCTCAGGGTCCGTCTAGACTGGTGACAGTGTTCTTGGGGACTGTCTCGAGATCCATTAAGCAAGTCGAAGCTCCTGACTTGTTTGAATGGGATCACGGAATAGCTCTGCATGCACTGCAGGGGAATGGGGCCTCATCTCGCCTCTAGGGGGAAGTCTCATGGTTTTTCTCGAGTTGCGGCGGGGACCTGGGGTATGTTCTCGACTTACGGCGGGGATGGCCCTTCAAAACACGAGTTTCTTCAGTGACGTCAGGACTCCAGTCTAGTAATGAGGGACACCTCAGGAATCTCTTCGAGGCTTGGCAGGGAAAAAGGGACGCTTCTCGAGGTGAGGCAGGGCACCAAAGGACCCTTTCCAGTAGCCACAGGGATTTTGTGATTCCTATCAGTATTCAAGAGGAGTCAGGCATCGTCAGCTTTTGAAGCAATGAACTCCGCGTGCCTCTCGAGGTGTCAACGGGATGTGAGGCATTCCGTCAAAATGACGCAGGTATCCAGGGCTTTCTCTAAGGTCTCCACAGTGGATTCAGACATCCCTTTATTTTTTGAGATCAAAGACGAGCCTGTATTCAAGCCACTGTGAGGAAATCCGGCCTCCTTTCAAGTTAGGGCTTCTCGCTGTATACTCTACTTGAGGCAGCGATCTCGGGGTCCCTCCCACATACCTATTGCTGGGAGAAGCCTCTTCCTGAGGTGCTTCTGGAAAGTTGGCATACGTCTTGAGCCTAAGCCAGGGAATCAGCTCTCATCTCGAGACGATTTGGGGTACACGGAGCATTCCTCGAGTTGCTGTGCTGAAGTTGCTGTTCCTCTAGACTTGGGACAGTGTTCTCGGGGCATCTCTGGAGTTGCCTGAAGGAAGTCGAGCCACCGGTGGTGTTGAAAGGCGAACGGGGAATGGCTCCGGAGTCAACGCAGGGGAATCGGGCCTCATCTCGAGTTGATTTGGGGCACATGGAGCTGCTTTGCTTTGCTGCGGTGACCTCAGGATCCGTCTAGACTTGTGACAGTGTTCTTGGGGACTGTCTCGAGATCCATTAAGAAAGTCGAAGGTCCTGACTGGTTTGAATGGGATCACGGAATAGCTCTGCATGCACTGCAGGGGAATGGGGCCTAATCTCGCATCTAGGGGGAAGTCTCACGGTTTTTCTCGAGTTGCGGCGTGGACCTGGGGTGTGTTCTCGACTTACGGCGGGGATGGCCCTTCAAAACACGTGTTTATTCAGTGACGTCAGGACTCCTGTCTAGTAACGAGGGACACCTCAGGAATCTCTTTGAGGCTTGGCAGGGCAAAAGGGACGCTTCTCGAGGTGAGGCAGGGCACCCAAGGACCGTTTCCAGTAGCCACAGGGATTTTGGGATTCCTATCAGTATTCAAAAGGAGTCAGGCATCATCACCTTTTGAAGCAATGAACTCTGCGTGCCTCTCGAGGTGTCAACGGGATGTGAGGCATTCCGTAAAAAAAAGAGGCAGGGACCTAGGGCTTTCTCTAAGGTCTCCACAGGGGATTCAGACATCCCTTCATGTTGTGAGATGAAAGACGAGCCTGTATTCAAGCCACTGCAAGGAAATCCGGCCTCCTTTCAAGTTAGGGCTTCTCGCTTTATACTCCACTTGAGGCAGCGATCTCGGGGTCCCTTCCACATACCTATTGCTGGGAGAAGCCTCCTCCTGAGGTGCTTCTGGAAAGTTGGCATACGTCTTGAGCCTAAGCCAGGGAATCAGCTCTCATCTCGAGACGATTTGGGGTACACGGAGCATTCCTCGAGTTGCTGTGCTGAAGTTGGTGTTCCTCTAGCCTTGGGACAGTGTTCTCGGGGCATCTCTGGAGTTGCCTGAAGGAAGTTGAGCTACCGGTCGTGTTGAATGGGGAACGGGGAATGGCTCTGGAGTCAATGCAGGGGAATCGGGCCTCATCTCGAGTTGATTTGGGGCACATGGAGCTGCTTTGCATTGCTGGGGTGACCTCAGGGTCCGTCTAGACGGGTGACAGTGTTCTTGGGGACTGTCTCGAAATCCATTAAGCAAGTCGAAGCCCCTGACTTGTTTGAATGGGATCACGGAATAGCTCTGCATGCACTGCAGGGGAATGCGGCCTCATCTCGCCTCTAGGGGGAAGTCTCATGGTTTTACTCGAGTTGCGGCGGGGACCTGGGGTATGTTCTCGACTTACGGCGGGGATGGCCCTTCAAAACACGAGTTTCTTCAGTGACGTCAGGACTCCTGTCTAGTAATGAGGGACACCTCAGGAATCTCTTCGAGGCTTGGCAGGGCAAAAGGGACGCTTCTCGATGTGAGGCAGGGCACCCAAGGACCCTTTCCAGTAGCTACAGGGATTTTGGGATTCCTATCAGTATTCAAGAGGAGTCAGGCATCGTCACCTTTTGAAGCAATGAACTCCGCGTGCCTCTCGAGGTGTCAACGGGATGTGAGGCATTCCGTCAAAATGAGGCAGGGACCTAGGGCTTTCTCTAAGGTCTCCACAGGGGATTCAGACATCCCTTCATGTTGTGAGATGAAAGACGAGCCTGTATTCAAGCCACTGCAAGGAAATCCGGCCTCCTTTCAAGTTACGGTTTTTCGCTGTATATTCCACTTGAGGCACCGATCTCGGGGTCCCTCCCACATTCCTATTGCTGAGAGAAGCCTCCTCCTGAGGTGCTTTTGGAAAGTTGGCATACGTCTTGAGCCTAAGCCAGGGAATCAGCTCTCATCTCGAGACGCTTTGGGGTACACGGAGCATTCCTCGAGTTGCTGTGCTGAAGTTGGTGTTCCTCTAGACTTGGGACAGTGTTCTCCGTGCATCTCTGGAGTTGCCTGAAGGAAGTCGAGCCACCAGTCGTGTTGAATGGGGAACGTGGAATGGCTCTGGAGTCAATGCAGTGGAATCGGGCCTCATCTCGAGTTGATTTGGGGCACATGCATCTGCTTTGCGTTGCTGGGGTGACCTCAGGGTCCGTCTAGACTGGTGACAGTGTTCTTGTGGACTATCTCGAGATCCATTAAGCAAGTCGAAGCTCCTGACTTGTTTGAATGGGATCACGGAATTGCTCTGCATGCACTGCAGGGGAATGGGGCCTCATCTCGCTTCTAGGGGGAAGTCTTATGGTTTTCCTCGAGTTGCAGCGGGGACCTGGGGTATGTTCTCGACTTACAGTTGGGATGGCCCTTCAAAAAACATGTTTATTCCGTGACGTCAGGACTCCTGTCTAGTAATGAGGGACACCTCAGGAATTTCTTCGAGTCTTGTCAGGGCAAAATGGACGCTTCTCGAGGTGAGGCAGGGCACCCAAGGACCCTTACCAGTAGCCACAGGGATTTTGGGATTCCTATCAGTATTCAAGAGGAGTCAGGCATCATCACCTTTTGAAGCAATGAACTCTGCGTGCCTCTCGATGTGACAACGGGATGTGAGGCATTCCATCAAAATGACGCAGGTATCCAGGGCTTTCTCTAAGGTCTCCACAGGGGATTCAGACATCCCTTCATGTTTTGAGATGAAAGACGAGACTGTATTCAAGCCACTGCAAGGAAATCCGGCCTCCTTTCAAGTTAGGCCTTCTCGCTGTATATTCAACTTGAGGCAGTGATCTCGTGGTCCCTCCCACATAAGTATTGCTGGGAGAAGCCTACTCCTGAAGTGCTTCTGGAAAGTTGGCATACGTCTTGAGCCTAAGCCAGGGAATCAGCTCTCATCTCGAGACGATTTGTGGTACACGGAGCATTACTCGAGTTGCTGTGCTGAAGTTGGTGTTCCTCTAGATTTGGGACAGTGTTCTCGGGGCATCACTGGAGATGCCTGAAGGACGTCGAGCCACCAGTCGTGTTGAATGGGGAACGGGGAATGGCTCTGGAGTCAATGCAGGGGAATTGTGCCTTATCTCGAGTTGATTTGGGGCATATGCAGCGGCTTTGCATTGCTGGGGTGACCTCAGGGTCCGTCTAGACTGGTGACAGTGTTTTTGGGGACTGTCTCGAGATCCATTAAGCAAGTCGAAGCTCCTGACTTGTTTGAATGTGATCACGGAATTGCTCTGCATGCACTGCAGGGGAATGGGGCCTCATCTCGCTTCTAGAGGGAAGTCTCATGGTTTTTCTCGAGTTGCGGCGGGGACCTGGGGTATGTTCTCGACTTACGGCGGGGATGGCCCTTCAAAACACGAGTTTCTTCAGTGAAGTAGGACTCCTGTCTAGTAACCAGGGACACCTCAGGGAACTCTTCGAGGTTTGGCAGGGCAAAAGGGACCCTTCTCGAGGTGATGCAGGGCACCCAAGGACCCTTTCCAGTAGCCACATTGATTTTGTGATTCCTAACTGTATTCAAGAGGAGTCAGGCATCGTCACCTTTTGAAGCAATGAACTCCGCGTGCCTCTCGAAGTGTCAATGGGATGTGAGGCATTCTGTCAAAATGACGCAGGTATCCAGGGCTTTCTCTAAGGTCTTCACAGTGGATTCAGACATCCCTTCATTTTTTGAGATCAAAGACGAGCCTGTATTCAAGCCACTGTGAGGAAATCCAGCCTCCTTTCAAGTTAGGGCTTCTCGCTGTATACTCCACTTGAGGCAGCGATCTCGGTGTCCCTCCCACATACATATTGCTGGCAGAAGCTTCCTCCTGAGGTGCTTCTGGAAAGTTGGCATACGTCTTGAGCCTAAGCCAGGGAATCAGCTCTCATCTCGAGACGACTTGGGGTACACGGAGCATTCCTCGAGTTGCTGTGCTGAAGTTGGTGTTCCTCTAGCCTTGGGACAGTGTTCTCGGGGCATCTCTGGAGTTGCCTGAAGGAAGTCGAGCCACCGGTGATGGTGAAAGGCGAACGGGGAATGGCTCTGGAGTCAATGCAGGGGAATCGTGCCTCATCTCGAGTTGATTTGGGGCACATGCAGCGGCTTTGCATTGCTGGGGTGACCTCAGGGTCCGTCTAGACGGGTGACAGTGTTCTTGGGGACTGTCTCGAGATCCATTAAGCAAGTCGAAGGTCCTGACTTGTTTGAATGGGATCACCTAATTGCTCTGCATGCACTGCAGGGGAATGCGGCCTCATCTCGCCTCTAGGGGGAAGTCTCATGTTTTTTCTCGAGTTGCAGCGGGGACCTGGGGTATGTTCTCGACTTACGCCGGGGATGGCCCTTCAAAACACGAGTTTTTCAGTGACGTAGGACGCATGTCTAGTAACCAGGGACACCTCAGGGAACTCTTCGAGGTTTGGCAGGGCAAAAGGGACCCTTCTTGAAGTGATGCAGGGCACCCAAGGACCCTTTCCAGTAGCGACAGGGATTTTGTGATTCCTATCAGTATTCAAGAGGAGTCAGGCATCGTCACCTTTAGAAGCAATGAACTCCGCGTGCCTCTCGAGGTGTCAACGGGATGTGAGGTATTCCGTCAAAATGAGGCAGGTATCCAGGGCTTTCTCTAAGGTCTCCACAGGGGATTCAGACATCCCTTCATGTTGTGAGATGAAAGACGAGCCTGTATTCAAGCCACTGCAAGGAAATCCGGCCTCCTTTCAAGTTAAGGCTTTTCGCTGTATATTCCCCTTTAGGCAGCAAATTCGGGGTCCCTCCCACATACCTATTGCTGAGAGAAGCCTCCTCCTGAGGTGCTTCTGGAAAGTTGGCATACGTCTTGAGCCTAAGCCAGGGAATCACCTCTCATCTCGAGACGATTTGGGGTACACGGAGCATTCCTCGAGTTGCTGTGCTGAAGTTGGTGTTCCTCTAGCCTTGGGACAGTGTTCTCGGGGCATCTCTGGAGTTGCATGAAAGAAGTCGAGCCACCGGTCGTGTTGAATGGGGAACGGGGAATGGCTCTGGAGTCAATGCAGGGGAATCGGGCATCATCTCGAGTTGATTTGGGGCACATGCACCTGCTTTGCGTTGCTGGGGTGACCTCAGTGTCCGTCTAGACAGGTGACAGTGTTCTTGGGGACTGTCTCCAGATTCATTAAGCAAGTCGAAGCTCCTGACTTGTATGAATGGGATCACGGAATAGCTCTGCATGCACTGCAGGGGAATGCGGCCTCATCTCGCCTCTAGGGGAAGTCACATGGTTTTTCTCGAGTTGCGGCGGGGACCTGGGGTATGTTCTCGACTTACGGCGAGGATGGCCCTTCAAAAGAGGAGTTTCTTCAGTGACGTCAGGACTCCAGTCTAGTAATGAGGGACACCTCAGGAATCTCTTCGAGGTTTGGCAGGGCAAAAGGGACGCTCCTCGAGGTGAGGCAGGGCACCCAAGGACCCTTTCCAGTAGCCACAGGGATTTTAGGATTCCTTTCGGTATTCAAGAGGAGTCAGGCATCGTCACCTTTTGAAGCAATGAACTCCGCGTGCCTCTCGAGGTGTCAATGGGATGTGAGGCATTCCGTCAAAATGAGGCAGGGACCTAGGGCTTTCTCTAAGGTCTCCACAGGGGATTCAGACATCCCTTCATGTTGTGAGATGAAAGACGAGCCTGTGTTCAAGCCACTGCAAGGAATTCCGGCCTCCTTTCAAGTTAGGGCTTCTCGCTGTATACTCCACTTGAGGCAGCGATCCCGGGGTCCCTCCCACATAGCTATTGCTGGGAGAAGCCTCCTCCTGAGGTGCTTCTGGAAAGTTGGCATACGTCTTGAGCCTAAGCCAGGGAATCAGCTCTCATCTCGAGACGATTTGGGGTACACGGAGCATTCCTCGAGTTGCTGTGCTGAAGTTGGTGTTCCTCTAGACTTGGGACAGTGTTCTCGGGGCATCTCTGGAGTTGCCTGAAGGAAGTCGAGCCACCGGTCGTGTTGAATGGCGAATGGGAATGGCTCTGGAGTCAATGCAGGGGAATCAAGCCTCATCTCGAGTTGATTTGGGGCACATGGAGCTGCTTTGCGTTGCTGGGGTGACCTCAGGGTCCGTCTAGACTGGTGACAGTGTTCTTGGGGACTGTCTCGAGATCCATTAAGCAAGTCGAATCTCCTGACTTGTTTGAATGGGATCACGGAATAGCTCTGCATGCACTGTAGGGGAATGGGGCCTCATCTCGCTTCTATGGGGAAGTCTCATGGTTTTTCTCGAATTGCGGCGGGGACCTGGGGTATGTTCTCGACTTACAGCGGAGATGGCCCTTCAAAAAACATGTTTATTCCGTGACGTCAGGACTCCTGTCTAGTAATGAGGGACACCTCAGGAATTTCTTCGAGGCTTGTCAGAGCAAAAGGGACGCTTCTCGAGGTGAGGCAGGGCACCCAAGGACCCTTACCAGTAGCCACAGGGATTTTGGGATTCCTATCAGTATTCAAGAGGAGTCAGGCATCATCACCTTTTGAAGCAATGAACTCTGCATGCCTCTCGAGGTGACAACGGGATATGAGGCATTCCATCAAAATGACGCAGGTATCCAGGGCTTTCTCTAAGGTCTCCACAGGGGATTCAGTCATCCCTTCATGTTTTGAGATCAAAGACGAGACTGTATTCAAGCCACTGCAAGGAAATCCGGCCTCCTTTCAAGTTAGGCCTTCTCGCTGTATATTCCACTTGAGGCAGTGATCTCGTGGTCCCTCCCACATAAGTATTGCTGGGAGAAGCCTACTCCTGAGGTGCTTCTGGAAAGTTGGCATACGTCTTGAGCCTAAGCCAGGGAATCAGCTCTCATCTCGAGACGATTTGGGGTACACGGAGCATTTCTCGAGTTGCTGTGCTGAAGTTGGTGTTCCTCTAGATTTGGGACAGTGTTCTCGGGTCATCGCTGGAGATGCCTGAAGGAAGTCGAGCCACCAGTCGTGTTGAATGGGGAACGGGGAATGGCTCTGGAGTCAATGCAGGGGAATTGTGCCTTATCTCGAGTTGATTTGGGGCATATGCAGCGGCTTTGCATTGCTGGGGTGACCTCAGGGTCCGTCTAGACTGGTGACAGTGTTCTTGGGGACTGTCTCGAGATCCATTAAGCAAGTCGAAGCTCCTGACTTGTTTGAGTGGGATCACGGAATAGCTCTGCATGCACTGCAGGGGAATGGGGCCTCATCTCGCCTCTAGGGGGAAGTCTCATGGTTTTTCTCTAGTTGCGGCGGGGACCTGGGGTATGTTCCCGACTTACGGCTGGGATGGCCCTTCAAAACACGAGTTTCTTCAGTGACGTCAGGACTCCAGTCTAGTAACGAGGGACACCTCAGGAATCTCTTCGAGGCTTGGCAGGGCAAAAGGGACGCTTCTCGAGGTGAGGCAGGGCACCCAAGGACCCTTTCCAGTAGCCACAGGGATTTTGGGATTCCTATCAGTATTCAAAAGGAGTCAGGCTTCGTCACCTTTTGAAGCAATGAACTCTGAGTGCCTCTCGAGGTGTCAACGGGATGTGAGGCATTCCGTCAAAATGAGGCACCGAACTAGGCCTTTTTCTAAGGTCTCCACAGGGGATTCACACATCCCTTCATGTTGTGAGATGAAAGACGAGCCTGTATTCAAGCCACTGCAAGGAAATCCGGCCTCCTTTCAAGTTAGGGCTTCTCGCTGTATATTCCCCTTGAGGCAGCTATCTCGGGGTCCCTCCCACATACCTATTGCTGGGAGAAACCTCCTCCTCAGGTGCTTCTGGAAAGTTGGCATACGTCTTGAGCCTAAGCCAGGGAATCAGCTCTCAGCTCGAGACGACTTGGGGTACACGGAGCATTCCTCGAGTTGCTGTGCTGAAGTTGGTGTTCCTCTAGCCTTGGGACAGTGTTCTCGGGGCATCTCTGGAGTTGCCTGAAGGAAGTCGAGCCACCGGTCGTGTTAAATGGGGAACGGGGAATGGCTCTGGAGTCAATGCAGGGGAATCGGGCCTCATCTCGAGTTGATTTGGGGCACATGCAGCTGCTTTGCGTTGCTGGGGTGACCTCAGGGTCCGTCTAGACTGGTGACAGTGTTCTTGTGGACTATCTCGAGATCCATTAAGCAAGTCGAAGCTCCTGACTTGTTTGAATGGGATCACGGAATTGCTCTGCATGCACTGCAGGGGAATGGGGCCTCATCTCGCTTCTAGGGGGAAGTCTTATGGTTTTCCTCGAGTTGCAGCGGGGACCTGGGGTATGTTCTCGACTTACAGCGGGGATGGCCCTTCAAAAAACATGTTTATTCCGTGACGTCAGGACTCCTGTCTAGTAATGAGGGACACCTCAGGAATTTCTTCGAGGCTTGTCAGGGCAAAAGGGACGCTTCTCGAGGTGAGGCAGGGCACCCAATGACCCTTACCAGTAGCCACAGGGATTTTGGGATTCCTATCAGTATTCAAGAGGAGTCAGGCATCATCACCTTTTGAAGCAATGAACTCTGCGTGCCTCTCGAGGTGACATCGGGATATGAGGCATTCCATCAAAATGACGCAGGTATCCAGGGCTTTCTCTAAGGTCTCCACAGGGGATTCAGACATCCCTTCATGTTTTGAGATCAAAGACGAGACTGTATTCAAGCCACTGCAAGGAAATCCGGCCTCCTTTCAAGTTAGGCCTTCTCGCTGTATATTCCACTTGAGGCAGTGATCTCGTGGTCCCTCCCACATAAGTATTGCTGGGAGAAGCCTACTCCTGAGGTGCTTCTGGAAAGTTGGCATACGTCTTGAGCCTAAGCCAGGGAATCAGCTCTCATCTCGAGACGATTTGGGGTACACGGAGCATTACTCGAGTTGCTGTTCTGAAGTTGGTGTTCCTCTAGATTTGGGACAGTGTTCTCGGGGCATCGCTGGAGATGCCTGAAGGAAGTCGAGCCACCAGTCGTGTTGAATGGGGAACGGGGAATGGCTCTGGAGTCAATGCAGGGGAATTGTGCCTTATCTCGAGTTGATTTGGGGCATATGCAGCGGCTTTGCATTGCTGGGGTGACCTCAGGGTCCGTCTAGACTGGTGACAGTGTTTTTGGGGACTGTCTCGAGATCCATTAAGCAAGTCGAAGGTCCTGACTTGTTTGAATGGGATCTCGGAATTGCTCTGCATGCACTGCAGGGGAATGGGGCCTCATCTCGCTTCTAGGGGGAAGTCTCATGGTTTTTCTCGAGTTGCGGCGCGGACCTGGGGTATGTTCTCGACTTACGGCGGGGATGGCCCTTCAAAACACGAGTTTCTTCAGTGACGTAGGACTCTTGTCTAGTAACCAGGGACACCTCAGGGAACTCTTCGAGGTTTGGCAGGGCAAAAGGGACCCTTCTCGAGGTGATGCAGGGCACCCAAGGACCCTTTCCAGTAGCCACATTGATTTTGTGATTCCTAACAGTATTCAAGAGGAGTCAGGCATCGTCACCTTTTGAAGCAATGAACTCCGCGTGCCTCTCGAGGTGTCAACGGGATGTGAGGCATTCCGTCAAAATGACGCAGGTATCCAGGGCTTTCTCTAAGGTCTTCACAGTGGATTCAGACATCCCTTCATTTTTTGAGATCAAAGACGAGCCTGAATTCAAGCCACTGTGAGGAAATCCAGCCTCCTTTCAAGTTAGGGCTTCTCGCTGTATACTCCACTTGAGGAAGCGATCTCGGTGTCCCTCCCACATACCTATTGCTGGCAGAAGCTTCCTCCTGAGGTGCTTCTGGAAAGTTGGCATACGTCTTGAGCCTAAGCCAGGGAATCAGCTCTCATCTCGAGACGATTTGGGGTACACGGAGCATTCCTCGAGTTGCTGTGCTGAAGTTGCTGTTCCTCTAGCCTTGGGACAGTGTTCTCGGGGCATCTCTGGAGTTGCCTGAAAGCAGTCGAGCCACCGGTCGTGTTGAATGGGGAACGGGAAATGGCTCTGGAGTCAATGCATGGGAATCGGGCCTCATCTCGAGTTGATTTGGGGCACATGAAGCTGCTTTGCGTTGCTGGGGTGACCTCAGTGTCCGTCTAGACAGGTGACAGTGTTCTTGGGGACTGTCTCGAGATTCATTAAGCAAGTCGAAGCTCCTGACTTGTATGAATGGGATCACGGAATAGCTCTGCATGCACTGCAGGGGAATGGGGCCTCATCTCGCCTCTAGGGGAAGTCACATGGTTTTTCTCGAGTTGCGGCGGGGACCTGGGGTATGTTCTCGACTTACGGCGAGGATGGCCCTTCAAAACAGGAGTTTCTTCAGTGACGTCAGGACTCCAGTCTAGTAATGAGGGACACCTCAGGAATCTCTTCGAGGTTTGGCAGGGCAAAAGGGACGCTCCTCGAGGTGAGGCAGGGCACCCAAGGACCCTTTCCAGTAGCCACAGGGATTTTAGGATTCCTTTCGGTATTCAAGAGGAGTCAGGCATCGTCACCTTTTGAAGCAATGAACTCCGCGTGCCTCTCGAGGTGTCAATGGGATGTGAGGCATTCCGTCAAAATGAGGCAGGGACCTAGGACTTTCTCTAAGGTCTTCACAGGGGATTCAGACATCCCTTCATGTTGTGAGATGAAAGACGAGCCTGTGCTCAAACCACTGCAAGGAATTCCGGCCTCCTTTCAAGTTAGGGCTTCTCGCTGTATATTCCACTTGAGGCAGCGATCTCGGGGTCCCTCCCACATACCTATTGCTGGTAGAAGCCTACTCCTGAGGTGCTTCTGGAAAGTTGGCATACGTCTTGAGCCTAAGCCAGGGAATCAGCTCTCATCTCGAGACGATTTGGGGTACACGGAGCATTCCTCGAGTTGCTGTGCTGAAGTTGGTGTTCCTCTAGCCTTGGGACAGTGTTCTCGGGGCAACTCTGGAGTTGCCTGAAGGAAGTCGAGCCACAGGTCGTGTTGAATGGGGAACGGGGAATGGCTCTGGAGTCAATGCAGGGGAATTGGGCGTCATCTCAAGTTGATTTGGGGCACATGGAGCTGCTTTGCGTTGCTGGGGTGACCTCAGGGTCTGTCTAGGCTGGTGACAGTGTTCTTGGGGACTGTCTCGAGATCCATTAAGCAAGTCGAAGCTCCTGACTTGTTTGAGTGGGATCACGGAATATCTCTGCATGCACTGCAGGGGAATGGGGCGTCATCTCGCCTCTAGGGGAAAGTCTCATGGTTTTTCTCGAGTTGCGGCGGGGACCTGGGGTATGTTCTCGACTTACGGCGGGGATGGCCCTTCAAAGCACGAGTTTCTTCAGTGACGTCAGGACTCCAGTCTAGTAACGAGGGACACCTCAGGAATCTCTTCGAGGCTTGGCAGTGTAAAAGGGACGCTTCTCGAGGTGAGGCAGGGCACCCAAGGACCCTTATCCATAGCCACAGGGATTTTGGGATTCCTATCTGTATTCAAAAGGAGTCAGGCATCGTCACCTTTTGAAGCAATGAACTCTGAGTGCCTCTCGAGGTGTCAACGGGATGTGAGGCATTACGTCAAAATGACTCACCGAACTAGGCCTTTTTCTAAGGTCTCCACAGGGGATTCAGACATCCCTTCATGTTGTGAGATGAAAGACGAGCCTGTATTCAAGCCACTGCAAGGAAATCCGGCCTCCTTTCAAGTTAGGGCTTCTCGGTGTATATTCCCCTTGAGGCAGCAAATTCGGGGTCCCTCCCACATACCTATTGCTGGGAGAAACCTCCTCCTGAGGTGCTTCTGGAATGTTGGCATACGTCTTGAGCCTAAGCCAGGGAATCAGCTCTCATCTCGAGACGACTTGGGGTACACGGAGCATTCCTCGAGTTGCTGTGCTGAAGTTGGTGTTCCTCTAGCCTTGGGACAGTGTTCTCGGGGCATCTCTGGAGTTGCCTGAAGGAAGTCGAGCCACCGGTCGTGTTGAATGGGGAACGGGGAATGGCTCTGGAGTCAATGCAGGGGAATCGGGCCTCATCTCGAGTTGATTTGGGGCACATGGAGCTGCTTTGCATTGCTGGGGTGACCTCAGGGTCCGTCTAGATTGGTGACAGTGTTCTTGGGGACTGTCTCGAGATCCATTAAGCAAGTCGAAGCTCCTGACTTGTTTGAGTGGGATCACGGAATAGCTCTGCATGCACTGCAGGGGAATGGGACGTCATCTCGCCTCTAGGGGGAAGTCTCATGGTTTTCCTCGAGTTGCGGCAGGGACCTGGGATATGTTCTCGACTTACGACGGGGATGGCCCTTCAAAACACGAGTTTCTTCAGTGACGTCAGGACTCCAGTCTAGTAACGACGGACACCTCAGTAATCTCTTCGAGGCTTGGCAGGGCAAAAGGGACGCTTCTCGAGGTGAGGCAGGGCACCCAAGGACCCTTTCCAGTAGCCACAGTGATTTTGGGATTCCTATCAGTATTCAAGAGGAGACAGGCATCGTCACCTTTTGAAGCAATGAACTACGCGTGCCTCTCGAGGTGTCAACGGGATGTGAGGCATTCCGTCAAAATGAGGCAGGGACCTAGGGCTTTCTCTCAGGTCTCCACAGGGGATTCAGACATCCCTTCATGTTGTGAGATGAAAGACGAGCCTGTATTCAAGCCACTGCAAGGAAACCCGGCCTCCTTTCAAGTTAGGGCTTCTCGCTGTATATTCCCCTTGAGGCAGCAAACTCGGGGTCCCTACCACATACCTATTGCTGAGAGAAGCCTCCTCCTGAGGTGCTTCAGAAAAGTTGGCATACGTCTTGAGCCTAAGCCAGGGAATCAGCTCTCATATCGAGACGATTTGGGGTACACGGAGCATTCCTCGAGTTGCTGCGCTGAACTTGGTGTTCCTCTAGACTTGGGACAGTGTTCTCGGGGCATCTCTGGTGTTGCCTGAAGGAAGTCGAGCCACCGGTCATGTTGAATGGGGAGCGGGGAATGGCTCTGGAGTCAATGCAGGGGAATCGGGCCTCATCTAGAGTTGATTTGGGCACATGCAGCTGCTTTGCGTTGCTGGGGTGACATCAGGGTCCGTCTAGACTGGTGACAGTGTTCTTGGGGACTGTCTCGAGATCCATTAAGCAAGTCGAAGCTCCTGACTTGTTTGAATGGGATCACGGAATAGCTCTGCATGCACTGCAGGGGAATGGGGCCTCATCTCGCCTCTAGGGGGAAGTCTCATGGTTTTTCTCGAGTTGCGGCGGGGACCTGAGGTATGTTCTCGACTTACGGCGGGGATGGCCCTTTAAAACACATGTTTATTCAGTGACGTCAGGACTCCTGTCTAGTAATGAAGGACACCTCAGGAATCTCTTCGAGGCTTGGCAGGGCAAAAGGAACGCTTCTCGAGGTGAGGCAGGGCACCCAAGGACCCTTTCCAGTAGCCACAGGGATTTTGGTATTCCTTTCGGTATTCAAGAAGAGTCAGGCATCGTCACCTTGTGAAGCAATGAACTCCGCGTGCCTCTCGAGGTGTCAACGGGATGTGAGGCATTCCGTCAAAATGAGGCAGGGACCTAGGGCTTTCTCTAAGGTCTCCACAGGTGATTCAGACATCCCTTCATGTTGTGAGATGAAACACGAGTCTGTATTCAAGCCACTGCAATGAAATCCGGCCTCCTTTCAAGTTAGGGCTTTTCGCTGTATATTCCCCTTGAGGCAGAAAATTCGGGGTCCCTCCCACATACCTATTGCTGAGAGAAGCCTCCTCCTGAGGAGCTTCTGGAAAGTTGGCATACGTCTTGAGCCTAAGCCAGGGAATCAGCTCTCATATCGAGACGATTTGGGGTACACGGAGCATTCCTCGAGTTGCTGCGCTGAACTTGGTGTTCCTCTAGACTTGGGACAGTGTTCTCGGGGCATCTCTGGTGTTGCCTGAAGGAAGTCGAGCCACCGGTCGTGTTGAATGGGGAGCGGGGAATGGCTCTGGAGTCAATGCAGGGGAATCGGGCCTCATCTCGAGTTGATTTGGGCACATGCAGCTGCTTTGCGTTGCTGGGGTAACCTCAGGGTCCGTCTAGACTGGTGACAGTGTTCTTGGGGACTGTCTCGAGATACATTAAGCAAGTTGAAGCTCCTGACTTGTTTGAATGGGATCACGGAATATCTCTGCATGCACTGCACGGGAATGGGGCCTCATCTCGCCTCTAGGGGGAAGTCTCATGGTTTTTCTCGAGTTGCGGCGGGGACCTGAAGTATGTTCTCGACTTACGGCGGGGATGGCCCTTCAAAACACATGTTTATTCAGTGACGGCAGGACTCCTGTCTAGTAACGAGGGACACCTCAGGAATCTCTTCGAGGCTTGGGAGGGCAAAAGGGACGCTTCTCGAGGTGAGGCAGGGCACCCAAGGACCCTTTCCAGTAGCCACAGGGATTTTGGGATTCCTATCAGTATTCAAGAGGAGTCAGGCATCGTCACCTTTTGAAGCAGTGAACTCTGCGTGCCTCTCGAGGTGTCAACGTGATGTGAGGCATTCCGTCAAAATGAGGCAAGGACCTAGGGCTTTGTCTAAGGTCTCCACAGGGGATTCAGTCATCCCTTCATGTTTTGAGATCAAAGACGAGCCTGTATTCAAGCCACTGCAAGGAAATCCGGCCTCCTATCAAGTTAGGGCTTCTCGCTGTATATTCCATTTGAGGCAGCGATCTCGGGGTCCCTCCGAGATACCTATTGCTGAGAGAAGCCTCCCCCTGTGGTGCTTCTGGAAAGTTGGCATAAGTCTTGAGCCTAAGCCAGGGAATCAGCTCTCATCTCGAGACGATTTGGGGTACTCGAGCATTCCTCGAGTTGCTGCGCTGAAGTTGGTGTTCCACTAGACTTGGGACAGTGTTCTCGGGGCATCTCTGGAGTTGCCTGAAGGAAGTCGAGCCACCGGTCGTGTTGAATGGGGAGCGGGGAATGACTCTGGAGTCAATGCAGGGGAATCGGGCCTCATCTCGAGTTGATTTGGGGCACATGGAGCTGCTTTGCATTGCTGGGGTGACATCAGGTTCCGTCTAGACTGGTGACAGTGTTCTTGGGGACGGTCTCGAGATCCATTAAGCAAGTCGAAGCTCCTGACTTGTTTGAATGGGATCACGGAATAGCTCTGCATGCACTGCAGGGGAATGGGGCCTCATCTCGCCTCTAGGGGGAAGTCTCATGGTTTTTCTCGAGTTGCGGCTGGGACCTGAGGTATGTTCTCGACTTATGGCGGGGATGGCCCTTCAAAACACGAGTTACTTCAGTGACGTCAGGACTCCTGTCTAGTAACGAGGGACACCTCAGGAATCTCTTCGAGGCTTGGCAGGGCAAAAGGGACGCTTCTCGAGGTGAGGCAGGGCACCAAGGACCCTTTCCAGTAGCCACAGGGATTTTGGGATTCTTATCAGTATTCAAGAGGAGTCAGGCATGGTCACCTTTTGAAGCAATGAACTCTGCGTGCCTCTCGAGGTGTCAACGGGATGTGAGGCACTCCGTCAAAATGAGGCAGGGACCTAGGTCTTTGTCTAAGGTCTACACAGGGGATTCAGACATCCCTTCATGTTTTGAGATGAAAGACGAGCCTGTATTCAAGCCACTGCAAGGAAATCCGGCCTCCTTTCAAGTTAGGGCTTCTCGCTGTATATTCCACTTGAGGCAGCGATCTCGGGGTCCCTCCCACATACCAATTGCTTCGAGAAGCCTCCTCCTGTGGTGCTTCTGGAAAGTTGGCATACGTCTTGAGTCTAAGCCAGGGAATCAGCTCTCATCTCGAGACAATTTGGGGTACACGGAACATTCCTCGAGTTGCTGTGCTGAAGTTGGTGTTCCTCTAGCCTTGAGACAGTGTTCTCGGGGCATCTCTGGAGTTGCCTGAAGGAAGTCGAGCCACCGGTCGTGTTGAATGGGGAACGGGGAATGGCTCTGGAGTCAATGCAGGGGAATCCGGCCTCATCTCGACTTGATTTGGGGCACAAGCAGCTCATTTGCGTTGCTGGGGTTACCTCAGGGTCCGTCTAGACTGGTGACAGTGTTCTTGGGGACTGTCTCGAGATCCATTAAGCAAGTCGAAGCTCCTGACTTGTTTGAATGGGATCACGGAATAGCTCTGCATGCACTGCAGGGGAATGGGGCCTCATCTCGCCTCTAGGGGTAAGTCTCATGGTTTTTCTCGAGTTGCGGCGGGGACATGGGGTATGTTCTCGACTTTCGGCGGGGATGGCCCTTCAAAACACGAGTTTCTTCAGTGACGTAGGACTCCTGTCTAGTAACCAGGGACAGCTCAGGAAACTCTTCGAGGCTTGGCAGGGAAAAGGGACGCTTCTCGAGGAGAGGCAGGGCACTCAAGGACCCTTTCCAGTAGCCACAGGGATTTTGGGATTCCTATCAGTATTCAAGAGGAGTCAGGCATCGTCACCTTTTGAAGCAATGAACTCTTCGTGCCTCTCGAGGTGTCAACGGGATGTGAGGCATTCCGTCAAAATGACGCAGGGTCCTAGGGCTTTCTCTAAGGACTCCACAGGGGATTCAGACATCCCTTCATGTTTTGAGATCAAAGAGGAGCCTGTATTCAAGCCACAGCAAGGAAATCCGGCCTCCTTTCAAGTTAGGGCTTCTCGCTGTATATTCCACTTGAGGCAGCGATCTCGGGTTCCCTCCCACATACCTATTGCTGGGAGAGGCCTCCTCCTGAGGTGCTTCTGGAAAGTTGGCATACGTCTTGAGCCTAAGACAGGGAATCAGCTCTCATCTCGAGATGATTTGGGGTACACAGAGCGTTCCTCGAGTTGCTGTGCTGAAGTTGGTGTTCCTCTAGACTTGGGACATTGTTCTCGGGGCATCTCTTGAGTTGCCTGAAGGAAGTCGAGCCACCGGTCGTGTTGAATGTGGAACGTGGAATGGCTCTGGAGTCAATGCAGGGGAATCGGGCCTCATCTCGAGTTGATTTGGGGCACATGGAGCTGCTTTGCGTTGCTGGGGTGACCTCAGGATCCGTCTAGACTGGTGACAGTGTTCTTGTGGACTGTCTCGAGATCCATTAAGCAAGTCGAAGCTCCTGACTTGTTTGAATGGGATCACGGAATTGCTCTGCATGCACTGCAGGGGAATGGGGCCTCATCTCGCTTCTAGGGGGAAGTCTCATGGTTTTTCTCGAGTTGCGGCGGGGACCTGGGGTGTGTTCTCGACTTACGGCGGGAATGGCCCTTCAAAACACGTGTTTATTCAGTGACGTCAGGACTCCTGTCTAGTAACGAGGGACACCTCAGGAATCTCTTCGAGGCTTGGCAGGGCAAAAGGGATGCTTCTCGAGGTGAGGCAGGGCACCCAATTACCCTTTCCAGTAGCCACAGGGATTTTGGGATTCCTATCAGTATTCAAAAGGAGTCAGGCATCGTCACCTTTTGAAGCAATGAACTCTGCGTGCCTCTCGAGGTGCCAACGGGATGTGAGGCATTCCATCAAAATGACGCAGGTATCCAGGGCTTTCTCTAAGGTCTCCACAGGGGATTCAGACCTCCCTTCATGTTTTGAGATCAAAGACGAGCCTGTATTCAAGCCACTGCAAGGAAATCCGGCCTCCTTTCAAGTTAGGCCTTCTCGCTGTATATTCCACTTGAGGCAGTGATCTCGTGGTCCCTCCCACATAAGTATTGCTGGGAGAAGCCTACTCCTGAGGTGCTTCTGGAAAGTTGGCATACGTCTTGAGCCTAAGCCAGGGAATCAGCTCTCATCTCGAGACGATTTGGGGTACACGGAGCATTCCTCGAGTTGCTGTGCTGAAGTTGGTGTTCCTCTAGATTTGGGACAGTGTTCTCGGGGCATCTCTGGAGATGCCTGAAGGAAGTCGAGCCACCAGTCGTGTTGAATGGGGAACGGGGAATGGCTCTGGAGTCAATGCAGGGGAATCGTGCCTTATCTCGAGTTGATTTGGGGCACATGGAGCTGCTTTGCATTGCTGGGGTGACCTCAGGGTCCGTCTAGACTGGTGACAGTGTTCTTGTGGACTATCTCGAGATCCATTAAGCAAGTCGAAGCTCCTGACTTGTTTGAATGGGATCACGGAATAGCTCTGCATGCACTGCAGGGTAATTGGTCCTCATCTCGCTTCTAGGGGGAAGTCTCATGGTTTTTCTCGAGTTGCGGCGGGGACCTGGGGTATGTTCTCGACTTACGGCGGGGATGGCCCTTCAAAACACGAGTTTCTTCAGTGACATAGGACTCCTGTCTAGTAACCAGGAACACCTCAGGGAACTCTTCGAGGTTTGGCAGGGCAAAAGGGACCCTTCTCGAAGTGATGCAGGGCACCCAAGGACCCTTTCCAGTAGCTACAGGGATTTTGTGATTCCTAACAGTATTCAAGAGGAGTCAGGCATCGTCACCTTTTGAAGCAATGAACTCCGCGTGCCTCTCGAGGTGTCAACGGGATGTGAGGCATTCCGTCAAAATGACGCAGGTATACAGGGCTTTCTCTAAGGTCTCCACAGTGGATTCAGACATCCCTTTATTTTTTGAGATCAAAGATGAGCCTGTATTCAAGCCACTGTGAGGAAATCCGGCCTCCTTTCAAGTTAGGGCTTCTCACTGTATACTCCACTTGAAGCAGCGATCTCCGGGTCCCTCCCACATACCTATTGCTGGAAGAAGCCTCCCCCTGAGGTGCTTCTGGAAACTTGGCATACGTCTTGAGCCTAAGCCAGGGAATCAGCTCTCATCTCGAGACGATTTGGGGTTCACGGAGCATTCCTCGAGTTGCTGTGCTGAAGTTGCTGTTCCTCTAGCCTTGGGACAGTGTTCTCGGGGCATCTCTGGAGTTGCCTGAAGGAAGTCGAGCCACCGGTGGTGTTGAAAGGCGAACGGGGAATGGCTCTGGAGTCAATGCAGGGGAATCGGGCCTCATCTCGAGTTGATTTGGAGCACATGGAGCTGCTTTGCTTTGCTGCGGTGACCTCAGGATCCGTCTAGACTTGTGACAGTGTTCTTGGGGACTGTCTCGAGATCCATTAAGAAAGTCGAAGGACCTGACTGGTTTGAATGGGATCACGGAATAGCTCTGCATGCACTGCAGGGGAATGGGGCCTAATCTCGCATCTAGGGGGAAGTCTCATGGTTTTTCTCGAGTTGCGGCGGGGACCTGGGGTGTGTTCTCGACTTACGGCGGGGATGGCCCTTCAAAACACGTGTTTATTCAGTGACGTCAGGACTCCTGTCTAGTAACGACGGACACCTCAGGAATCTCTTCGAGGCTTGGCAGGGCAAAAGGGACGCTTCTCGAGGTGAGGCAGGGCACCCAAGGACCGTTTCCAGTAGCAACAGGGATTTTGGGATTCCTATCAGTATTCAAAATGAGTCAGGCATCGTCACCTTTTGAAGCAATGAACTCTGCGTGCCTCTCGAGGTGTCAAGGGGATGTGAGGCATTCCGTCAAAAAGAGGCAGGGACCTAGGGCTTTCTCTAAGGTCTCCACAGGGGATTCAGACATCCCTTCATGTTGTGAGATGAAAGACGAGCCTGTATTTAAGCCACTGCAAGGAAATCCGGCCTCCTTTCTAGTTAGGGCTTCTCGCTGTATACTCCACTTGAGGCAGCGATCTCGGGGTTCCTCCCACATACCTATTGCTGGGAGAAGCCTCCTCCTGAGGTGCTTCTGGAAAGTTGGCATACGTCTTGAGCTAAGCCAGGGAATCAGCTCTCATCTGGAGACGATTTGGGGTACACGGAGCATTCCTCGAGTTGCTGTGCTGAAGTTGCTGTTCCTCTAGCCTTGGGACAGTGTTCTCGGGGCATCTCTGGAGTTGCCTGAAGGAAGTCGAGCCACCGGTCGTGTTGAATGGGGAACGGGGAATGGCTCTGGAGTCAATGCAGGGGAATCGGGCTTCATCTCGAGTTGATTTGGGGCACATGGAGCTGCTTTGCATTGCTGGGGTGACCTCAGGGTCCGTCTAGACTGGTGACAGTGTTCTTGGGGACTGTCTCGAGATCCATTAAGCAAGTCGAAGTTCCTGACTTGTTTGAATGGGATCACGGAATAGCTCTGCATGCACTGCAGGGGAATGGGGCCTCATCTCGCCTCTAGGGGGAAGTCTCATGGTTTTTCTCGTGTTGCGGCGCGGACCTGGGATATGTTCTCGACTTACGGCGGGGATGGCCCTTCAAAACACGAGTTTCTTCAGTGACGTAGGACTCCTGTCTAGTAACCAGGGACACCTAAGGGAACTCTTCGAGGTTTGGCAGGGCAAAAGGGACCCTTCTCGAAGTGATGCAGGGCACCCAAGGACCCTTTCCAGTAGCTACAGGGATTTTGGGATTCCTATCAGTATTCAAGAGGAGTCAGGCATCGTCACCTTTTGAAGCAATGAACTCCGCGTGCCTCTCCAGGTGTCAACGGGATGTGAGGCATTCCGTCAAAATGACGCAGGTATCCAGGGCTTTCTCTAAGGTCTCCACAGTGGATTCACACATCCCTTCATGTTTTGAGATCAAAGACGAGCCTGTATTCAAGCCACTGCAAGGAAATCCGGCCTCCTTTCAAGTTAGGTCTTCTCGATGTATACTCCACTTGAGGCAGCGATCTGGGGGTCCCTCCCACATACCTATTGCTGAGAGAATCCTCCTCCTGAGGTGCTTCTGGAAAGTTGGCATACGTCTTGAGCCTAAGCCAGGGAATCAGCTCTCATCTCGAGACGATTTGGGGTACACGGAGCATTCCTCGAGTTGCTGTGCTGAAGTTGGTGTTCCTCTAGACTTGGGACAGTGTTCTCGGGGCATCTCTGGAGTTGCCTGAAGGAAGTCGAGCCACCGGTCGTGTTGAATGGGGAACGGGGAATGGCTCTGGAGTCAATGCAGGGGAATCGGGCCTCATCTCGAGTTGATTTGGGGCACATGGAGCTGCTTTGCGTTGCTGGGGTGATCTCAGGGTCCGTCTAGACTGGTGACAGTGTTCTTGGGGACTGTCTTGAGATCCATTAAGCAAGTCGAAGCTCCTGACTTGTTTGAATGGGAACACGGAATACCTCTGCATGCACTGCAGGGGAATGCGGCCTCATCTCGCCTCTAGGGGGAAGTCTCATGGTTTTTCTCGAGTTGAGGTGGGGACCTGGGGTATATTCTCCACTTACGGCGGGGATGGCCCTTCAAAACACGAGTTTCTTCAGTGACGTCAGGCCTCCAATCTAGTAACGAGAGACACCTCAGGTATATCTTCGAGGCTTGGCAGTGCAAAAGGGACGCTTCTCGAGGTGAGGCACGGCACCCAAGGACTCTTTCCAGTAGCCACAGTGATTTTGGGATTCCTATCAGTATTCAAGAGGAGTCAGGCATCGTCACCTTTTGAAGCAATGAACTCTGCGTGCCTCTCGAGGTGTCAACGGGATGTGAGGCATTCCGTCAAAAAGAGGCAGGGACCTAGGGCGTTCTCTAAGGTCTCCACAGGGGATTCAGACATCCCTTCATGTTGTGAGATGAAAGACGAGCCTGTATTCAAGCCACTGCAAGGAATTCCGTCCTCCTTTCAAGTTAGGGCTTCTCGCTGTATACTCCACTTGAGGCAACGATCTCGGGGTCCCTCCCACATACCTATTGCTGGGAGAAGCCTCCTCCTGAGGTGCTTCTGGAACGGTTGGCATACGTCTTGAGCCTAAGCCAGTTAATCAGCTCTCATCTCGAGACGATTTGGGGTACACGGAGCATTCCTCGAGTTGCTGTGCTGAAGTTGGTGTTCCTCTAGCCTTGGGACAGTGTTCTCGGGGCATCTCTGGAGTTGCCTGAAGGAAGTCGAGCCACCGGTCGAGTTGAATGGGGAACGGGGAATGGCTCTGGAGTCAATGCAGTGGAATCGGGCCTCATCTCGAGTTGATTTGGGGCACATGGAGCTGCTTTGCGTTGCTGGGGTGACCTCAGGGTCCGTCTAGATTGGTGACAGTGTTCTTGGGGACTGTCTCGAGATCCATTAAGCAAGTCAAAGCTCCTGACTTGTTTGAATGGGATCACGGAATAGCTCTGCATGCAGTGCAGGGGAATGGGGCCTCATCTCGCCTCTAGGGGGAAGTCTCATGGTTTTTCTCGAGTTGCGGCGGGGACCTGGGGTATGTTCTCGACTTACGGCGGGGATGGCCCTTCAAAACACGAGTTTCTTCAGTGACGTCAGGACTCCTGTCGAGTAACCAGGGACACCTCAGGGAACTCTTCGAGGTTTGGCAGGGCAAAAGGGACCCTTCTCGAAGTGATGCAGGGCACCCAAGGACCCTTTCCAGTAGCTACAGGGATTTTGGGATTCCTATCAGTATTCAAGAGGAGTCAGGCATCGTCACCTTTTGAAGCAATGAACTCCGCGTGCCTCTCGAGGTGTCAACGGGATGTGAGGCATTCCGTCAAAATGACGCAGGTATCCAGGGCTTTCTCTAAGGTCTCCACAGTGGATTCAGACATCCCTTCATGTTTTGAGATCAAAGACGAGCCTGTATTCAAGCCACTGCAAGGAAATCCGGCCTCCTTTCAAGTTAGGTCTTCTCGATGTATACTCCACTTGAGGCAGCGATCTGGGGGTCCCTCCCACATATCTATTGCTGAGAGAATCCTCCTCCTGAGGTGCTTCTGGAATGTTGGCATACGTCTTGAGCCTAAGCCAGGGAATCAGCTCTCATCTCGAGACGATTTGGGGTACACGGAGCATTCCTCGAGTTGCTGTGCTGAAGTTGGTGTTCCTCTAGACTTGGGACAGTGTTCTCGGGGCATCTCTGGTGTTGCCTGAGGAAGTCGAGCCACCGGTCGTGTTGAATGGGGAACGGGGAATGGCTCTGGAGTCAATGCAGGGGAATCGGGCCTCATCTCGAGTTGATTTGGGGCACATGGAGCTGCTTTGCGTTGCTGGGGTGATCTCAGGGTCCGTCTAGACTGGTGACAGTGTTCTTGGGGACTGTCTCGAGATCCATTAAGCAAGTCGAAGCTCCTGACTTGTTTGAATGGGAACACGGAATAGCTCTGCATGCACTGCAGGGGAATGCGGCCTCATCTCGCCTCTAGGGGGAAGTCTCATGGTTTTTCTCGAGTTGCAGCGGGAACCTGGGGTATGTTCTCGACTTTCCGCGGGGATAGCCCTGCAAAACACATGTTTACTCCGTGACGTCAGGACTCCTGTCTAGTAATGAGGGACACCTCAGGAATTTCTTCGAGGCTTGGCAGGGCAAAAGGGACGCTTCTCAGGTGAGGCAGGGCACCCAAGGACCCTTACCAGTAGCCACAGGGATTTTGGGATTCCTATCAGTATTCAAGAGGAGTCAGGCATCATCACCTTTTGAAGCAATGAACTCTGCATGCCTCTCGAAGTGACAACGGGATGTGAGGCATTCCATCAAAATGACGCAGGGAACAAGGGCTTTCTCTAAGGTCTCCAAAGGGGATTCAGACATCCCTTCATGTTGTGAGATGAAAGACGAGCCTGTATTCAAGCCACTGTGAGGAAATCCGGCCTCCTTTCAAGATAGGGCTTCTCGCTGTATACTCCACTTGAGGCAGCGATCTCGGGGTCCCTCCCACATACCTATTGCTGGGAGAAGCCTCTTCCTGAGGTGCTTCTGGAAAGTTGGCATACGTCTTGAGCCTAAGCCAGGGAATCAGCTCTCATCTCGAGACGATTTGGGGTACACGGAGCATTCCTCGAGTTGCTGTGCTGAAGTTGCTGTTCCTCTAGACTTGGGACAGTGTTCTCGGGGCATCTCTGGAGTTGCCTGAAGGAAGTCGAGCCACCGGTGGTGTTGAAAGGCGTACGGGGAATGGCTCCGGAGTCAACGCAGGGGAATCGGGCCTCATCTCGAGTTGATTTGGGGCACATGGAGCTGCTTTGCTTTGCTGCGGTGACCTCAGGATCCGTCTAGACTTGTGACAGTGTTCTTGCGGACTGTCTCGAGATCCATTAAGAAAGTCGAAGGTCCTGACTGGTTTGAATGGGATCACGGAATAGCTCTGCATGCACTGCAGGGGAATGGGGCCTAATCTCGCATCTAGGGGGAAGTCTCACGGTTTTTCTCGAGTTGCGGCGTGGACCTGGGGTGTGTTCTCGACTTACGGCGGGGATGGCCCTTCAAAACACGTGTTTATTCAGTGACGTCAGGACTCCTGTCTAGTAACGAGGGACACCTCAGGAATCTCTTCGAGGCTTGGCAGGGCAAAAGGGACGCTTCTCGAGGTGAGGCAGGGCACCCAAGGACCGTTTCCAGTAGCCACAGGGATTTTGGGATTCCTATCAGTATTCAAAAGGAGTCAGGCATCATCACCTTTTGAAGCAATGAACTCTGCGTGCCTCTCGAGGTGTCAAGGGGATGTGAGGAATTCCGTAAAAAAAAGAGGCAGGGACCTAGGGCTTTCTCTAAGGTCTCCACAGGGGATTCAGACATCCCTTCATGTTGTGAGATGAAAGACGAGCCTGTATTCAAGCCACTGCAAGGAAATCCGGCCTCCTTTCAAGTTAGGGCTTCTCGCTTTATACTCCACTTGAGGCAGCGATCTCGGGGTCCCTTCCACATACCTATTGCTGGGAGAAGCCTCCTCCTGAGGTGCTTCTGGAAAGTTGGCATACGTCTTGAGCCTAAGCCAGGGAATCAGCTCTCATCTCGAGACGATTTGGGGTACACGGAGCATTCCTCGAGTTGCTGTGCTGAAGTTGGTGTTCCTCTAGCCTTGGGACAGTGTTCTCGGGGCATCTCTGGAGTTGCCTGAAGGATGTCGAGCCACCGGTCGTGTTGAATGGGGAACGGGGAATGGCTCTGGAGTCAATGCAGGGGAATCGGGCCTCATCTCGAGTTGATTTGGGGCACATGGAGCTGCTTTGCATTGCTGGGGTGACCTCAGGGTCCGTCTAGACGGGTGACAGTGTTCTTGGGGACTGTCTCAAAATCCATTAAGCAAGTCGAAGCCCCTGACTTGTTTGAATGGGATCACGGAATAGCTCTGCATGCACTGCAGGGGAATGCGGCCTCATCTCGCCTCTAGGGGGAAGTCTCATGGTTTTACTCGAGTTGCGGCGGGGACCTGGGGTATGTTCTCGACTTACGGCGGGGATGGCCCTTCAAAACACGAGTTTCTTCAGTGACGTAGGACTCCTGTCTAGTAACCAGGGACACCTCAGGGAACTCTTCGAGGTTTGGCAGGGCAAAAGGGACCCTTCTCGAAGTGATGCAGGGCACCCAAGGACCCTTTCCAGTAGCCAAAGGGATTTTGTGATTCCTAACAGGATTCAAGAGGAGTCAGGCATCGTCACCTTTTGAAGCAATGAACTCCGCGTGCCTCTCGAGGTGTCAATGGGATGTGAGGCATTCCGTCAAAATGACGCAGGTATCCAGGGCTTTCTCTAAGGTCTCCACAGTGGATTCAGACATCCCTTCATTTTTTGAGATCAAAGACGAGCCTGTATTCAAGCCACTGTGAGGAAATCCGGCCTCCTTTCAAGTTAGGGCTTCTCGCTGTATACTCCACTTGAGGCAGCGATCTCGGGGTCCCTCCCACATACCTATTGCTGGGAGAATCCTCCTCCTGAGGTGCTTCTGGAAAGTTGGCATACGTCTTGAGCCTAAGCCAGGGAATCAGCTCTCATCTCGAGACGATTTGGGGTACACGGAGCATTCCTCGAGTTGCTGTGCTGAAGTTGGTGTTCCTCTATCCTTGGGACAGTGTTCTCGGGACATCTCTGGAGTTGCCTGAAGGAAGTCGAGCCACCGGTCATGTTGAATGGGGAACGGGGAATGGCTCTGGAGTCAATGCAGGGGAATCGGGCCTCATCTCGAGTTGATTTGGGGCACATGGAGCTGCTTTGCATTGCTGGGGTGACCTCAGGGTCCGTCTAGACTGGTGACAGTGTTCTTGGGGACTGTCTCGAGATCCATTAAGCAAGTGGAAGCTCCTGACTTGTTTGAATGGGATCACGGAATAGCTCTGCATGCACTGCAGGGGAATGCGGCCTCATCTCACCTCTAGGGGGAAGTCTCATGGTTTTTCTCGAGTTGCGGCAGGGACCTGGGGTATGTTCTCGACTTACGGCGGGGATGGCCCTTCAAAACACGAGTTTCTTCAGTGACGACAGGACTCCTGTCTAGTAACGAGGGACACCTCAGGAATCTCTTCGAGGCTTGGCAGGGCAAAAGGGACGCTTCTCGATGTGAGGCAGGGCACCCAAGGACCCTTTCCAGTAGCTACAGGGATTTTGGGATTCCTATCAGTATTCAAGAGGAGTCAGGCATCGTCACCTTTTGAAGCAATGAACTCCGCGTGCCTCTCGAGGTGTCAACGGGATGTGAGGCATTCCGTCAAAATGAGGCAGGGACCTAGGGCTTTCTCTAAGGTCTCCACAGGGGATTCAGACATCCCTTCATGTTGTGAGATGAAAGACGAGCCTGTATTCAAGCCACTGCAAGGAAATCCGGCCTCCTTTCAAGTTACGGTTTTTCGCTGTATATTCCACTTGAGGCACCGATCTCGGGGTCCCTCCCACATTCCTATTGCTGAGAGAAGCCTCCTCCTGAGGTGCTTTTGGAAAGTTGGCATACGTCTTGAGCCTAAGCCAGGGAATCAGCTCTCATCTCGAGACGCTTTGGGGTACACGGAGCATTCCTCGAGTTGCTGTGCTGAAGTTGGTGTTCCTCTAGACTTGGGACAGTGTTCTCCGTGCATCTCTGGAGTTGCCTGAAGGAAGTCGAGCCACCAGTCGTGTTGAATGGGGAACGTGGAATGGCTCTGGAGTCAATGCAGTGGAATCGGGCCTCATCTCGAGTTGATTTGGGGCACATGCAGCTGCTTTGCGTTGCTGGGGTGACCTCAGGGTCCGTCTAGACTGGTGACAGAGTTCTTGTGGACTATTTCGAGATCCATTAAGCAAGTCGAAGCTCCTGACTTCTTTGAATGGGATCACGGAATTGCTCTGCATGCACTGCAGGGGAATGGGGCCTCATCTCGCTTCTAGGGGGAAGTCTTATGGTTTTCCTCGAGTTGCAGCGGGGACCTGGGGTATGTTCTCGACTTACAGTTGGGATGGCCCTTCAAAAAACATGTTTATTCCGTGACGTCAGGACTCCTGTCTAGTAATGAGGGACACCTCAGGAATTTCTTCGAGTCTTGGCAGGGCAAAAGGGACGCTTCTCGAGGTGAGGCAGGGCACCCAAGGACCCTTACCAGTAGCCACAGGGATTTTGGGATTCCTATCAGTATTCAAGAGGAGTCAGGCATCATCACCTTTTGAAGCAATGAACTCTGCGTGCCTCTCGATGTGACAACGGGATGTGAGGCATTCCATCAAAATGACGCAGGTATCCAGGGCTTTCTCTAAGGTCTCCACAGGGGATTCAGACATCCCTTCATGTTTTGAGATCAAAGACGAGACTGTATTCAAGCCACTGCAAGGAAATCCGGCCTCCTTTCAAGTTAGGCCTTCTCGCTGTATATTCAACTTGAGGCAGTGTTCTCGTGGTCCCTCCCACATAAGTATTGCTGGGAGAAGCCTACTCCTGAAGTGCTTCTGGAAAGTTGGCATACGTCTTGAGCCTAAGCCAGGGAATCAGCTCTCATCTCGAGACGATTTGGGGTACACGGAGCATTACTCGAGTTGCTGTGCTGAAGTTGGTGTTCCTCTAGATTTGGGACAGTGTTCTCGGGGCATCACTGGAGATGCCTGAAGGACGTCGAGCCACCAGTCATGTTGAATGGGGAACGGGGAATGGCTCTGGAGTCAATGCAGGGGAATTGTGCCTTATCTCGAGTTGATTTGGGGCATATGCAGCGGCTTTGCATTGCTGGGGTGACCTCAGGGTCCGTCTAGACTGGTGACAGTGTTTTTGGGGACTGTCTCGAGATCCATTAAGCAAGTCGAAGCTCCTGACTTGTTTGAATGGGATCACGGAATTGCTCTGCATGCACTGCAGGGGAATGGGGCCTCATCTCGCTTCTAGGGGGAAGTCTCATGGTTTTTCTCGAGTTGCGGCGGGGACCTGGGGTATGTTCTCGACTTACGGCGGGGATGGCCCTTCAAAACACGAGTTTCTTCAGTGAAGTAGGACCCCTGTCTAGTAACCAGGGACACCTCAGGGAACTCTTCGAGGTTTGGCAGGGCAAAAGGGACCCTTCTCGAGGTGATGCAGGGCACCCAAGGACCCTTTCCAGTAGCCACATTGATTTTGTGATTCCTAACAGTATTCAAGAGGAGTCAGGCATCGTCACCTTTTGAAGCAATGAACTCCGCGTGCCTCTCGAAGTGTCAACGGGATGTGAGGCATTCCGTCAAAATGACGCAGGTATCCAGGGCTTTCTCTAAGGTCTTCACAGTGGATTCAGACATCCCTTCATTTTTTGAGATCAAAGACGAGCCTGTATTCAAGCCACTGTGAGGAAATCCAGCCTCCTTTCAAGTTAGGGCTTCTCGCTGTATACTCCACTTGAGGCAGCGATCTCGGTGTCCCTCCCACATACCTATTGCTGGCAGAAGCTTCCTCCTGAGGTGCTTCTGGAAAGTTGGCATACGTCTTGAGCCTAAGCCAGGGAATCAGCTCTCATCTCGAGACGACTTGGGGTACACGGAGCATTCCTCGAGTTGCTGTGCTGAAGTTGGTGTTCCTCTAGCCTTGGGACAGTGTTCTCGGGGCATCTCTGGAGTTGCCTGAAGGAAGTCGAGCCACCGGTGATGGTGAAAGGCGAACGGGGAATGGCTCTGGAGTCAATGCAGGGGAATCGTGCCTCATCTCGAGTTGATTTGGGGCACATGCAGCGGCTTTGCATTGCTGCGGTGACCTCAGGGTCCGTCTAGACTGGTGACAGTGTTCTTGGGGACTGTCTCGAGATCCATTAAGCAAGTCGAAGGTCCTGACTTGTTTGAATGGGATCACCTAATTGCTCTGCATGCACTGCAGGGGAATGCGGCCTCATCTCGCCTCTAGGGGGAAGTCTCATGTTTTTTCTCGAGTTGCAGCGGGGACCTGGGGTATGTTCTCGACTTACGGCGGGGATGGCCCTTCAAAACACGAGTTTTTCAGTGACGTAGGACGCATGTCTAGTAACCAGGGACACCTCAGGGAACTCTTCGAGGTTTGGCAGGGCAAAAGGGACCCTTCTTGAAGTGATGCAGGGCACCCAAGGACCCTTTCCAGTAGCGACAGGGATTTTGTGATTCCTATCAGTATTCAAGAGGAGTCAGGCATCGTCACCTTTAGAAGCAATGAACTCCGCGTGCCTCTCGAGGTGTCAACGGGATGTGAGGTATTCCGTCAAAATGAGGCAGGTATCCAGGGCTTTCTCTAAGGTCTCCACAGGGGATTCAGACATCCCTTCATGTTGTGAGATGAAAGACGAGCCTGTATTCAAGCCACTGCAAGGAAATCCGGCCTCCTTTCAAGTTAAGGCTTTTCGCTGTATATTCCCCTTGAGGCAGCAAATTCGGGGTCCCTCCCACATACCTATTGCTGAGAGAAGCCTCCTCCTGAGGTGCTTCTGGAAAGTTGGCATACGTCTTGAGCCTAAGCCAGGGAATCACCTCTCATCTCGAGACGATTTGGGGTACACGGAGCATTCCTCGAGTTGCTGTGCTGAAGTTGGTGTTCCTCTAGCCTTGGGACAGTGTTCTCGGGGCATCTCTGGAGTTGCCTGAAAGAAGTCGAGCCACCGGTCGTGTTGAATGGGGAACGGGGAATGGCTCTGGAGTCAATGCAGGGGAATCGGGCCTCATCTCGAGTTGATTTGGGGCACATGGAGCTGCTTTGCATTGCTGGGGTGACCTCAGGGTCCGTCTAGACTGGTGAGAGTGTTCTTGGGGACTGTCTCGAGATCCATTAAGCAAGTGGAAGCTCCTGACTTGTTTGAATGGGATCACGGAATAGCTCTGCATGCACTGCAGGGGAATGCGGCCTCATCTCACCTCTAGGGGGAAGTCTCATGGTTTTTCTCGAGTTGCGGCGGGGACCTGGGGTATGTTCTCGACTTACGGCGGGGATGGCCCTTCAAAACACGAGTTTCTTCAGTGACGTCAGGACTCCTGTCTAGTAACGAGGGACACCTCAGGAATCTCTTCGAGGCTTGGCAGGGCAAAAGGGACGCTTCTCTATGTGAGGCAGGGCACCCAAGGACCCTTTCCAGTAGCTACAGGGATTTTGGGATTCCTATCAGTATTCAAGAGGAGTCAGGCATCGTCACCTTTTGAAGCAATGAACTCCGCGTGCCTCTCGAGGTGTCAACGGGATGTGAGGCATTCTGTCAAAATGAGGCAGGGACCTAGGGCTTTCTCTAAGGTCTCCACAGGGGATTCAGACATCCCTTCATGTTGTGAGATGAAAGACGAGCCTGTATTCAAGCCACTGCAAGGAAATCCGGCCTCCTTTCAAGTTACGGTTTTTCGCTGTATATTCCACTTGAGGCACCGATCTCGGGGTCCCTCCCACATTCCTATTGCTGAGAGAAGCCTCCTCCTGAGGTGCTTTTGGAAAGTTGGCATACGTCTTGAGCCTAAGCCAGGGAATCAGCTCTCATCTCGAGACGCTTTGGGGTACACGGAGCATTCCTCGAGTTGCTGTGCTGAAGTTGGTGTTCCTCTAGACTTGGGACAGTGTTCTCCGTGCATCTCTGGAGTTGCCTGAAGGAAGTCGAGCCACCAGTCGTGTTGAATGGGGAACGTGGAATGGCTCTGGAGTCAATGCAGTGGAATCGGGCCTCATCTCGAGTTGATTTGGGGCACATGCAGCTGCTTTGCGTTGCTGGGGTGACCTCAGGGTCCGTCTAGACTGGTGACAGTGTTCTTGTGGACTATCTCGAGATCCATTAAGCAAGTCGAAGCTCCTGACTTGTTTGAATGGGATCACGGAATTGCTCTGCATGCACTGCAGGGGAATGGGGCCTCATCTCGCTTCTAGGGGGAAGTCTTATGGTTTTCCTCGAGTTGCAGCGGGGACCTGGGGTATGTTCTCGACTTACAGTTGGGATGGCCCTTCAAAAAACATGTTTATTCCGTGACGTCAGGACTCCTGTCTAGTAATGAGGGACACCTCAGGAATTTCTTCGAGTCTTGTCAGGGCAAAAGGGACGCTTCTCGAGGTGAGGCAGGGCACCCAAGGACCCTTACCAGTAGCCACAGGGATTTTGGGATTCCTATCAGTATTCAAGAGGAGTCAGGCATCATCACCTTTTGAAGCAATGAACTCTGCGTGCCTCTCGATGTGACAACGGGATGTGAGGCATTCCATCAAAATGACGCAGGTATCCAGGGCTTTCTCTAAGGTCTCCACAGGGGATTCAGACATCCCTTCATGTTTTGAGATCAAAGACGAGACTGTATTCAAGCCACTGCAAGGAAATCCGGCCTCCTTTCAAGTTAGGCCTTCTCACTGTATATTCAACTTGAGGCAGTGTTCTCGTGGTCCCTCCCACATAAGTATTGCTGGGAGAAGCCTACTCCTGAAGTGCTTCTGGAAAGTTGGCATACGTCTTGAGCCTAAGCCAGGGAATCAGCTCTCATCTCGAGACGATTTGGGGTACACGGAGCATTACTCGAGTTGCTGTGCTGAAGTTGGTGTTCCTCTAGATTTGGGACAGTGTTCTCGGGGCATCACTGGAGATGCCTGAAGGACGTCGAGCCACCAGTCATGTTGAATGGGGAACGGGGAATGGCTCTGGAGTCAATGCAGGGGAATTGTGCCTTATCTCGAGTTGATTTGGGGCATATGCAGCGGCTTTGCATTGCTGGGGTGACCTCAGGGTCCGTCTAGACTGGTGACAGTGTTTTTGGGGACTGTCTCGAGATCCATTAAGCAATTCGAAGCTCCTGACTTGTTTGAATGGGATCACGGAATTGCTCTGCATGCACTGCAGGGGAATGGGGCCTCATCTCGCTTCTAGGGGGAAGTCTCATGGTTTTTCTCGAGTTGCGGCGGGGACCTGGGGTATGTTCTCGACTTACGGCGGGGATGGCCCTTCAAAACACGAGTTTCTTCAGTGAAGTAGGACCCCTGTCTAGTAACCAGGGACACCTCAGGGAACTCTTCGAGGTTTGGCAGGGCAAAAGGGACCCTTCTCGAGGTGATGCAGGGCACCCAAGGACCCTTTCCAGTAGCCACATTGATTTTGTGATTCCTAACAGTATTCAAGAGGAGTCAGGCATCGTCACCTTTTGAAGCAATGAACTCCGCGTGCCTCTCGAAGTGTCAACGGGATGTGAGGCATTCCGTCAAAATGACGCAGGTATCCAGGGCTTTCTCTAAGGTCTTCACAGTGGATTCAGACATCCCTTCATTTTTTGAGATCAAAGACGAGCCTGTATTCAAGCCACTGTGAGGAAATCCAGCCTCCTTTCAAGTTAGGGCTTCTCGCTGTATACTCCACTTGAGGCAGCGATCTCGGTGTCCCTCCCACATACCTATTGCTGGCAGAAGCTTCCTCCTGAGGTGCTTCTGGAAAGTTGCCATACGTCTTGAGCCTAAGCCAGGGAATCAGCTCTCATCTCGAGACGACTTGGGGTACACGGAGCATTCCTCGAGTTGCTGTGCTGAAGTTGGTGTTCCTCTAGCCTTGGGACAGTGTTCTCGGGGCATCTCTGGAGTTGCCTGAAGGAAGTCGAGCCACCGGTGATGGTGAAAGGCGAACGGGGAATGGCTCTGGAGTCAATGCAGGGGAATCGTGCCTCATCTCGAGTTGATTTGGGGCACATGCAGCGGCTTTGCATTGCTGCGGTGACCTCAGGGTCCGTCTAGACTGGTGACAGTGTTCTTGGGGACTGTCTCGAGATCCATTAAGCAAGTCGAAGGTCCTGACTTGTTTGAATGGGATCACCTAATTGCTCTGCATGCACTGCAGGGGAATGCGGCCTCATCTCGCCTCTAGGGGGAAGTCTCATGTTTTTTCTCGAGTTGCAGCGGGGACCTGGGGTATGTTCTCGACTTACGGCGGGGATGGCCCTTCAAAACACGAGTTTTTCAGTGACGTAGGACGCATGTCTAGTAACCAGGGACACCTCAGGGAACTCTTCGAGGTTTGGCAGGGCAAAAGGGACCCTTCTTGAAGTGATGCAGGGCACCCAAGGACCCTTTCCAGTAGCGACAGGGATTTTGTGATTCCTATCAGTATTCAAGAGGAGTCAGGCATCGTCACCTTTAGAAGCAATGAACTCCGCGTGCCTCTCGAGGTGTCAACGGGATGTGAGGTATTCCGTCAAAATGAGGCAGGTATCCAGGGCTTTCTCTAAGGTCTCCACAGGGGATTCAGACATCCCTTCATGTTGTGAGATGAAAGACGAGCCTGTATTCAAGCCACTGCAAGGAAATCCGGCCTCCTTTCAAGTTAAGGCTTTTCGCTGTATATTCCCCTTGAGGCAGCAAATTCGGGGTCCCTCCCACATACCTATTGCTGAGAGAAGCCTCCTCCTGAGGTGCTTCTGGAAAGTTGGCATACGTCTTGAGCCTAAGCCAGGGAATCACCTCTCATCTCGAGACGATTTGGGGTACACGGAGCATTCCTCGAGTTGCTGTGCTGAAGTTGGTGTTCCTCTAGCCTTGGGACAGTGTTCTCGGGGCATCTCTGGAGTTGCCTGAAAGAAGTCGAGCCACCGGTCGTGTTGAATGGGGAACGGGGAATGGCTCTGGAGTCAATGCAGGGGAATCGGGCATCATCTCGAGTTGATTTGGGGCACATGCACCTGCTTTGCGTTGCTGGGGTGACCTCAGTGTCCGTCTAGACAGGTGACAGTGTTCTTGGGGACTGTCTCGAGATTCATTAAGCAAGTTGAAGCTCCTGACTTGTATGAATGGGATCACGGAATAGCTCTGCATGCACTGCAGGGGAATGCGGCCTCATCTCGCCTCTAGGGGAAGTCACATGGTTTTTCTCGAGTTGCGGCGGGGACCTGGGGTATGTTCTCGACTTACGGCGAGGATGGCCCTTCAAAACAGGAGTTTCTTCAGTGACGTCAGGACTCCAGTCTAGTAATGAGGGACACCTCAGGAATCTCTTCGAGGTTTGGCAGGGCAAAAGGGACGCTCCTCGAGGTGAGGCAGGGCACCCAAGGACCCTTTCCAGTAGCCACAGGGATTTTAGGATTCCTTTCGGTATTCAAGAGGAGTCAGGCATCGTCACCTTTTGAAGCAATGAACTCCGCGTGCCTCTCGAGGTGTCAAAGGGATGTGAGGCATTCCGTCAAAATGAGGCAGGGACCTAGGGCTTTCTCTAAGGTCTCCACAGGGGATTCAGACCTCCCTTCATGTTGTGAGATGAAAGACGAGCCTGTGTTCAAGCCACTGCAAGGAATTCCGGCCTCCTTTCAAGTTAGGGCTTCTTGCTGTATACTCCACTTGAGGCAGCGATCCCGGGGTCCCTCCCACATAGCTATTGCTGGGAGAAGCCTCCTCCTGAGGTGCTTCTGGAAAGTTGGCATACGTCTTGAGCCTAAGCCAGGGAATCAGCTCTCATCTCGAGACGATTTGGGGTACACGGAGCATTCCTCGAGTTGCTGTGCTGAAGTTGGTGTTCCTCTAGCCTTGGGACAGTGTTCTTGGGGCATCTCTGGAGTTGCCTGAAGGAAGTCGAGCCACCGGTCGTGTTGAATGGGGAACGGGGAATGGCTCTGGAGTCAATGCAGGGGAATCGGGCCTCATCTCGAGTTGATTTGGGGCACATGGAGCTGCTTTGCGTTGCTGGGGTGACATCAGGGTCCGTCTAGATTGGTGACAGTGTTCTTGGGGACTGTCTCGAGATCCATTAAGCAAGTCGAAGCTCCTGACTTGTTTGAGTGGGATTACGGAATAGCGCTGCATGCACTGCAGTGGAATGGGTCCTCATCTCGCCTCTAGGGGGAAGTCTCATGGTTTTTCTCGAGTTGCGGCGGGGACCTGGGGTATGTTCCCGACTTACGGCGGGGATGGCCCTTCAAAACACGAGTTTCTTCAGTGACGTCAGGACTCCAGTCTAGTAACGAGGGACACCTCAGGAATCTCTTCGAGGCTTGGCAGGGCAAAAGGGACGCTTCTCGAGGTGAGGCAGGGCACCCAAGGACCCTTTCCAGTAGCCACAGGGATTTTGGGATTCCTATCAGTATTCAAAAGGAGTCAGGCTTCGTCACCTTTTGAAGCAATGAACTCTGAGTGCCTCTCGAGGTGTCAACGGGATGTGAGGCATTCCGTCAAAATGAGGCACCGAACTAGGCCTTTTTCTAAGGTCTCCACAGGGGATTCACACATCCCTTCATGTTGTGAGATGAAAGACGAGCCTGTATTCAAGCCACTGCAAGGAAATCCGGCCTCCTTTCAAGTTAGGGCTTCTCGCTGTATATTCCCCTTGAGGCAGCTATCTCGGGGTCCCTCCCACATACCTATTGCTGGGAGAAACCTCCTCCTCAGGTGCTTCTGGAAAGTTGGCATACGTCTTGAGCCTAAGCCAGGGAATCAGCTCTCAGCTCGAGACGACTTGGGGTACACGGAGCATTCCTCGAGTTGCTGTGCTGAAGTTGGTGTTCCTCTAGCCTTGGGACAGTGTTCTCGGGGCATCTCTGGAGTTGCCTGAAGGAAGTCGAGCCACCGGTCGTGTTAAATGGGGAACGGGGAATGGCTCTGGAGTCAATGCAGGGGAATCGGGCCTCATCTCGAGTTGATTTGGGGCACATGCAGCTGCCTTGCGTTGCTGGGGTGACGTCAGGGTCCGTCTAGACTGGTGACAGTGTTCTTGTGGACTATCTCGAGATCCATTAAGCAAGTCGAAGCTCCTGACTTGTTTGAATGGGATCACGGAATTGCTCTGCGTGCACTGCAGGGGAATGGGGCCTCATCTCGCTTCTAGGGGGAAGTCTTATGGTTTTCCTCGAGTTGCAGCGGGGACCTGGGGTATGTTCTCGACTTACAGCGGGGATGGCCCTTCAAAAAACATGTTTATTCCGTGACGTCAGGACTCCTGTCTAGTAATGAGGGACACCTCAGGAATTTCTTCGAGGCTTGTCAGGGCAAAAGGGACGCATCTCGAGGTGAGGCAGGGCACCCAAGGACCCTTACCAGTAGCCACAGGGATTTTGGGATTCCTATCAGTATTCAAGAGGAGTCAGGCATCATCACCTTTTGAAGCAATGAACTCTGCATGCCTCTCGAGGTGACAACGGGATATGAGGCATTCCATCAAAATGACGCAGGTATCCAGGGCTTTCTCTAAGGTCTCCACAGGGGATTCAGACATCCCTTCATGTTTTGAGATCAAAGACGAGACTGTATTCAAGCCACTGCAAGGAAATCCGGCCTCCTTTCAAGTTAGGCCTTCTCGCTGTATATTCCACTTGAGGCAGTGATCTGGTGGTCCCTCCCACATAAGTATTGCTGGGAGAAGCCTACTCCTGAGGTGCTTCTGGAAAGTTGGCATACGTCTTGAGCCTAAGCCAGGGAATCAGCTCTCATCTCGAGACGATTTGGGGTACACGGAGCATTTCTCGAGTTGCTGTGCTGAAGTTGGTGTTCCTCTAGATTTGGGACAGTGTTCTCGGGGCATCGCTGGAGATGCCTGAAGGAAGTCGAGCCACCAGTCGTGTTGAATGGGGAACGGGGAATGGCTCTGGAGTCAATGCAGGGGAATTGTGCCTTATCTCGAGTTGATTTGGGGCATATGCAGCGGCTTTGCATTGCTGGGGTGACCTCAGGGTCCGTCTAGACTGGTGACAGTGTTCTTGGGGACTGTCTCGAGATCCATTAAGCAAGTCGAAGCTCCTGACTTGTTTGAGTGGGATCATGGAATAGCTCTGCATGCACTGCAGGGGAATGGGGCCTCATCTCGCCTCTAGGGGGAAGTCTCATGGTTTTTCTCGAGTTGCGGCGGGGACCTGGGGTATGTTCCCGACTTACGGCGGGGATGGCCCTTCAAAACACGAGTTTCTTCAGTGACGTCAGGACTCCAGTCTAGTAACGAGGGACACCTCAGGAATCTCTTCGAGGCTTGGCAGGGCAAAAGGGACGCTTCTCGAGGTGAGGCAGGGCACCCAAGGACACTTTCCCGTAGCCACAGGGATTTTGGGATTCCTATCAGTATTCAAAAGGAGTCAGGCTTCGTCACCTTTTGAAGCAATGAACTCTGAGTGCCTCTCGAGGTGTCAACGGGATGTGAGGCATTCCGTCAAAATGAGGCACCGAACTAGGCCTTTTTCTAAGGTCTCCACAGGGGATTCACACATCCCTTCATGTTGTGAGATGAAAGACGAGCCTGTATTCAAGCCACTGCAAGGAAATCCGGCCTCCTTTCAAGTTAGGGCTTCTCGCTGTATATTCCCCTTGAGGCAGCTATCTCGGGGTCCCTCCCACATACCTATTGCTGGGAGAAACCTCCTCCTCAGGTACTTCTGGAAAGTTGGCATACGTCTTGAGCCTAAGCCAGGGAATCAGCTCTCATCTCGAGACGATTTGGGGTACACGGAGCATTCCTCGAGTTGCTGTGCTGAAGTTGGTGTTCCTCTAGCCTTGGGACAGTGTTCTCGGGGCAACTCTGGAGTTGCCTGAAGGAAGTCGAGCCACAGGTCGTGTTGAATGGGGAACGGGGAATGGCTCTGGAGTCAATGCAGGGGAATCGGGCCTCATCTCGAGTTGATTTGGGGCACATGGAGCTGCTTTGCATTGCTGGGGTGACCTCAGGCTCCGTCTAGATTGGTGACAGTGTTCTTGGGGACTGTCTCGAGATCCATTAAGCAAGTCGAAGCTCCTGACTTGTTTGAGTGGGATCACGGAATAGCGCTGCATGCACTGCAGGGGAATGGGTCCTCATCTCGCCTCTAGGGGGAAGTCTCATGGTTTTTCTCGAGTTGCGGCGGGGACCTGGGGTATGTTCCCGACTTACGGCGGGGATGGCCCTTCAAAACACGAGTTTCTTCAGTGACGTCAGGACTCCAGTCTAGTAACGAGGGACACCTCAGGAATCTCTTCGAGGCTTGGCAGGGCAAAAGGGACGCTTCTCGAGGTGAGGCAGGGCACCCAAGGACCCTTTCCAGTAGCCACAGGGATTTTGGGAATCCTATCAGTATTCAAAAGGAGTCAGGCTTCGTCACCTTTTGAAGCAATGAACTCTGAGTGCCTCTCGAGGTGTCAACGGGATGTGAGGCATTCCGTCAAAATGAGGCACCGAACTAGGCCTTTTTCTAAGGTCTCCACAGGGGTTTCACACATCCCTTCATGTTGTGAGATGAAAGACGAGCCTGTATTCAAGCCACTGCAAGGAAATCCGGCCTCCTTTCAAGTTAGGGCTTCTCGCTGTATATTCCCCTTGAGGCAGCTATCTCGGGGTCCCTCCCACATACCTATTGCTGGGAGAAACCTCCTCCTCAGGTGCTTCTGGAAAGTTGGCATACGTCTTGAGCCTAAGCCAGGGAATCAGCTCTCAGCTCGAGACGACTTGGGGTACATGGAGCATTCCTCGAGTTGCTGTGCTGAAGTTGGTGTTCCTCTAGCCTTGGGACAGTGTTCTCGGGGCATCTCTGGATTTGCCTGAAGGAAGTCGAGCCACCGGTCGTGTTAAATGGGGAACGGGGAATGGCTCTGGAGTCAATGCAGGGGAATCGGGCCTCATCTCGAGTTGATTTGGGGCACATGCAGCTGCTTTGCGTTGCTGGGGTGACCTCAGGGTCCGTCTAGATTGGTGACAGTGTTCTTGGGGACTGTCTCGAGATCCATTAAGCAAGTCGAAGCTCCTGACTTGTTTGAATGGGGTCACGGAATTGCTCTGCATGCACTGCAGGGGAATGGGGCCTCATCTCGCTTCTAGGGGGAAGTCTTATGGTTTTCCTCCAGTTGCAGCGGGGACCTGGGGTATGTTCTCGACTTACAGCGGGGATGGCCCTTCAAAAAACATGTTTATTCCGTGACGTCAGGACTCCTGTCTAGTAATGAGGGACACCTCAGGAATTTCTTCGAGGCTTGTCAGGGCAAAAGGGACGCTTCTCGAGGTGAGGCAGGGCACCCAAGGACCCTTACCAGGAGCCACAGGGATTTTGGGATTCCTATCAGTATTCAAGAGGAGTCAGGCATCATCACCTTTTGAAGCAATGAACTCTGCGTGCCTCTCGAGGTGACAACGGGATATGAGGCATTCCATCAAAATGACGCAGGTATCCAGGGCTTTCTCTAAGGTCTCCACAGGGGATTCAGACATCCCTTCATGTTTTGAGATCAAAGACGAGACTGTATTCAAGCCACTGCAAGGAAATCCGGCCTCCTTTCAAGTTAGGCCTTCTCGCTGTATATTCCACTTGAGGCAGTGATCTCGTGGTCCCTTCCAAATAAGTATTGCTGGGAGAAGCCTACTCCTGAGGTGCTTCTGGAAAGTTGGCATACGTCTTGAGCCTAAGCCAGGGAATCAGCTCTCATCTCGAGACGATTTGGGGTACACGGAGCATTACTCGAGTTGCTGTGCTGAAGTTGGTGTTCCTCTAGATTTGGGACAGTGTTCTCGGGGCATCGCTGGAGATGCCTGAAGGAAGTCGAGCCACCAGTCGTGTTGAATGGGGAACGGGGAATGGCTCTGGAGTCAATGCAGGGGAATTGTGCCTTATCTCGAGTTGATTTGGGGCATATGCAGCGGCTTTGCATTGCTGGGGTGACCTCAGGGTCCATCTAGACTGGTGACAGTGTTTTTGGGGACTGTCTCGAGATCCATTAAGCAAGTCGAAGCTCCTGACTTTTTTGAATGGGATCACGGAATTGCTCTGCATGCACTGCAGGGGAATGGGGCCTCATCTCGCTTCTAGGGGGAAGTCTCATGGTTTTTCTCGAGTTGCGGCGCGGACCTGGGGTATGTTCTCGACTTACGGCGGGGATGGCCCTTCAAAACACGTGTTTCTTCAGTGACGTAGGACTCCTGTCTAGTAACCAGGGACACCTCAGGGAACTCTTCGAGGTTTGGCAGGGCAAAAGGGACCGTTCTCGAGGTGATGCAGGGCACCCAAGGACTCTTTCCAGTAGCCACATTGATTTTGTGATTCCTAACAGTATTCAAGAGGAGTCAGGCATCGTCACCTTTTGAAGCAATGAACTCCGCGTGCCTCTCGAGGTGTCAACGGGATGTGAGGCATTCCGTCAAAATGACGCAGGTATACAGGGCTTTCTCTAAGGTCTTCACAGTGGATTCAGACATCCCTTCATTTTTTGAGATCAAAGACGAGCCTGTATTCAAGCCACTGTGAGGAAATCCAGCCTCCTTTCAAGTTAGGGCTTCTCGCTGTATACTCCACTTGAGGCAGCGATCTCGGTGTCCCTCCCACATACCTATTGCTGGCAGAAGCTTCCTCCTGAGGTGCTTCTGGAAAGTTGGCATACGTCTTGAGCCTAAGCCAGGGAATCAGCTCTCATCTCGAGACGATTTGGGGTACACGGAGCATTCCTCGAGTTGCTGTGCTGAAGTTGCTGTTCCTCTAGCCTTGGAACAGTGTTCTCGGGGCATCTCTGGAGTTGCCTGAAGGAAGTCGAGCCACCGGTGGTGGTGAAAGGCGAACGTGGAATGGCTCTGGAGTCAATGCAGGGGAATCGTGCCTCATCTCGAGTTGATTTGGGGCACATGCAGCGGCTTTGCATTGCTGGGGTGACCTCAGGGCCCGTCTAGACTGGTGACAGTGTTCTTGGGGACTGTCTCGAGATCCATTAAGCAAGTCGAAGGTCCTGACTTGTTTGAATGGGATCACCTAATTGCTCTGCATGCACTGCAGGGGAATGCGGCCTCATCTCGCCTCTAGGGGGAAGTCTCATGTTTTTTCTCGAGTTGTCGCGGGGACCTGGGGTATGTTCTCGACTTACGGCGGGGATGGCCCTTCAAAACACGAGTTTTTCAGTGACGTAGGACGCATGTCTAGTAACCAGGGACACCTCAGGGAACTCTTCGAGGATTGGCAGGGCAAAAGGGACCCTTCTTGAAGTGATGCAGGGCACCCAAGGACCCTTTCCAGTAGCGACAGGGATTTTGTGATTCCTATCAGTATTCAAGAGGAGTCAGGCATCGTCACCTTTAGAAGCAATGAACTCCGGTGCCTCTCGAGGTGTCAACGGGATGTGAGGCATTCCGTCAAAATGAGGCAGGTATCTAGGGTTTCTCTAAGGTCTCCACAGGGGATTCAGACATCCCTTCATGTTGTGAGATGAAAGACGAGCCTGTATTCAAGCCACTGCAAGGAAATCCGGCCTCCTTTCAAGTTAAGGCTTTTCGCTGTATATTCCCCTTGAGGCAGCAAATTCGGGGTCTCTCCCACATACCTATTGCTGAGAGAAGCCTCCTCCTGAGGTGCTTCTGGAAAGTTGGCATACGTCTTGAGCCTAAGCCAGGGAATCAGCTCTCATCTCGAGACGATTTGGGGTACACGGAGCATTCCTCGAGTTGCTGTGCTGAAGTTGGTGTTCCTCTAGGCTTGGGACAGTGTTCTCGGGGCATCTCTGGAGTGCCTGAAAGAAGTCGAGAAACCGGTCGTGTTGAATGGGGAACGGGGAATGGCTCTGGAGTCAATGCAGGGGAATCGGGCATCATCTCGAGTTGATTTGGGGCACATGCAGCTGCTTTGCGTTGCTGGGGTGACCTCAGTGTCCGTCTAGACAGGTGACAGTGTTCTTGGGGACTGTCTCGAGATTCATTAAGCAAGTCGAAGCTCCTGACTTGTATGAATGGGATCACGGAATAGCTCTGCATGCACTGCAGGGGAATGCGGCCTCATCTCGCCTCTAGGGGAAGTCACATGGTTTTTCTCGAGTTGCGGCGGGGACCTGGGGTATGTTCTCGACTTACGGCGAGGATGGCCCTTCAAAACAGGAGTTTCTTCAGTGACGTCAGGACTCCAGTCTAGTAATGAGGGACACCTCAGGAATCTCTTCGAGGTTTGGCAGGGCAAAAGGGATGCTCCTCGAGGTGAGGCAGGGCACCCAAGGACCCTTTCCAGTAGCCACAGGGATTTTAGGATTCCTTTCGGTATTCAAGAGGAGTGAGGCATCGTCACCTTTTGAAGCAATGAACTCCGCGTGCCTCTCGAGGTGTCAACGGGATGTGAGGCATTCCGTCAAAATGAGGCACCGAACTAGGCCTTTTTCTAAGGTCTCCACAGGGGATTCACACATCCCATCATGTTGTGAGATGAAAGACGAGCCTGTATTCAAGCCACTGCAAGGAAATCCGGCCTCCTTTCAAGTTAGGGCTTCTCGCTGTATATTCCCCTTGAGGCAGCTATCTCGGGGTCCCTCCCACATACCTATTGCTGGGAGAAACCTCCTCCTCAGGTGCTTCTGGAAAGTTGGCATACGTCTTGAGCCTAAGCCAGGGAATCAGCTCTCAGCTCGCGACGACTTGGGGTACACGGAGCATTCCTCGAGTTGCTGTGCTGAAGTTGGTGTTCCTCTAGCCTTGGGACAGTGTTCTCGGGGCATCTCTGGAGTTGCCTGAAGGAAGTCGAGCCACCGGTCGTGTTGAATGGGGAAAGGGGAATGGCTCTGGAGTCAATGCAGGGGAATCGGGCCTCATCTCGAGTTGATTTGGGGAACATGGAGCTGCTTTGCGTTGGTGGGGTTACCTCAGGTCCGTCTAGACTGGTGACAGTGTTCTTGGGGACTGTCTCGAGATCCATTAAGCAAGTCGAAGCTCCTGACTTGTTTGAATGGGATCACGGAATAGCTCTGCATGCAGTGCAGGGGAAAGGGGCCTCATCTCGCTTCTAGGGGGAAGTCTCATGGTTTTTCTCGAATTGCGGCGGGGACCTGGGATATGTTCTTGACTTACAGCGGGGATGGCCCTTCAAAACACATGTTTTTTCAGTGACGTCAGGACTCCTGTCTAGTAATGAGGGACACCTCAGGAATCTCTTCGAGGCTTGGCAGGGCAAAATGAACGCTTCTCGAGGTGAGGCAGGGAACCCAAGGACCCTTTCCAGTAGCCACAGGGATTTTGGGATTCCTCTCAGTATTCAAGAGGAGTCAGGCATCGTCACCTTTTGAAGCAATGAACTCTGTGTGCCTCTCGAGTTGTCAACGGGATGTGAGGCATTCCGTCAAAATGACGCAGGGACCTAGGGCTTTCTCTAAGGTCTCCACAGGGCATACAGTCATCCCTTCATGTTTTGAGATCAAAGACGAGCCTGTATTCAAGCCACTGCAAGGAAATCCGGCCTCCTTTCAAGTTAGGGCTTCTCGCTGTATATTCCACTTGAGGCAGCGATCTCGGGGTCCCTCCCACATACCTATTGCTGGTAGAAGCCTCCTCCTGAGGTGCTTCTGGAAAGTTGGCATAGGTTTTGAGCCTAAGCCAGGGAATCAGCTCTCATCTCAAGACTGTCTGGGGTACACGGAGCATTCCTCGAGTTGCTGTGCTGAAGTTGGTGTTCCTCTAGCCTTGGGACAGTGTTCTCGGGGCATCTCTTGAGTTGCCTGAAGGAAGTCGAGCCACCGGTCGTGCTGAATGGCGAACGGGGAATGGCCTTGGTGTCAATGCAGGGGAATCGGGCCTCATCTCGAGTTGATTTGGGGCACATGGAGCTGCTTTGCGTTGCTGGCGTGACATCAGGGTCCGTCTAGACTGGTGACAGTGTTCTTGGGGACTGTCTCGAGATCCATTAAGCAAGTCGAAGCTCCTGACTTCTTTGAGTGGGGTCACGTAATAGCTCTGCATGCACTGCACTGGAATGGGGCGTCATCTCGCTTCTAGGGGGAATTCTCATGGTTTTTCTCGAGTTGCGGCGGGGACCTGGGGTATGTTCTCGACTTACGGCGGGGATGGCGCTTCAAAACACGAGTTTCTTCAGTGACGTCTGGACTCCAGTCTAGTAACGAGGGACACCTCAGGAATCTCTTCGAGGCTTGACAGGGCAAAAGGGACGCTTCTCGAGGTGAGGCAGGGAACGAAGGACCCTTTCCTGTAGCCACAGGGACTTTGGGATTCCTATCAGTATTCAAAAGGAGTCAGGCATCGTCACCTTTTGAAGCAATGAACTCTGAGTGCCTCTCGAGGTGTCAACGGGATGTGAGGCATTCCGTCAAAATGAGGCACCGAACTAGGGCTTTTTCTAAGGTCTCCACAGGGGATTCAGACATCCCTTCATCTTGTGAGATGAAAGACGACCCTGTATTCAAGCCACTGCAAGGCAATCCGGCCTCCTTTCAAGTTAGGGTTTTTCACTGTATATTCCACTTGAGGCAGCGATCTCGGGGTCCCTCCCACATACCTATTGCTGAGAGAAGCCTCCTCCGGAGGTGCTTCTGGAAAGTTGGCATAGGTTTTGAGCCTAAGCCAGGGAATCAGCTCTCATCTCGAGACGATTTAAGGTACACGGAGCATTCCTCGAGTTGCTGTGCTGAAGTTGGTGTTCCTCTAGCCTTGGGACAGTGTTCTCGGGGCATCTCTGGAGTTGCCTGAAGGAAGTCGAGCCACCGGTCGTGCTGAATGGCGAACGGGAAATGGCTCTGTAGTCAATGCACGGGAATCGGGCCTCATCTCGAGTTGATTTGGGGCACATGGAGCTGCTTTGCGTTGCTGGCGTAACATCAGGGTCCGTCTAGACTGGTGACAGTGTTCTTGGGGACTGTCTCGAGATCCATTAAGCAAGTCGAAGCTCCTGACTTCTTTGAGTGGGGTCACGTAATAGCTCTGCATGCACTGCACTGGAATCGGGCGTCATCTCGCCTCTAGGGGGAAGTCTCATGGTTTTTCTCGTGTTGCGGCGGGGACCTGGGGTATGTTCTCGACTTACGAGGGGGATGGCGTTTCAAAACACGAGTTTCTTCAGTGACGTCAGGACTCCAGTCTAGTAACGAGGGACACCTCAGGAATCTCTTCGAGGCTTGACAGGGCAAAAGGAACGCTTCTCGAGGTGAGGCAGGGCACGAAGGACCCTTTCCTGTAGCCAAAGGGACTTTGGGATTCCTATCAGTATTCAAAAGGAGTCAGGCATCGTCACCTTTTGAAGCAATGAACTCTGAGTGCCTCTCGAGGTGTCATCGGGATGTGAGGCATTCCGTCAAAATGAGGCACCGAACTAGGGCTTTTTCTAAGGTCTCCACAGGGGATTCAGACATCCCTTCATGTTGTGAGATGAAAGATGACCCTATATTCAAGCCACTGCAAGGAAATCCGGCCTCCTTTCAAGTTAGGGCTTCTCGCTGTATATTCCACTTGAGGCAGCAATCTCGGGGTCCCTCCCACATACCTATTGCTTAGAGAAGCCTCCTCCTGTGGTGCTTCTGGAAAGTTGGCATACGTCTTGAGCCTAAGCCAGGGAATCAGCTCTCATCTCGAGACGATTTGGGGTACACGAAGCATTCCTCGAGTTGCTGTGCTGAAGTTGGTGCTCCTCTAGCCTTGGGACAGTGTTCTCGGGGCAACTCTGGAGTTGCCTGAAGGAAGTCGAGCCACCGGTCGTGTTGAATGGGGAACGGGGAAGGGCTCTGGAGTCAAAGCAGGGGAATCGGGCCTCATCTCGAGTTGATTTGGGGCACATGGAGCTGCTTTGCGTTGCTGGGGTGACCTCAGGGTCCGTCTAGATTGGTGACAGTGTTCTTGGGGACTGTCTCGAGATCCATTAAGCAAGTCGAAGCTCCTGACTTGTTTGAGTGGGATCACGGAATAGCGCTGCATGCACTGCAGGGGAATGGGGCGTCATCTCGCCTCTAGGGGGAAGTCTCATGGTTTTTCTCGAGTTGCGGCGGGGACCTGGGGTATGTTCTCGACTTACGACGGGGATGGCCCTTCAAAACACGAGTTTCTTCAGTGACGTCAGGACTCCAGTCTAGTAACGAGGGACACCTCAGGAATCTCTTCGAGGCTTGGCAGGGCAAAAGGGACGCTTCTCGAGGTGAGGCAGGGCACCCAAGGACCCTTTCCAGTAGCCACAGGGATTTTGGGATTCCTATCAGTATTCAACAGGAGTCACGCATCGTCACCTTTTGAAGCAATGAACTCTGAGTGCCTCTCGAGGTGTCAGCGGGATGTGAGGCATTCCGTCAAAATGAGGCACCGAACTAGGGCTTTTTCTAAGGTCTCCACAGGAGATTCAGACATCCCTTCATGTTGTGAGATGAAAGACGAGCCTGTATTCAAGCCACTGCAAGGAAATCCGGCCTCCTTTCAAGTTAGGGCTTCTCGCTGTATATTCCCCTTGAGGCTGCTATCTCGGGGTCCCTCCCACATACCTATTGCTGTGAGAAACCTCCTCCTGAGGTGCTTCTGGAAAGTTGGCATACGTCTTGAGCCTAAGCCAGGGAATCAGCTCTCATCTCGAGACGGCTTGGGGTACACGGAGCATTCCTCTAGTTGCTGTGCTGAAGTTGGTGTTCCTCTAGCCTTGGGACAGTGTTCTCGGGGCAACTCTGGAGTTGTCTGAAGGAAGTCGAGCCACTGGTCGTGTTGAATGGGGAATAGGGAATGGCTCTGGAGTCAATGCAGGGGAATCGGGCCTCATCTCGAGTTGATTTGGGGCACATGGAGCTGCTTTGCGTTGCTGGGGTTACCTCAGGGTCCGTCTAGACTGGTGACAGTGTTCTTGGGGACTGTCTCGAGATCCATTAAGCAAGTCGAAGCTCCTGACTTGTTTGAGTGGGATCACGGAATAGCTCTGCATGCACTGCAGGGGAATGGGGCGTCATCTCGCCTCTAGGGGGAAGTCTCATGGTTTTTCTCGAGTTGCGGCGGGGACCTGATGTATGTTCTCGACTTACGGCGGGGATGGCCCTTCAAAACACGAGTTTCTTCAGTGACGTCAGGACTCCAGTCTAGTAACGAGGGACACCTCAGGAATCTCTTCGAGGCTTGGCAGGGCAAAAGGGACGGTTCTCGAGGTGAGGCAGGGCACACAAGGACCCTTTCCAGTAGCCACAGGGATTTTGGGATTCCTATCAGTATTCAAAAGGAGTCAGGCATCGTCACCTTTTGAAGAAATGAACTCTGAGTGCCTCTCGAGGTGTCAACGGGATGTGAGGCATTCCGTCAAAATGAGGCACCGAACTAGGCCTTTTTCTAAGGTCTCCACAGGGGATTCACACATCCCTTCATGTTGTGAGATGAAAGACGAGCCTGTATTCAAGCCACTGCAAGGAAATCCGGCTTCCTTTCAAGTTAGGACTTCTCACTGTATATTCCCCTTGAGGCAGCTATCTCGGGGTCCCTCCCACATACCTATTGCTAGGAGAAACCTCCTCCTGAGGTGCTTCTGGAAAGTTGGCATACGTCTTGAGCCTAAGCCAGGGAATCAGCTCTCATCTCGAGACGACTTGGGGTACACGGAGCATTCCTCGAGTTGCTGTGCTGAAGGTGGTGTTCCTCTAGCTTTGGGACAGTGTTCTCGGGGCATCTCTGGAGTTGCCTGAAGGAAGTCGAGCCACCGGTCGTGTTGAATGGGGAACGGGGAATGGCTCTGGAGTCAATGCAGGGGAATCGGGCCTCATCTCGAGTTGATTTGGGGCACATGCAGCTGCTTTGCGTTGTTGGGGTGACCTCAGGGCCCGTCTCGACTGGTGACAGTGTTCTTGTGGACTATCTCGAGATCCATTAAGCAAGTCGAAGCTCCTGACTTGTTTGAATGGGATCACAAAATAGCTCTGCATGCACTGCAGGGGAATGGGGCCTCATCTCGCTTCTAGGGGGAAGTCTCATGGTTTTTCTCGAATTGCGGCGGGGACCTGGGATATGTTCTCGACTTAGAGCGGGGAAGGCCCTTCAAAACACATGTTTATTCAGTGACGTCAGGACTCCTGTCTAGTAATGAGGGACACCTCAGGAATCTCTTCGAGGCTTGGCAGGGCAAAAGGGACGCTTCTCGAGGTGAGGCAGGGCACCCAAGGACCCTTTCCAGTAGCCACAGGGATTTTGGATTCCTCTCAGTATCCAAGAGGAGTCAGGCATCGTCACCTTTTGAAGCAATGAACTCTGAGTGCCTCTCGAGGTGTCAACGGGATGTGAGGCATTACCTCAAAATGACGCAGGGACCTAGGGCTTTCTCTAAGGTCTCCACAGGGGATTCAGGCATCCCTTCATGTTTTGAGATGAAAGACGAGCCTGTATTCAAGCCACTGCAAGGAAATCCGGCCTCCTTTCAAGTTAGGGCTTCTCGCTGTATATTTCACTTGAGGCAGCAATCTCGTGGTCCCTCCCACATACCTATTGCTTAAAGAATCCTCCTCCTGTGGTGCATCTGGAAAGTTGGCATACATCTTGAGCCTAAGCCAGGGAATCAGCTCTCATCTCGGGACGATTTGGGGTACACGGAGCATTCCTCGAGTTGCTGTGCTGAAGTTGGTGTTCCTCTAGCCTTGGGACAGTGTTCTCAGGGCAACTCTGGAGTTGCCTGAAGGAAGTCGAGCCAGTGGTCGTGTTGAATGGGGAACGGGGAATGGCTCTGGAGTCAATGCAGGGGAATCGGGCCTCATCTCGAGTTGATTTGGGGCACATGGAGCTGCTTTGCGTTGCTGGGGTGACCTCAGGGTCCGTCTAGACTGGTGACAGTGTTCTTGGGGACTGTCTCGAGATCCATTAAGTAAGTCGAAGCTCCTGACTTGTTTGAGTGGGATCACGGAATAGCTCTGCATGCACTGCAGGGGAATGGGGCGTCATCTCGCCTCTAGGGGGAAGTCTCATGGTTTTTCTCGAGTTGCGGCGTGGACCTGGGGTATGTTCTCGACTTACGGCGGGGATGGCCCTTCAAAACACGAGTTTCTTCAGTGACGTCACGACTCCAGTCTAGTAACGAGGGACACCTCTGGAATCTCTTCGAGGCTTGGCAGGGCAAAAGGGACGGTTCTCGAGGTGAGGCAGGGCACCCAAGGACCCTTTCCAGTAGCCACAGGGATTTTGGGATTCCTATCAGTATTCAAAAGGAGTCAGGCATCGTCACCTTTTGAAGAAATGAACTCTGAGTGCCTCTCGAGGTGTCAACGGGATGTGAGGCATTCCGTCAAAATGAGGCACCGAACTAGGCCTTTTTCTAAGGTCTCCACAGGGGATTCACACATCCCTTCATGTTGTGAGATGAAAGATGAGCCTGTATTCAAGCCACTGCAAGGAAATCCGGCTTCCTTTCAAGTTAGGGCTTCTCGCTGTATATTCCCCTTGAGGCAGCTATCTCGGGGTCCCTCCCACATACCTATTGCTGGGAGAAACCTCCTCCTGAGGTGCTTCTGGAAAGTTGGCATACGTCTTGAGCCTAAGCCAGGGAATCAGCTCTCATCTCGAGACGACTTGGGGTACACGGAGCATTCCTCGAGTTGCTGTGCTGAAGTTGGTGTTCCTCTAGCCTTGGGACAGTGTTCTCGGGGCATCTCTGGAGTTGTCTGAAGGAAGTCGAGCCACCGGTCGTGTTGAATGGGGAACGGGGAATGGCTCTGGAGTCAATGCAGGGGAATCGGGCCTCATCTCGAGTTGATTTGTGGCACATGCAGCTGCTTTGCGTTGCTGGGGTGACCTCAGGGTCCGTCTAGACTGGTGACAGTGTTCTTGGGGACTGTCTCGAGATCCATTAAGCAAGTCGAAGCTCCTGACTTGTTTGAATGGGATCACGGAATAGCTCTGCATGCACTGCAGGGGAATGGGGCCTCATCTCGCTTCTAGGGGGAAGTCTCATGGTTTTTCTCGAATTGCGGCGGAGACCTAGGATATGTTCTCGACTTACAGCGGTGATGGCCCTTCAAAACAAATGTTTATTCAGTGACGTCAGGACTCCTGTCTAGTAATGAGGGACACCTCAGGAATCTCTTCGAGGCTTGGCAGGGCAAAAGGGACGCTTCTCGAGGTGAGGCAGGGCACCCAAGGACACTTTCCAGTAGCCACAGGGATTTTGGGATTCCTCTCAGTATTCACGAGGAGTCAGGCAACGTCACCTTTTGAAGCAATGAACTCTGCGTGCCTCTCGAGGTGTCAACGGGATGTGAGGCATTCCGTCAAAATGACGCAGGGACCTAGGGCTTTCTCTAAGGTCTCCACAGGGGATTCAGACATCCCTTCATGTTTTGAGATCAAAGACGAGCCTGTATTCAAGCCACTGTTAGGAAATCCGGCCTCCTTTCAAGTTAGGGCTTCTCGCTGTATATTCCACTTGAGGCAGCGATCTCGGGTCCCTCCCACATACCTATTGCTGGGAGAAGCCTCCTCCTGAGGTGCTTCTGGAAAGTTGGCATAGGTCTTGAGCCTAAGCCAGGGAATCAGCTCTCATCTCGAGACGATTTGAGGTACACGGAGCATTCCTCGAGTTGCTGTGCTGAAGTTGGTGTTCCTCTAGCCTTGGGACAGTGTTCTCGGGGCATTTCTGGAGTTGCCTGAAGGAAGTCGAGCCACCGGTGGTGTTGAAAGGCGAACGGGGAATGGCTCTGGAGTCAATGCAGGGGAATCGGGCCTCATCTCGAGTTGATTTGGAGCACATGGAGCTGCTTTGCTTTGCTGCGGTGACCTCAGGATCCGTCTAGACTTGTGACAGTGTTCTTGGGGACTGTCTCGATATCCATTAAGAAAGTCGAAGGTCCTGACTGGTTTGAATGGGATCACGGAATAGCTCTGCATGCACTGCAGGGGAATGGGGCCTAATCTCGCATCTAGGGGGAAGTCTCATGGTTTTTCTCGAGTTGCGGCGTGGACCTGGGGTGTGTTCTCGACTTACGGCGGGGATGGCCCTTCAAAACACGTGTTTATTCAGTGACGTCAGGGGTCCTGTCTAGTAACGAGGGACACCTCAGGAATCTCTTCGAGGCTTTGCAGGGCAAAAGGGACGCTTCTCGAGGTGAGGCAGGGCACCCAAGGACCGTTTCCAGTAGCCACAGGGATTTTGGGATTCCTATCAGTATTCAAAATGAGTCAGGCATCGTCACCTTTTGAAGCAATGAACTCTGCGTGCCTCTCGATGTGTCAACGGGATGTGAGGCATTCCTTCAAAAAGAGGCAGGGACCTAGGGCTTTCTCTAAGGTCTCCACAGCGGATTCAGACATCCCTTCATGTTGTGAGATGAAAGACGAGCCTGTATTCAAGCCACTGCAAGGAAATCCGGCCTCCTTTCAAGTTAGGGCTTCTCGCTGTATACTCCACTTGAGGCAGCGATCTCGGGGTCCCTCCCACATACCTATTGCTGGGAGAAGCCTCCTCCTGAGGTGCTTCTGGAAAGTTGGCATACGTCTTGAGCCTAAGCCAGGGAATCAGCTCTCATCTCGAGACGATTTGGGGTACACGGAGCATTCCTCGAGTTGCTGTGCTGAAGTTGGTGTTCCTCTAGCCTTGGGACAGTGTTCTCGGGGCATCTCTGGAGTTGCCTGAAGGAAGTCGAGCCACCGGTCGTGTTGAATGGGGAACGGGGAATGGCTCTGGAGTCAATGCAGGGGAATCGGGCCTCATCTCGAGTTGATTTGGGGCACATGGAGCTGCTTTGCATTGCTGGGGTGACCTCAGGGTCCGTCTAGACTGGTGACAGTGTTCTTGGGGACTGTCTCGAGATCCATTAAGCAAGTGGAAGCTCCTGACTTGTTTGAATGGGATCACGGAATAGCTCTGCATGCACTGCAGGGGAATGCGGCCTCATCTCACCTCTAGGGTGAAGTCTCATGGTTTTTCTCGAGTTGCGGCGGGGACCTGGGGTATGTTCTCGACTTACGGCGGGGATGGCCCTTCAAAACACGAGTTTCTTCAGTAACGTCAGGACTCCTGTCTAGTAACGAGGGACACCTCAGGAATCTCTTCGAGGCTTGGCAGGGCAAAAGGGACGCTTCTCGAGGTGAGGCAGGGCACCCAAGGATCGTTTCCAGTAGCCACAGGGATTTTGGGATTCCTGTCAGTATTCAAAAGGAGTCAGGCATCGTCACCTTTTGAAGCAATGAACTCTGCGTGCCTCTCGAGGTGTCAACGGGATGTGAGGCATTCCGTCAAAAAGAGGCAGGGAACTAGGGCTTTCTCTAAGGTCTCCACAGCGGATTCAGACATCCCTTCATGTTGTGAGATGAAAGACGAGCCTGTATTCAAGCCACTGCAAGGAAATCCGGCCTCCTTTCAAGTTAGGTCTTCTCGCTGTATACTCCACTTGAGGCAGCGATCTCGGGGTCCCTCCCACATACCTATTGCTGGGAGAAGCCTCCTCCTGAGGTGCTTCTGGAAAGTTGGCATACGTCTTGAGCCTAAGCCAGGGAATCAGCTCTCATCTCGAGACGATTTGGGGTACACGGAGCATTCCTCGAGTTGCTGTGCTGAAGTTGGTGTTCCTCTAGCCTTGGGACAGTGTTCTCGGGGCATCTCTGGAGTTGCCTGAAGGAAGTCGAGCCACCGGTCGTGTTGAATGGGGAACGGGGAATGGCTCTGGAGTCAATGCAGGGGAATCGGGCCTCATCTCGAGTTGATTTGGGGCACATGGAGCTGCTTTGCATTGCTGGGGTGACCTCAGGGTCCGTCTAGACTGGTGACAGTGTTCTTGGGGACTGTCTCGAGATCCATTAAGCAAGTGGAAGCTCCTGACTTGTTTGAATGGGATCACGGAATAGCTCTGCATGCACTGCAGGGGAATGCGGCCTCATCTCACCTCTAGGGTGAAGTCTCATGGTTTTTCTCGAGTTGCGGCGGGGACCTGGGGTATGTTCTCGACTTACGGCGGGGATGGCCCTTCAAAACACGAGTTTCTTCAGTAACGTCAGGACTCCTGTCTAGTAACGAGGGACACCTCAGGAATCTCTTCGAGGCTTGGCAGGGCAAAAGGGACGCTTCTCGATGTGAGGCAGGGCACCCAAGGACCCTTTCCAGTAGCCACAGGGATTTTGGGATTCCTATCAGTATTCAAGAGGAGTCAGGCATCGTCACCTTTTGAAGCAATGAACTCCGCGTGCCTCTCGAGGTGTCAACGGGATGTGAGGCATTCCGTCAAAATGAGGCAGGGACCTAGGGCTTTCTCTAAGGTCTCCACAGGGGATTCAGACATCCCTTCATGTTGTGAGATGAAAGACGAGCCTGTATTCAAGCCACTGCAAGGAAATCCGGCCTCCTTTCAAGTTACGGTTTTTCGCTGTATATTCCACTTGAGGCACCGATCTCGGGGTCCCTCCCACATACCTATTGCTGAGAGAAGCCTCCTCCTGAGGTGCTTTTGGAAAGTTGGCATACGTCTTGAGCCTAATCCAGGGAATCAGCTCTCATCTCGAGACGCTTTGGGGTACACGGAGCATTCCTCGAGTTGCTGTGCTGAAGTTGGTGTCCCTCTAGACTTGGGACAGTGTTCTCCGTGCATCTCTGGAGTTGCCTGAAGGAAATCGAGCCACCAGTCGTGTTGAATGGGGAACGGGGAATGGCTCTGTAGTCAATGCAGTGGAATCGGGCCTCATCTCGAGTTGATTTGGGGCACATGCAGCTGCTTTGCGTTGCTAGGGTGACCTCAGGGTCCGTCTAGACTGGTGACAGTGTTCTTGTGGACTATCTCGAGATCCATTAAGCAAGTCGAAGCTCCTGACTTGTTTGAATGGGATCACGGAATTGCTCTGCATGCACTGCAGGGGAATGGGGCCTCATCTCGCTTCTAGGGGGAAGTCTTATGGTTTTCCTCGAGTTGCAGCGGGGACCTGGGGTATATTCTCGACTTACAGCGGGGATGGCCCTTCAAAAAACATGTTTATTCCGTGACGTCAGGACTCCTGTCTAGTAATGAGGGACACCTCAGGAATTTCTTCGAGGCTTGGCAGGGCAAAATGGACGCTTCTCGAGGTGAGGCAGGGCACCCAAGGACCCTTTCCAGTAGCCACAGGGATTTTGGGATTCCTATCAGTATTCAAGAGGAGTCAGGCATCATCACCTTTTGAAGCAATGAACTCTGCGTGCCTCTCGAGGTGACAACGGGATGTGAGGCATTCCATCAAAATGACGCAGGTATCCAGGGCTTTCTCTAAGGTCTCCACAGGGGATTCAGACATCCCTTCATGTTTTGAGATCAAAGACGAGACTGTATTTAAGCCACTGCAAGGAAATCCGGCCTCCTTTCAAGTTAGGCCTTCTCGCTGTATATTCCACTTGAGGCAGTGATCTCGTGGTCCCTCCCACATAAGTATTGCTGGGAGAAGCCTACTCCTGAGGTGCTTCTGGAAAGTTGGCATACGTCTTGAGCCTAAGCCAGGGAATCAGCTCTCATCTCGAGACGATTTGGGGTACACGGAGCATTACTCGAGTTGCTGTGCTGAAGTTGGTGTTCCTCTAGATTTGGGACAGTGTTCTCGGGGCATCGCTGGAGATGCCTGAAGGAAGTCGAGCCACCAGTCGTGTTGAATGGGGAACGGGGAATGGCTCTGGAGTCAATGCAGGGGAATTGTGCCTTATCTCGAGTTGATTTGGGGCATATGCAGCGGCTTTGCATTGCTGGGGTGACCTCAGGGTCCGTCTAGACTGGTGACAGTGTTTTTGGGGACTGTCTCGAGATCCATTAAGCAAGTCGAAGCTCCTGACTTTTTTGAATGGGATCACGGAATTGCTCTGCATGCACTGCAGGGGAATGGGGCCTCATCTCGCTTCTAGGGGTAAGTCTCATGGTTTTTCTCGAGTTGCGGCACGGACCTGGGATATGTTCTCGACTTACGGCGGGGATGGCCCTTCAAAACACGAGTTTCTTCAGTGACGTAGGACTCCTGTCTAGTAACCAGGGACACCTCAGGGAACTCTTCGAGGTTTGGCAGGGCAAAAGGGACCCTTCTCGAGGTGATGCAGGGCACCCAAGGACCCTTTCCAGTAGCCACAGTGATTTTGTGATTCCTAACAGTATTCAAGAGGAGTCAGGCATCGTCACCTTTTGAAGCAATGAACTCCGCGTGCCTCTCGAGGTGTCAACGGGATGTGAGGCATTCCGTCAAAATGACGCAGGTATCCAGGGCTTTCTCTAAGGTCTTCACAGTGGATTCAGACATCCCTTCATTTTTTGAGATCAAAGACGAGCCTGTATTCAAGCCACTGTGAGGAAATCCAGCCTCCTTTCAAGTTAGGGCTTCTCGCTGTATACTCCACATGAGGCAGCGATCTCGGTGTCCCTCCCACATACCTATTGCTGGCCGAAGCTTCCTCCTGAGGTGCTTCTGGAAAGTTGGCATACGTCTTGAGCCTAAGCCAGGGAATCAGCTCTCATCTCGAGACGATTTGGGGTACACGGAGCATTCCTCGAGTTGCTTTGCTGAAGTTGCTGTTCCTCTAGCCTTGGGACAGTGTTCTCGGGGCATCTCTGGAGTTGCCTGAAGGAAGTCGAGCCACCGGTGGTGGTGAAAGGTGAACGGGGAATGGCTCTGGAGTCAATGCAGGGGAATCGTGCCTCATCTCGAGTTGATTTGGGGCACATGCAGCGGCTTTGCATTGCTGCGGTGACCTCAGGGTCCGTCTAGACTGGTGACAGTGTTCTTGGGGACTGTCTCGAGATCCATTAAGCAAGTCGAAGGTCCTGACTTGTTTGAATGGGATCACCTAATTGCTCTGCATGCACTACAGGGGAATGCGGCCTCATCTCGCCTCTAGGGGGAAGTCTCATGTTTTTTCTCGAGTTGCAGCGGGGACCTGGGGTATGTTCTCGACTTACGGCGGGGATGGCCCTGCAAAACACGAGTTTCTTCAGTGACGTCAGGACTCCAGTCTAATAATGAGGGACACCTCAGGAATCTCTTCGAGGCTTGGCAGGGCAAAAGGGACGATTCTAGAGGTGAGGCAGGGCACCCAAGGACCCTGTCCAGTAGCCACAGGGATTTTGTGATTCCTAACAGTATTCAAGAGAGTCAGGCATCGTCAGCTTTTGAAGCAATGAACTCCGCGTGCCTCTCGAGGTGTCAACGGGATGTGAGGCATTCCGTCAAAATGACGCAGGTATCCAGGGCTTTCTCTAAGGTCTCCACAGTGGATTCAGACATCCCTTTATTTTTTGAGATCAAAGACGAGCCTGTATTCAAGCCACTGTGAGGAAATCCGGCCTCCTTTCAAGTTAGGGCTTCTCGCTGTATACTCCACTTGAGGCAGCGATCTCGGGGTCCCTCCCACATACCTATTGCTGGGAGAAGCCTCTTCCTGAGGTGCTTCTGGAAAGTTGGCATACGTCTTGAGCCTAAGCCAGGGAATCAGCTCTCATCTCGAGACGATTTGGGGTACACGGAGCATTCCTCGAGTTGCTGTGCTGAATTTGCTGTTCCTCTAGACTTGGGACAGTGTTCTCGGGGCATCTCTGGAGTTGCCTGAAGGAAGTCGAGCCACCGGTGGTGTTGAAAGGCGAACGGGGAATGGCTCCGGAGTCAATGCAGGGGAATCGGGCCTCATCTCGAGTTGATTTGGGGCACATGGAGCAGCTTTGCTTTGCTGCGGTGACCTCAGGATCCGTCTAGACTTGTGACAGTGTTCTTGGGGACTGTCTCGAGATCCATTAAGAAAGTCGAAGGTCCTGACTGGTTTGAATGGGATCACGGAATAGCTCTGCATGAACTGCAGGGGAATGGGGCCTAATCTCGCATCTAGGGGGAAGTCTCATGGTTTTTCTCGAGTTGCGGCGTGGACCTGGGGTGTGTTCTCGACTTACGGCGGGGATGGCCCTTCAAAACACGTGTTTATTCAGTGACGTCAGGACTCCTGTCTAGTAACGAGGGACACCTCAGGAATCTCTTCGAGGCTTGGCAGGGCAAAAGGGACGCTTCTCGAGGTGAGGAAGGGCACCCAAGGACCGTTTCCAGTAGCCACAGGGATTTTGGGATTCCTATCAGTATTCAAAAGGAGTCAGGCATCATCACCTTTTGAAGCAATGAACTCTGCGTGCCTCTCGAGGTGTCAACGGGATGTGAGGCATTCCGTCAAAAAGAGGCAGGGACCTAGGGCTTTCTCTAAGGTCTCCACAGGGGATTCAGACATCCCTTCATGTTGTGAGATGAAAGACGAGCCTGTATTCAAGCCACTGCAAGGAAATCCGGCCTCCTTTCAAGTTAGGGCTTCTCGCTGTATACTCCACTTGAGGCAGCGATCTCGGGGTCCCTTCCACATACCTATTGCTGAGAGAAGCCTCCTCCTGAGGTGCTTCTGGAAAGTTGGCATACGTCTTGAGCCTAAGCCAGGGAATCAGCTGTCATCTCGAGACGATTTGGGGTACACGGAGCATTCCTCGAGTTGCTGTGCTGAAGTTGGTGTTCCTCTAGCCTTGGGACAGTGTTCTCGGGGCATCTCTGGAGTTGCCTGAAGGAAGTCGAGCCACCGGTCGTGTTGAATGGGGAACGGGGAATGGCTCTGGAGTCAATGCAGGGGAATCGGGCCTCATCTCGAGTTGATTTGGGGCACATGGAGCTGCTTTGCATTGCTGGGGTGACCTCAGGGTCCGTCTAGACTGGTGACAGTGTTCTTGGGGACTGTCTCGAGATCCATTATGCAAGTCGAAGCCCCTGACTTGTTTGAATGGGATCACGGAATAGCTCTGCATGCTCTGCAGGGGAATCCGGCCTCATCTCGCCTCTAGGGGGAAGTCTCATGGTTTTACTCGAGTTGCGGCGGGGACCTGGGGTATGTTCTCGACTTATGGCGGGGATGGCCCTTCAAAACACGAGTTTCTTCAGTGACGTAGGACTCCTGTCTAGTAACCAGGGACACCTCAGGGAACTCTTCGAGGTTTGGCAGGGCAAAAGGGACCCTTCTCGAAGTGATGCAGGGCACCCAAGGACCCTTTCCAGTAGCCAAAGGGATTTTGTGATTCCTAACAGGATTCAAGAGGAGTCAGGCATCGTCACCTTTTGAAGCAATGAACTCCGCTTGCCTCTCGAGGTGTCAACGGGATGTGAGGCATTCCGTCAAAATGACGCAGGTATCCAGGGCTTTCTCTAAGGTCTCCACAGTGGATTCAGACATCCCTTCATTTTTTGAGATCAAAGACGAGCCTGTATTCAAGCCACTGTGAGGAAATCCGGCCTCCTTTCAAGTTAGGGCTTCTCGCTGTATACTCCACTTGAGGCAGCGATCTCGGGGTCCCTCCCACATACCTATTGCTGGGACAAGCCTCCTCCTGAGGTGCTTCTGGAAAGTTGGCATACGTCTTGAGCCTAAGCCAGGGAATCAGCTCTCATCTCGAGACGATTTGGGGTACACGGAGCATTCCTCGAGTTGCTGTGCTGAAGTTGATGTTCCTCTCGCCTTGGGACAGTGTTCTCGGGGCATCTCTGGAGTTACCTGAAGGAAGTCGAGCCACCGGTGGTGTTGAAAGGCGAACGGGGAATGGCTCTGGAGTCAATGCAGGGGAATCGGGCCTCATCTCGAGTTGATTTGGGGCACATGGAGCTGCTTTGCTTTGCTGCAGTGACCTCAGGATCCGTCTAGACTTGTGACAGTGTTCTTGGGGACTGTCTCGAGATCCATTAAGAAAGTCGAAGGTCCTGACTGGTTTGAATGTGATCACGGAATAGCTCTGCATGCACTGCAGGGGAATGGGGCCTAATCTCGCATCTAGGGGGAAGTCTCATGGTTTTTCTCGAGTTGCGGCGTGGACCTGGGGTGTGTTCTCGACTTACGGCGGGGATGGCCCTTCAAAACACGTGTTTATTCAGTGACGTCAGGACTCCTGTCTAGTAACGAGGGACACCTCAGGAATCTCTTCGAGGCTTGGCAGGGCAAAAGGGACGCTTCTCGAGGTGAGGCAGGGCACCCAAGGACCGTTTCCAGTAGCCACAGGGATTTTGGGATTCCTGTCAGTATTCAAAAGGAGTCAGGCATCGTCACCTTTTGAAGCAATGAACTCTGCGTGCCTCTCGAGGTGTCAACGGGATGTGAGGCATTCCTTCAAAAAGAGGCAGGGACCTAGGGCTTTCTCTAAGGTCTCCACAGCGGATTCAGACATCCCTTCATGTTGTGAGATGAAAGACGAGCCTGTATTCAAGCCACTGCAAGGAAATCCGGCCTCCTTTCAAGTTAGGGCTTCTCGCTGTATACTCCACTTGAGGCAGCGATCTCGGGGTCCCTCCCACATACCTATTGCTGGGAGAAGCCTCCTCCTGAGGTGCTTCTGGAAAGTTGGCATACGTCTTGAGCCTAAGCCAGGGAATCAGCTCTCATCTCGAGACGATTTGGGGTACACGGAGCATTCCTCGAGTTGCTGTGCTGAAGTTGGTGTTCCTCTAGCCTTGGGACAGTGTTCTCGGGGCATCTCTGGAGTTGCCTGAAGGAAGTCGAGCCACCGGTCGTGTTGAATGGGGAACGGGGAATGGCTCTGGAGTCAATGCAGGGGAATCGGGCCTCATCTCGAGTTGATTTGGGGCACATGGAGCTGCTTTGCATTGCTGGGGTGACCTCAGGGTCCGTCTAGACTGGTGACAGTGTTCTTGGGGACTGTCTCGAGATCCATTAAGCAAGTGGAAGCTCCTGACTTGTTTGAATGGGATCACGGAATAGCTCTGCATGCACTGCAGGGGAATGCGGCCTCATCTCACCTCTAGGGTGAAGTCTCATGGTTTTTCTCGAGTTGCGGCGGGGACCTGGGGTATGTTCTCGACTTACGGCGGGGATGGCCCTTCAAAACACGAGTTTCTTCAGTAACGTCAGGACTCCTGTCTAGTAACGAGGGACACCTCAGGAATCTCTTCGAGGCTTGGCAGGGCAAAAGGGACGCTTCTCGAGGTGAGGCAGGGCACCCAAGGATCGTTTCCAGTAGCCACAGGGATTTTGGGATTCCTGTCAGTATTCAAAAGGAGTCAGGCATCGTCACCTTTTGAAGCAATGAACTCTGCGTGCCTCTCGAGGTGTCAACGGGATGTGAGGCATTCCGTCAAAAAGAGGCAGGGAACTAGGGCTTTCTCTAAGGTCTCCACAGCGGATTCAGACATCCCTTCATGTTGTGAGATGAAAGACGAGCCTGTATTCAAGCCACTGCAAGGAAATCCGGCCTCCTTTCAAGTTAGGTCTTCTCGCTGTATACTCCACTTGAGGCAGCGATCTCGGGGTCCCTCCCACATACCTATTGCTGGGAGAAGCCTCCTCCTGAGGTGCTTCTGGAAAGTTGGCATACGTCTTGAGCCTAAGCCAGGGAATCAGCTCTCATCTCGAGACGATTTGGGGTACACGGAGCATTCCTCGAGTTGCTGTGCTGAAGTTGGTGTTCCTCTAGCCTTGGGACAGTGTTCTCGGGGCATCTCTGGAGTTGCCTGAAGGAAGTCGAGCCACCGGTCGTGTTGAATGGGGAACGGGGAATGGCTCTGGAGTCAATGCAGGGGAATCGGGCCTCATCTCGAGTTGATTTGGGGCACATGGAGCTGCTTTGCATTGCTGGGGTGACCTCAGGGTCCGTCTAGACTGGTGACAGTGTTCTTGGGGACTGTCTCGAGATCCATTAAGCAAGTGGAAGCTCCTGACTTGTTTGAATGGGATCACGGAATAGCTCTGCATGCACTGCAGGGGAATGCGGCCTCATCTCACCTCTAGGGTGAAGTCTCATGGTTTTTCTCGAGTTGCGGCGGGGACCTGGGGTATGTTCTCGACTTACGGCGGGGATGGCCCTTCAAAACACGAGTTTCTTCAGTAACGTCAGGACTCCTGTCTAGTAACGAGGGACACCTCAGGAATCTCTTCGAGGCTTGGCAGGGCAAAAGGGACGCTTCTCGATGTGAGGCAGGGCACCCAAGGACCCTTTCCAGTAGCCACAGGGATTTTGGGATTCCTATCAGTATTCAAGAGGAGTCAGGCATCGTCACCTTTTGAAGCAATGAACTCCGCGTGCCTCTCGAGGTGTCAACGGGATGTGAGGCATTCCGTCAAAATGAGGCAGGGACCTAGGGCTTTCTCTAAGGTCTCCACAGGGGATTCAGACATCCCTTCATGTTGTGAGATGAAAGACGAGCCTGTATTCAAGCCACTGCAAGGAAATCCGGCCTCCTTTCAAGTTACGGTTTTTCGCTGTATATTCCACTTGAGGCACCGATCTCGGGGTCCCTCCCACATACCTATTGCTGAGAGAAGCCTCCTCCTGAGGTGCTTTTGGAAAGTTGGCATACGTCTTGAGCCTAATCCAGGGAATCAGCTCTCATCTCGAGACGCTTTGGGGTACACGGAGCATTCCTCGAGTTGCTGTGCTGAAGTTGGTGTCCCTCTAGACTTGGGACAGTGTTCTCCGTGCATCTCTGGAGTTGCCTGAAGGAAATCGAGCCACCAGTCGTGTTGAATGGGGAACGGGGAATGGCTCTGTAGTCAATGCAGTGGAATCGGGCCTCATCTCGAGTTGATTTGGGGCACATGCAGCTGCTTTGCGTTGCTAGGGTGACCTCAGGGTCCGTCTAGACTGGTGACAGTGTTCTTGTGGACTATCTCGAGATCCATTAAGCAAGTCGAAGCTCCTGACTTGTTTGAATGGGATCACGGAATTGCTCTGCATGCACTGCAGGGGAATGGGGCCTCATCTCGCTTCTAGGGGGAAGTCTTATGGTTTTCCTCGAGTTGCAGCGGGGACCTGGGGTATATTCTCGACTTACAGCGGGGATGGCCCTTCAAAAAACATGTTTATTCCGTGACGTCAGGACTCCTGTCTAGTAATGAGGGACACCTCAGGAATTTCTTCGAGGCTTGGCAGGGCAAAATGGACGCTTCTCGAGGTGAGGCAGGGCACCCAAGGACCCTTTCCAGTAGCCACAGGGATTTTGGGATTCCTATCAGTATTCAAGAGGAGTCAGGCATCATCACCTTTTGAAGCAATGAACTCTGCGTGCCTCTCGAGGTGACAACGGGATGTGAGGCATTCCATCAAAATGACGCAGGTATCCAGGGCTTTCTCTAAGGTCTCCACAGGGGATTCAGACATCCCTTCATGTTTTGAGATCAAAGACGAGACTGTATTTAAGCCACTGCAAGGAAATCCGGCCTCCTTTCAAGTTAGGCCTTCTCGCTGTATATTCCACTTGAGGCAGTGATCTCGTGGTCCCTCCCACATAAGTATTGCTGGGAGAAGCCTACTCCTGAGGTGCTTCTGGAAAGTTGGCATACGTCTTGAGCCTAAGCCAGGGAATCAGCTCTCATCTCGAGACGATTTGGGGTACACGGAGCATTACTCGAGTTGCTGTGCTGAAGTTGGTGTTCCTCTAGATTTGGGACAGTGTTCTCGGGGCATCGCTGGAGATGCCTGAAGGAAGTCGAGCCACCAGTCGTGTTGAATGGGGAACGGGGAATGGCTCTGGAGTCAATGCAGGGGAATTGTGCCTTATCTCGAGTTGATTTGGGGCATATGCAGCGGCTTTGCATTGCTGGGGTGACCTCAGGGTCCGTCTAGACTGGTGACAGTGTTTTTGGGGACTGTCTCGAGATCCATTAAGCAAGTCGAAGCTCCTGACTTTTTTGAATGGGATCACGGAATTGCTCTGCATGCACTGCAGGGGAATGGGGCCTCATCTCGCTTCTAGGGGTAAGTCTCATGGTTTTTCTCGAGTTGCGGCACGGACCTGGGATATGTTCTCGACTTACGGCGGGGATGGCCCTTCAAAACACGAGTTTCTTCAGTGACGTAGGACTCCTGTCTAGTAACCAGGGACACCTCAGGGAACTCTTCGAGGTTTGGCAGGGCAAAAGGGACCCTTCTCGAGGTGATGCAGGGCACCCAAGGACCCTTTCCAGTAGCCACAGTGATTTTGTGATTCCTAACAGTATTCAAGAGGAGTCAGGCATCGTCACCTTTTGAAGCAATGAACTCCGCGTGCCTCTCGAGGTGTCAACGGGATGTGAGGCATTCCGTCAAAATGACGCAGGTATCCAGGGCTTTCTCTAAGGTCTTCACAGTGGATTCAGACATCCCTTCATTTTTTGAGATCAAAGACGAGCCTGTATTCAAGCCACTGTGAGGAAATCCAGCCTCCTTTCAAGTTAGGGCTTCTCGCTGTATACTCCACATGAGGCAGCGATCTCGGTGTCCCTCCCACATACCTATTGCTGGCCGAAGCTTCCTCCTGAGGTGCTTCTGGAAAGTTGGCATACGTCTTGAGCCTAAGCCAGGGAATCAGCTCTCATCTCGAGACGATTTGGGGTACACGGAGCATTCCTCGAGTTGCTTTGCTGAAGTTGCTGTTCCTCTAGCCTTGGGACAGTGTTCTCGGGGCATCTCTGGAGTTGCCTGAAGGAAGTCGAGCCACCGGTGGTGGTGAAAGGTGAACGGGGAATGGCTCTGGAGTCAATGCAGGGGAATCGTGCCTCATCTCGAGTTGATTTGGGGCACATGCAGCGGCTTTGCATTGCTGCGGTGACCTCAGGGTCCGTCTAGACTGGTGACAGTGTTCTTGGGGACTGTCTCGAGATCCATTAAGCAAGTCGAAGGTCCTGACTTGTTTGAATGGGATCACCTAATTGCTCTGCATGCACTACAGGGGAATGCGGCCTCATCTCGCCTCTAGGGGGAAGTCTCATGTTTTTTCTCGAGTTGCAGCGGGGACCTGGGATATGTTCTCGACTTACGGCGGGGATGGCCCTGCAAAACAAGAGTTTCTTCAGTGACGTCAGGACTCCAGTCTAATAATGAGGGACACCTCAGGAATCTCTTCGAGGCTTGGCAGGGCAAAAGGGACGATTCTAGAGGTGAGGCAGGGCACCCAAGGACCCTGTCCAGTAGCCACAGGGATTTTGTGATTCCTAACAGTATTCAAGAGAGTCAGGCATCGTCAGCTTTTGAAGCAATGAACTCCGCGTGCCTCTCGAGGTGTCAACGGGATGTGAGGCATTCCGTCAAAATGACGCAGGTATCCAGGGCTTTCTCTAAGGTCTCCACAGTGGATTCAGACATCCCTTTATTTTTTGAGATCAAAGACGAGCCTGTATTCAAGCCACTGTGAGGAAATCCGGCCTCCTTTCAAGTTAGGGCTTCTCGCTGTATACTCCACTTGAGGCAGCGATCTCGGGGTCCCTCCCACATACCTATTGCTGGGAGAAGCCTCTTCCTGAGGTGCTTCTGGAAAGTTGGCATACGTCTTGAGCCTAAGCCAGGGAATCAGCTCTCATCTCGAGACGATTTGGGGTACACGGAGCATTCCTCGAGTTGCTGTGCTGAATTTGCTGTTCCTCTAGACTTGGGACAGTGTTCTCGGGGCATCTCTGGAGTTGCCTGAAGGAAGTCGAGCCACCGGTGGTGTTGAAAGGCGAACGGGGAATGGCTCCGGAGTCAATGCAGGGGAATCGGGCCTCATCTCGAGTTGATTTGGGGCACATGGAGCAGCTTTGCTTTGCTGCGGTGACCTCAGGATCCGTCTAGACTTGTGACAGTGTTCTTGGGGACTGTCTCGAGATCCATTAAGAAAGTCGAAGGTCCTGACTGGTTTGAATGGGATCACGGAATAGCTCTGCATGAACTGCAGGGGAATGGGGCCTAATCTCGCATCTAGGGGGAAGTCTCATGGTTTTTCTCGAGTTGCGGCGTGGACCTGGGGTGTGTTCTCGACTTACGGCGGGGATGGCCCTTCAAAACACGTGTTTATTCAGTGACGTCAGGACTCCTGTCTAGTAACGAGGGACACCTCAGGAATCTCTTCGAGGCTTGGCAGGGCAAAAGGGACGCTTCTCGAGGTGAGGAAGGGCACCCAAGGACCGTTTCCAGTAGCCACAGGGATTTTGGGATTCCTATCAGTATTCAAAAGGAGTCAGGCATCATCACCTTTTGAAGCAATGAACTCTGCGTGCCTCTCGAGGTGTCAACGGGATGTGAGGCATTCCGTCAAAAAGAGGCAGGGACCTAGGGCTTTCTCTAAGGTCTCCACAGGGGATTCAGACATCCCTTCATGTTGTGAGATGAAAGACGAGCCTGTATTCAAGCCACTGCAAGGAAATCCGGCCTCCTTTCAAGTTAGGGCTTCTCGCTGTATACTCCACTTGAGGCAGCGATCTCGGGGTCCCTTCCACATACCTATTGCTGAGAGAAGCCTCCTCCTGAGGTGCTTTTGGAAAGTTGGCATACGTCTTGAGCCTAAGCCAGGGAATCAGCTGTCATCTCGAGACGATTTGGGGTACACGGAGCATTCCTCGAGTTGCTGTGCTGAAGTTGGTGTTCCTCTAGCCTTGGGACAGTGTTCTCGGGGCATCTCTGGAGTTGCCTGAAGGAAGTCGAGCCACCGGTCGTGTTGAATGGGGAACGGGGAATGGCTCTGGAGTCAATGCAGGGGAATCGGGCCTCATCTCGAGTTGATTTGGGGCACATGGAGCTGCTTTGCATTGCTGGGGTGACCTCAGGGTCCGTCTAGACTGGTGACAGTGTTCTTGGGGACTGTCTCGAGATCCATTATGCAAGTCGAAGCCCCTGACTTGTTTGAATGGGATCACGGAATAGCTCTGCATGCTCTGCAGGGGAATCCGGCCTCATCTCGCCTCTAGGGGGAAGTCTCATGGTTTTACTCGAGTTGCGGCGGGGACCTGGGGTATGTTCTCGACTTATGGCGGGGATGGCCCTTCAAAACACGAGTTTCTTCAGTGACGTAGGACTCCTGTCTAGTAACCAGGGACACCTCAGGGAACTCTTCGAGGTTTGGCAGGGCAAAAGGGACCCTTCTCGAAGTGATGCAGGGCACCCAAGGACCCTTTCCAGTAGCCAAAGGGATTTTGTGATTCCTAACAGGATTCAAGAGGAGTCAGGCATCGTCACCTTTTGAAGCAATGAACTCCGCTTGCCTCTCGAGGTGTCAACGGGATGTGAGGCATTCCGTCAAAATGACGCAGGTATCCAGGGCTTTCTCTAAGGTCTCCACAGTGGATTCAGACATCCCTTCATTTTTTGAGATCAAAGACGAGCCTGTATTCAAGCCACTGTGAGGAAATCCGGCCTCCTTTCAAGTTAGGGCTTCTCGCTGTATACTCCACTTGAGGCAGCGATCTCGGGGTCCCTCCCACATACCTATTGCTGGGACAAGCCTCCTCCTGAGGTGCTTCTGGAAAGTTGGCATACGTCTTGAGCCTAAGCCAGGGAATCAGCTCTCATCTCGAGACGATTTGGGGTACACGGAGCATTCCTCGAGTTGCTGTGCTGAAGTTGATGTTCCTCTCGCCTTGGGACAGTGTTCTCGGGGCATCTCTGGAGTTACCTGAAGGAAGTCGAGCCACCGGTGGTGTTGAAAGGCGAACGGGGAATGGCTCTGGAGTCAATGCAGGGGAATCGGGCCTCATCTCGAGTTGATTTGGGGCACATGGAGCTGCTTTGCTTTGCTGCAGTGACCTCAGGATCCGTCTAGACTTGTGACAGTGTTCTTGGGGACTGTCTCGAGATCCATTAAGAAAGTCGAAGGTCCTGACTGGTTTGAATGTGATCACGGAATAGCTCTGCATGCACTGCAGGGGAATGGGGCCTAATCTCGCATCTAGGGGGAAGTCTCATGGTTTTTCTCGAGTTGCGGCGTGGACCTGGGGTGTGTTCTCGACTTACGGCGGGGATGGCCCTTCAAAACACGTGTTTATTCAGTGACGTCAGGACTCCTGTCTAGTAACGAGGGACACCTCAGGAATCTCTTCGAGGCTTGGCAGGGCAAAAGGGACGCTTCTCGAGGTGAGGCAGGGCACCCAAGGACCGTTTCCAGTAGCCACAGGGATTTTGGGATTCCTGTCAGTATTCAAAAGGAGTCAGGCATCGTCACCTTTTGAAGCAATGAACTCTGCGTGCCTCTCGAGGTGTCAACGGGATGTGAGGCATTCCGTCAAAAAGAGGCAGGGAACTAGGGCTTTCTCTAAGGTCTCCACAGGGGATTCAGACATCCCTTCATGTTGTGAGATGAAAGACGAGCCTGTATTCAAGCCACTGCAAGGAAATCCGGCCTCCTTTCAAGTTAGGGCTTCTCGCTGTATACTCCACTTGAGGCAGCGATCTCGGGGTCCCTCCCACATACCTATTGCTGGGAGAAGCCTCCTCCTGAGGTGCTTCTGGAAAGTTGGCATACGTCTTGAGCCTAAGCCAGGGAATCAGCTCTCATCTCGAGACGATTTGGGGTACACGGAGCATTCCTCAAGTTGCTGTGCTGAAGTTGGTGTTCCTCTAGCCTTGGGACAGTGTTCTCGGGGCATCTCTGGAGTTGCCTGAAGGAAGTCGAGCCACCGGTCGTGTTGAATGGAGAACGGGGAATGGCTCTGGAGTCAATGCAGGGGAATCGGGCCTCATCTCGAGTTGATTTGGGGCACATGGAGCTGCTTTGCAGTGCTGGGGTGACCTCATGGTCCGTCTAGACTGGTGATAGTGTTCTTGGGGACTGTCTCGAGATCCATTAAGCAAGTGGAAGCTCCTGACTTGTTTGAATGGGATCACGGAATAGCTCTGCATGCACTGCAGGGGAATGCGGCCTCATCTCACCTCTAGGGGGAAGTCTCATGGTTTTTCTCGAGTTGCGGCGGGGACCTGGGGTATGTTCTCGACTTACGGCGGGGATGTCCCTTCAAAACACGAGTTTCTTCAGTGACGTCAGGACTCCAGTCTAGTAACGAGGGACACCTCAGGAGTCTCTTCGAGGCTTGGCAGGGCAAAAGGGACGCTTCTCGAGGTGAGGCAGGGCACCCAAGGACCCTTTCCAGTAGCCACAGGGATTTTGTGATTCCTATCAGTATTCAAGAGGAGTCAGGCATCGTCACCTTTTGAAGCAATGAACTCCGCGTGCCTCTCGAGGTGTCAACGGGATGTGAGGCATTCCGTCAAAATGAGGCAGGGACCTAGGGCTTTCTCTAAGGTCTCCACAGGGGATTCAGACATCCCTTCATGTTGTGAGATGAAAGACGAGCCTGTATTCAAGCCACTGCAAGGAAATCCGGCCTCCTTTCAAGTTACGGTTTTTCGCTGTATATTCCACTTGAGGCACCGATCTCGGGGTCCCTCCCACATACCTATTGCTGAGAGAAGCCTCCTCCTGAGGTGCTTTTGGAAAGTTGGCATACGTCTTGAGCCTAAGCCAGGGAATCAGCTCTCATCTCGAGACGCTTTGGGGTACACGGAGCATTCCTCGAGTTGCTGTGCTGAAGTTGGTGTTCCTCTAGACTTGGGACAGTGTTCTCCGTGCATCTCTGGAGTTGCCTGAAGGAAGTCGAGCCACCAGTCGTGTTGAATGGGGAACGGGGAATGGCTCTGGAGTCAATGCAGTGGAATCGGGCCTCATCTCGAGTTGATTTGGGGCACATGGAGCTGCTTTGCGTTGCTGGGGTGACCTCAGGGTCCGTCTAGACTGGTGACAGTGTTCTTGTGGACTATCTCGAGACCCATTAAGCAAGTCGAAGCTCCTGACTTGTTTGAATGGGATCACGGAATTGCTCTGCATGCACTGCAGGGGAATGGGGCCTCATCTCGCTTCTAGGGGGAAGTCTTATGGTTTTCCTCGAGTTGCAGCGGGGACCTGGGGTATGTTCTCGACTTACAGCGGGGATGGCCCTTCAAAACACATGTTTATTCCGTGACGTCAGGACTCCTGTCTAGTAATGAGGGACACCTCAGGAATTTCTTCGAAGCTTGGCAGGGCAAAAGGGACGCTTCTCGAGGTGAGGCAGGTCACCCAAGGACCCTTACCAGTAGCCACAGGGATTTTGGGATTCCTATCAGTATTCAAGAGGAGTCAGGCATCGTCAACTTTTGAAGCAATGAACTCTGCGTGCCTCTCGAAGTGACAACGGGATGTGAGGCATTCCATCAAAATGACGCAGGGAACAAGGGCTTTCTCTAAGGTCTCCAAAGGGGATTCAGACATCCCTTCATGTTGTGAGATGAAAGACGAGCCTGTATTCAAGCCACTGCAAGGAAATCCGGCCTCCTTTCAAGTTAGGGCTTCTCGCTGTATATTCCCCTTGAGGCAGCAAACTCGGCGTCCCTCCCACATAACTATTGCTGAGAGAAGCCTCCTCCTGAGGTGCTTCTGGAAAGTTGGCATACGTCTTGAGCCTAAGCCAGGGAAATAGCTCTCATCTCGGGATGATTTGGGGTACACGGAGCATTCCTCGAGTTGCTGTGCTGAAGTTGGTGTTCCTCTAGACTTGGGACAGTGTTCTCGGGGCATCTCTGGAGTTGCCTGAAGGAAGTCGAGCCACCGGTCGTGTTGAATGGGGAACGGGGAATGGCTCTGGTGTCAATGAAGGGGAATCGGCCTCATATCGAGTTGATTTGGGGCACATGCAGCTGCTTTGCGTTGCTGGGGTGACCTCAGTGTCCGTCTAGACTGGTGACAGTGTTCTTGGGGACTGTCTCGAGATCCATTAAGCAAGTCGAAGCTCCTGACTTGTTTGAATGGGATCACGGAATAGCTCTGCATGCCCTGCAGGGGAATGGGGCCTCATCTCGCCTCTAGGGGGAAGTCTCATGGTTTTTCTCGAGTTGCGGCGGGGACCTGGGGTATGTTCTCGACTTACGGCGGGGATGTCCCTTCAAAACACGACTTTCTTCAGTGACGTCAGGACTCCAGTCTAGTAACGAGGGACACCTCAGGAGTCTCTTCGAGGCTTGGCAGGGCAAAAGGGACGCTTCTCGAGGTGAGGCAGGGCACCCAAGGACCCTTTCCAGTAGCCACAGGGATTTTGTGATTCCTATCAGTATTCAAGAGGAGTCAGGCATCGTCACCTTTTGAAGCAATGAACTCCGCGTGCCTCTCGAGGTGTCAACGGGATGTGAGGCATTCCGTCAAAATGAGGCAGGGACCTAGGGCTTTCTCTAAGGTCTTTTCAGGGGATTCAGACATCCCTTCATGTTGTGAGATCAAAGATGAGCCTGTATTCAAGCCACTGCAAGGAAATCCGGCCTCCTTTCAAGTTACGGTTTTTCGCTGTATATTCCACTTGAGGCACCGATCTCGGGGTCCCTCCCACATACCTATTGCTGAGAGAAGCCTCCTCCTGAGGTGCTTTTGGAAAGTTGGCATACGTCTTGAGCCTAAGCCAGGGAATCAGCTCTCATCTCGAGACGCTTTGGGGTACACGGAGCATTCCTCGAGTTGCTGTGCTGAAGTTGGTGTTCCTCTAGACTTGGGACAGTGTTCTCCGTGCATCTCTGGAGTTGCCTGAAGGAAGTCGAGCCACCAGTCGTGTTGAATGGGGAACTGGGAATGGCTCTGGAGTCAATGCAGTGGAATCGGGCCTCATCTCGAGTTGATTTGGGGCTCATGCAGCTGCTTTGCGTTGCTAGGGTGACCTCAGGGTCCGTCTAGACTGGTGACAGTGTTCTTGTGGACTATCTCGAGATCCATTAAGCAAGTCGAAGCTCCTGACTTGTTTGAATGGGATCACGGAATTGCTCTGCATGCACTGCAGGGGAATGGGGCCTCATCTCGCTTCTAGGGGGAAGTCTTATGGTTTTCCTCGAGTTGCAGCGGGGACCTGGGGTATGTTCTCGACTTACAGCGGGGATGGCCCTTCAAAAAACATGTTTATTCCGTGACGTCAGGACTCCTGTCTAGTAATGAGGGACACCTCAGGAATTTCTTCGAGGCTTGGCAGGGCAAAATGGACGCTTCTCGAGGTGAGGCAGGGCACCCAAGGACCCTTACCAGGAGCCACAGGGATTTTGGGATTCCTATCAGTATTCAAGAGGAGTCAGGCATCATCACCTTTTGAAGCAATGAACTCTGCGTGCCTCTCGAGGTGACAACGGGATGTGAGGCATTCCATCAAAATGACGCAGGTATCCAGGGCTTTCTCTAAGGTCTCCACAGGGGATTCAGACATCCCTTCATGTTTTGAGATCAAAGACGAGACTGTATTCAAGCCACTGCAAGGAAATCCGGCCTCCTTTCAAGTTAGGCCTTCTCGCTGTATATTCCACTTGAGGCAGTGATCTCGTGGTCCCTCCCACATAAGTATTGCTGGGAGAAGCCTACTCCTGAGGTGCTTCTGGAAAGTTGGCATACGTCTTGAGCCTAAGCCAGGGAATCAGCTCTCATCTCGAGACGATTTGGGGTACACGGAGCATTACTCGAGTTGCTGTGCTGAAGTTGGTGTTCCTCTAGATTTGGGACAGTGTTCTCGGGGCATCGCTGGAGATGCCTGAAGGAAGTCGAGCCACCAGTCGTGTTGAATGGGGAACGGGGAATGGCTCTGGAGTCAATGCAGGGGAATTGTGCCTTATCTCGAGTTGATTTGGGGCATATGCAGCGGCTTTGCATTGCTGGGGTGACCTCAGGGTCCGTCTAGACTGGTGACAGTGTTTTTGGGGACTGTCTCGAGATCCATTAAGCAAGTCGAAGCTCCTGACTTGTTTGAATGGGATCATGGAATTGCTCTGCATGCACTGCAGGGGAATGGGGCCTCATCTCGCTTCTAGGGGGAAGTCTCATGGTTTTTCTCGAGTTGCGGCGCGGACCTGGGGTATGTTCTCGACTTACGGCGGGGATGGCCCTTCAAAACACGAGTTTCTTCAGTGACGTAGGACTCCTGTCTAGTAACCAGGGACACCTCAGGGAACTCTTCGAGGTTTGGCAGGGCAAAAGGGACCCTTCTCGAGGTGATGCAGGGCACCCAAGGACCCTTTCCAGTAGCCACAGTGATTTTGTGATTCCTAACAGTATTCAAGAGGAGTCAGGCATCGTCACCTTTTGAAGCAATGAACTCCGCCTGCCTCTCGAGGTGTAAACGGGATGTGAGGCATTCCGTCAAAATGACGCAGGTATCCAGGGCTTTCTCTAAGGTCTTCACAGTGGATTCAGACATCCCTTCATTTTTTGAGATCAAAGACGAGCCTGTATTCAAGCCACTGTGAGGAAATCCAGGCTCCTTTCAAGTTAGGGCTTCTCGCTGTATACTCCACATGAGGCAGCGATCTCGGTGTCCCTCCCACATACCTATTGCTGGCCGAAGCTTCCTCCTGAGGTGCTTCTGGAAAGTTGGCATACGTCTGGAGCCTAAGCCAGGGAATCAGCTCTCATCTCGAGACGATTTGGGGTACACGGAGCATTCCTCGAGTTGCTGTGCTGAAGTTGCTGTTCCTCTAGCCTTGGGACAGTGTTCTCGGGGCATCTCTGGAGTTGCCTGAAGGAAGTCGAGCCACCGGTGGTGGTGAAAGGCGAACGGGGAATGGCTCTGGAGTCAATGCAGGGGAATCGGGCCTCATCTCGAGTTGATTTGGGGCACATGCAGCGGCTTTGCATTGCTGCGGTGACCTCAGGGTCCGTCTAGACTGGTGACAGTGTTCTTGGGGACTGTCTCGAGATCCATTAAGCAAGTCGAAGGTCCTGACTTGTTTGAATGGGATCACCTAATTGCTCTGCATGCACTGAAGGGGAATGCGGCCTCATCTCGCCTCTAGGGGGAAGTCTCATGTTTTTTCTCGAATTGCAGCGGGGACCTGGGGTATGTTCTCGACTTACGCCGGGGATGGCCCTTCAAAACACGAGTTTTTCAGTGACGTAGGACGCATGTCTAGTAACCAGGGACACCTCAGGGAACTCTTCGAGGTTTGGCAGGGCAAAAGGGACCCTTCTTGAACTGATGCAGGGCACCCAAGGACCCTTTCCAGTAGCGACAGGGATTTTGTGATTCCTATCAGTATTCAAGAGGAGTCAGGCATCGTCACCTTTAGAAGCAATGAACTCCGCGTGCCTCTCGAGGTGTCAACGGGATGTGAGGCATTCCGTCAAAATGAGGCAGGGTCCTAGGGCTTTCTCTAAGGTCTCCACAGGGGATTCAGACATCCCTTCATGTTGTGAGATGAAAGACGAGCCTGTATTCAAGCCACTGCAAGAAATCCGGCCTCCTTTCAAGTTAAGGCTTTTCGCTGTATATTCCTCTTGAGGCAGCAAATTCGGGGTCCCTCCCACATACCTATTGCTGAGAGAAGCCTCCTCCTGAGGTGCTTCTGGAAAGTTGGCATACGTCTTGAGCCTAAACCAGGTAATCAGCTCTCATCTCGAGACGATTTGGGGTACACGGAGCATTCCTCGAGTTGCTGTGCTGAAGTTGGTGTTCCTCTAGCCTTGGGACAGTGTTCTCGGGGCATCTCTGGAGTTGCCTGAAAGAAGTCGAGCCACCGGTCGTGTTGAATGGGGAACGGGGAATGGCTCTGGAGTCAATGCAGGGGAATCGGGCATCATCTCGAGTTGATTTGGGGCACATGGAGCTGCTTTGCGTTGCTGGGGTGACCTCAGTGTCCGTCTAGACAGGTGACAGTGTTCTTGGGGACTGTCTCGAGATTCATTAAGCAAGTCGAAGCTCCTGACTTGTATGAATGGGATCACGGAATAGCTCTGCATGCACTGCAGGGGAATGCTGCCTCATCTCGCCTCTAGGGGAAGTCACATGGTTTTTCTCGAGTTGCGGCGGGGACCTGGGGTATGTTCTCGACTTACGGCGAGGATGGCCCTTCAAAACAGGAGTTTCTTCAGTGACGTCAGGACTCCAGTCTAGTAATGAGGGACACCTCAGGAATCTCTTCGAGGTTTGGCAGGGCAAAAGGGACGCTCCTCGAGGTGAGGCAGGGCACCCAAGGACCCTTTCCAGTAGCCACAGGGATTTTAGGATTCCTTTCGGTATTCAAGAGGAGTCAGGCATCGTCACCTTTTGAACCAATGAACTCTGAGTGCCTCTCGAGGTGTCAACGGGATGTGAGGCATTCCGTCAAAATGAGGCACCGAACTAGGCCTTTTTCTAAGGTCTCCACAGGGGATTCACACATCCCTTCGTGTTGTGAGATGAAAGACGAGCCTGTATTCAAGCCACTGCAAGGAATTCCGGCCTCCTTTCAAGTTAGGGCTTCTCGCTGTATATTCCCCTTGAGGCAGCTATCTCGGGGTCCCTCCCACATACCTATTGCTGGGAGAAACCTCCTCCTCAGGTGCTTCTACAAAATTGGCATACGTCTTGAGCCTAAGCCAGGGAATCAGCTCTCAGCTCGAGACGACTTGGGGTACACGGAGCATTCCTCGAGTTGCTGTGCTGAAGTTGGTGTTCCTCTAGACTTGGGACAGTGTTCTCGGGGCATCTCTGGAGTTGCCTGAAGGAAGTCGAGCCACCGGTCGTGTTAAATGGGGAACGGGGAATGGCTCTGGAGTCAATGCAGGGGAATCGGGCCTCATCTCGAGTTGATTTGGGGCACATGCAGCTGCTTTGCGTTGCTGGGGTGACCTCAGGGTCCGTCTAGACTGGTGACAGTGTTCTTGGGGACTGTCTCGAGATCCACTAAGCAAGTCGAAGCTCCTGAGTTGTTTGAATGGGATCACGGAATAGCTCTGCATGCAGTGCAGGGGAATGGGGCCTCATCTCGCTTCTAGGGGGAAGTCTCATGGTTTTTCTCGAATTGCGGCGGGGACCTGGGATATGTTCTTGACTTACAGCGGGGATGGCCCTTCAAAACACATGTTTATTCAGTGACGTCAGGACTCCTGTCTAGTAATGAGGGACACCTCAGGAATCTCTTCGAGGCTTGGCAGGGCAAAATGAACGCTTCTCGAGGTGAGGCAGGGAACCCAAGGACCCTTTCCAGTAGCCACAGGGATTTTGGGATTCCTCTCAGTATTCAAGAGGAGTCAGGCATCGTCACCTTTTGAAGCAATGAACTCTGCGTGCCTCTTCAGGTGTCAACGTGATGTGAGGCATTCCGTCAAAAAGAGGCAGGGACCTAGGGCTTTCTCTAAGGTCTCCACAGGGGATTCAGACATCCCTTCATGTTGTGAGATGAAAGACGAGCCTGTATTTAAGCCACTGCAAGGAAATCCGGCCTCCTTTCTAGTTAGGGCTTCTCGCTGTATACTCCACTTGAGGCAGCGATCTCGGGGTCCCTCCCACATACCTATTGCTGAGAGAAGCCTCCTCCTGAGGTGCTTCTGGAAAGTTGGCATACGTCTTGAGCCTAAGCCAGGGAATCAGCTGTCATCTCGAGACGATTTGGGGTACACGGAGCATTCCTCGAGTTGCTGTGCTGAAGTTGCTGTTCCTCTAGCCTTGGGACAGTGTTCTCGGGGCATCTCTGGAGTTGCCTGAAGGAAGTCGAGCCACCGGTCGTGTTGAATGGGGAACGGGGAATGGCTCTGGAGTCAATGCAGTGGAATCGGGCCTCATCTCGAGTTGATTTGGGGCACATGGAGCTGCTTTGCGTTGCTGGGGTGACCTCAGGGTCCGTCTAGACTGGTGACAGTGTTCTTGGGGACTGTCTCGAGATCCATTAAGCAAGTCAAAGCTCCTGACTTGTTTGAATGGGATCACGGAATAGCTCTGCATGCAGTGCAGGGGAATGGGGCCTCATCTCGCCTCTAGGGGGAAGTCTCATGGTTTTTCTCAAGTTGCGGCGGGGACCTGGGGTATGTTCTCGACTTACGGCGGGGATGGCCCTTCAAAGCACGAGTTTCTTCAGTGACGTCAGGACTCCTGTCTAGTAACCAGGGACACCTCAGGGAACTCTTCGAGGTTTGGCAGGGCAAAAGGGACCCTTCTCGAAGTGATGCAGGGCACCCAAGGACCCTTTCCAGTAGCTACAGGGATTTTGGGATTCCTATCAGTATTCAAGAGGAGTCAGGCATCATCACCTTTTGAAGCAATGAACTCTGCGTGCCTCTCGAGGTGACAACGGGATGTGAGGCATTCCATCAAAATGACGCAGGTATCCAGGGCTTTCTCTAAGGTCTCCACAGGGGATTCAGACATCCCTTCATGTTTTGAGATCAAAGACGAGACTGTATTCAAGCCACTGCAAGGAAATCCGGCCTCCTTTCAAGTTAGGCCTTCTCGCTGTATATTCCACTTGAGGCAGTGATCTCGTGGTCCCTCCCACATAAGTATTGCTGGGAGAAGCCTACTCCTGAGGTGCTTCTGGAAAGTTGGCATACGTCTTGAGCCTAAGCCAGGGAATCAGCTCTCATCTCGAGACGTTTTGGGGTACACGGAGCATTACTCGAGTTGCTGTGCTGAAGTTGGTGTTCCTCTAGATTTGGGACAGTGTTCTCGGGGCATCGCTGGAGATGCCTGAAGGAAGTCGAGCCACCAGTCGTGTTGAATGGGGAACGGGGAATGGCTCTGGAGTCAATGCAGGGGAATTGTGCCTTATCTCGAGTTGATTTGGGGCATATGCAGCGGCTTTGCATTGCTGGGGTGACCTCAGGGTCCGTCTAGACTGGTGACAGTGTTTTTGGGGACTGTCTCGAGATCCATTAAGCAAGTCGAAGCTCCTGACTTGTTTGAATGGGATCATGGAATTGCTCTGCATGCACTGCAGGGGAATGGGGCCTCATCTCGCTTCTAGGGGGAAGTCTCATGGTTTTTCTCGAGTTGCGGCGCGGACCTGGGGTATGTTCTCGACTTACGGCGGGGATGGCCCTTCAAAACACGAGTTTCTTCAGTGACGTAGGACTCCTGTCTAGTAACCAGGGACACCTCAGGGAACTCTTCGAGGTTTGGCAGGGCAAAAGGGACCCTTCTCGAGGTGATGCAGGGCACCCAAGGACCCTTTCCAGTAGCCACAGTGATTTTGTGATTCCTAACAGTATTCAAGAGGAGTCAGGCATCGTCACCTTTTGAAGCAATGAACTCCGCCTGCCTCTCGAGGTGTAAACGGGATGTGAGGCATTCCGTCAAAATGACGCAGGTATCCAGGGCTTTCTCTAAGGTCTTCACAGTGGATTCAGACATCCCTTCATTTTTTGAGATCAAAGACGAGCCTGTATTCAAGCCACTGTGAGGAAATCCAGGCTCCTTTCAAGTTAGGGCTTCTCGCTGTATACTCCACATGAGGCAGCGATCTCGGTGTCCCTCCCACATACCTATTGCTGGCCGAAGCTTCCTCCTGAGGTGCTTCTGGAAAGTTGGCATACGTCTGGAGCCTAAGCCAGGGAATCAGCTCTCATCTCGAGACGATTTGGGGTACACGGAGCATTCCTCGAGTTGCTGTGCTGAAGTTGCTGTTCCTCTAGCCTTGGGACAGTGTTCTCGGGGCATCTCTGGAGTTGCCTGAAGGAAGTCGAGCCACCTGTGGTGGTGAAAGGCGAACGGGGAATGGCTCTGGAGTCAATGCAGGGGAATCGGGCCTCATCTCGAGTTGATTTGGGGCACATGCAGCGGCTTTGCATTGCTGCGGTGACCTCAGGGTCCATCTAGACTGGTGACAGTGTTCTTGGGGACTGTCTCGAGATCCATTAAGCAAGTAGAAGGTCCTGACTTGTTTGAATGGGATCACCTAATTGCTCTGCATGCACTGAAGGGGAATGCGGCCTCATCTCGCCTCTAGGGAGAAGTCTCATGTTTTTTCTCGAGTTGCAGCGGGGACCTGGGGTATGTTCTCGACTTACGCCGGGGATGGCCCTTCAAAACACGAGTTTTTCAGTGACGTAGGACGCATGTCTAGTAACCAGGGACACCTCAGGGAACTCTTCGAGGTTTGGCAGGGCAAAAGGTACCCTTCTTGAACTGATGCAGGGCACCCAAGGACCCTTTCCAGTAGCGACAGGGATTTTGTGATTCCTATCAGTATTCAAGAGGAGTCAGGCATCGTCACCTTTAGAAGCAATGAACTCCGCGTGCCTCTCGAGGTGTCAACGGGATGTGAGGCATTCCGTCAAAATGAGGCAGGGTCCTAGGGCTTTCTCTAAGGTCTCCACAGGGGATTCAGACATCCCTTCATGTTGTGAGATGAAAGACGAGCCTGTATTCAAGCCACTGCAAGGAAATCCGGCCTCCTTTCAAGTTAAGGCTTTTCGCTGTATATTCCTCTTGAGGCAGCAAATTCGGGGTCCCTCCCACATACCTATTGCTGAGAGAAGCCTCCTCCTGAGGTGCTTCTGGAAAGTTGGCATACGTCTTGAGCCTAAACCAGGGAATCAGCTCTCATCTCGAGACGATTTGGGGTACACGGAGCATTCCTCGAGTTGCTGTGCTGAAGTTGGTGTTCCTCTAGCCTTGGGACAGTGTTCTCGGGGCATCTCTGGAGTTGCCTGAAAGAAGTCGAGCCACCGGTCGTGTTGAATGGGGAACGGGGAATGGCTCTGGAGTCAATGCAGGGGAATCGGGCATCATCTCGAGTTGATTTGGGGCACATGGAGCTGCTTTGCGTTGCTGGGGTGACCTCAGTGTCCGTCTAGACAGGTGACAGTGTTCTTGGGGACTGTCTCGAGATTCATTAAGCAAGTCGAAGCTCCTGACTTGTATGAATGGGATCACGGAATAGCTCTGCATGCACTGCAGGGGAATGCTGCCTCATCTCGCCTCTAGGGGAAGTCACATGGTTTTTCTCGAGTTGCGGCGGGGACCTGGGGTATGTTCTCGACTTACGGCGAGGATGGCCCTTCAAAACAGGAGTTTCTTCAGTGACGTCAGGACTCCAGTCTAGTAATGAGGGACACCTCAGGAATCTCTTCGAGGTTTGGCAGGGCAAAAGGGACGCTCCTCGAGGTGAGGCAGGGCACCCAAGGACCCTTTCCAGTAGCCACAGGGATTTTAGGATTCCTTTCGGTATTCAAGAGGAGTCAGGCATCGTCACCTTTTGAACCAATGAACTCTGAGTGCCTCTCGAGGTGTCAACGGGATGTGAGGCATTCCGTCAAAATGAGGCACCGAACTAGGCCTTTTTCTAAGGTCTCCACAGGGGATTCACACATCCCTTCGTGTTGTGAGATGAAAGACGAGCCTGTATTCAAGCCACTGCAAGGAAATCCGGCCTCCTTTCAAGTTAGGGCTTCTCGCTGTATATTCCCCTTGAGGCAGCTATCTCGGGGTCCCTCCCACATACCTATTGCTGGGAGAAACCTCCTCCTCAGGTGCTTCTACAAAATTGGCATACGTCTTGAGCCTATGCCAGGGAATCAGCTCTCAGCTCGAGACGACTTGGGGTACACGGAGCATTCCCCGAGTTGCTGTGCTGAAGTTGGTGTTCCTCTAGACTTGGGACAGTGTTCTCGGGGCATCTCTGGAGTTGCCTGAAGGAAGTCGAGCCACCGGTCGTGTTAAATGGGGAACGGGGAATGGCTCTGGAGTCAATGCAGGGGAATCGGGCCTCATCTCGAGTTGATTTGGGGCACATGCAGCTGCTTTGCGTTGCTGGGGTGACCTCAGGGTCCGTCTAGACTGGTGACAGTGTTCTTGGGGACTGTCTCGAGATCCACTAAGCAAGTCGAAGCTCCTGACTTGTTTGAATGGGATCACGGAATAGCTCTGCATGCAGTGCAGGGGAATGGGGCCTCATCTCGCTTCTAGGGGGAAGTCTCATGGTTTTTCTCGAATTGCGGCGGGGACCTGGGATATGTTCTTGACTTACAGCGGGGATGGCCCTTCAAAACACATGTTTATTCAGTGACGTCAGGACTCCTGTCTAGTAATGAGGGACACCTCAGGAATCTCTTCGAGGCTTGGCAGGGCAAAATGAACGCTTCTCGAGGTGAGGCAGGGAACCCAAGGACCCTTTCCAGTAGCCACAGGGATTTTGGGATTCCTCTCAGTATTCAAGAGGAGTCAGGCATCGTCACCTTTTGAAGCAATGAACTCTGCGTGCCTCTTCAGGTGTCAACGTGATGTGAGGCATTCCGTCAAAAAGAGGCAGGGACCTAGGGCTTTCTCTAAGGTCTCCACAGGGGATTCAGACATCCCTTCATGTTGTGAGATGAAAGACGAGCCTGTATTTAAGCCACTGCAAGGAAATCCGGCCTCCTTTCTAGTTAGGGCTTCTCGCTGTATACTCCACTTGAGGCAGCGATCTCGGGGTCCCTCCCACATACCTATTGCTGGGAGAAGCCTCCTCCTGAGGTGCTTCTGGAAAGTTGGCATACGTCTTGAGCCTAAGCCAGGGAATCAGCTGTCATCTCGAGACGATTTGGGGTACACGGAGCATTCCTCGAGTTGCTGTGCTGAAGTTGCTGTTCCTCTAGCCTTGGGACAGTGTTCTCGGGGCATCTCTGGAGTTGCCTGAAGGAAGTCGAGCCACCGGTCGTGTTGAATGGGGAACGGGGAATGGCTCTGGAGTCAATGCAGTGGAATCGGGCCTCATCTCGAGTTAATTTGGGGCACATGGAGCTGCTTTGCGTTGCTGGGGTGACCTCAGGGTCCGTCTAGACTGGTGACAGTGTTCTTGGGGACTGTCTCGAGATCCATTAAGCAAGTCAAAGCTCCTGACTTGTTTGAATGGGATCACGGAATAGCTCTGCATGCAGTGCAGGGGAATGGGGCCTCATCTCGCCTCTAGGGGGAAGTCTCATGGTTTTTCTCAAGTTGCGGCGGGCACCTGGGGTATGTTCTCGACTTACGGCGGGGATGGCCCTTCAAAGCACGAGTTTCTTCAGTGACGTCAGGACTCCTGTCTAGTAACCAGGGACACCTCAGGGAACTCTTCGAGGTTTGGCAGGGCAAAAGGGACCCTTCTCGAAGTGATGCAGGGCACCCAAGGACCCTTTCCAGTAGCTACAGGGATTTTGGGATTCCTATCAGTATTCAAGAGGAGTCAGGCATCGTCACCTTTTGAAGCAATGAACTCCGCGTGCCTCTCGAGGTGTCAACGGGATGTGAGGCATTCCGTCAAAATGACGCAGGTATCCAGGGCTTTCTCTAAGGTCTCCACAGTGGATTCAGACATCCCTTCATGTTTTGAGATCAAAGACGAGCCTGTATTCAAGCCACTGCAAGGAAATCCGGCCTCCTTTCAAGTTAGGTCTTCTCGATGTATACTCCACTTGAGGCAGCGATCTGGGGGTCCCTCCCACATATCTATTGCTGAGAGAATCCTCCTCCTGAGGTGCTTCTGGAATGTTGGCATACGTCTTGAGCCTAAGCCAGGGAATCAGCTCTCATCTCGAGACGATTTGGGGTACACGGAGCATTCCTCGAGTTGCTGTGCTGAAGTTGGTGTTCCTCTAGACTTGGGACAGTGTTCTCGGGGCATCTCTGGTGTTGTCTGAGGAAGTCGAGCCACAGGTCGTGTTGAATGGGGAACGGGGAATGGCTCTGGAGTCAATGCAGGGGAATCGGGCCTCATCTCGAGTTGATTTGGGGCACATGGAGCTGCTTTGCGTTGCTGGGGTGATCTCAGGGTCCGTCTAGACTTGTGACAGTGTTCTTGGGGACTGTCTCGAGATCCATTAAGCAAGTCGAAGCTCCTGACTTGTTTGAATGGGAACACGGAATAGCTCTGCATGCACTGCAGGGGAATGCGGCCTCATCTCGCCTCTAGGGGGAAGTCTCATGGTTTTTCTCGAGTTGAGGTGGGGACCTGGGGTATATTCTCCACTTACGGAGGGGATGGCCCTTCAAAACACGAGTTTCTTCAGTGACGTCAGGCCTCCAATCTAGTAACGAGAGACACCTCAGGTATATCTTCGAGGCTTGGCAGTGCAAAAGGGACGCTTCTCGAGGTGAGGCACGGCACCCAAGGACTCTTTCCAGTAGCCACAGTGATTTTGGGATTCCTATCAGTATTCAAGAGGAGTCAGGCATCGTCACCTTTTGAAGCAATGAACTCTGCGTGCCTCTCGAGTTGTCAACGGGATGTGAGGCATTCCGTCAAAAAGAGGCAGGGACCTAGGGCGTTCTCTAAGGTCTCCACAGGGGATTCAGACATCCCTTCATGTTGTGAGATGAAAGACGAGCCTGTATTCAAGCCACTGCAAGGAATTCCGTCCTCCTTTCAAGTTAGGGCTTCTCGCTCTATACTCCACTTGAGGCAACGATCTCGGGGTCCCTCCCACATACCTATTGCTGGGAGAAGCCTCCTCCTGAGGTGCTTCTGGAACGGTTGGCATACGTCTTGAGCCTAAGCCAGGGAATCAGCTCTCATCTCGAGACGATTTGGGGTACACGGAGCATTCCTCGAGTTGCTGTGCTGAAGTTGGTGTTCCTCTAGCCTTGGGACAGTGTTCTCGGGGCATCTCTGGAGTTGCCTGAAGGAAGTCGAGCCACCGGTCGAGTTGCATGGGGAACGGGGAATGGCTCTGGAGTCAATGCAGGGGAATCGGGCCTCATCTCGAGTTGATTTGGGGCACAAGAAGCTGCTTTGCTTTGCTGGGGTGACCTCAGGATCCGTCAAGACTTGTGACAGTGTTCTTGGGGACTGTCTCGAGATCCATTAAACAAGTCGAAGGTCCTGACTGGTTTGAATGGGATCACGGAATAGCTCTGCATGCACTGCAGGGGAATGGGGCCTCATCTCGCCTCTAGGGGGAAGTCTCATGGTTTTTCTCGAGTTGCAGCGGGAACCTGGGGTATGTTCTCGACTTTCCGCGGGGATGGCCCTTCAAAACACATGTTTACTCCGTGACGTCAGGACTCCTGTCTAGTAATGAGGGACACCTCAGGAATTTCTTCGAGGCTTGGCAGGGCAAAAGGGACGCTTCTCAGGTGAGGCAGGGCACCCAAGGACCCTTACCAGTAGCCACAGGGATTTTGGGATTCCTATCAGTATTCAAGAGGAGTCAGGCATCATCACCTTTTGAAGCAATGAACTCTGCATGCCTCTCGAAGTGACAACGGGATGTGAGGCATTCCATCAAAATGACGCAGGGAACAAGGGCTTTCTCTAAGGTCTCCAAAGGGGATTCAGACATCCCTTCATGTTGTGAGATGAAAGACGAGCCTGTATTCAAGCCACTGCAAGGAAATCCGGCCTCCTTTCAAGTTAGGGCTTCTCGCTGTATATTCCCCTTGAGACAGCAAACTCGGCGTCCCTCCCACATACCTATTGCTGAGAGAAGCCTCCTCCTGAGGTGCTTCTGGAAAGTTGGCATACGTCTTGAGCCTAAGCCAGGGAAATACCTCTCATCTCGGGACGATTTTGGGTACACGGAGCATTCCTCGAGTTGCTGTGCTGAAGTTGGTGTTCCTCTAGACTTGGGACAGTGTTCTCGGGGCATCTCTGGAGTTGCCTGAAGGAAGTCGAGCCACCGGTCGTGTTGAATGTGGAACGGGGAATGGCTCTGGTGTCAATGCAGGGGAATCGGCCTCATATCGAGTTGATTTGGGGGACATGCAGCTGCTTTGCGTTGCTGGGGTGACCTCAGGGTCCGTCTAGACTGGTGACAGTGTTCTTGGGGACTGTCTCGAGATCCATTAAGCAAGTCGAAGCTCCTGACTTGTTTGAATGGGATCACGGAATAGCTCTGCATGCACTGCAGGGGAATGGGGCCTCATCTCGCCTCTAGGGGTAAGTCTCATGGTTTTTCTCGAGTTGCGGCGGGGACCTGGGGTATGTTCTCGACTTACGGCGGGGATGGCCCTTCAAAACACGAGTTTCTTCAGTGACGTCAGGACTCCAGTCTAGTAATGAGGGACACCTCAGGAATCTCTTCGAGGCTTGGCAGGGCAAAAGGGACGCTTCTCGAGGTGAGGCAGGGCACCCAAGGACCCTTTCCAGTAGCCACAGGGATTTTGTGATTCCTACAGTATTCAAGAGGAGTCAGGCATCGTCAGCTTTTGAAGCAATGAACTCCGCGTGCCTCTCGAGGTGTCAACGGGATGTGAGGCATTCCGTCAAAATGACGCAGGTATCCAGGGCTTTCTCTAAGGTCTCCACAGTGGATTCAGACATCCCTTTATTTTTTGAGATCAAAGACGAGCCTGTATTCAAGCCACTGTGAGGAAATCCGGCCTCCTTTCAAGTTAGGGCTTCTCGCTGTATACTCCACTTGAGGCAGCGATCTCGGGGTCCCTCCCACATACCTATTGCTGGGAGAAGCCTCTTCCTGAGGTGCTTCTGGAAAGTTGGCAGACGTCTTGAGCCTAAGCCAGGGAATCAGCTCTCATCTCGAGACGATTTGGGGTACACGGAGCATTCCTCGAGTTGCTGTGCTGAAGTTGCTGTTCCTCTAGACTTGGGACAGTGTTCTCGGGGCATCTCTGGAGTTGCCTGAAGGAAGTCGAGCCACCGGTGGTGTTGAAAGGCGAACGGGGAATGGCTCCGGAGTCAACGCAGGGGAATCGGGCCTCATCTCGAGTTGATTTGGGGCACATGGAGCTGCTTTGCTTTGCTGCGGTGACCTCAGGATCCGTCTAGACTTGTGACAGTGTTCTTGGGGACTGTCTCGAGATCCATTAAGAAAGTCGAAGGTCCTGACTGGTTTGAATGGGATCACGGAATAGCTCTGCATGCACTGCAGGGGAATGGGGCCTAATCTCGCATCTAGGGGGAAGTCTCACGGTTTTTCTCGAGTTGCGGCGTGGACCTGGGGTGTGTTCTCGACTTACGGCGGGGATGGCCCTTCAAAACACGTGTTTATTCAGTGACGTCAGGACTCCTGTCTAGTAACGAGGGACACCTCAGGAATCTCTTCGAGGCTTGGCAGGGCAAAAGGGACGCTTCTCGAGGTGAGGCAGGGCACCCAAGGACCGTTTCCAGTAGCCACAGGGATTTTGGGATTCCTATCAGTATTCAAAAGGAGTCAGGCATCATCACCTTTTGAAGCAATGAACTCTGCGTGCCTCTCGAGGTGTCAACGGGATGTGAGGCATTCCGTAAAAAAAAGAGGCAGGGACCTAGGGCTTTCTCTAAGGTCTCCACAGGGGATTCAGACATCCCTTCATGTTGTGAGATGAAAGACGAGCCTGTATTCAAGCCACTGCAAGGAAATCCGGCCTCCTTTCAAGTTAGGGCTTCTCGCTTTATACTCCACTTGAGGCAGCGATCTCGGGGTCCCTTCCACATACCTATTGCTGGGAGAAGCCTCCTCCTGAGGTGCTTCTGGAAAGTTGGCATACGTCTTGAGCCTAAGCCAGGGAATCAGCTCTCATCTCGAGACGATTTGGGGTACACGGAGCATTCCTCGAGTTGCTGTGCTGAAGTTGGTGTTCCTCTAGCCTTGGGACAGTGTTCTCGGGGCATCTCTGGAGTTGCCTGAAGGAAGTTGAGCCACCGGTCGTGTTGAATGGGGAACGGGGAATGGCTCTGGAGTCAATGCAGGGGAATCGGGCCTCATCTCGAGTTGATTTGGGGCACATGGAGCTGCTTTGCATTGCTGGGGTGACCTCAGGTTCCGTCTAGACGGGTGACAGTGTTCTTGGGGACTGTCTCGAAATCCATTAAGCAAGTCGAAGCCCCTGACTTGTTTGAATGGGATCACGGAATAGCTCTGCATGCACTGCAGGGGAATGCGGCCTCATCTCGCCTCTAGGGGGAAGTCTCATGGTTTTACTCGAGTTGCGGCGGGGACCTGGGGTATGTTCTCGACTTACGGCGGGGATGGCCCTTCAAAACACGAGTTTCTTCAGTGACGTAGGACTCCTGTCTAGTAACCAGGGACACCTCAGGGAACTCTTCGAGGTTTGGCAGGGCAAAAGGGACCCTTCTCGAAGTGATGCAGGGCACCCAAGGACCCTTTCCAGTAGCCAAAGGGATTTTGTGATTCCTAACAGGATTCAAGAGGAGTCAGGCATCGTCACCTTTTGAAGCAATGAACTCCGCGTGCCTCTCGAGGTGTCAATGGGATGTGAGGCATTCCGTCAAAATGACGCAGGTATCCAGGGCTTTCTCTAAGGTCTCCACAGTGGATTCAGACATCCCTTCATTTTTTGAGATCAAAGACGAGCCTGTATTCAAGCCACTGTGAGGAAATCCGGCCTCCTTTCAAGTTAGGGCTTCTCGCTGTATACTCCACTTGAGGCAGCGATCTCGGGGTCCCTCCCACATACCTATTGCTGGGAGAATCCTCCTCCTGAGGTGCTTCTGGAAAGTTGGCATACGTCTTGAGCCTAAGCCAGGGAATCAGCTCTCATCTCGAGACGCTTTGGGGTACACGGAGCATTCCTCGAGTTGCTGTGCTGAAGTTGGTGTTCCTCTAGACTTGGGACAGTGTTCTCCGTGCATCTCTGGAGTTGCCTGAAGGAAGTCGCGCCACCGGTCGTGTTGAATGGGGAACGTGGAATGGCTCTGGAGTCAATGCAGGGGAATCGGGCCTCATCTCGAGTTGATTTGGGGCACATGCATCTGCTTTGCGTTGCTGGGGTGACCTCAGGGTCCGTCTAGACTGGTGACAGTGTTCTTGTGGACTATCTCGAGATCCATTAAGCAAGTCGAAGCTCCTGACTTGTTTGAATGGGATCACGGAATTGCTCTGCATGCACTGCAGGGGAATGGGGGCTCATCTCGCTTCTAGGGGGAAGTCTTATGGTTTTCCTCGAGTTGCAGCGGGGACCTGGGGTATGTTCTCGACTTACAGTTGGGATGGCCCTTCAAAAAACATGTTTATTCCGTGACGTCAGGACTCCTGTCTAGTAATGAGGGACACCTCAGGAATTTCTTCGAGTCTTGTCAGGGCAAAAGGGACGCTTCTCGAGGTGAGGCAGGGCACCCAAGGACCCTTACCAGTAGCCACAGGGATTTTGGGATTCCTATCAGTATTCAAGAGGAGTCAGGCATCATCACCTTTTGAAGCAATGAACTCTGCGTGCCTCTCGATGTGACAACGGGATGTGAGGCATTCCATCAAAATGACGCAGGTATCCAGGGCTTTCTCTAAGGTCTCCACAGGGGATTCAGACATCCCTTCATGTTTTGAGATCAAAGACGAGACTGTATTCAAGCCACTGCAAGGAAATCCGGCCTCCTTTCAAGTTAGGCCTTCTCGCTGTATATTCAACTTGAGGCAGTGATCTCGTGGTCCCTCCCACATAAGTATTGCTGGGAGAAGCCTACTCCTGAAGTGCTTCTGGAAAGTTGGCATACGTCTTGAGCCTAAGCCAGGGAATCAGCTCTCATCTCGAGACGATTTGTGGTACACGGAGCATTACTCGAGTTGCTGTGCTGAAGTTGGTGTTCCTCTAGATTTGGGACAGTGTTCTCGGGGCATCACTGGAGATGCCTGAAGGACGTCGAGCCACCAGTCGTGTTGAATGAGGAACGGGGAATGGCTCTGGAGTCAATGCAGGGGAATTGTGCCTTATCTCGAGTTGATTTGGGGCATATGCAGCGGCTTTGCGTTGCTGGGGTGACCTCAGTGTCCGTCTAGACAGGTGACAGTGTTCTTGGGGACTGTCTCCAGATTCATTAAGCAAGTCGAAGCTCCTGACTTGTATGAATGGGATCACGGAATAGCTCTGCATGCACTGCAGGGGAATGCGGCCTCATCTCGCCTCTAGGGGAATCACATGGTTTTTCTCGAGTTGCGGCGGGGACCTGGGGTATGTTCTCGACTTACGGCGAGGATGGCCCTTCAAAACAGGAGTTTCTTCAGTGACGTCAGGACTCCAGTCTAGTAATGAGGGACACCTCAGGAATCTCTTCGAGGTTTGGCAGGGCAAAAGGGACGCTCCTCGAGGTGAGGCAGGGCACCCAAGGACCCTTTCCAGTAGCCACAGGGATTTTAGGATTCCTATCGGTATTCAAGAGGAGTCAGGCATCGTCACCTTTTGAAGCAATGAACTCCGCGTGCCTCTCGAGGTGTCAATGGGATGTGAGGCATTCCGTCAAAATGAGGCAGGGACCTAGGGCGTTCTCTAAGGTCTCCACAGGGGATTCAGACATCCCTTCATGTTGTGAGATGAAAGACGAGCCTGTGTTCAAGCCACTGCAAGGAATTCCGGCCTCCTTTCAAGTTAGGGCTTCTCGCTGTATACTCCACTTGAGGCAGCGATCCCGGGGTCCCTCCCACATAGCTATTGCTGGGAGAAGCCTCCTCCTGAGGTGCTTCTGGAAAGTTGGCATACGTCTTGAGCCTAAGCCAGGGAATCAGCTCTCATCTCGAGACGATTTGGGGTACACGGAGCATTCCTCGAGTTGCTGTGCTGAAGTTGGTGTTCCTCTAGACTTGGGACAGTGTTCTCGGGGCATCTCTGGAGTTGCCTGAAGGAAGTCGAGCCACCGGTCGTGTTGAATGGGGAACGGGGAATGGCTCTGGAGTCAATGCAGTGGAATCGGGCCTCATCTCGAGTTGATTTGGGGCACATGGAGCTGCTTTGCGTTGCTGGGGTGACCTCAGGGTCCGTCTAGACTGGTGACAGTGTTCTTGGGGACTGTCTCGAGATCCATTAAGCAAGTCAAAGCTCCTGACTTGTTTGAATGGGATCACGGAATAGCTCTGCATGCACTGTAGGGGAATGGGGCCTCATCTCGCTTCTATGGGGAAGTCTCATGGTTTTTCTCGAATTGCGGCGGGGACCTGGGGTATGTTCTCGACTTACAGCGGAGATGGCCCTTCAAAAAACATGTTTATTCCGTGACGTCAGGACTCCTGTCTAGTAATGAGGGACACCTCAGGAATTTCTTCGAGGCTTGTCAGGGCAAAAGGGACGCTTCTCGAGGTGAGGCAGGGCACCCAAGGACCCTTACCAGTAGCCACAGGGATTTTGGGATTCCTATCAGTATTCAAGAGGAGTCAGGCATCATCACCTTTTGAAGCAATGAACTCTGCATGCCTCTCGAGGTGACAACGGGATATGAGGCATTCCATCAAAATGACGCAGGTATCCAGGGCTTTCTCTAAGGTCTCCACAGGGGATTCAGACATCCCTTCATGTTTTGAGATCAAAGACGAGACTGTATTCAAGCCACTGCAAGGAAATCCGGCCTCCTTTCAAGTTAGGCCTTCTCGCTGTATATTCCACTTGAGGCAGTGATCTCGTGGTCCCTCCCACATAAGTATTGCTGGGAGAAGCCTACTCCTGAGGTGCTTCTGGAAAGTTGGCATACGTCTTGAGCCTAAGCCAGGGAATCAGCTCTCATCTCGAGACGATTTGGGGTACACGGAGCATTTCTCGAGTTGCTGTGCTGAAGTTGGTGTTCCTCTAGATTTGGGACAGTGTTCTCGGGTCATCGCTGGAGATGCCTGAAGGAAGTCGAGCCACCAGTCGTGTTGAATGGGGAACGGGGAATGGCTCTGGAGTCAATGCAGGGGAATTGTGCCTTATCTCGAGTTGATTTGGGGCATATGCAGCGCCTTTGCATTGCTGGGGTGACCTCAGGGTCCGTCTAGACTGGTGACAGTGTTCTTGGGGACTGTCTCGAGATCCATTAAGCAAGTCGAAGCTCCTGACTTGTTTGAGTGGGATCACGGAATAGCTCTGCATGCACTGCAGGGAAATGGGGCCTCATCTCGCCTCTAGGGGGAAGTCTCATGGTTTTTCTCGAGTTGCGGCGGGGACCTGGGGTATGTTCCCGACTTACGGCTGGGATGGCCCTTCAAAACACGAGTTTCTCCAGTGACGTCAGGACTCCAGTCTAGTAACGAGGGACACCTCAGGAATCTCTTCGAGGCTTGGCAGGGCAAAAGGGACGCTTCTCGAGGTGAGGCAGGGCACCCAAGGACCCTTTCCAGTAGCCACAGGGATTTTGGGATTCCTATCAGTATTCAAAAGGAGTCAGGCTTCATCACCTTTTGAAGCAATGAACTCTGAGTGACTCTCGAGGTGTCAACGGGATGTGAGGCATTCCGTCAAAATGAGGCACCGAACTAGGCCTTTTTCTAAGGTCTCCACAGGGGATTCACACATCCCTTCATGTTGTGAGATGAAAGACGACCCTGTATTCAAGCCACTGCAAGGAAATCCGGCCTCCTTTCAAGTTAGGGCTTCTCGCTGTATATTCCACTTGAGGCAGCAATCTCGGGGTCCCTCCCACATACCTATTGCTTAGAGAAGCCTCCTCCTGTGGTGCTTCTGGAAAGTTGGCATACGTCTTGAGCCTAAGCCAGGGAATCAGCTCTCATCTCGAGACGATTTGGGGTACACGGAGCATTCCTCGAGTTGCTGTGCTGAAGTTGGTGTTCCTCTAGCCTTGGGACAGTGTTCTCGGGGCAACTCTGGAGTTGCCTGAAGGAAGTCGAGCCACCGGTCGTGTTGAATGGAGAACGGGGAAGGGCTCTGGAGTCAAAGCAGGGGAATCGGGCCTCATCTCGAGTTGATTTGGGGCACATGGAGCTGCTTTGCGTTGCTGGGGTGACCTCAGGGTCCGTCTAGACTGGTGACAGTGTTCTTGGGGACTGTCTCGAGATCCATTAAGCAAGTCGAAGCTCCTGACTTGTTTGAGTGGGATCACGGAATAGCGCTGCATGCACTGCAGGGGAATGGGGCCTCATCTCGCCTCTAGGGGGAAGTCTCATGGGTTTTCTCGAGTTGCGGCGGGGACCTGGGGTATGTTCTCGACTTACGGCGGGGATGGCCCTTCAAAACACGAGTTTCTTCAGTGACGTCAGGACTCCAGTCTAGTAACGAGGGACACCTCAGGAATCTCTTCGAGGCTTGGCAGGGCAAAAGGGACGCTTCTCGAGGTGAGGCAGGGCACCCAAGGACCCTTTCCAGTAGCCACAGGGATTTTGGGATTCCTATCAGTATTCAACAGGAGTCACGCATCGTCACCTTTTGAAGCAATGAACTCTGAGTGCCTCTCGAGGTGTCAACGGGATGTGAGGCCTTCCGTCAAAATGACGCAGGGACCTAGGGCTTTCTCTAAGGTCTCCACAGGAGATTCAGACATCCCTTCCTGTTGTGAGATGAAAGACGAGCCTGTATTCAAGCCACTGCAAGGAAATCCGGCCTCCTTTCAAGTTAGGGCTTCTCGCTGTATATTCCCCTTGAGGCAGCAAATTCGGGGTCCCTCCCACATACCTATTGCTGAGAGAAGCCTCCTCCTGAGGTGCTTCTGGAAAGTTGGCATACGTCTTGAGCCTATGCCAGGGAATCAGCTCTCATCTCGAGACGATTTGTTGTACACGGAGCATTCCTCGAGTTGCTGTGCTGAAGTTGGTGTTCCTCTAGCCTTGGGACAGTGTTCTCGGGGCATCTCTGGAGTTGCCTGAAGGAAGTCGAGCCACAGGTCGTGTTGAATGGGGAACGGGAATGGCTCTGGAATCAATGCAGCTCAATCGGGCCTAATCTCGAGTTGATTTGGGGCACATTCAGCTGCTTTGCGTTGCTGGGGTGACCTCAGGGTCCGTCTAGACTGGTGACAGTGTTCTTGGGGACTGTCTCGAGATCCTTTAAGCAAGTCGAAGCTGCTGACTTGTTTGAATGGGATCACGGAATAGCTCTGCATGCACTGCAGGGGAATGGGGCCTCATCTCGCTTCGAGGGGGAAGTCTCATGGTTTTTCTCGAATTGCGGCGGGGACCTGGGGTAAGTTCTCGACTTACGGCGGGGATGGCCCTTCAAAACACGTGTTTATTCAGTGACGTCAGGACTCCTGTCTAGTAACGAGGGACACCTCAAGAATCTCTTCAAGGCTTGGCAGGGCAAAAGGGACGCTTCTCGAGGTGAGGCAGGGCACGAAGGACCCTTTCCTGTAGCCAAAGGGACTTTGGGATTCCTATCAGTATTCAAAAGGAGTCAGGCATCGTCACCTTTTGAAGCAATGAACTCTGAGTGCCTCTCGAGGTGTCATCGGGATGTGAGGCATTCCGTCAAAATGAGGCACCGAACTAGGGCTTTTTCTAAGGTCTCCACAGGGGATTCAGACATCCCTTCATGTTGTGAGATGAAAGACGACCCTGTATTCAAGCCACTGCAAGGAAATCCGGCCTCCTTTCAAGTTAGGGCTTCTCGCTGTATATTCCACTTGAGGCAGCAATCTCGGGGTCCCTCCCACATACCTATTGCTTAGAGAAGCCTCCTCCTGTGGTGCTTCTGGAAAGTTGGCATACGTCTTGAGCCTAAGCCAGGGAATCAGCTCTCATCTCGAGACGATTTGGGGTACACGGAGCATTCCTCGAGTTGCTGTGCTGAAGTTGGTGTTCCTCTAGCCTTGGGACAGTGTTCTCGGAGCAACTCTGGAGTTGCCTGAAGGAAGTCGAGCCACCGGTCGTGTTGAATGGGGAACGGGGAAGGGCTCTGGAGTCAAAGCAGGGGAATCGGGCCTCATCTCGAGTTGATTTGGGGCACATGGAGCTGCTTTGCGTTGCTGGGGTGACCTCAGGGTCCGTCTAGACTGGTGACAGTGTTCTTGGGGACTGTCTCGAGATCCATTAAGCAAGTCGAAGCTCCTGACTTGTTTGAGTGGGATCACGGAATAGCTCTGCATGCACTGCAGGGGAATGGGGCGTCATCTCGCCTCTAGGGGGAAGTCTCATGGTTTTTCTCGAGTTGCGGCGGGGACCTGATGTATGTTCTCGACTTACGGCGGGGATGGCCCTTCAAAACACGAGTTTCTTCAGTGACGTCAGGACTCCAGTCTAGTAACGAGGGACACCTCAGGAATCTCTTCGAGGCTTGGCAGGGCAAAAGGGACGGTTCTCGAGGTGAGGCAGGGCACACAAGGACCCTTTCCAGTAGCCACAGGGATTTTGGGATTCCTATCAGTATTCAAAAGGAGTCAGGCATCGTCACCTTTTGAAGAAATGAACTCTGAGTGCCTCTCGAGGTGTCAACGGGATGTGAGGCATTCCGTCAAAATGAGGCACCGAACTAGGCCTTTTTCTAAGGTCTCCACAGGGGATTCACACATCCCTTCATGTTGTGAAATGAAAGATGAGCCTGTATTCAAGCCACTGCAAGGAAATCCGGCTTCCTTTCAAGTTAGGGCTTCTCGCTGTATATTCCCCTTGAGGCAGCTATCTCGGGGTCCCTCCCACATACCTATTGCTGGGAGAAACCTCCTCCTGAGATGCTTCTGGAAAGTTGGCATACGTCTTGAGCCTAAGCCAGGGAATCAGCTCTCATCTCGAGACGACTTGGGGTACACGGAGCATTCCTCGAGTTGCTATGCTGAAGTTGGTGTTCCTCTAGCCTTGGGACAGTGTTCTCGGGGCATCTCTGGAGTTGTCTGAAGGAAGTCGAGCCACCGGTCGTGTTGAATGGGGAACGGGGAATGGCTCTGGAGTCAATGCAGGGGAATCGGGCCTCATCTCGAGTTGATTTGTGGCACATGCAGCTGCTTTGCGTTGCTGGGGTGACCTCAGGGTCCGTCTAGACTGGTGACAGTGTTCTTGGGGACTGTCTCGAGATCCATTAAGCAAGTCGAAGCTCCTGACTTGTTTGAATGGGATCACGGAATAGCTCTGCATGCACTGCAGGGGAATGGGGCCTCATCTCGCTTCTAGGGGGAAGTCTCATGGTTTTTCTCGAATTGCGGCGGGGACCTAGGATATGTTCTCGACTTACAGCGGTGATGGCCCTTCAAAACAAATGTTTATTCAGTGACGTCAGGACTCCTGTCTAGTAATGAGGGACACCTCAGGAATCTCTTCGAGGCTTGGCAGGGCAAAAGGGACGCTTCTCGAGGTGAGGCAGGGCACCCAAGGACACTTTCCAGTAGCCACAGGGATTTTGGGATTCCTCTCAGTATTCACGAGGAGTCAGGCAACGTCACCTTTTGAAGCAATGAACTCTGCGTGCCTCTCGAGGTGTCAACGGGATGTGAGGCATTCCGTCAAAATGACGCAGGGACCTAGGGCTTTCTCTAAGGTCTCCACAGGGGATTCAGACATCCCTTCATGTTTTGAGATCAAAGACGAGCCTGTATTCAAGCCACTGTTAGGAAATCCGGCCTCCTTTCAAGTTAGGGCTTCTCGCTGTATATTCCACTTGAGGCAGCGATCTCGGGTCCCTCCCACATACCTATTGCTGGGAGAAGCCTCCTCCTGAGGTGCTTCTGGAAAGTTGGCATAGGTCTTGAGCCTAAGCCAGGGAATCAGCTCTCATCTCGAGACGATTTGAGGTACACGGAGCATTCCTCGAGTTGCTGTGCTGAAGTTGGTGTTCCTCTAGCCTTGGGACAGTGTTCTCGGGGCATTTCTGGAGTTGCCTGAAGGAAGTCGAGCCACCGGTGGTGTTGAAAGGCGAACGGGGAATGGCTCTGGAGTCAATGCAGGGGAATCGGGCCTCATCTCGAGTTGATTTGGAGCACATGGGGCTGCTTTGCTTTGCTGCGGTGACCTCAGGATCCGTCTAGACTTGTGACAGTGTTCTTGGGGACTGTCTCGAGATCCATTAAGAAAGTCGAAGGTCCTGACTGGTTTGAATGGGATCACGGAATAGCTCTGCATGCACTGCAGGGGAATGGGGCCTAATCTCGCATCTAGGGGGAAGTCTCATGGTTTTTCTCGAGTTGCGGCGTGGACCTGGGGTGTGTTCTCGACTTACGGCGGGGATGGCCCTTCAAAACACGTGTTTATTCAGTGACGTCAGGGCTCCTGTCTAGTAACGAGGGACACCTCAGGAATCTCTTTGAGGCTTGGCAGGGCAAAAGGGATGCTTCTCGACGTGAGGCAGGGCACCCAAGGACCGTTTCCAGTAGCCACAGGGATTTTGGGATTCCTATCAGTATTCAAAATGAGTCAGGCATCGTCACCTTTTGAAGCAATGAACTCTGCGTGCCTCTCGAGGTGTCAACGGGATGTGAGGCATTCCTTCAAAAAGAGGCAGGTACCTAGGGCTTTCTCTAAGGTCTCCACAGGGGATTCAGACATCCCTTCATGTTGTGAGATGAAAGACGAGCATGTATTTAAGCCACTGCAAGGAAATCCGGCCTCCTTTCTAGTTAGGGCTTCTCGCTGTATACTCCACTTGAGGCAGCGATCTCGGGGTCCCTCCCACATACCTATTGCTGGGAGAAGCCTCCTCCTGAGGTGCTTCTGGAAAGTTGGCATACGTCTTGAGCCTAAGCCAGGGAATCAGCTCTCATCTCGAGACGATTTGGGGTACACGGAGCATTCCTCGAGTTGCTGTGCTGAAGTTGCTGTTCCTCTAGCCTTGGGACAGTGTTCTCGGGGCATCTCTGGAGTTGCCTGAAGGAAGTCGAGCCACCGGTCGTGTTGAATGGGGAACGGGGAATGGCTCTGGAGTCAATGCAGGGGAATCGGGCCTCATCTCGAGTTGATTTGGGGCACATGGAGCTGCTTTGCATTGCTGGGGTGACCTCAGGGTCCGTCTAGACTGGTGACAGTGTTCTTGGGGACTGTCTCGAGATCCATTAAGCAAGTCGAAGTTCCTGACTTGTTTGAATGGGATCACGGAATAGCTCTGCATGCACTGCAGGGGAATGGGGCCTCATCTCGCCTCTAGGGGGAAGTCTCATGGTTTTTCTCGAGTTGCGGCGCGGACCTGGGATATGTTCTCGACTTACGGCGGGGATGGCCCTTCAAAACACGAGTTTCTTCAGTGAAGTAGGACTCCTGTCTAGTAACCAGGGACACCTCAGGGAACTCTTCGAGGTTTGGCAGGGCAAAAGGGACCCTTCTCGAAGTGATGCAGGGCACCCAAGGACCCTTTCCAGTAACCAAAGGGATTTTGTGATTCCTAACAGTATTCAAGAGGAGTCAGGCATCGTCACCTTTTGAAGCAATGAACTCCGCGTGCCTCTCGAGGTGTCAACGGGATGTGAGGCATTCCGTCAAAATGACGCAGGTATCCAGGGCTTTCTCTAAGGTCTCCACAGTGGATTCAGACATCCCTTCATGTTTTGAGATCAAAGACGAGCCTGTATTCAAGCCACTGCAAGGAAATCCGGCCTCCTTTCAAGTTAGGTCTTCTCGATGTATACTCCACATGAGGCAGCGATCTGGGGGTCCCTCCCACATATCTATTGCTGAGAGAATCCTCCTCCTGAGGTGCTTCTGGAAAGTTGGCATACGTCTTGAGCCTAAGCCAGGGAATCAGCTCTCATCTCGAGACGATTTGGGGTACACGGAGCATTCCTCGAGTTGCTGTGCTGAAGTTGGTGTTCCTCTAGACTTGGGACAGTGTTCTCGGGGCATCTCTGGAGTTGCCTGAAAGAAGTCGAGCCACCGGTCGTGTTGAATGGGGAACGGGGAATGGCTCTGGAGTCAATGCAGTGGAATCGGGCCTCATCTCGAGTTGATTTGGGGCACTTGGAGCTGCTTTGCGTTGCTGGGGTGATCTCAGGGTCCGTCTAGAGTGGTGACAGTGTTCTTGGGGACTGTCTCGAGATCCATTAAGCAAGTCGAAGCTCCTGACTTGTTTGAATGGGATCATGGAATAGCTCTGCATGCACTGCAGGGGAATGCGGCCTCATCTCGCCTCTAGGGGGAAGTCTCATGGTTTTTCTCGAGTTGAGGTGGGGACCTGGGGAATATTCTCCACTTACGGCGGGGATGGCCCTTCAAAACACGAGTTTCTTCAGTGACGTCAGGCCTCCAATCTAGTAACGAGAGACACCTCAGGTATATCTTCGAGGCTTGGCAGTGCAAAAGGGACGCTTCTCGAGGTGAGGCACGGCACCCAAGGACCCTTTCCAGTAGCCACAGTGATTTTGGGATTCCTATCAGTATTCAAGAGGAGTGAGGCATCGTCACCTTTTGAAGCAATGAACTCTGCGTGCCTCTCGAGGTGTCAACGGGATGTGAGGCATTCCGTCAAAAAGACGCAGGGACCTAGGGCGTTCTCTAAGGTCTCCACAGGGGATTCAGACATCCCTTCATGTTGTGAGATGAAAGACGAGCCTGTATTCAAGCCACTGCAAAGAATTCCGTCCTCCTTTCAAGTTAGGGCTTCTCGCTGTATACTCCACTTGAGGCAGCGATCTCGGGGTCCCTCCCACATACCTATTGCTGGGAGAAGCCTCCTCCTGAGGTGCTTCTGGAACGGTTGGCATACGTCTTGAGCCTAAGCCAGGGAATCAGCTCTCATCTCGAGACGATTTGGGGTACACGGAGCATTCCTCGAGTTGCTGTGCTGAAGTTGGTGTTCCTCTAGCCTTGGGACAGTGTTCTCGGGGCATCTCTGGAGTTGCTGAAGGAAGTCGAGCCACCGGTCGAGTTGAATGGGGAACGGGGAATGGCTCTGGAGTCAATGCAGGGGAATCGGGCCTCATCTCGATTTGATTTGGGGCACAAGAAGCTGCTTTGCTTTGCTGGGGTGACCTCAGGATCCGTCAAGACTTGTGACAGTGTTCTTGGGGACTGTCTCGAGATCCATTAAGCAAGTCGAAGGTCCTGACTGGTTTGAATGGAATCACGGAATAGCTCTGCATGCAGTGCAGGGGAATGGGGAGTCATCTCGCTTCTAGGGGGAAGTCTCATGGTTTTTCTCGAGTTGCAGCGGGAACCTGGGGTATGTTCTCGACTTTCGGCGGGGATGGCCCTTCAAAAGACGAGTTTCTTCAGTGACGTCAGGACTCCAATCTAGTAACGAGGGACACCTCAGGAAACTCTTCGAGGCTTGGCAGGGCAAAAGAGACAATTCTCGATGTGAGGCAGGGCACCCAAGGACCCTTTCCAGTAGCCACAGGGATTTTGGGATTCCTATCAGTATTCAAGAGGAGTCAGGCATCGTCACCTTTTGAAGCAATGAACTCCGCGTGCCTCTCGAGGTGTCAACGGGATGTGAGGCATTCCGTCAAAATGAGGCAGGGACCTAGGGCTTTCTCTAAGGTCTCTACAGGGGATTCAGACATACCTTCATGTTGTGAGATGAAAGATGAGCCTGTATTCAAGCCACTGCATGGTAATCCGGCCTCCTTTCAAGTTAGGGTTTTTCGCTGTATATTCTACTTGAGGCAGCGATCTCGGGGTCCCTCCCACATACCTATTGCTGAGAGAATCCTCCTCCTGAGGTGCTTCTGGAAAGTTGGCATATGTCTTGAGCCTAAGCCAGGGAATCAGCTCTAATCTCGAGACGATATGGGGTACACGGAGCAATTCTCGAGTTGCTGTGCTGAAGTTGGTGTTCCTCTAGACTTGGGACAGTGTTCTCGGGGCATCTCTGGAGTTGCCTGAAGGAAGTCGAGCCACCAGTCGTGTTGAATGGGGAACGGGGAATGGCTCTGGAGTCAATGCAGGGGAATCGGGCCTCATCTCGAGTTGATTTGGGGCACTTGCAGCTGCTTTGCGTTGCTGGGGTGACCTCAGGGTCCGTCTAGACTGGTGACAGTGTTCTTGTGGACTATCTCGAGATCCATTAAGCATGTCGAAGATCCTGACTTGTTTGAATGGGATCACGGAATTCCTCTGCATGCACTGCAGTGGAATGGGGACTCATCTCGCTTCTAGGGGGAAGTCTCATGGTTTTTCTCGAGTTGCAGCGGGGACCTGTGGTATATTCTCGACTGACAGCGGGGATGGCCCTTCAAAACACATGTTTATTCCGTGACGTCAGGACTCCTCTCTAGTAATGAGGGACACCTCAGGAATTTCTTTGAGGCTTGGCAAGGCAAAAGGGACGCTTCTCGAGGTGAGGCAGGGCACCCAAGGACCCTTACCAGTAGCCACAGGGATTTTGGGATTCCTATCAGTATTCAAGAGGAGTCAGGCATCATCACCTTTTGAAGCAATGAACTCTGCGTGCCTCTCGAAGTGACAACGGGATGTGAGGCATTCCATCAAAATGACGCAGGGAACAAGGGCTTTCTCTACGGTCTCCAAAGGGGATTCAGACATCACTTCATGCTGTGAGATGAAAGACGAGCCTGTATTCAACCACTGCAAGGAAATCCGGCCTCCTTTCAAGTTAGGGCTTCTCGCTGTATATTCCCCTTGAGGCAGCAAACTCGGCGTCCCTCCCACATACCTATTGCTGAGAGAAGCCTCCTCCTGAGGTGCTTCTGGAAAGTTGGCATATGTCTTGAGCCTAAGCCAAGGAAATAGCTCTCATCTCGGGACGATTTGGGGTACACGGAGCATTCCTCGAGTTGCTGTGCTGAAGTTGGTGTTCCTCTAGACTTGGGACAGTGTTCTCGGGGCATCTCTGGAGTTGCCTGAAGGAAGTCGAGCCACCGGTCGTGTTGAATGGGGAACGGGGAATGGCTCTGGTGTCAATGCAGCGGAATCGGCCTCATATCGAGTTGATTTGGGGCACATGGAGCTGCTTTGCTTTGCTGCAGTGACCTCAGGATCCGTCTAGACTTGTGACAGTGTTCTTGGGGACTGTCTCGAGATCCATTAAGAAAGTCGAAGTTCCTGACTGGTATGAATGGGATCACGGAATAGCTCTGCATGCACTGCAGGGGAATGGGGCCTAATCTCGCATCTAGGGGGAAGTCTCATGGTTTTTCTCGAGTTGCGGCGTGGACCTGGGGTGTGTTCTCGACTTACGGCGGGGATGGCCCTTCAAAACACGTGTTTATTCAGTGACGTCAGGACTCCTGTCTAGTAACGAGGGACACCTCAGGAATCTCTTCGAGGCTTGGCAGGGCAAAAGGGACGCTTCTCGAGGTGAGGCAGGGCACCCAAGGACCGTTTCCAGTAGCCACAGGGATTTTGGGATTCCTGTCAGTATTCAAAAGGAGTCAGGCATCGTCACCTTTTGAAGCAATGAACTCCGCGTGCCTCTCGAGGTGTCAACGGGATGTGAGGCATTCCGTCAAAAAGAGGCAGGAAACTAGGGCTTTCTCTAAGGTCTCCACAGGGGATTCAGACATCCCTTCATGTTGTGAGATGAAAGACGAGCCTGTATTCAAGCCACTGCAAGGAAATCCGGCCTCCTTTCAAGTTAGGGCTTCTCGCTGTATACTCCACATGAGGCAGCGATCTCGGGGTCCCTCCCACATACCTATTGCTGGGAGAAGCCTCCTCCTGAGGTGCTTCTGGAAAGTTGGCATACGGCTTGAGCCTAAGCCAGGGAATCAGCTCTCATCTCGAGACGATTTGGGGTACACGGAGCATTCCTCGAGTTGCTGTGCTGAAGTTGGTGTTCCTCTAGCCTTGGGACAGTGTTCTCGGGGCATCTCTGGAGTTGCCTGAAGGAAGTCGAGCCACCGGTCGTGTTGAATGGAGAACGGGGAATGGCTCTGGAGTCAATGCAGGGGAATCGGGCCTCATCTCGAGTTGATTTGGGGCACATGGAGCTGCTTTGCGTTGCTGGGGTGACCTCAGTGTCCGTCTAGACAGGTGACAGTGTTCTTGGGGACTGTCTCGAGATTCATTAAGCAAGTCGAAGCTCCTGACTTGTATGAATGGGATCACGGAATAGCTCTGCATCCACTGCAGGGGAATGCGACCTCATCTCGCCTCTAGGGGAAGTCACATGTTTTTTCTCGAGTTGCGGCGGGGACCTGGGGTATGTTCTCGACTTACGGCGAGGATGGCCCTTCAAAACAGGAGTTTCTTCAGTGACGTCAGGACTCCAGTCTAGTAATGAGGGACACCTCAGGAATCTCTTCGAGGTTTGGCAGGGCAAAAGGGACGCTCCTCGAGGTGAGGCAGGGCACCCAAGGACCCTTTCCAGTAGCCACAGGGATTTTAGGATTCCTTTCGGTATTCAAGAGGAGTCAGGCATCGTCACCTTTTGAAGCACTGAACTCCGCGTGCCTCTCGAGGTGTCAATGGGATGTGAGGCATTCCGTCAAAATGAGGCAGGGACCTAGGGCTTTCTCTAAGGTCTCCACAGGGCATTCAGACTTCCCTTCATGTTGTGAGATGAAAGACGAGCCTGTGTTCAAGCCACTGCAAGGAATTCCGGCCTCCTTTCAAGTTAGGGATTCTCGCTGTATACTCCACTTGAGGCAGCGATCTCGGGGTCCCTCCCACATACCTATTGCTGGGAGAAGCCTCCTCCTGAGGTGCTTCTGGAAAGTTGGCATACGTCTTGAGCCTAAGCCAGGGAATCAGCTCTCATCTCGAGACGATTTGGGGTACACGGAGCATTCCTCGAGTTGCTGTGCTGAAGTTGGTGTTCCTCTAGCCTTGGGACAGTGTTCTTGGGGCACCTCTGGAGTTGCCTGAAGGAAGTCGAGCCACCGGTCGTGTTGAATGGCGAATGGGAATGGCTCTGGAGTCAATGCAGGGGAATCAAGCCTCATCTCGAGTTGATTTGGGGCACATGGAGCTGCTTTGCGTTGCTGGGGTGACCTCAGGGTCCGTCTAGACTGGTGACAGTGTTCTTGGGGACTGTCTCGAGATCCATTTAGCAAGTCGAATCTCCTGACTTGTTTTAATGGGATCACGGAATAGCTCTGCATGCACTGTAGGGGAATGGGGCCTCATCTCGCTTCTATGGGGAAGTCTCATGGTTTTTCTCGAATTGCGGCGGGGACCTGGGGTATGTTCTCGACTTACAGCGGAGATGGCCCTTCAAAACACATGTTTATTCAGTGAAGTCAGGACTCCTGTCTAGTAATGAGGGACACCTCAGGAAACTCTTCGAGGCTTGGCAGGACAAAAGGGACGCTTCTCGAGGTGAGGCAGAGCACCCAAGGACCCTTTCCAGTAGCCACAGGGATTTTGGGATTCCTCTCAGTATTCAAGAGGAGTCAGGCATCGTCACCTTTTGAAGCAATGAACTCCGCGTGCCTCTCGAGGTGTCAACGGGATGTGAGGCATTACCTCAAAATGACGCAGGGACCCAGGGCTTTCTCTAAGGTCTCCACGGGGGATTCAGAGATCCCTTCATGTTTTGAGATCAAAGACGAGCCTGTATTCAAGCCACTGCAAGGAAATCCGGCCTCCTTTCAAGTTAGGGCTTCTCGCTGTATATTCCACTTGAGGCAGCGATCTCGGGGTCCCTCCCACATACCTATTGCTGGGAGAAACCTCCTCCTCAGGTGCTTCTGGAAAGTTGGCATACGTCTTGAGCCTAAGCCAGGGAATCAGCTCTCAGTTCGAGACGACTTGGGGTACACGGAGCATTCCTCGAGTTGCTGTCCTGAAGTTGGTGTTCCTCTAGCCTTGGGACAGTGTTCTCGGGGCATCTCTGGAGTTGCCTGAAGGAAGTCGAGCCACCGGTCGTGTTAAATGGGGAACGGGGAATGGCTCTGGAGTCAATGCAGGGGAATCGGGCCTCATCTCGAGTTGATTTGGGGCACATGGAGCTGGTTTGCGTTGCTGGGGTGACCTCAGGGTCCGTCTAGACTGGTGACAGTGTTCTTGGGGACTGTCTCGAGATCCATTAAGCAAGTCGAAGCTCCTGACTTGTTTGAATGGGATCACGGAATAGCTCTGCATGCAGTGCAGGGGAATGGGGCCTCATCTCGCTTCTAGGGGGAAGTCTCATGGTTTTTCTCGAATTGCGGCGGGGACCTGGGATATGTTCTTGACTTACAGCGGGGATGGCCCTTCAAAACACATGTTTATTCAGTGACGTCAGGACTCCTGTCTAGTAATGAGGGACACCTCAGGAATCTCTTCGAGGCTTGGCAGGGCAAAAGGGACGCCTCTCGAGGTGAGGCAGGGAACCCAAGGACCCTTTCCAGTAGTCACAGGGATTTTGGGATTCCTCTCAGTATTCAAGAGGAGTCAGGCATCGTCACCTTTTGAAGCAATGAACTCTGCGTGCCTCTCGAGTTGTCAGCGGGATGTGAGGCATTCCGTCAAAATGACGCAGGGACCTAGGGCTTTCTCTAAGGTCTCCACAGGGGATTCAGTCATCCCTTCATGTTTTGAGATCAAAGACGAGCCTGTATTCAAGCCACTGCAAGGAAATCCGGCCTCCTTTCAAGTTAGGGCTTCTCGCTGTATATTCCACTTGAGGCAGCGATCTCGGGGTCCCTCCCACATACCTATTGCTGGGAGAAGCCTCCTCCTGAGGTGCTTCTGGAAAGTTGGCATAGGTTTTGAGCCTAAGCCAGGGAATCAGCTCTCATCTCGAGACGTTTTGAGGTTCACGGAGCATTCCTCGAGTTGCTGTGCTGAAGTTGGTGTTCCTCTAGCCTTGGGACAGTGTTCTCGGGGCATCTCTGGAGTTGCCTGAAGGAAGTCGAGCCACCGGTCGTGCTGAATGGCGAACGGGGAATGGCCTTGGAGTCAATGCAGGGGAATCGGGCCTCATCTCGAGTTGATTTGGGGCACATGGAGCTGCTTTGCGTTGCTGGCGTGACATCAGGGTCCGTCTAGACTGGTGACAGTGTTCTTGGGGACTGTCTCGAGATCCATTAAGCAAGTCGAAGCTCCTGACTTCTTTGAGTGGGGTCACGTAATAGCTCTGCATGCACTGCACTGGAATGGGGCGTCATCTCGCCTCTAGGGGGAATTCTCATGGTTTTTCTCGAGTTGCGGCGGGGACCTGGGGTATGTTCTCGACTTACGGCGGTGATGGCGCTTCAAAACACGAGTTTCTTCAGTGACGTCAGGACTCCAGTCTAGTAACGAGGGACACCTCAGGAATCTCTTCGAGGCTTGACAGGGCAAAAGGGACGCTTCTCGAGGTGAGGCAGGGAACGAAGGACCCTTTCCTGTAGCCACAGGGACTTTGGGATTCCTATCAGTATTCAAAAGGAGTCAGGCATCGTCACCTTTTGAAGCAATGAACACTGAGTGCCTCTCGAGGTGTCAACGGGATGTGAGGCATTCCGTCAAAATTAGGCACCGAACTAGGGCTTTTTCTAAGTTCTCCACAGGGGATTCATACATCCCTTCATGTTGTGAGATGAAAGACGACCCTGTATTCAAGCCACTGCAAGGCAATCCGGCCTCCTTTCAAGTTAGGGTTTTTCACTGTATATTCCACTTGAGGCAGCGATCTCGGGGTCCCTCCCACATACCTATTGCTGAGAGAAGCCTCCTCCTGAGGTGCTTCTGGAAAGTTGTCATACGTCTTGAGCATAATCCAGGGAATCAGCTCTCATCTCGAGACGATTTGGTGTACACGGAGCATTCCTCGAGTTGCTGTGCTGAAGTTGGTGTTCCTCTAGACTTGGGACAGTGTTCTCGGGGCATGTCTGGAGTTGCCTGAAGGAAGTTGAGCCACCGGTCGTGTTGAATGGGGAACGGGGAATGGTTCTGGAGTCAATGCAGGGGAATCGGGCCTCATCTTGAGTTGATTTGGGGCACATGGAGCTGCTTTGCGTTGCTGGGGTGACCTCAGGGTCCGTCTAGATTGGTGACAGTGTTCTTGGGGACTGTCTCGAGATCCATTAAGCAAGTCGAAGCTCCTGACTTGTTTGAGAGGGATCACGGAATAGCGCTGCATGCACTGCAGGGGAATGGGGCCTCATCTCGCCTCTAGGGGGAAGTCTCATGGTTTTTCTCGAGTTGCGGCGGGGACCTGGGGTATGTTCTCGACTTACGGCGGGGATGGCCCTTCAAAACACGAGTTTCTTCAGTGACGTCAGGACTCCTGTCTAGTAACGAGGGACACCTCAGGAATCTCTTCGAGGCTTGGCAGGGCAAAAGGGACGCTTCTCGAGGTGAGGCAGGGCACCCAAGCACCCTTTCCAGTAGCCACAGGGATTTTGGGATTCCTATCAGTATTCAACAGGAGTCACGCATCGTCACCTTTTGAAGCAATGAACTCTGAGTGCCTCTCGAGGTGTCAACGGGATGTGAGGCATTCCGTCAAAATGACGCAGGGACCTAGGGCTTTCTCTAAGGTCTCCACAGGAGATTCAGACATCCCTTCATGTTGTGAGATGAAAGACGAGCCTGTATTCTAGCCACTGCAAGGAAATCCGGCCTCCTTTCAAGTTAGGGCTTCTCGCTGTATATTCCCCTTGAGGCAGCAAATTCGGGGTCCCTCCCACATACCTATTGCTGAGAGAAGCCTCCTCCTGAGGTGCTTCTGGAAAGTTGGCATACGACTTGAGCCTAAGCCAGGGAATCAGCTCTCATCTCGAGACGATTTGTGGTACACGGAGCATTCCTCGAGTTGCTGTGCTGAAGTTGGTGTTCCTCTAGCCTTGGGACAGTGTTCTTGGGGCATCTCTGGAGTTGCCTGAAGGAAGTCGAGCTACCGGTCGTGTTGAATGGGGAACGGGAATGGCTCTGGAGTCAATGCAGCTCAATCGGGCCTAATCTCGAGTTGATTTGGGGCACATGCAGCTGCTTTCCGTTGCTGGGGTGACCTCAGGGTCCGTCTAGACTGGTGACAGTGTTCTTGGGGACTGTCTCGAGATCCTTTAAGCAAGTCGAAGCTGCTGACTTGTTTGAATGGGATCACGGAATAGCTCTGCATGCAGTGCAGGGGAATGGGGCCTCATCTCGCTTCTAGGGGGAAGTCTCATGGTTTTTCTCGAATTGCGGCGGGGACCTGGGATATGTTCTTGACTTACAGCGGGGATGGCACTTCAAAACACATGTTTATTCAGTGACGTCAGGACTCCTGTCTAGTAATGAGGGACACCTCAGGAATCTCTTCGAGGCTTGGCAGGGCAAAGGGACGCTTCTCGAGGTGAGGCAGGGAACCCAAGGACCCTTTCCAGTAGCCACAGGGATTTTGGGATTCCTCTCAGTATTCAAGAGGAGTCAGGCATCGTCACCTTTTGAAGCAATGAACTCTGCGTGCCTCTCGAGTTGTCAACGGGATGTGAGGCATTCCGTCAAAATGACGCAGGGACCTAGGGCTTTCTCTAAGGTCTCCACAGGGGATTCAGTCATCCCTTCATGTTTTGAGATCAAAGACGAGCCTGTATTCAAGCCACTGCAAGGAAATCCGGCCTCCTTTCAAGTTAGGGCTTCTCGCTGTATATTCCACTTGAGGCAGCGATCTCGGGGTCCCTCCCACATACCTATTGCTGGGAGAAGCCTCCTCCTGAGGTGCTTCTGGAAAGTTGGCATAGGTTTTGAGCCTAAGCCAGGGAATCAGCTCTCATCTCGAGACGTTTTGAAGTTCACGGAGCATTCCTCGAGTTGCTGTGCTGAAGTTGGTGTTCCTCTAGCCTTGGGACAGTGTTCTCGGGGCATCTCTGGAGTTGCCTGAAGGAAGTCGAGCCACCGGTCGTGCTGAATGGCGAACGCGGAATGGCCTTGGAGTCAATGCAGGGGAATCGGGCCTCATCTCGAGTTGATTTGGGGCACATGGAGCTGCTTTGCGTTGCTGGCGTGACATCAGGGTCCGTCTAGACTGGTGACAGTGTTCTTGGGGACTGTCTCGAGATCCATTAAGCAAGTCGAAGCTCCTGACTTCTTTTAGTGGGGTCACGTAATAGCTCTGCATGCACTGCACTGGAATCGGGCGTCATCTCGCCTCTAGGGGGAATTCTCATGGTTTTTCTCGAGTTGCGGCGGGGACCTGGGGTATGTTCTCGACTTACGGCGGGGATGGCCCTTCAAAGCACGAGTTTCTTCAGTGACGTCAGGACTCCAGTCTAGTAACGAGGGACACCTCAGGAATCTCTTCGAGGCTTGACAGGGCAAAAGGGACGCTTCTCGAGGTGAGGCAGGGAACGAAGGACCCTTTCCTGTAGCCACAGGGACTTTGGGATTCCTATCAGTATTCAAAAGGAGTCAGGCATCGTCACCTTTTGAAGCAATGAACACTGAGTGCCTCTCGAGGTGTCAACGGGATGTGAGGCATTCCGTCAAAATGAGGCACCGAACTAGGGCTTTTTCTAAGTTCTCCACAGGGGATTCATACATCCCTTCATGTTGTGAGATGAAAGACGACCCTGTATTCAAGCCACTGCAAGGCAATCCGGCCTCCTTTCAAGTTAGGGTTTTTCACTGTATATTCCACTTGAGGCAGCGATCTCGGGGTCCCTCCCACATACCTATTGCTGAGTGAGGCCTCCTCCTGAGGTGCTTCTGGAAAGTTGTCATACGTCTTGAGCATAATCCAGGGAATCAGCTCTCATCTCGAGACGATTTGGTGTACACGGAGCATTCCTCGAGTTGCTGTGCTGAAGTTGGTGTTCCTCTAGACTTGGGACAGTGTTCTCAGGGCATGTCTGGAGTTGCCTGAAGGAAGTCGAGCCACTGGTCGTGTTGAATGGGGAACGGGGAATGGCTCTGGAGTCAATGCAGGGGAATCAGGCCTCATCTCGAGTTGATTTGGGGCACATGGAGCTGCTTTGCGTTGCTGGGGTGACCTCAGGGTCCGTCTAGATTGGTGACAGTGTTCTTGGGGACTGTCTCGAGATCCATTAAGCAAGTCGAAGCTCCTGACTTGTTTGAGAGGGATCACGGAATAGCGCTGCATGCACTGCAGGGGAATGGGGCGTCATCTCGCCTCTAGGGGGAAGTCTCATGGTTTTTCTCGAGTTGCGGCGGGGACCTGGGGTATGTTCTCGACTTACGGCGGGGATGGCCCTTCAAAACACGAGTTTCTTCAGTGACGTCAGGACTCCTGTCTAGTAACTAGGGACAACTCAGGAATCTCTTCGAGGCTTGGCAGGGCAAAAGGGACGCTTCTCGAGGTGAGGCAGGGCACCAAAGGATCCTTTCCAGTAGCCACAGGGATTTTGGGATTCCTATCAGTATTCAAGAGGAGTCAGGCATCGTCACCTTTTGAAGCAATGAACTCTGAGTGCCTCTCGAGGTGTCAACGGGATGTGAGGCATTCCGTCAAAATGACGCAGGGACCTAGGGCTTTCTCTAAGGTCTCCACAGGGGATTCAGACATCCCTTCATTTTTTGAGATCAAAGACGAGCCTGTATTCAAGCCATTGCAAGGAAATCCGGCCTCCTTTCAAGTTAGGGCTTCTCGCTGTATATTCCACTTGAGGCAGCGATCTCGGGGTCCCTCCCACATACCTATTGCTGGGAGAAACCTTCTCCTGAGGTGCTTCTGGAAAGTTGGCATACGTCTTGAGCCTAAGCCAGGGAATCAGCTCTCATCTCGAGACGATTTGGGGTGCACGGAGCATTCCTCGAGTTGCTGTGCTGAAGTTGGTGTTCCTCTAGCCTTGGGACAGTGTTCTCGGGGCAACTCTGGAGTTGCCTGAAGGAAGTCGAGCCACCGGTCGTGTTGAATGGGGAACGGGGAATGGCTCTGGAGTCAATGCAGGGGAATCGGGCCTCATCTCGAGTTGATTTGGGGCACATGGAGCTGCTTTGCGTTGCTGGGGTGACCTCAGGGTCCGTCTAGACTGGTGACAGTGTTCTTGGGGACTGTCTCGAGATCCATTAAGCAAGTCGAAGCTCCTGACTTGTTTGAGTGGGATCACGGAATAGCTCTGCATGCACTGCAGGGGAATGGGGCGTCATCTCGCCTCTAGGGGGAAGTCTCATGGTTTTTCTCGAGTTGCGGCGGGGACCTGGGGTATGTTCTCGACTTACGGCAGGGATGGCCCTTCAAAACACGAGTTTCTTCAGTGACGTCATGACTCCTGTCTAGTAACCAGGGACACCTCAGGAAACTCTTCGAGGCTTGGCAGGGCAAAAGGGACGCTACTCGAAGTGATGCAGGGCACCCAAGGACGCTTTCCAGTAGCCACAGGGATTTTGGGATTCCTATCAGTATTCAAGAGGAGTCAGGCATCATCACCTTTTGAAGCAATGAACTCCGCGTGCCTCTCGAGGTGTCAACGGGATGTGAGGCATTCCGTCAAAATGACGCAGGGATCCAGGGCTTTCTCTAAGGTCTCCACGGGGGATTCAGAGATCCCTTCATGTTTTGAGATCAAAGACGAGCCTATATTCAAGCCACTGCAAGGAAATCCGGCCTCCTTTCAAGTTAGGGTTTTTCACTGTATATTAAACTTGAGGCAGCGATCTCGGAGTCCCTCCCACATACCTATTGCTGGGAGAAGCCTCCTCCTGAGGTGCTTCTGGAAAGTTGCATACGTCTTGAGCCTAAGCCAGGGAGTCAGCTCTCATCTCGAGACGATTTGGGGTACACGGAGCATTCCTCGAGTTGCTGTGCTGAAGTTGGTGTTCCTCTAGCCTTGGGACAGTGTTCTCGGGGCATCTCTGGAGTTGCCTGAAGGAAGTCGAGCGACCGGTCGTGTTGAATGGCGAACGGGGAATGGCTCTGGAGTCAATGCAGGGGAATCGGGCCTCATCTCGAGTTGATTTGGCGCACATGGAGCCGCTTTGCATTGCTGGGGTGACATCAGGGTCCGTCTAGAGTGGTGACAGTGTTCTTGGGGACTGTCTCGAGATCCATTAAGCAAGTCGAAGCTCCTGACTTGTTTGAGTGGGATCACGTAATAGCTCTGCATGCACTGCAGGGGAATGGGGCGTCATCTCGCCTCTAGGGGGAAGTCTCATGGTTTTTCTCGAGTTGCGGCGGGGACCTGGGGTATGTTCTCGACTTACGGCGGGGATGGCCCTTCAAAACACGAGTTTCTTCAGTGACGTCAGGACTCCAGTCTAGTAACGAGGGACACCTCAGGAATCTCTTCGAGGCTTGACAGGGCAAAAGGGACACTTCTCGAGGTGAGGCAGGGCACCCAAGGACCCTTTCCTGTAGCCACAGGGATTTTGGGATTCCTATCAGTATTCAAAAGGAGTCAGGCATCGTCACCTTTTGAAGCAATGAACTCTGAGTGCCTCTCGAGTTGTCAACGGGAAGTGAGGCATTCCGTCAAAATGAGGCACCGAACTGGGCCTTTTTCTAAGGTCTCCACAGGGGATTCAGACATCCCTTCATGTTGTGAGATGAAAGACGAGCCTGTATTCAAGCCACTGCAAGGAAATCCGTCCTCCTTTCAAGTTAGGGCTTCTCGCTGTATATTCCCCTTGAGGCAGCGTTCTCGGGGTCCCTCCCACATACCTATTGCTGGGAGAAACCTCCTCCTGAGGTGCTTCTGGAAAGTTAGCATACGTCTTGAGCCTAAGCCAGGGAATCAGCTCTCATCTCGAGACGACTTGGGGTACACGGAGCATTTCTCGAGTTGCTGTTCTGAAGTTGGTGTTCCTCTAGCCTTGGGACAGTGTTCTCAGGGCATTTCTGGAGTTGCCTGAAGGAAGTCGAGCCACCGGTCGTGTTGAATGGGGAACGGGGAATGGCTCTGGAGTCAATGCAGGGGAATCGGGCCTCATCTCGATTTGATTTGGGGCACATGCAGCTGCTTTGCGTTGCTGGGGTGACCTCAGGATCCGTCTAGACTGGTGACAGTGTTCTTGGGGACTGTCTCGAGATCCATTAAGCAAGTCGAAGCTCCTGACTTGTTTGAATGGGATCACGGAATAGCTCTGCATGCACTGCAGTGCAATGGGGCCTCATCTCGATCCTAGGGGGAAGTCTCATGGTTTTTCTCGAGTTGAGGCGGGGACCTGGGGTATGTTCTCGACTTACGGCGGGGATGGCCCTTCAAAACACGTGTTTATTCAGTGACGTCAGGACTCCTGTCAAGTAACGAGGGACACCTCAGGAATCTCTTCGAGGCTTGGCAGGGCAAAAGGGACGCTACTCGAAGTGATGCAGGGCACCCAAGGACCCTTTCCAGTAGCCACAGGGATTTTGGGATTCCTCTCAGTATTCAAGAGGAGTCAGGCATCGTCACCTTTTGAAGCAATGAACTCCGCGTGCCTCTCGAGGTGTCAACGGGATGTGAGGCATTCCGTCAAAATGACGCAGGGATCCAGGGCTTTCTCTAAGGTCTCCACGGGGGATTCAGAGATCCCTTCATGTTTTGAGATCAAAGACGAGCCTATATTCAAGCCACTGCAAGGAAATCCGGCCTCCTTTCAAGTTAGGGTTTTTCACTGTATATTAAACTTGAGGCAGCGATCTCGGAGTCCCTCCCACATACCTATTGCTGGGAGAAGCCTCCTCCTGAGGTGCTTCTGGAAAGTTGCATACGTCTTGAGCCTAAGCCAGGTAGTCAGCTCTCATCTCGAGACGATTTGGGGTACACGGAGCATTCCTCGTGTTGCTGTGCTGAAGTTGGTGTTCCTCTAGCCTTGGGACAGTGTTCTCGGGGCATCTCTGGAGTTGCCTGAAGGAAGTCGAGCGACCGGTCGTGTTGAATGGCGAACGGGGAATGGCTCTGGAGTCAATGCAGGGGAATCGGGCCTCATCTCGAGTTGATTTGGCGCACATGGAGCCGCTTTGCATTGCTGGGGTGACATCAGGGTCCGTCTAGAGTGGTGACAGTGTTCTTGGGGACTGTCTCGAGATCCATTAAGCAAGTCGAAGCTCCTGACTTGTTTGAGTGGGATCACGTAATAGCTCTGCATGCACTGCAGGGGAATGGGGCGTCATCTCGCCTCTAGGGGGAAGTCTCATGGTTTTTCTCGAGTTGCGGCGGGGACCTGGGGTATGTTCTCGACTTACGGCGGGGATGGCCCTTCAAAACACGAGTTTCTTCAGTGACGTCAGGACTCCAGTCTAGTAACGAGGGACACCTCAGGAATCTCTTCGAGGCTTGACAGGGCAAAAGGGACACTTCTCGAGGTGAGGCAGGGCACCCAAGGACCCTTTCCTGTAGCCACAGGGATTTGGGGATTCCTATCAGTATTCAAAAGGAGTCAGGCATCGTCACCTTTTGAAGCAATGAACTCTGAGTGCCTCTCGAGGTGTCAACGGGAAGTGAGGCATTCCGTCAAAATGAGGCACCGAACTGGGCCTTTTTCTAAGGTCTCCACAGGGGATTCAGACATCCCTTCATGTTGTGAGATGAAAGACGAGCCTGTATTCAAGCCACTGCAAGGAAATCCGTCCTCCTTTCAAGTTAGGGCTTCTCGCTGTATATTCCCCTTGAGGCAGCGTTCTCGGGGTCCCTCCCACATAATTATTGCTGGGAGAAACCTCCTCCTGAGGTGCTTCTGGAAAGTTAGCGTACGTCTTGAGCCTAAGCCAGGGAATCAGCTCTCATCTCGAGACGACTTGGGGTACACGGAGCATTTCTCGAGTTGCTGTTCTGAAGTTGGTGTTCCTCTAGCCTTGGGACAGTGTTCTCAGGGCATTTCTGGAGTTGCCTGAAGGAAGTCGAGCCACCGGTCGTGTTGAATGGGGAACGGGGAATGGCTCTGGAGTCAATGCAGGGGAATCGGGCCTCATCTCGATTTGATTTGGGGCACATGCAGCTGCTTTGCGTTGCTGGGGTGACCTCAGGATCCATCTAGACTGGTGACAGTGTTCTTGGGGACTGTCTCGAGATCCATTAAGCAAGTCGAAGCTCCTGACTTGTTTGAATGGGATCACGGAATAGCTCTGCATGCACTGCAGTGCAATGGGGCCTCATCTCGATCCTAGGGGGAAGTCTCATGGTTTTTCTCGAGTTGAGGCGGGGACCTGGGGTATGTTCTCGACTTACGGCGGGGATGGCCCTTCAAAACACGTGTTTATTCAGTGACGTCAGGACTCCTGTCAAGTAACGAGGGACACCTCAGGAATCTCTTCGAGGCTTGGCAGGGCAAAAGGGACGCTACTCGAAGTGATGCAGGGCACCCAAGGACCCTTTCCAGTAGCCACAGGGATTTTGGGATTCCTCTCAGTATTCAAGAGGAGTCAGGCATCGTCACCTTTTGAAGCAATGAACTCCGCGTGCCTCTCGAGGTGTCAACGGGATGTGAGGCATTCCATCAAAATGACGCAGGGATCCAGGGCTTTCTCTAAGGTCTCCACGGGGGATTCAGAGATCCCTTCATGTTTTGAGATCAAAGGCGAGCCTATATTCAAGCCACTGCAAGGAAATCCGGCCTCCTTTCAAGTTAGGGTTTTTCACTGTATATTCCACTTGAGGCAGCGATCTTGGGGTCCCTCCCACATACCTATTGCTTGGAGAAGCCTCCTCCTGAGGTGCTTCTGGAAAGTTGCATACGTCTTGAGCCTAAGCCAGGGAATCAGCTCTCATCTCGAGACGATTTGGGGTACACGGAGCATTCCTCGTGTTGCTGTGCTGAAGTTGGTGTTCCTCTAGCCT